CAAGAGTAGCAGAGCAAGAGTAGCAGAGCAAGAGTAGCAGAGCAAGAGTAGCAGAGCAAGAGTAGCAGAGCAAGAGTAGCAGGAGCAAGCTCCCCAACCATGGCGGTACTGCTATCCCAGCAGCGGCACCTGGCTGGGACATATCGGCCAACATCCCCGCTGGAACCACTCTCACCGAGTTTTCCAGAACTTGGAGATCAATTTCCACTGGATGTCGCCGCACTGGTCGTATCGCATGCGGACCCTAATCCAGTCCGCGCACTCGATGTCCCTAACACAGCTGTAGAAGCAGAGGCTACCACAGCACCCCCACCAGGACTTAGCGTACTCGTAGCGCCCTCATAGCCCACCGCAAGGACCGGCAATGCTGTCAACGCATACCTCACCCCGCCAAGAATCACAATATCCCCGCTCGGCTCAAAGAAGAGCGCATGTCTGTCCACCGCTGATTTGAGCGCTGCCAGGCTGCAGAACGTACCCTCCATTCAGTTAGCCTTCTGTGTATACGGATCTACAACATGTGAGTGGACAATTTTTGTAGCCACGGCATATTCTCATTTCCGTTGTTGCCAAGGAAACATAATTAAGGGTGTGGAGGCTATATACCGGTCAGCTTCACTCTAGTCATATTCCTCGATCTCCCCAAGTAGGTCGGTTTACACATTTGAGTCTAGGACTTTCGTGGATAGAGTTCTTAGCCTCTTGTCCGGCCTCGCGACACTCCGTCTATTTGATCCAAGTCTTCGATTCCGCCGCTCTCTCTTTCGTCGATGCATGACATAAGTGAGGAGATATACAGCAAGTGACAGTATGATGCTGCACAGGAAGTATATCCAAATCCAAGGCGATACAAAATTGTCATCCTTCTTCGCCTCATGAGCGGGCATCCAATTCCAGAATGACGTGCTGAACATTGTCTGTTGTTTGGTCAGCGAGTGTTCGATTTGGGCATTCCATAATTGACTTACGGCGACGGCGGTAGCTGGAAGAAAAATCAACGTCACGACAGCCATGATGCGCATGACATAGCTTTCATTCAGTGCAGCTTCAGCATGTCGCTGCGAAATCAAGCTGTTGACAGTGTCTACCTGTGCCTGCGCTCTGGCCTCGAGTAGCCGTTTGGAATCTTCCGCGCCTGCGATGAGGCCTTTCAGGTATGTTATCCGCCGGACGAAGCAATCAGGTAGTTCTTGGCAATTTTTCGAAACTTCTTCAATTAGCTCCAATGAATTCAGGCCTCCTTGGAAAGTCAAGCCACAGAAGTATAATGTTCCGAGAAGGCCAGTCAACTTTTGCGTAATGTTCCCGAAATCGATGGTTTCGAGGCGCTTGGTACGCTCTTGTGGCGTCAAGTTCGCGTTTGGGTCATCTGCGGCACCGTGTATGAGACCTGTGTCCTTCTCCACGCTTGCCAGGTACTGAGATCTCAGCTCGAGTAGCACAGCGAAATGATGAAGTTTCCACTCTACTAGGATGAGAGGAAGAAGCATCGCGTGGTGCGCAAAGTCTTGCGACTCGCGCAGGCATCGCTTCATGGCAACGATCTCATCGGCCTGCAGGCCATGTACAAAGCAATTCACGATACCGGTTGTTGGACACTTCGTTGTTGCGACACAGTAGTTCCAATCCTTCGACCGACCACCGCGAAGCATGATGCCCTCTGACGTAGTACCTAAATGTTCAACACAGAATTTCGCCTTAATAGGCATAGTACTGAGCAGCATTCGAAGGAACTCGCTCGGCAGATTCCAATTTTGGCGTATAGCTTGTAGTGTAGAGCAAGAAAATGGAAGAGCGATGACCTCTGCGTCAGATCTATGTTGCTCTGGTGCGCATACAAAGACGCGAAGCAGTGGTTTCGAGGCTGCGGAGTCGTACTGTCACCCGATTAGCTTGATGTCATGTAGTTGTTTCGTTGAACGAGACCTTGTTGAGCCAAGTCACTATCTTGTCTTCCGTGATCGGTTCTTCACGAAATCGTCGCTTGTCGTCCTCGTCGATACTTTAGTCATACCGAAAAGCCTATAGTCAGACGAACCACTCACGACGTCTTTCCCGTACACTTCGATTATCTCGCTAAACTCTCCATCATTTGTAGGCCGTCCGAAATTGCTTTCATCATTCAGAAGCCGATCGTTGTAATGGTCAAACATGATCTACGAGTATAACTCAACATACACGTCGTGAGATCGATTTTTTTGGGTTCTTGCGAATGCCGTCCAGTTCTCCCAACAGCCGCTTATTTGAATGGTATACGCAGACACTCCGCGGATAGATCATTGGCGGCAGCAGTCTGCTGTATCGTGGTTGCTGCGAGGCTGGGGCTGTGCTGATGATAAACGCGGCGCCGGATATGGTATTTGCGCTCTTCTGCACCAATGAAAACACACACCATCCACAAAGAGGTCGTTCAGCTTCACTCAGCCCGATACCAGAGGTGGCCTCGGAGCGTCGGACAGCTGCACAATTAGCGGAGCAAATGAGGCAACGTATCTGCCTAATTTGCCCTGCCTCGCGCGCGACCGGGGCGAAGCTTTGAGGCGGAGGCTGCTCCTGGTATGCATCTCACTCTTGTTGGCAATCAAGCTTTGCTGATGGAAACTCAAGATGTGGGTGAGTTGGCATGTCGTCGGTCGCATGGCATGCGGCAGAGCGCCTTCCTGCAAATGTTCGCCATCCACGGGCAGTGCCTCAGCGTTAGTGAAAACCAGCATAAATAATCAAGTCGGCAAGGTCATCTACGTCATTCTTATTTTGTCTGCTGTCCATAAGGCACCACCGGCTTACAGTAGTCGGGCCAGCAACCCCTCAATGCTCTTCTGGCGGCGGTACATTATGTGCAATTTCTCATGGTCGCATACGACCACCTGCATGCGAACGATCACGTGCACAAATAAGCAAGTCACTGAATTCGCTGTCATCTAGTCGGAGTTGATACGGTCGATTGAACTCTTTTGAATCCAAATTCACAAACTTGGCAATCACCCCAGGCCCGCTATAATTCATGTATGGTAACTTCTTCTACTCGCAGTCTACACCTGACTGAACTTGACTTCGTCGAATTAAACCTCCTCCGAACTCGACGAATCTAACTTCTCAGTGTGCCGTGCGTCGCCCGTTCCTTTCTCGATACTTTGCACGGAATGTCTCCTCATGTCTCCTGCAGCACCAATACCCATCTGATCCATGCGATCGCGCACATGCTGCTTTGCGAACAAGTAATCAATCTCCTCGAGCGTGCGACCAGTCGTCTCGGGGCAGCAGAACCACACGTAAGCTGCCGCAATGAAGCAGCAGATCAATGGCCAAATGAAGATCTTAGGACCCACAGCCTCGATGCCGGTTCCGCCACCGAAGACCATGACCCAAGTAGAAAGCCACTCACCGCATGCCGCGAGTCCACCAGCAACGTGTCGATACTTTAACGGAGCGATCTCGGGACCGTAGATCCACGGAGGACCCAGCCAGCCAAAGCCGAAGACTACCATGTAGAGCATGATCATGGCGACCGCAGACCAGTTTGTACCTACGTTTTGGGAGGATTCGGGAAGAGTCGTGAGAACAATGTAGACGAGCATGCAGATGCCGCAGCCGATGGATGTCCAGAACATCATAGAGCGACGTCCGATCCTCTCAATGTACCAAACTGGCGGGTAAGAAGCAAGAGCGAAGACGGTATTCAGTACAGCGGCCAAAATTCCGGAGAGGAAGTGGCTGTAGCCGAGCTTCAGGAATATGGTCGTGGAGAAATAGACGAGCATGTTAATTCCTACAGAATTTTGAGCAGGCGTTCAAAAATTTGTTCAAAATGGAAGCCGCTTACCCAGGAATTGTTGCGCAAACAGAATGAGGAAGCTGGTTCGAAGGCGGCGACCAACCTGGTAGTCCGAATTATCCCAAAAGAGGTGCATGAGGTTGAACTTCGCGTTATCTTCTTCGTTAATCGATGCCAGGACCTCGTTCTTCTGTGCCTGCACCGTCGGATGGTCTTCAGGGAGACCATGAAGCCTTGCCAAAATGGCATCAGCTTCGGGAATACGGTTGCGATAGTAGTACCATCTCGGAGTATCAGGGAGGAATATCAAGCCACCAGCGGAGAAGATGGCGAAACAGGCTTGCATAGCGATGGGAACGCGCCACAGGTACGGTCGAGTTTCGAGACCTTGAACAAAGCCGAAATCGATCCAGTATGCGAGTGCCTGTTGATGTCAGTCGGGAGAACAGAAAGATTCTGCTCGCATACGTACAACTCCACTAATCAGCAATGCGAGTTGCCAGCAGACTTCAGGGCCTCGCTCTCGCGCCTCGAGAGACATTTCTGCCATATAAGTGGGCACGGCGCTGGCGATGCAACCGATACCACAGCCACAGATGATACGACCCACGATGATCTGACCAACTGAGTAGGATGAGGCTTGAATAGCTGCACCAATGCATATGAGTAAGTCTCCCAGCAGAATGGTCTTGCGTCTTCCGAGTTGCATGCCGAACAGTGTCACCGCAAGAGACATGGCAGCGGCGGCGAGGTTGTAGATCGATGCAATGATGGGGATAATAAAGACCCCTTTAGGGTTACCGATAGCATCGAGAAATTGCGGGGTTGATTGAATACCGCCTAAAACTCCAGCGTCATATCCGTAAAGCATGAAGGCAGAACCACAACATGCTGACATGACCTTATACAATGTCCTTCCAGAAAGTTGAGAGAGCATGATGGAAGGCTTTTGGGTGACCAGTCCTATAGGTCAAGACTGCTCGGTGGGGTACGGAGTACGACAAAGATGACCGATGTTTTGAGTGCCTCCGAAGCTTCTTGAGAGGAAGCACGGGGAAGGAGCTGCTATTGATGAAAACTGAACGGGTCCGCCGTGAACTTTATACTGGTGTATTTCTAGATAGTTCATGATGTAGGCCGAAATTCAGGCGTTGCCGTCCAGACCTTGCCTGCAAATACCACGGTAGACACGGCTGTTGGTCCACCACCCCAGTTTCTTCCCGTATTCCAGACCCACTGGTGGACTTGTTCTATCCCTACGATCTAGGCCCCTGCAATACCCCGACAATGCATGTTCCGGATCGGGAAACTCGAATGCTGATTATGTGAGATGGCAAAGTGAAACGCGATGCAAAAGGCCACGCTCGGGAAGAGCCTGAGGCCAGGACCGTTGCTGCATGAGATCAACTCAAATAGTGATCCTGTGGCGTGAACAAGTTTTGGTCCGTCCGCCAATTGAATTGTATGAGTGCGTGCTTAGGCCCGGAAACGGTCCGGCTCCGATGGCAGCTACATCCGTGGTCTAGGTTAGATTCTAGCCTTACCCGCATATCGTCGGAATACCCTGGAACGTGATACAGAACTGTTCAAGAGAGCAACTGCTTACGAGGGCGCGTCCAGCCTGATTGCCCTGAACTCGTGCAGCAAGTGGTGTCCGAGCGATCTCCGTAGCGTGACCGGTACGTTGCTCAAGTTCGAGCTGCACCGCACGGGTATATACGAGATCATATCTCATAGCGCAAGATTTCAAGTCTCGTCCCAAAAATATCCGTTCGGAGAGATAGCCTTCGATTCATACATTTGTTGCGGTTGCCGGGTTCAGCACTCCCGAACTGTCAACACAATCACCTCCGTGCTTGGTACGAGGGCCTCCAGCATAACTCATGTATGGAATGCTGGAACTCATAGTAGATTTTGATGACGTTTCCAGGATTAGGAAAGGTCTTGTGGTGAGACTAGCAACAGATTCAACGACTTCCCACGCTCGGGCAGTAGGTGCCTCTATCAACGTCACAATCGAGCGTCACCGTTTAACAGCCTCAAATATTACGTGTGCAATCATCCTGAAATTTTTCGGGAAGTCAATTGTGGCCGTGGTATGGAGGCGTATGCTCTTCCGCGTGACATACTATCGAAAGGACTTCCGGGCCATCTGTCAGCAGATGCTGACCAAAGTTTACTGTTACTGTGAGATATTTTCTTAGATAGTGTGTCTCATACCGATACGGCGCTGTTGCTTTTGGGATCTTGGTTCTTTGTTTGAGTATGTGAACAATTGCTCCACGCCGCCTTCTAGCTTGTCAAACCACGCAACTGCTTAGGATAGTCTTGTGTTCATGAAATTTCAACTTAAGCCGTAATGATTGTGTTTCCTGAGGTAATAATTGAGTCTGGTGCGTCACGTCAAATAGTCGATCTCAAGTATTTTTGACGTTGTATGCCAGCAGGTCAACGCCAGTTTCTCATACAACCGCAGCTATGTGCCATCATGTACACTTTTAGAGGATTAATAAAACGATGGACGGAACGAGGACCTACCAGATAGTATAGGCTTATGAACAGTGCTCGTCGAGTCGCTGAGGCTACGCGCCTATGTTTGCACTGTTTACATTCACCCAACTCAACAAACGCGCGCACGCGCCCCTCGACGTCGACCACCGCTGCTTTGATTCTCGCACTCTCCGTCCACTTGTCCACCACCACCACCAACGCGACTGCTATAGCCTTGCACTACCCCGCTGCCACCCAGAGGGCGCATTGCTAACCGACCCGCCCAGCAATATGGACTCGTCGCCCCTCTCTCTTCCAGTATTTGTCCGTGCAATCACACCTACACCCTCAATTGCTCGTACAATTAGACCTACACCCGCATATGCTCGTACTGTCACACCTGCGCCCGCATCTGTACCTACGGCCGTGCCTGCGCCCGACGTCGACTTCGACGTCGACCACCTCCCACAGCACACAAGGCCCTCTCGCATCAAAGTCAAGGAGCTTCCCGACACAGAGCGTCAGCGCGCCGAAACCACCGCCAGCCACCTCTTCACAAACTTCGACGACGCCCGCATCCGTACCGCCCTCGTACACATCATCCAAGTCCGCGACGAGTCCCACATACGCCCCAAACGTGGAGACCGCACGGGATGGGCAGTTCTCCAGGTCGAAAAGCGCCAACAGCGCGAGACCATGCCCACGGAAAGACGCGCAGACGCAGACATACTGTCACGTCCACCGCCGCGCCTCGCGGTCAGCGCGCCTGTCATACTCAAGGACTCACTTGTATGGCCCGTGCCTGGGAGTCCTATGGGGAACGCGTGGTCTGGCGAGCATTTCTGGAAGCCGGAGTTCTGCGAGTCGGTGCCTGCGAGTCCGATGTGGGAAGAAGGTGGATGTGCGCACAGCGATGCCGCGCGCCAGAGCTATTATGACTCTGTGGTCGCGGATGTGGAGAAGTGCGCGCTCGAGGTCAAGGCTGATACTATGCAGGGCGACGAGCAGATGTCGGGCGCGGAGTGCGATGTTATCGCCGCGATGACGGTGCTGGAAGAAATGAAGGCGGGCTTCGGTGAAGACGACTGGCCTGTACCAGGCGATGTTCTTGCCAAAACCAAAGAATTCTGTCAAGAAGAGAAGAAGGCGCTTGAGTTGAGCCCGATCCGTGACCTTGCAGACATGCAGGAATCGTATAACTGGCTGAGCTTCGAGCAGAGCTCGCTACAGCCGTTGACGAAGCTCGATGAGGTGCGTGGCAGACTGAAGATGATCAAGGAGACGAAGAGGAACTCGGGAATTGAGCCTTCGGAGCGGGTATACCACCTTGTCTACGCTGTGCAAATCCTAGAAGAGAAGATCAGAACTCTGAAGCTACACGACATCTATGCCGACAACAGCGATGACGACATGATGGAATATGGGAATTTTCTGAAAAGCCTAGCGGAAGTCCTGCCGCTTGCGGAAGAGTGTGGCAGCAGTATCGCGAGCTATTCGTCAGACAGCGAGCTCGAGGAGAGGAGAGATCTGAAAAGAGAGATGTCAGAAATCGGGCTTGAAAAGATGAAAGCTGTGAGAATGGACGTATTATCAAACGGGCTCGCAAAGAGGAGAGATCTGAGGAAAGAGGTCTCGGAGGGCGGACTAGAGCGGAGAAGACTGCGAGGAAAAGCGCCGAGCACGCTCGATCTTGAATCGTGGGCTTCGAGTCTGAAAGTACTCGACAACAAGAAGAAAGCTGATGGGTTTAGGGACGAGGGTCTGTTCTTCTGAACCATCAAAGCTGATCGCATGTCTAGCGAGATTAGAAGTGTATAAGGTTATACTACACCACCGCAGAGGCACCGACTATGCCTTCTTCTCGAACAGCAGATGCGTGACACCCCACGTATCGCCACCTTCCCACTTGAACAACTCCGCACACGCCAGGTAGAAGATCTGCCACCGGTTCCACCACGTCACGACATCTTTTGCGCCATATGTTTCCACGAGAGCGGGCCATATGCTGTCTTTGTTGCGAAGCATAGTCTTGAGCCAGTCTTCGCAGGTCTGGGCGTAGTGCTGTCCATTTACCCACCACTGTCGTTGTACTGAGAGATTGGACTGGAAGTACAGCAAGAGGTCTGCTGACGGCATGGTTCCTTTACAAGATTAGATCCCTCGAATGAAACGTCAAAGTGATTCTAGACATACCACCGGTGAAGAAAAACTCGCTCATCCAGCCGCCTTCAAAGTCGTATGGAGTGTCTTTATGGCAGAAAATGTGCAGGAAAAGCTTGCCACCGGGTTTTAGTGCTCTCGAGACCTTCTCCAAGAGCAATTGGTAATTCTTCATGTGCTCAAAAAGTTCAATCGAGACTACGCGGTCGAAGCTCTCGGCCTCGAATTCGTAGTCTACGACATCTCCAGTGATGACAGTGAGATTAGTGAAGCCTTTTGACTTCGCCACACCGTCAATGTACTCTTTCTGCGTCCGTGAGTTGGAAAATCCGGTTACTTGCGAGTTAGGAAAGCGCTCTGCGAAAAAGAGAGATGCAGAACCCCAGCCGCAACTATCGTGTTGTGGTTAGCCATAACTTCCCGATTTTCTCCACGCACGAGACATATGTAGGAAAGGACTCACCCCAAATCCAATATCCTCATCCCATCCTTCAATTCCGCTCGCTCCACATAAACTTCCAACATTTTGACTTCCGCCTCCCCCAACGTTTCCTTCCCAGTCTCATACAAACACGAGCTATACTTCATCCGCGGGCCCAACATACCCTTCAGTACGCCCGTTCCGACCTCATAATGCTGCTCATTCGCCTTCTTCGTCTCAATCGCAATGGGCCTTTCCCGAAGCAGCTTGACATAGCTCATTTTAGAGTCATATGCTTCGCTCAGGGAATGCGTTGCGATTTCCGACAGACGGGACGCAAGTTGGCGCCGGATGCCTAGGCGGATGAGTGGGTGGGGGAGGTAACCGCCATCGAGAATGGGGTTGATGAGGGCGTCGGACATCAGATATTCCGAGAGGGCGTTCATGGTGGGCAATCAGCTTGGACCGAGAGGCACGGTGCCAATTGTGCTATGGGGGAATCTTTTAAAAAGAGATGTGCAAGAGAGACAGAGGATGCTGAGGTAGATATCGTGACTTTGCGGTCATGTTGTTGAGAAGATTGTTGTTTCAAGGGCGAGGCCTGAAACGGTTAGCGAACGGGAAGTGTGACGTCAACGACTCATGCAATTGGGAAATCGCGTCGAGCAGTCACGCGAGGAAAACGTGGCAGAGGATTCAAAGCTATCGGGGACCGCGACGCATGAGCGCGTTGTATCGTAGGAACGGAAACTTCTTGGTTCTTACCCAGTAAAACGGGGTGAAAGGAGCTTCATTCTTCAGACAGGATCAAAGAATAAAACCAATCATTAAGCAGAAAAGTGCACATTCGAAGGATAAGCAAGTCTCATCTTTCGTGCATTCTGTGCATTTGGAAGACCCTGAAGATGGCATAAAGTCAGGGGTTTGAAATGTAGCAGCCCTGCACTGCACCGGGGGTCCTAGCGCGAACTTTAAACTTAACGACACCATGAACCATAGTGCTCATACCAACAAATGAGAAGGATAAATTCTGTACCAAATGATCGGCGCACAATACACAATAATGCCAACCAAGAATAGACACAGACCATTCCTCTTAGGTCTCATCGTGCGCAAACAGTCGCAGAAGAAAAAGACACTCCGACCCGGGCCGGATATCGTGAGCTTGCGGTCTACCACCTGTCCTTCTCCTTTTTCTTCTTCGTCTCCTCTTCGTCCCACGCCATCAATTCTGGACGACATGTGCAGCCGGGAACCTTGAGATGCATCACACCAGACTTGGTCACATCCACAAGCCAGCCTGCCCATCGAAGCTCGAGATCGACGATCGTCTTGTCCTCACCCATCTCCAGGCGCATCTCCTTCTGCTCCAGCAAGTACTTTCGAAGCTGGATTGCAGAATCAACAGGCTTGGGAGCGACTGCCTTCTGCCTCTTCGCCTTTGCCTCCTTCTTTGCAAGAGTGATCTTGGCATTGATCATGCGTTCAAGGCGGGAGCACATGTGCTCACATAGCTTATCAGCACCAGATCGCTGCCGCAGCAGCTTCTCGGCGAAGTACTCTGCTGCTGTGATGTCGTTCATGTTGGCACCTGCAGAGCAAAGCTTCGTAGACGGAGACGTGAACGAAGTGTCACCTTGCTGACGGCAGACAAGGACGTCATCGAACGAGGAGTTGGGGTTGATAATGTTGGAGACGGCAAAGGAGTTCTGGCTAAGTGGCGGTAGATCGTCTTGGTTACCAAGGTCCTGAAGACTGCCGACAACTGTCTTCTCATCATCATATTCCTCTTCCTCATGCAAGCTGGCGGGGGGAGGACCGAACAAAGCCACTCCATACGGCGGACGCTTGTGTGGATCTAGGGCAAAACGACTAGGCTGGATAGTCATCTTTACAGAGTCGAAGCTGTTGTCTGGTGTGAAGTTGACGTCTGAATCGTACCCATAGCCACCCCGAGGATCACGCGTAATTAGGATCTTGCCAGTGTGAGCATCTATCAGGTTGATCGGACCCAGACCAGTAGTACTGATGGGGTGCTTGTAACTTGACTTGACCGAGACAACGCTATTGAAGCTAGATTCAGGAGTGAAGTTCGCATCTGGGTGGTAGCCGAAACCACCACGGGGATCGCGTGTCGAGATGATCTTGCCAGTGCGATCATCCACTAGCTTGAGGGGACCCGTCAAGGCTGTCTGCACCAGCGCAGCTGCTTCATCAAACTCACGAGGAGACGTGCTGGGTGCCAGGTTGAAATCTGTCCTCTTTTTCGTTGGCTTCTTGACGGTGATTTCGATGTCACCAACATCCTGGGAGCGCTCGAAGGCTATACCGCAAAGAGAGAGTGGCAAACGAAGGTCTGATCGCTGGCGCTCCACATGGGAGTGCATCTCCGGCAGTGACGAGGAGAGAGGAAGCAGGGTTGGGGATGATGGAAGGCTTGCTCCGTCAAACGAAGTGAAAGAAGATCGTGGGATCTTCGCACGAGGCGCTTCGTCTTCAGTGTGCTCTGCAGAGCGCTTCTTGCCAGCAGAGAGGTTTGAGGAGAAGGAAGACATTGTTTTGTCTTGAAGTTACAGGGAACTAGTGCAGGTATTCAAAAATTTCCAAATGGAGAGAAAGTCGAGGTATCGAGGTTGCTGTGTTGATCCTAGGGGAAGATCGGTATGCAAGGGAACCAGGAGAAAAGAAGGTATGTTTTTAGGGGGACGAATTAGACCGCAAAGGGGGTTCTTCTTGGCACGCAAGGTGTAGGCCTGTGAGAGCTGGTGGTGCCACTCGCGAGAGATCTAGGGTTGTATCAAGAAGCGCTCGAGAAGGGTAATGAAGCCCTGGAGGTGGTGAGCGCCGCGCACTGATTTCAACCTCGAGTCACGTGGCCTTGGTGATGCAGGTGTAGGTGCTCAGTGCGTAGGTGGTGAAAGAAGGTCGACACGGTCTTTGCTGTGCTGAAAGTAGCGACAATGTGAAAATGAATCATCCGGACTGATATATGTAAATCGTTGACGCTTTGGTGGATAGATTCGTTGTTGTTGCATTGTGTAAACACAGATCGTCGAGATACGCGACAAGACGCGGTAGCGGCGCGTCTACCTGGTTTTACGCTAGCGGATACACGTGCGATGTGGCGGACCCTGGGGGACACGATTAAGTGTGGGTGCCTAAGATATCGTCACAGCGTGCCTGTATAACCTAGTGGATTGTATTTGCATAGGAGTCTGCAAATGGGCTGTCCGCCAAGTTGATCCGGGATCTGCTATCGTGAAATTGAGCCTGCAGACTTACAACTAGGATGTCAGAGACAACATGTACAGTCTGGATCCACGTCCTGTTTTTTGGGATAACCTTATCTATACTTCATGCACAAACGTTTGTCCCAGTAATGCACCGTGGAGTGTTTCGTTTAACAAATGAAGGAGCCGCCACAAACACAGTACCATCGACAACGTCGCAACGAGAAGGGACCAACCCTTGTTGGAAGAAGAAGCATGCATTACAATGATTGTAAGCGTCGGAAAGTGGTATCATAACATCTCCAAAGTTGCTCGCAGCTCTGATCTCAGATTGTGCTCTTTCCACCGAGTGGACTCTGGCTTTATTTTCCTTTCCCATGTGCGAGCAGTTCCACGCCCATCCTCACCACGCCAATAGTCGCACCCGTTTGAATCGCCTCGCTTCCGCCGCTGCTAAGTCGATGCTCGATGTCCGCAAGGCCTGACATCCATGTCACTAGTGTCTGGGCGGGTACTTCGTTCTTCACCAGCTCTTCACTCAACGCCGTCAAGATATCTGCCAGCGCAAGACCTTTTTGAGTCTTTATGGTGTTTATCGTCTTCAAGCACTGTGTGATATCGCCGGTTTCAAGCAGCAAGTTGAGGATATAGGTGATGTCTGCGGGGTGAGGTGCAGCTATACAGTCATAGATGGTGGTTTGCGTGATCTGATCTCGCACGATAGTGCTTGGGTCTGGTGCAGGCTGGTCAGGTGGCTGTAGCGGAGTACTTGATGCATGGCACGCTTGCAAGACGTTTAGCGCTCGTCGCATATCGCCCTTGCTCAGGGTTACGAGCGATTCCGTTGCCTCTTGCGTGATGTTAACCTTCTCATCCTCGATGACTTTGTCTACCAAATTTCGAATATCTCTTTCTTTGAGCGGCGAGAACCGGAATCGGGTACATCGCGAAAGCAGCGCTGGGGATAGCTTGTGTGTGTAGTTTGCGATGATGCAGAATCGCGTATTTGCTGTGTACTTCTCCATAATCCTTCGCAGAGCCATCTGGGCTGTAGATGTCATAGCGTCCGCCTCATCGAGAATAATCAGCTTGAAGGTTGCCAGTGATGAAGCCTCGCCCGGTTTCGGCGCAGCAGCAAAGATCTGCTTTGTGCTACTGAAGGTTTTGATCTGCTCACGGACCACGTCGATGCCTCTGTCATCCGAAGCGTTCAGTTCCAGCACCATTTGGCGCATGTTTTTGGCGCCGTAAATACGGCGTGCGAGAGCGAGGACGGTCGAGGTTTTGCCAGTACCAGGAGGGCCGTAGAGGAGAAGATGCGGTAATCGCTGGCTCAATTAGCAACAATACACAACCTGCGAGAGAGCAAACCATACGTTTGAGTCTACAAACTTGTTGATTGTAGCTATGATGTCCTTGTGACCTTCGACGTCGTCCAACGAGCTTGGTCGATACTTCTCTACCCTTGAACGAGTCAGCCAGGCTTTGCACCGTTCTCACAGGTAGCTTACCAGGGCAAAGAGTCTTCGGCCTCCACCGGCAGATTCGCAGCGCTTCGCTTTCCCTTCTTCGCATCTCCGCCGAACGCTATAGAGGTTCGTGCGGCGGGCGCATCGACGTCCATCTCATCTTCATAGTCCGACATGTTGACTGGAATACTTGGGTAGGACAACCAAGTAGTGCTGAATGCTCTGAATCACTCGGTAAGGCAGCTGCACGCGAGAATGTGAGGCTCGACAAAAGTGCGGGACGGGAGACGCGTCGCGCATTGGACGTGTTAATTGAGCCAGCCATGCGCACGGACCAGGTCGGCATCCCACCTGGAAGCTACGACGTGCACCGCCGTCACCTCCGCCCGCCGAAATCCCCAAGTTCCCCCACAAACACTGCTCCGATACCCTGCAGAGCGGGCGCTCACACATTCAAGATGCCTGTAAGGATTGCGCTCTTACATTCCCAGAACCTCTGTCGTGACCACAGGCCTGCAATGCTAATTGATCGCTAGGCATACCACTCCGTCTTCCTCGATGAGCCAAACCAACAGTTGATCGGTACATCTTCCACCTGCCCCCCGCCTCACCTGCAATTCGCCCCTAATTCTGTGTGCAGGCAACTTCGCCCTCCTCCCCCTTCGCACACGCACCCGCGGGCCCGCTATCCAACTCCCCGCGCTCCCCGCTGACGTCTCGGACCTCACCATCGAAGCCAGCCATGAGTCCTACGACCCGCTCGACGAAGTCCTCTCGCTCTTCCGCGCAAACACATTCTTCCGCAATTTCGAGATCAAGGGCCCTGCAGACCGGGTTATGATCTATGGCATTCTGTTCGTGAGCGAGGTGCTGACCAAGGTGAAGCCGGGGATGGGAAGGAGGGATGCTGAAAAGGTACGCTAGAGCCCGGGGACTGAAGCGCGGGATGTAGGATTAACAAAGTACAGGCTGTCATGAACATTGCGCTCGACACAAACTTCGCCATACCCGGAGATGCAGGATTCCCGCTGAATCAGGCCTTTGAAGCGCCCGCGGACAGGAACCAGGCCGAGGTGCTGAGGCAGTACATTATGCAGATGCGACAAGAGCTGGCGACGAGGCTCCTGAACAGATTATACGCCGATGGCGCACAGGTCCCCAGCAAGTGGTGGTTGAGCTTCACGAAGAGGAAGTTCATGGGCAAGGCGTTGTAGGGGCAGCATAGGGCAGGGAAGAGCTATGTAATGAAACAAATATCATTGACGCATCCATCGTAGATATTGGGGATTTGATTTGAAGCTGTCATAAGCAGGCAGAAATGGCATAGATGCTATGACTTCAGATGAACGATATCATGATGCGCCGTTCGGCAACAGATGGCTCGAGATGCCGAAGAGTCGCAACCGCCAACACATGCAAATGCTCAACTCATGCCGGTGTAGACGTGTCCGTCCCCGTCTTTCTCTTCTTCCCACCCCTCAACCCCCTGGCTTCTACCTTGCCCTCAATGGGTAACACCCTCGTCGCGGTGAAAAGATAGCCCTCCGCACCGCCCTTGCTTGTCATGTGAGCGTGTGTCCGGCCGGGTAGTACCTGCCACTGTCTGGCCCTCGCCGTCTGCAGCGACGGAGCCAGCAGCAGCGTCGGGTTCACGGGGAAGTTATCCTCATCGTCCGCCTCTACTTCATCTTCCTCCTCATCCACCCCGTTCTGCTTCCTCTTTCCGTTCTGCTGCCCAAACTGGCTCGCAATATATGCCGTCCTCCGCTCCTTGCTATAGTAATCACAAAGCTGCACCAACGGCTCCACATTTGGGCTATACACGACAACCTGGCCCCCGCCCTTGACCAGCGGCACGCACTCCTTCAGTATCGTGACCGGCTCCATGCTGCTCGCCACCACCAGTCCGTCGAACCCGCCCATGCGCGTCTCGTCCACCACGCGCTTCGTGCGCTCCCAGCGCCGCCGCTTGCGGTAGTAGTTCCCGCGCTTGGAGCTCTTGAGCGTGTTTAGCGTATCTTCGGGGATGACTTCCGGCTCGAAGTAGGTGGGGTCGTCGGTTGGGGAGAGGAGTTGCAGCCAGGAGAGGGCCTTGAGGTGCGTGTAGAGCGGGTGCGAGGGGGTGGGGTCGCCCGAGTCGAAGCCGAAGTATTTGAGGTGAGAGAGGTTGGGTTGGTTGTTGGAGTGGAGGACAGTGAGGGTGTTTGTGGTGGCGGAGGATTGGGGGATGTGTTGTTGGCGGGGTTTTCGGGGGTTGCGGGGCTGCGAAGTGGATGGGCCGTTGGGTGCGCCTGCTATGGTATCCGTGGTGGCGTCGGGCATGTGGGTATCGTCTGTCGTGGTCGTTGGGGGCGCCGTGGGTGCGGCTGGTGTAGTATTTGCGGGCGTGTCGCCGTTTGGCTCTGCGGGTAGGCCTTCCTCATTTCCGTCTTCTGACTCTGACGATACCTCTTCTGTAGGTGGGTACAATATCCCCATTCTTTCGGCAAGCGCTGCTGTTACCAGTCCACCAGTGTCATCTACCACAAGCCACCTGCCTCCGCCAATCTGACTTGCGCCATCCTCAGCAGTCATGACGCGACTCGTTGCTCCACTGTGGATATTCGCCCAGCTGCAGATCAACCCCAGAGAGTCATCACGCAGCTCCATGATCCTATATGCCTCTTTCTCGGTAACATATTCGGTCAGTATTGGGATGTCGAGTGGAAGCACGGTGAATCGCTTGAGGTACTTGCGCGACTTGCGCAGCGTGTACTTTGCGAGCGAGAATCGTGTCTTCTCCTCGATGCCCAGATGCGATGCCATTATCTTTTCTATAATGTCCTTGCCCGAGCCCGAGCCTGCCTTCTTCAGTTCTTCGATTTCGTCCATGGACAAGGTCTGCCGTGAGGGGTCGTCGACAGTCAAGCGGTTGTTGCGCATGATGACTTCTCCGTCTTCGCCCACGATGTCGTATGCAACGCCGCCTTCTGCGGGCGCATCGTCGTCCTTGGCCTCGGCTGGTGCTGCATGGTCGCTGCCCAAAGCTTCGGCGTGCAGCTCTGCGGCAGGTACGACCCGGAGCTTCGGCTGCGCTTTCGGGTCTTCTTGCTCGAGGAACTCGTACGTGAGGCGGTACGGGCGGCCGATGATCTGGTTCGAGTTGAAGGTGCCGAACTTGCCCAGGTTGATGTTGCTATGCGCAATTAGGTGTGATTCGGAGCCAACGCGAAAAGCAGGCCTCAGGTGCTCACTGCAGCTAGTCGACGTACGTATTGGGCGTGGTCTCCACGAGCTTGAGGATGCCCGAAGGCAGGCGCAAGGCGATGTGCGTACTGGGGCGTACGTGCGAATGCATTGCGCGGCCTGTTGTGCAGTGCGTCTTTCCTCACCGAGCCATGCGCACACTCTGTGACCTCGCAAGGACTTCTGAATGCGGAGTGGAGGCGCGTATTCGAGTACGGCCGTAGGCAAGAGCCAGAATACAATAGTTTCACGGACTCGGACTTTTCAGGCACGGTCGGGGAAAACTGAATGGTTCGGCCGCGATCTGCACTTTTCCCCCCACACAGCTGTGGCGCAAAGCGGCCTGCGCCTCACCGACAAGGGCACCTAGAAGCTGGGGCCAGGTAGTCGTCATCGCCGAACTGCCCTGCCACCCAGTTGTATAACCACATGCCGCGTACACTCCGCCCCATATTCGCCTCTGCCCGCGTCGCAAAACTCACGCGCTACCTCCAGCCCGCAATCCGGCCTTCTGAGTATACAGCACGGATTCGACTGTTTGCGACACCACGTTTTCCAAATAAGCGCCAAGTTGCCAACGGAAGCGTGCGTGCCGGAGGTTGGAGCTCAACTACCCGCCCAGTGCAACCTACTCCAGAACACCACGTTCCACCATGGTGCTACGCAAGCAGGAAGACCTCGTCCCGCGCCCGCTTTCCCACGCGACGAACAACCCGCCCTATCCCACAACGCCCTCCGAAGAACGCGTACCCCAACTCCCCGCTCTCTCCACCGACCACCCGGACGTCTACTCACCAGATCTCAACAAGTCACCCGCCTTCCAGCTGAAGCCGCTCGACGAGGCTCAGAAACGGAAAGGCGATGACGATGACGACTCCGTGTATAGCGACAACGAGTGGGACCAGTCGGACGATGACACTCCCGACAACGACATCCCGGACCCGCTGAAGATTGGCGGTGGGAAGTCGATACCACCGCCAGCTACTGAAAAGAAGGACTCGCTGCCAGATGTACTGAAGGCAGGACCACCAAAAGGCATGCCCATCAGGAAGCCGTTGGAGAAGATCTCGCCCGAGCCCACGGGTGCCACGTCGTCCTCGTACGCAAGCAACGCTTCTGGGAGCTCGATACCGTTGAAGACCAACAACCCGTACCTCAAGATGCAGCAAACAGGCCAAAGCAACTTCGGTGCTGAGAGCAGCCAGCAGGTCTGGGGTGACGCTCCCGCGCAAGCCCAACAATACCCCGTGGAGCTGCCTTCATTCCAGACACCAACTACCCCAACGAACCGCATGGCAGATCTGGCTTTTAACGGCAACAGCTCTCCAGCCGTTGTACAACAAGGCTTCAAGTCGTCCACTCCGCCCCCTGCGATAGCAGTGCAGTCACCTAGCACGGCAGGCCCGTATCCTGATCATGACGCCAACACATCTTTCCACCAAGCTCCTGCGATCGACAGCTCATCCTTAGACGCTTTCGAGCAAAGCTTTGCGCAACCACATAACGAGCATACTCGGGCTGCATCTCAATCCCCGCCCACAGAACAGAACCCTTGGGACGCACCACCAGAATCTGCGGCCGCTAGAGAAGCTAGAGAAGAGCAGGAGCGCCAGAATGCGAACGGCTTCGCAGGCAGAATACAACCGCCGACCCGAGCCCCACCCGCAGCGCCGTTGCCGTTCGACGAAGAACCAGCGCCCGCACTGCCACTGCGGCCGACTCACGAAGAGCAGCCGCCGCCGATGCCACAGCGACCCCAAGAAGAACAGCCACCGCCCATGCCCCTTCGGCCGTTGGAAACGGGAGTCATTCCAACCGCAGGCACTGCTCCTGAATCGCCAAACACAGTGATGAACAGGCAACGAAAAGAGACCTACCAGATCAAGCACATTCGATGGCACGATGTCAACAAGCGCGGCATCAGGACCTCGCCGATTCTGACGCAGAATATCAATGGTCCCTGTCCTCTGCTGGCATTGGTCAACGCTCTTGTTCTTTCTACTCCAGCTGATGTGGAAACTGCTCTTGTCGAGACCTTGCGCACACGTGAACAAGTCAGCCTTGGCTTGCTCCTTGACGCGGTGTTCGACGAGCTGATGTCTGGTCGCCGGGGTGACGCTGCTCAAGAGCTTCCAGATGTGAGCGATCTATACAAGTTCCTGCTAGCCCTGCACACTGGCTTGAATGTCAACCCGATGTTTGTCCAAGACCCAGACGCAACAGACGGCACTTCGACCCTCTCTGTTCTTGCTGCACGGCCTGGTGTATTTGAGAACACGCGGGACATGAAGTTGTATAGAACATTCAACCTCCCGCTAATGCACGGGTGGTTGCCTGACCCTGGATCAGACGCATACCGCGCTTTCGATCGTATAGCTAAGACCTACGAGACATCGCAATATGTGCAATTTCAGGAGGAAGAATTGGATGCAAAGCTGCAGAGTGGTGAAGCTCTATCTACCGACGAGCAGCAGATGTTCACTGACATCCATGCAATCAAGGAATTTCTCAACCTGTGGCCGACCCAACTAACCACATATGGCCTGAAGACCATGCGCGAGACTTTGCAGCCGGGACAAGTGGCGATCCTCTTCCGGAATGACCATTTCTCTACCTTATATAAGGACACGCGTACAGGCAGCCTTGTGACGTTGGTGACAGATCAAGGTTACTCGACCCATGACGAGATTGTCTGGGAATCTCTGGTGGATGTGAACGGACAAGGAAGTGAGCTTTTCTCTGGTGACTTCCGCCCCGTGGGCAACAGCATATCACCACAGCGATCACAATTGCAGCCCCCTGTCCAGAGCATGTTGGATGCAAGCGACCATGAGGGCTGGACCACCGTGCAGCGACGCGGCAACCAGGCCATTCCATCCTCAGGCCTTGCTCCACCAGAGAATGCTGCACCCCAATCCCCTACATCGGATACAAGTAGGACGGAGCAGGAAGACCATGATCTCGCACTAGCACTGCAGCTTCAAGAGGAAGAAGACGACCGCCATCGCAGATCGCAAGAAGAGCGTCGTAGACGAGAGATCCAGCTGTCGGAAGATGCCATCTCCGCCCAATCACAACAGCGTTCGCCAAATCGACGTACATCCCGTCCAGGCGAAACACCCCCAGTCATCCCGCCTCGTCGCAACGTTCAGACTCACCGCCCGACCAACGAGCCTGTTCCGCCACCAACCTATGAGGAGGCAGCAACAGCCCCGACTTACCACCCACCGCAAGGCCATCCCGCAAACCCTGGTGCTCCGCTTCGAGCTCAGGGGAGCGCATATCAAGCGAACACTCAGACAACACCTTTGGTGAACCAAATCCCGCAACATGGGCGAATGGATTCTAGGCCGACGACGCAACACCCAGGCCGCCCTGGCAGGCGGCAGAGCGGTGTTGTGGCACCGGGTCAAGAAGATAGGGACAAGTGCGTCGTGATGTAGACGCGCAGAGTCCAGATTTTCAATTGGCTAATGCTAACTCTCTTTTTTGTTACTAGGGGCGTCGCATCGTGCGCGACGTTTTGCAGTGTCTTGTAGCTGTTCGTGAGCATTTCCCTGCAGATGATTATCCGGCGTTTGAAAGGATACCCCGTTGGTTGGAGGACAGGTCGGCGCGAATACGCTGGGAAGATATATCTCGGGACGCTTCTAGCGTTGTATGCATATTCTGTTTTTAGCAATACTCGACTATTTCGATTTGTTGCATTGAAATTGTTCAGTGCAATCCCCATTGACCTTCACTTGAATTGCACCTGCTCTCACTGCTTCTTGTTGATGCGATATTTGCGCACGCTTGAGCTGCTAGAGCTGCTCTCTCACTCACTTTCACTTCAGCGCAAGCGCCTCGCTCTGGGTATTCAAGACGGCCGACCCCAATCCTTCGGGCTTTCCTCTTTCTCTCTACAACACCACAACTGCTTTCTTCTGAGCCTCCAGCCGTACTATCCTGACACTTCGATCCTGTCCAAAATTATCCTACAACTACCCACCATGGTCAACTGGACCCCCGAGAAGCACCAGATTGTAAGCATCGCACGCGCACGTCCATCTATGCCCCATGTTGACCATTCGCAGCTGCTCAAGGAGATCTTCAGGTACTGCGACATCAAGATGAATAAGGAGCTCTGTCAGCACCTGGCGAACGTCATCGGTGAGGGTAAGTGCGATCCCAACGCAGCGTCGAGTTAGGGTCTGGGTATGCTGTGCTTTTTCGGCAGCGTAAAGCACTACTCGAGGTCTTTGGCCCAGCACCGCAACATACCCGATGATCTACAATGTCGCTGACTCTGTCACACAGGCTGCACCCCAAAGGCTATCCAGAACATCCTCTCCAACTTCAAGAATCACGGACGCGCTGCAGGTGCTGAGCGTGGTACCGCAAGTCCCACCAAGACCACGCCTGCTAAGCCCAAGTCCGCTTCAGCAACGTCCACTTCGGCCAAGGCTTCGGGCGGCGGTCGCGGTCGCAAGAAGAACGTTGACGACGATGCTGGACCGAACAACGACCTCGCCGATCCTGCTTCTCCATCTATCGTTCGCAAGAGGAGCCAGACCGCCGAAGCCGATGGCATGAACAAGAAGATCAAAATGGAGAATTCCGAGGACGACATCTACCGAGACTTCTTGGCGACCGCTGAGGAGGACGAGGCTTCGCAGTTGGAGATTTGAGTGGTGTACCTAGCTGTGAGTCGATCAGTACCGCGTTGGGAATGGTGTCTGGCGCGGAGTGGAGTGCATGATAGAATTACATGCTATCTTGGAGGGGTTTCTCTAGGATTAACTTTGCGCATGAGCATAAGCATGGGCATATGAGAGTGAATGGTGCCATTTGCTCGATGAGGAATATGTGGTTGCGCGGAATCTATACGGTGCCACGCGTAGGTAGCTTGGCTAGTTCTGTCATGGAGATAGGCTTTGGATCCCTGAATAACATATATGCACACTCGGTCGATACTCCATTGGATGTGTTGAAATATCCTAATTCACTGTGGTAGGTATAAGCATTCGTTGCCGCGGCAGGAACGGCTCGGATGCACGCCTCAAGCCATGTCGAGCACTGCAACCTCTAGCGCAGACGAGCAGCTGCGGATGTCAGCTTGATGACCAAGGTACGGCAAATCACGTCGCCCTCACTCCTAGCCCTGTACGCTCACGAGCTCCTAATAGGTTGCTTCAAGCCAGACTGCGGTTAAGGCGCCGCAAGCACGAATGCCTGGCGCTCTCTTCCACTTCAGTCTGCTTCGATAAATTCTCGATGAATCTATCCATGTTGAACATCGTCGGAGGGAGGAATAAGGCCTCCTGCATGCTGACAGCTGATTGGCCAACTGGCTAACCTTGAGAGCGGGTAAAGGCTATTTCACTGCAATTTTAGCGTGCGCGAGGGGTGCGCTGATTGGCTGGAAGGGGCTGTGTAAGTGTAGGGGCTGCGAGTTGATAGTTAATTCCTGCGAAGTGAGGACAAATCCAAGTTGACAATCTCCCCGTTCCAGCATTTCTACGCAGCAACTTCAACCTCCGCCGCCATTTCCTCCATCTGCGCCGTAGCATCCGCAGTCCTCACCCTCTCCTGCTGGCGCCAAGTCGCATAATCCGTATACCCCCTCTCCCTATCCTCAAACGGCCCATAAAACCTATCCCGCTCATACATGGTGAAGCTCTTGCCTAGTCTCAGTCTCTCCACGAAATCCGGGTTGCTCGTGAAGTAGCGGCCGAAGAGCAGCGCGTCGTACTCGCCGGATTCAACGACGCCCTCGCAGTTGGTGTCATTCCAGCCTCCCGCCGAGAAGACGGGCGTGTCGCCTAGGATCTCGCGCAGGAATCTGAGGTTGATGGTGGAGGGGTCGAGGCCCCAGGAGCTGATCATCTTGTCTTTTTCTGCGACAGAGTGGATTTGTTCGTAGCGCTAGAATTGGGGTCAGCTATATTTTGAATGCTGGGTCTGTTCGACAGAAAGTCAACAGTTGGAGTACCCTTGGTCAGTTCATGGCCCTGGGGTAAAGCACTGTACTCCGAACTTTGGCACAGCATTGTGCAAGAAATGTCACTCACCGGTTCTATCAGTGAAACATACGACATCTTCGGCAGCTTCTCCTTCAGCTGCTTGCAAAGGAAACTCCACGTCTCGATCCTCTGCTCCCCTCTCGCCTGATTGAAAAGCCCAAACGGACTCAGCCTGATAGAACAATTCTCCTCGCCCACCGCCTGTGCAAGGCCCTCCATCAGCTCAAGCACAAAGCGACACCGCTTCTCAGGACTTCCTCCGTACTCATCAGTCCTCTTGTTGATATTTGACGAGAGAAACTGCTCAGGGAGGTACCCATTTCCGCCATGCACCTCAACACCATCGAAGCCCGCCTCCATCGCCATCTTCGCGGCATTGCAGTAATCGTCAATCGTGCTCTTAATATGCTCCTTCGTAAGCTCGATCGGTGGGTGATCGGCGTACAAGACAGGTCCCTCATACCCAGGCGGTACTCGTCCCGAGTCTCCCTCCATCGGCACCACCGACGGCGCAACCGCAGGCTTGCCCGAAAATGGCTCCGACGTCGTGCGTCCCGCGTGCCAGAGCTGTGCATAGATGTACCCGCCTTTCGCATGGACAGCCTCAGTGACGAGTTTCCAGCCGGCGAGATGCGCGGGGTGGAACAGCCCAGGGACGCCGGACATGCCGTTTCCTTCCAGGCTGGGAGTGATGCCCTCGGAGATCAGGAGGCCGCCGTCGGTCGTCCGCTGGTGGTAGTACTCTGCGACTAGGGAGTCTGGGACCCAGACTCTGTTGTAGTGTCCGGGCTCATCTTTTTGAAGAGGCAGGCAGCGGTTTCGTGTCAAAGGGGCGAGGACGACGCGGTGCTTCAGTGTGATTTTGCCATTTGCAATGGAGAGGGGGGAAAAGAGCTTGTCGCTCGCTCTAGATGAAGTCGTCATCTTGAGTCAACTTGTCATTCGTTATTCTTGAATAGCAAATTGAAGATCTGAAATATAGAAGGGACGCAAGCTGTTTACGTTTGCCGAGTCTGCCCTAGGCTGTAAAAGCGGGGATCAAGTCTCGTCGACTGGGCGTAGGTATATACACCCTGGTGTTACCGACGAGACTTTGCGAGCGCGAATTACGGGACGGCCAAACCTTGGTGTTTCCATGACTGCAGGGCTGTTCTAGGGTATTTGTCTAGTCTAGTAGGCGTATCAATGTCAACCGATATTCACCGTCAGACGCTGATTGCGTAACCCTTTCGCATTCTTCAAAATCTGGCCGAGGTATCGAGGAACGTTACTGGGTTGGTATCTTGGCTGTGGGGGTGGTGACTTTATCAGTATCCACTTGGCACGGGAGCGTTGTGCCGAAAATCTTGACAGGACGTTTCGGCAGACCTGAAATCTACCGATAGCGTGCGGAAGCAGACAGCCGGTCACGCGTACCCAAGATACTGAAATATCAAAGTCTACAGTAACGCTGAGAGTGTTTGGGGCGTTATTGAGACGACTAAAGGAACTTGTGCACGCAGCTTCCGGTGCTGAGTGATGGCTAGAGTATGTTGACGCCTGGCCAAAATCGTAACTTCCATATCCTCGATGATAGGTGCATGGGTGGCTCTGCCCATGTGTAAGGAAATTCCATCGTCGAATTCCAACACACATAAAACGGTTCTATGGTGAAGTGGGAAAGGTAAGCCAAATGGTGGAACACTTGAGCCCCTTATAATGAAAAGAATAGTGTTGGAACATCGTATAATACTGCGCATTTCAGTGTAATCTCAGTACATTTTGCTAGCCTCATCATCTCCCGATGATGCGCTTCTCCAAGAACCTTGCTGGGATATATACCAGCGCTGTAATGACGAAAGTGAACTCGTTGGCAATGTCACCGCCGCCATCTCCGATGAGCTTACCCAAAGGCCCCACATACCATGTTTCTACCATTCCCATCACCCAGGCAATTATCCCGATAGCGAAAGCTACACCAGCCGCGATACCAACCGGCAAACGTTTCGGGTCATTCCAGGCATCGAGATCATAGTTTGCGAAGTTCATCTTCCGGAAGATGACGTGTTCGCTGAACAAAATGACAAAATATTGAGTGCACCAGTACCCAAGCAAGCTGAGGAAGTTCTGAAGATAGGTGTTCAGCTTCTCGCGGCCACCAACAGCCAACCCAAGAATCGCGGCAAAGCACAGGAAGATCCAGATAAAGCGCGGTACTCTGGCGAATGGACGGGCGAATTGTTGGCAGGAGATAGCAGCGCTATAGATGGAGATGACATTGACGTTGATACCGGAGAGGACGAGCAGGGTGAGAATGAATTTTGCAAAGCCTCGTGGATGGATCATGGTCTGGATGAGGAACCCTAGTCCATCGTTTTCGTAAACTTCTCTCCAGTCGGGTCGGTTGTTCAATCCGAAAGAGACAACACAGCCTGCAATCATGCCAATTGATGTTGGAATGGCAATTCCGAAGGTTGTCATCAGGAAGACTTTAAGGCGAGAGACGTTCACTGGGTAGTGAACATAGTAGTCCGATGCCATGGTTTGCCACGACGCGGAGCTACCATAGACGATAGCAATCAGACTTAGTACCTGACCGCTGAGATTTGCTCCTTTGAGTTCGGTGTGCGTCGAGTTGTCGGTGTATTTGCCGGTCATTCCAAAGAAGATCATGAAAATAATGAAGAATACGAACCACGCATAGCGTTCGTAGATCAAGATAGCCTTCAGACCGATGAATGAGATGATAGTGGCAACTACTGCAAGGATGACTATGCCGACGATCAAGGAGATATGGCCATCCGCGACAGCAGTCAATGCGAGCCCTCCTGTGATACAAGCCACAGAAGCCCATCCAATCTGCACAATGGTGTTGAGAGCCGCAATAACCTGTCAATGATTAGAATTTCCTTGTTGCACTCCTCGTTCTAGAGAATTACCTTGTTAGGCCACCATCCGAACGCGTAACGTGACACGGATATCTGTCTGAGGCCAGTGGGAGCACCAAAAGTGGCTGCGAAACCTGTCGCAGCTCCACCCAAGATAGACGCAAAAATGGTGATGACAATCGACTGCTTAAGAGTTAATTTAAACTCCCAGCCGAGAAATCCAGTCGCGAAACAGGACGTGTTCATGGTTCCAGAGGCCCAGAGGAAAAACATTGTAAGTTCGTGGTGCCATGGGACGGCTGCCTTCTCCTCGGGCAGCTTCCGGGTGATGGCATCAGATTCAATGCCCAACTTTGCGTCCATACTGGATTCGAAAGCACGCAGTTCGGCCAAAATTCCACGCTCAGACTTGACGGTGGTGTTGCCGAGGTCCCCGCTCGACAGCGAAGAGCTCGTCGCCTGCTCGCCGACTTTCTCCGCCGACATTTTGGCAACGCACAATGGCTTCTGATGTGGGAGATGTACAATGGGGGGTTGCAACGCGACAAAGGCGCAGAGTGTAAAGAATGGACAGAGGAAAATTCAGTTGCATTCTATGCGGCTTTAAAGTCGCTGCCGGTCATTGGGCACCGGCAGGTGTTAGTCGGGTAGGAGCTTCTTCATTCTGTCTAGTGCTAAGCCTCGCCCCGGCCTCTATCTCCACTCTTATCTTTCTCAAGCTTTCTTGGGCGAAGCTTGGCATCCAGCTGGCGCGTTCAAGCCACGCGGTGTGTCGGCTTTCGAGATCCAATCGCAATCGCCTGTCGCGTGTTCGTGCTGTTCATCTCCGGGAGTGTTGATTCGCGTATGAGTTGCGCAGGTTATCTCTGACAGACGGCCTCTCCGGATTTCGCCTATGCACGGCAGAACACCGTCCCACACGACATGACCTGCCGGAAACAGTGCGCTTACTGTGATTGAATACTTCGTATGTAATCCCCGCAGCTACTATTAATGGGCCGTATTCGCCCACAATTGCATCTCAATCCTTCACGAAGCACTCTTCGGCTTCTCATCCACCTGATCGTAAGTTTCCTCCCCTACCACGCTCTCGCTCGGCGAACCTTCCGCATAAGTGTCTCTCTCCCCATCGAAGAAGCCATCTCGGCCATTCGATGCCAGATACTCCCATGTTACAGGGATGTCCTCGAATCCAACAGGGAAAATCCTCGGCTTGCGAATCTTGATAAGAATGAAGTAGACCACTCCAGCAGTGGTGAAGGTCAGGATCCATCCAAGCTTATACATGTCTTTGCCGGCTTGGGGCACGAGCTTGGGGTTGTATGCAGCGACAAGGCCAGGCATACCCATGACTGTGCCTGCGCACCACTACGAGGAGCAGAAGTTAGCTAGTGCAAATCCACTTTACCATCGAAAGTACGTACAGCAAAGATCCCGGAGATGTTGACGCCGCTCGTAAACCAATAAAGGTTTCCGCGTGAAGCTCTGTAAAGCGATGGCACATGGATGTTGCCTTTTCGCGCGAAACAGTAGTCGACTATGATGATCTACGCTTCTCGTTAGCCACTTGACGACGTACATCCTGGAATCTGCCACCTACAGCACAAAGTGGAGCCATGAAGATATTGTAGCTTCCCAAGAAGGTGATGAAGGTTTGTGCAGTAGCAATAAGCTTCCAAGGCACGATTGCGAACCCTAGGAATGCACACAGCACCTGGCCTCTCCGGATTGTGAGATATTTCGGGAATAGCCCTAATCACGCACCGTAGTCAGTATCTCATCGATCATTTGCACATGCCTTTTGAACTAACCGGTCATGTCCGCACCGAACGGGATCGAATTTGCACCCAAATTGACTCCGAACACACTCAAGAGGTACGAGAAGGAGACGAGGAAGATACCACAGCGGGCAGCGGGCGTCCAGTTGTGGTCCAGAATGGCGTCGTCTATGCGCGGGCACAAAGTTAGCACAAGCATAATGATTGGGATGGTTACGGTGCAGCCATGTAAGAGATATGGCCACATCGTGTGGGGTGCTACCCACTGAGATCCCACATATTCCAATACGCCACGCCATAGACGCCTTCCATGGAGCTGGTGGCTAGGAGGCCAAGCGCAAGTATCAACACCTTACTGAAGAATACAGACACGCCCTGCAAGTATCCAGCGTCGCGAGGCTTCTTGCAGTAGCGTGCCAGGTCGGGCTGGTTGACTAGCATAGGAGAGAGCGTGCCCATGATAACGTTGATTCCACTCATGATGGCCCAACCTGGTGTTGTCCCTGCTCTCACTGAAGCTCCCGCAGCACTCTGGGAGTTGATATCCCGCACGCCACTGCCGTGAGCCATGCACCAACCGAAAAGACCGAATGTCGCAAAGGGCATGATAAGACCCTTGAAAGTGAAAAAGGTGTGAATGCGACGGGGATGGACAAAACACTGTTGTCATTCAGTTATCTGCATATATTATACTTCACTAGGAGGAGTATCGGAACGCCTGAACTTTTGACTCGGTGATGTAAGGAGAATAGGGGAGAACTTACGAAGGGAAGCTCCAATATCCATACCAAGAAGAAACAGAGGAGCTGCTTAGAGGTTACATCTGCTGATGCAGGCAGCTGGTTCTCCCAGTTGTCCCACCGGTGCCCGAAAATACACTTCAGGCATGTCGACATCAGGTTAGCACCGTAGTATGACTGAATTCCGTACCAGATCGCTCCAACAATTGCTCGGATGAATACAAAGAACATGGATCCATAGAAACCCATGACTGAGCGACACAGTACGGGATAGCCGATGTGATAGCGAACGCCGGGCCTCGCCATTCCGACAACGACCAGGGCGCTGATCAACGAGCCAATGCAGCAGGAGATGAATGCTTCCTGCCATGTGAGGCCGACAGCGATGAGAGACGCCGCTGCATTCCATCCCGCAGTGCCAAAAGCAGTCGATCCCCAATAGAGTGGGAGGTTATACCAGGTCCATGTTCTTTCCTCTGGAGATGTTGGTTCGAGACTGGAACTTCGTTAAAAACCTGGAATAAGACGGGATACTTAATCCTTACTCTTTGTTTGACCATCTTGGATCGCCAATCATAGTCGTCTCGTTGCCATGTTTGTTGGTCGTCTTTAGCGAGTCAAGGAATGCCTCCTTTGAACGGAACCTGGATCCAAAATCTGGAATTTTCGGGAGATGCATAATCAAAGATCTTGTTCAGTTTCTCACACATACGAACGAGGTATGGGAAGAACAAAGATACATATGCTTGATTCTGTGTTATCGATCTATACAGTGCTACACCCTCTAAGATGAGCAAGCGCAGTTCCAATCAACGCCACAACTAGCTGGATGTGCACGAAACAGGGCCCAAAGCGACATGTCGGTTGTTTTTGGGCCGATATGTTCATACATGTTCCGCTCCTGATGCTGGCAGCTAGATGCTGACCTAAGGTGATAAGAAAGGCATGGACCTCCGCACTTTCGGAAGATAAGGATTGCTTGGCTGCAGAACAATCCTGTCATAATCATTCCAACTGCCAGCCCGCATAGCACTGAAGAAGAACGATGAGCTACCCTTGGGTTCATTGAAGTAAAAATTCACTCGAATTCGTGCTGGGATCCCGTGAAGTTGAAAGATTCGGGAGGTTGATGAGGCTGAGCTGGTCAAAAAGTTACGAGTCAGGTTTACGCCGCCCAATCTACCGACCTGCATCCGCCGTTCAGCGAACTATCACAATCTGGGGACGGCCGATCGGAACTCGGTCTGGAGGGATCGCCCTGTATCCTTGGTACATATTGCGGGGATAGATACGGCAATGCCACGTGAGGCGGCTATCTGTCGGGCTTCCGACGTTCGGATGGAGCAAGCCGATAACGAGGACTGAGAGATGCACCTCATCTTTACTTGCAGTCGTAGTGATGCTTCGTCCTGTCAAGCCTCAATATCGGTACACACTGCCCGAGAAACCCGCGCACAATGGAGACCTCTGTATCGGCTCGATCACCTCAATCCGGCGCTCGACAACCCAGTGCTCCTCGGCGAGTCCGTGCAGCTCTAGCTTGCCAACGATGTAAGGGCCGCAAGCAGAAAGTAATTCTCCGAGTGCACGTTCAATTGAAAGTGACATCTGACAAGTCGATAGTGTGAAGGTGGCCAGCCGTCTTGTAGATCATGTATCAAAGCGGGTATCACTTGTGTATATGAGCCTACACTGAGACCTCGCTACCCTGGAGGCAAGATGCTGTACGATATACTATCTCTTTTTCAAGACGCCGTTGATGCCGGGCAGATATATTAACGCGCTTGAGGAAAGGATCGCCTTTCTCGAGGCACAGTTGCCTGAGCATAGGCGTGACCATTTTGGGGGAGCGGAAGACGCCATCAGCCCAAGTCATCCACTCGACAGTAACAATCCATCATGTGATGGCATGCGAGCCGAACATTGCATTGAGGAAGAGGATTCAACTGTTGTAGACGGCGTGGCTTACCTCTCTCTTTGTGCGTCAGGCACAACAGATGCTGCTCCAGAGCCCTTCTATATGGGGTCAAGCTCAGGAGCAACTATTGCTCGCCTTATCCAGTCTGCTATCTTCAATGGCAGGAAAGCTTCAAGTGTGTCAGCACAGCGAGAGACGCTCCGCTCTGATAGTGTGAGCTCATTCGGCTCATCGATACCAACACCTTCCTTCGTAAACAGGTTCTATCCGTACCCGCAACCTGCTCAGGCCCAGCGTTTATTTTCTGTATTTTTCAATCGCATGCACACCAAATGGCCTATATTGGATCGTACCGTGTACGAGAAGGTGTACGAGCGTCAATACGATCAAGCTTCGCTCCCGATCATTGAGAGATGCACCCTTCATCTCATCTATGCGATTTCGGCGAGATTCCTTCAGTTGACTAAACAGCAAGGAATTGACGTGGATCCCGAAGCTCACTTCGTGGCAGCGATTGAGCAGATGGACTATATTATGGAACGCCACAACACGTTAACCGTCCAATTTTTAACTTTACTAGCTGTTTACGGTCAAAGATCCCCATACGGGGCGGGTGTCTGGTCACAGGTCAGATATGCTATGACTCTTTGCGTCGAGCTTGGAATGCACCGAAAACCGACGGCCAACTCACCGCAGCGGGATCCACGCGATTTGGAACTTCGACGGCGCATCTTTTGGTCATGCTATTGTCTGGATCGCCTGACTAGTATGCTTCTTGGGAGGACGTTTGCTATATCAGACCATGACATCAATGTTGAGGTAATGCCGATGTGAGCCATAGGGGGGGCAGGAGGAACTTGGATGCTTTCGAACGGTATTCGTTACAAAACTGCCCAAGTTCATCCCACCCGCTATGACCAAGCTGTTGTGTTGCAGAAGAGCTGACTTACCGTAGCTACCTAGCAGCGACACTGCTTTCTGGGATCTTACCTCAGCTCATAGCCCTGCTGACTACGGTGCTTGTCAGAGCAATGTTATACCCTTCATTCACGACATCAAGCTTCGCAAACTCCAATCCAAGATCCAACGCACCGTCTTCCGCGTGGACATCGACCAGAGTTCACACTCTCTGGAGGATAAAACTCGCGAAGACGCTGAAGTAGAGTCGATTCGCCATGAACTCGACACCTGGGTGAACTCGATCCCGGTAGCAGCATCCTCCGCGGCCCAAGACGAAGCGCGTTGGATGTATGAGCCAGAGGCTAATGCAGACTCTGATTCATGCAACTACTTCACATTGCAGTATCATAAAGCCATTCTCTCTCTTTACACCAATGTTTTACCTACACTATCCGTGGATGATCATCGCTTCAGTGCTTGTGCACAGTCCGCAGCGCGGATGTGCTCGACATACAAACGTCTAAACCAGCTAAAGGTGCTCTCTTTCACCATCATTGCTCTTCACTCCTGCTTCGTTGCTGGGTTGACTCTAGTGTACTGTCTCTGGCGAGACAAGAGGCTGTTCAATTTTGAAATTTTGGAGGCGACAAGATCGTGCAGTCAATGCCTCACAATCTTTGGGGAGAGGTGGCCTGGAGCAGCCAGATACGGCGAAATCTTCGAAACGTTACAAGGCAGCGTCATCCGCGCAATCATGGAGCCGAAGCCTAGCAGGAACCTCGGAAGGGACCTTGACATGCTGGTGGAACCCGCCGCAGCTAAGGCTGGCGCTCCTAACCACACGGATCCACTCTTGGGCGCGGTCAAGGACGTTTTCATGGAGGTTGACGAGGATGTACCGGGCGGAGGCCAAGGTTGGCGCCTGTTCACCGAGATGGTCCAATCAGATATCCAGGTGCCAGAGTTGATGGCGGGAGAAAGATGCACTGTCGGAACAACAACGAGGAATGACTTCACAACGCCAAATTGGAGCGACGGAACTGCTAATCCGCTAAGCAGTTTCGACGAAGCAATCGGAGCTGAACAAGGTAGCCTCGGGGACCAAGGGCGATGGGACCATGGATTCTTTGCAGGCTACGATTGAAGTGAGCTTGTTTTTTTATTGAAATTGATTGAACTGCATATTTAAAGCTAGTCTAAACCTCATGTCATCGCTTCTGACTACGCTAATTGTCCCTTCTTGTACGGGTACTCCTTCCTGAATGCCTCTGCAATCTCGGTCCTCGTAGCTACCCATACTCCTTCCTTCTTTCCAATCTCCTCAACAAACCTTTTCAAAGCGGCAAACCGACCAGGTCTTCCAATGATACGGCAGTGCAGTCCAATCGTCATCATTTTTGGCATGCCCTTTTCACCCTCCTCATACAGCACATCGAACGCTCCCTTGATGTGATCATAGAAACCGGCAGGGTCCCTGAATCCAGATCCCACAACGTGGAACTTGAAGTCGTTGCAATCATAAGAATAAGGAAGCATGAGCTGACCCTTCGGCTCTGCAGAGTCTTTCTCGAAGTTGACGTCCGTCCAGTAAGGAATGTCGTCCGCATAGGTGTCAGAGGTCCAGATGAGCTCTTCACCCATCTCTTGATAGACCTGTGGGACAAGAGTGCGGCTGTGTGGCGAGTTTCGACCATAGTACCAGCCTTTGGGTGCGTACCCAGACAGTGACTTTAGTGATTCGATGCATTTTTTTATGTATTCCTTTTCCTTGTCGACCGGAAAATCGTGGTAGTCGACCCAGCGGTAGGCACTAAGATGTGTCAGTTTCTGAGCCTGCTGCATAACTGACCGCAGGCAGATTTCACTTACTGACTCGCAATCTCATGGCCCTCATCGACGCAGCGCTTTACAACAGATGGGTTCTCCTCTACAGCTTGAGCTACAGCATAAAGAGTAAACTTCATCTTGTTGTCATTGAACAGCCTGAACAGCCTCCAGAAGCCAGCCCTGCTGCCATACTCATACTCGCTTTCCACACTAACATTTCGCTCGTTCACACGGAGACCACCTAAAGGGTTTTCGCGCAGGTTTTGCTCCGCAATTCCATCGCCTGCCATCACAGACCTTTCACCGCCCTGCAACTTACTTAGCATGTACTCAGCGTAACGAGTAGAATATCTCCGAGCATCCAAACATACCTCTTCGTAGTTGATAACAAAGGACACGGCAATCTTTGCGCTGTTGGGCCATTTCGGGTTGAGACCTTCTTCCCCGTAGCCCTGAAAGTCACGGGGATAATCGTACTCTGGATGGGGAGTATAGGCAGGAGGCATGATTGAGGACTGAGACAAGTGGAAGTGCTATGAAGAAGTCCAAGATTGTTCTGATCAAAAGCTCGTGGTACAGAAACCAGAGCAAGAAACAGTGGTATCCTTATAGTCATCTCTCCTCGCTGCTCAATTCGGCAATCCGAGATCGGTTCCGCGATTTGGTATTTTCGAGCCCCATCGTTGCTTATCGCACAGGCTGTACCAGCGGATGTGAGGTCCTATCACAAATGCGTCGGAGCAACGTTAATCAAGGTACTGACAAGGGTATCGGCTCAGTTGCAGCAAAGCCGACGGCGTAGGCGTGCTGATAAGCCAGCGGCGACCAAGGGTGCATGCATCCGATCTGCTCGAAACAATGCCAATCAGACTGCGATGTGGCCCACCTCACTATGCACCCCGCGTTTTGATGTTGCAGTGTACGTCGTTAGGTGAATTCTGGTGTGTGCGCGGGCAATTCGTCGTGATCGAATCGTTGTCTCCCACAAAGTGCGAGACTCCGAACGACAAGAGAGGCATGGATCATACTTAAGAATGGCAATGACTGTCTCGATTTATATAAAGGATGCGCTATGCCATCATACACCATGATATGCTAAAACACCTGGAAGAAACTTAAGTACAGTGAGATACCCTCGAGTAGTAAAATACCGTTTCAGCCAATTGCGCGCAATCAAACACAACGAGTACGCTGTGGTCACCAGATAATGATGTTTTAACTGTCCTCACATACCACCAAAATGGGAGCCTACTCCAAACTATTCCTTTCGTAGAATGTTCGCTCTTTTAATCGCCATTTGCTTTTTCTTCCTTCGATGTTTCTAGCACTTCCTCAACAGAAGAAGGTGCCCTCTCATTGCGCACTTCGACTTTGTCCGTCGTCGTCGGCTTTACCTTCAGGCTCGTGTTTCCAATCCAAGCACACAAAACCAGATTTGTCGCTGCAGAAGCGGCATATAGAATGTATATGTATCGGATACCAACAACGTAGGTATCAAGTACAAGGTCCATCTCTTCCCTCTCAAATCCTAATTTGTCCAAGGAGTAAGTCGACGAAGTGAGATTCTGAAGAATCTCTGGCGTCATGAACGGAAGGTGTGACAACCGCGTGTCTAATATATTGGCGAGAATGGCTCCAGAAATGATTAGGCCGAATGCGCCGCCGATGGTGCGTATGAAATTGCGAAGTCCAGTGGCAACAGCACGATCCGAGTTGCTCCCATTTGCGAGAATGGCAACGAGTGTTGATTGCAGGATGTTGCCGATGCCCATTCCCTCGACTACAAGCACAAGAACAATATGCCATATCTTGGTGGAGCGGTTGAAGGCACATTTGAGACCTGTGCCCAGTGTCCAAAGGACGAACCCTGACACACAGATCCACCGATAGCGTCCACGTCTTGACATGATCTGGCCACTGACGATTCCAGTGAAGGAAGTTGCCAAGATAAGTGGGAGAAGGAGCGCGCCCGATACCAAAGCTGATAGTCCTAGGACGGATTGGAAGTATATGGGTAGGTAGAAGAAGTTGCCAAAGAAGCACATGCCCGTGAAGAAGTTTTGTGCATAAAGCGACCAGCAGTACGGATATTTGACGAGTCGAACCGGCATGATAGGGATCTCTGCAATCTTCCATTCGTACAGTACGAAGGCTACAGCAGTGCACCCGCCTACAACAAGCATTGCGATGACAAGTGGTGAGTCCCATGGGTACTGGACGCCTCCGCCGGACAGTGGAATAAGAATGAGGAGGACAGCGGCAAGATTGAGGAAGATACCGCCGTAGTCGATTTTCTTGACTTTTTCCTTGTAGTTCGCTCTTTCGTACTTTAAAGGTAGAAAGAAGAATATGAGAAGCGCGGCTGGTACAGCCAGCATTGGCACTATCCAGAAGACCCAGTGCCAGGACACAGAATCGACCAAAGCACCACCGACAAATGGTCCAGTACCATTTGCTAGAGCGATAACGGCTCCAAAAATGCCTAAACTCTGCTTAATTCATATCTTGAACCGTTCAGAGACGACTCACCTTGATATTTGCCACGATCTTCAATAGTCACGATATCGGAGACGATGATCATGGCGAGACTGTTGATGCCACCGCCCCCAATACCGGCTATAGAGCGAAACGTGAAGAGCATCCCTTGACTGCGTGAAAAACCGCAGCCAAAATCTCCTATCGCCAGCAGAGCTAAGCATAGCAAAAGGCAATTCTTTCTTCCAAAAATGTCGGAAAGTCGCCCATTGATGAGCTGGAATGCGGTCGATGAAACCAAGAAGGAACTCCCAATCCAGGATGTTGCCGTTCCCGTGTTGAGGGCAGCTGATATTGCCGGGATTGACGTAGACACACTTGTGCTGTCGATGAATGACACGAAAAGTGCAACAGACAGAGCCGGGATAGCAATCACTAATCGCTTGGGTGACAGAGCGTTCGTCTGGCCGCCTATGCTGCGGATGCTGCCCGCATCTCTGTCTGCTTCGGAATGCACCGAGTCGGATTCTTCCCTGTGTGCAGCCTCTTTTGTTGCTTGGTATAGCTCTTCATCTTGGGTTCGAGGGGAGCCTTGCTCAATATCTAATGCCCCTTGTACTTTTTCAGACATTGCGCCCAGCAGAACGTTGGATCCTCACAATGCCCACGGTTTATCGCAACCCACGGGGGGAGTATCTGTCGTATCGAATACCTAGGCTGTGTAGAGATCTCTGAGAGCAGCAGGGACACAGTGGCCTGCGCGATGTCCCGCACTGCTCAGTGAAGAGAATCCCCATTAGGAGTTCGGCAGAAATCCTTCCGATGCAAGGCAATGATGCGATGATGCCGAAGTCGTGAATTTGGGGGAAGGCGCACCCACCCCATGTTTCCCCACAATTTCTTCGGCACCTGCGCATTTCGGCGCACCCAACCGGTACAGCCCGTATCGATAAGATGGCAAGCATCTATTCCGGCAGCGTTCCGACCGGCCCTCATTCGTCTGACAAAGATGTGGTATTCATGGGCGGCATGGCTTTTCTGCCCGACATGCACCTTATCATCGCGTAGCCTGGTGCTGCACCGATCTGTCCTCTTCATAATGCCTTCAAACCCAACTGCTTCATATGCAAGCGACGATGGAACCCTTCCGACTCACAGCATCGCAGGCGCAGGCCAAGTTCAAAGATGGCAGCTTGACCGTTGAGCAGTATGCACAATCACTCCTTGATCGTGTTGCAGCACGAGATTCTACGGTGAACGCATGGGCGTATCTCAACCCAGAGCTCGTCTTGGAACGTGCGCGCGAGCTTGACGCCATACCGCCCGAGAAGAGAAGCCCACTACATGGAGTAGCGATTGGCGTCAAAGACGTGATACTCACGAAGGACATGCCAACTCAGTACAACTCTCCCATCTACGTGGATGATGCACCTAAGATCGATGCCGCCAGCATCCAGACTTTAAGAGCAAATGGTGCACTCATCTTCGGTAAGTCACCTCTCGATACATCTGGATGTATCCGACAAGAAGCATCCTGAATGGCGTCTCTTACCAGGTGGCAAACTTTTGGCTTACCAAGTCACAACAGGCAAAACCACCACCACCGAATTCGCAGCCACGGTCGTCGGCCCCTCCCACAAAGGCCCCAAAACCACCAACGCCCACAACTCCAAACGAACACCAGGTGGCTCCTCCTCCGGCTCTGGTGCGGCAGTCGGCGATCTGCAAGTCCCCATCGGTCTCGGCACGCAGACCGTTGGCAGCACCATCAGACCCGGCTCTTTCAACGGTATCTACGCCATGAAGCCCACGTGGAACTCGATATCGCGCGAAGGCCAGAAGCTGTACTCGCTCATCCTCGACACGCTGGGCTTATATGCGCGAAGCGTGGAGGACCTGAAATTGCTGCTTGATGCGTTCCAGCTCGTCGATGACGAGCCTGAGGAACCTTTTACTCTGAAGGGCGCGAAGCTCGCGCTTCTCACGCTGCCTACACCAGAGTGGCCTGAGCCCGGGCCAGGAACGGCGGCGGCGTTGAAGAAGGGAACGGAGTTGTTGCGTGCGCACGGTGCAGAGGTGGAGGAGATCACGCTGCCTGATGAGTTCCGGTCCATGTACAAATATCACCTGCAGGTACTGTCGGGTGACGGGCGCGTAGCCTTTCTCGCTGATTACTACGGGGCCAAAGACAAAATGCACGGGAGTCTAATCGACCATGTCGAAAACAAAGATAAGCACACGCGGCAGGACCAATTGAAAGCGTTCGATGAGCTGGCAGCCATGCGGCCGAAGATCGATGCCTTCGCTTCGAAATATTCTGCTATCGTAGCTCCAAGTGTATTGGATGAAGCGCCTGTCGGACTCGAGAACACAGGCAGTGCAGCGTTCTGCGGGCCTTGGACAGCGATGCATACTCCTGTCGTCAATATACCTGGGTTTAAAGGGGAGAATGGGCTCCCTATTGGTCTGAGTGTTGTTGCTGGGCGGTATCGCGACCAGTATCTGCTGAGGGTGTGCACGGAGATTGGTAAGGTTTTTGAAGGCGAAGGTGGATGGAGTAGATGAGATAAGTAGTATGGTTTAGGCAGTTACTGCAGTTTCGACAAAGGTTGTAAGCGATACTACTCTGAACGGTATGAATGGAAGTTAACTAAGAGCCATGATGCGGGTATTAAGATGAACAATAGTGCTGGATAACCGCCTCTGTTGCGTAATCAAATGCCAACCGCCCCGAACGACCAAATATGAATCTTATGATAACTTGGGGACACAGAATATCAACAATATGCCAATCGCGAGTCTTGAGTGCGACTGACCGACTGTCACCTTGTTGACTCTGAATCCTCTTGCTCCAGGCAGCTGAGCAACAACTCAACTAGCAGCTTCCGATCTACTGGCTTGGCGATGTATCTTGACATGCCCTTCGCGATATAGCTTTCGGCTTGGCCTTTAAGCGCATTGGCCGTCATTGCCACGATTGGTACGTCTAGTCCAGCGGCTCTTATCTGCTTTGTAGCTTGTACACCGTCGAGAAACGGCATGCTGACGTCCATTAAAATCAGGTCGTATGCTGGTTTCGCATTCGTTGCCATCATAACCGCCTCGTTTCCGTCCGTAGCGATGTCGACGCGATTGAACCCCATTCCGACGAGAATTTTGATCATAACCTTTCTGTTGATGGCATTGTCCTCTGCAAGGAGCACGCGTCGTTCATTCGCCAGTATTCTGAGCCTGTTCAAAGCTGGAGTAGGCGAAGTTGACAAAGATACATTGTTCAGTCTGTTCTGTATGAAATCCAATTGGTTTGAGTGCTCGACTCGTTTTAGCTGGGCGGTGAACCTGGACATGCATCGTCAGCGTGGGTTAACGAATATTCGGACAACATGGAACCTTGATTACTATGTCTCCTGAACAACACCCTGCCAATTTCCCAAGATACAAGTGATACCCAGATTTGTGACATAGCGCTAGGCACGGTATTCCACGGAAAGCGGTAAAACCCGCGACATGCGTATGTTGCCCGAACTCTGGTTTCGGGCACCACTGTGTAATCCCAAGCGAAGGAATGCGGCGCCTGATCGTTTCACATCTTGCCGCGAATAAGAATGAAAAAAAGAACACATACCAGAACACGCTCCCTGTTCCTTCGGGGTTGGGGCGATAGCCAATGTTCCCACCCATAAGCTCGACGAGGCTTTTACAAATGCTGAGACCAAGGCCGGTGCCCTTATATCGTTTTGTTGCAGAATTATCAAACTGAGTGAATGGCGTGAAAAGTGATTTGGAAGCTATGAGAGGAACTCCTATGCCTGTGTCTATGACCTCTATTAGCACGGTATGTTTAGTGTCGTCTTCATGTTGCTGCGTCGCCCGTAATCGTATGTAACCTTGCTCTGTGAACTTGGACGCGTTGGACACGAGGTTTTCCACAACCTGTCGATATCGAATATTATCGCCTTCCGCAGCAACTGGGAGTTTTGGATCAATATATTTCTCAAGTGTGATGTCCGCTTTGATGCTTTTCTGGTGCGCGCGGAAGACTGACGAAATGATATCGGGAACGCTAATGATGTCGTGACTGATCGAAAAACTGCCGGAGGCCAGTTTGCTGTAGTCGAGAATGTCATTGATGACATGAAGTAGCACCTCTCCGGACTCCTGTACTATACGCGTCAAGTCCAGTTGCTCAGGGTTCAGCTGGGTGTCGAGAAGAAGTGTCAATGCAGACAGCATTCCATGCATTGGCGTACGGATTTCGTGACTCATGTTGGCTAAAAACTCACTTTTGAGCTGTGAAGCCTCCTCGTATGCGGCAATCAGTTTTGACTCGGCTTTCTTGCGCTCACTCAAATCCCGTGTGATTTTGCTGAATCCTAAAAGCTCACCGTCTTTATACACGGGGGTGATCACAACATTTGCCCTTCGAAAGTCAGCCTGAATAAAACACATACGTATCGAAACGCGGGGGGTGACGGTGTCGAGGGAAATCTAGGCAATGATGAGATAAATATCACTAGACTTAGATTTGAGTACTGCATTGCTCCTTCTAGGGCAAAACAGTGCACTCAGCTATTGACCCGGCGCTGTCAAATCAGGACGCACAATGGCGGAGACGTGTGCACGTTGTGTCGATCCCGCATAGAAAATCTGGAGATGGGATGGTAAACAGGGACTCACCAGAATCTCGACCCGTCTTTGCGAATCCGCCAGCCTTCGTCTTCACAAGCTCCATTCCTCAGAGCGTCCCGAAGCTCTCTGGCAGGTTTACCATTGTCGCGGTCTTCTTTGCTGTAGAAGTTCGAGAAATGTTTTCCGATGATCTCGCTTTTCGTGTAACCTTTGAATGCCTGGGCCCCTACATTCCATGTCGCGATGTTGCCTTGAGGTGAAAGCATGAAGATAGCATAATCGGAAATGGTATCTACTAATATTTTGAATGTTTCGTTTGTATATAGTTGTTCCTCCAGCTCAAGCTGCTTCTGATGAGCCTCGGTAGTATCCTGGACTTCCATCAGAAAGCAGCAAATCGTCCCATCGCGGATAACAGGTACGGTACGGAGGGTCCAAATCCTGTCGTCGATTGATTCGTAGAAGATCGAGGGTTCGGTAGTGTCTTGAGCAACGCGAATGCCTCTGTGGGACAAAGAATTTGAGGGAATTGTCGCTTTCGCGCTTAATTCATCGATGTGGGCGCCAAGCAGCTGCTCGCGGGTGGGGATGCTGGAGACAGAACAGTAAGAGTCCGAAACGTGGGTCACGTGCAAACTGGCGTCCAAGACAAAGGTCGGAATGGGCGTGTAGCGGAAGATGTCAAGCACGAGGTGATCGTTATCACGGCTAGCTATGACGTTTTCATGACCGTGGGGAGGCGGTTGTGGAGGGTGGATGAAAGGGCGAGCTGAACCGAACCGCAAGGGCAAGGATATGTCCATGGTGGGGAAGGAACCTCGGAGACAAGCAAGAATACTGAAGCTTCGATTTGCGCGCCTGGCGCGCGGCGGTCACAGATCGATCCTGTCCAGGGTGGAGAAAGTCGCATGATTCTCGCATGGCAGCAGGTCAGGGTTTTGAGCCCATCGTCGATACGAGGACGTTTTCGTTCTGCAGCCGCGTCTGGACGTCCGCGGCCTGGCCAGTGGCGACTTCGGCGGCTACGCTTGTCACTTAATCGAGACATTGAGCTCGGCACAGGCCGTACCTGCACCTGCATTCTGACTGTGGGCGCCGCATGGGGTCGTGTAGAATGATCCAACGGTCAGTTCTAGCAGAGGGAAGGCAGCGACCTAGATGTTGATCGCCATCTTAGGCTAACATTGGCGGACAAGGAATTTGTCTGGGGCCGAGGAGAATCAAGGCCTATGCAGCACGGACACCTTTCGCTTGTAGACCTGAAATAACGCTGGTACCACGGTGACGTCACACAGCACGCAAGGAGATACACGCGCAGATCCCTGGGGTCTTAGACTGGAGACGTTCTCAAAAAGCCCCCAAGTAGTGAGCCTCAATAAATGACTTTGTCCCTGGTCAATCATTAGGCGTAGGAGTATGACAGAGATGATTATCGAGACGAGGTCGGATAACGGAGCGAGGGGAGAATGGAAGGAAAATACAGTCTCACATTACTGGGTCACAAAGCTCAAGTCAAAGTGGTATTGGAATGGCGTGGAACATAAAATGCAATACTCAAATATTGGTAAGAGGTGATCATGTGCGCGAAGTTAAGGGCTGTCGCTCCTTGTCCTCGATGGCCACTGCATCTTCGTCCTCCGAGACCAGGCCATCGAGCTCGAACTCTTCCGCATCGCGGACTCTGCTATCGACCCGTGCGTAACCATTGGGAGCGCCATTTGCTCGTGGAGCTTCCGCGTCATTCTTGGTGTCTTGACCCCACGCATGCACGGCGTAGAGGTGAATTAACATGTTAACAACTAGGATCAGTCAGCGGAAGTGTTGCAATAGCAAAGGGAAGTTCGGCTTACAGAGGAAAAGTAGGAATGCAAGACTGTATAGGATGAAGACGTAAGACACGTGCGTGATGTGAGCGTCAGCAAGGATCTGCATCTGTTCTTCGGTGGCGCCCATGAAGAGGAAGCCAGAAGCGAACAGGAGGAAAGGAGTCAGGTATTGGAAGCTATTCGGATCCGTACCGTCCTCGGAAAGCGTGTTACGATCCTTGAGCACAAAGGATATTTCAATGATTCTCGTCAACCCCGCGGCCATAAGCGTGTAACCAAAGATGGTGTGGACCATGGTGGAAATAGGCAGATGCTGGGCGTGTGCAGACATACCCCAACCTGTCAGCAAAATGACAATGCCGGGGATGAGGTTCCTCTTTGGCCTCCCGTTCCTGCTACGGCTGAGCCAAATGCCAACTAGGCCTGCGCACCACCAGATAATACCCATGGTGGTGTGCTGCAGGTCGTTACCGACCCACGCGGAGCCCCAGCGGTGCTCGGTGAAGGTATTGACGCAGCCCCATGCCGCGATGACAAGCGAATCAAAGAACTCTTGGCTGCGTCCACTCCTCCGTAGCCAGACCTGTCCAACCAAAAGCAATATGGTAAGGAGAATGCCGTATGCGATGAATGCGCTGCCCATGATGAAATGCGCCAGACACTGGCCCATATGGTCCGCACGACAGAAACCCATTGAGGCTATGCCTCCCAACACGAACTGGACCCAGCTCACGATGGGCATAAGCTTTCCCACCCATCCGTGTGCCTTGACGACCACCTTCCTGATCTTCCCGTGAATCCCTTTTTCCAGATGCAATTTCAGGTATATTCCCATGATAATCTGGGAGAGAAGCGTGAACATGAGCGTCGGTACGAACTTGGCGTGGGCGTTGGGCGCAAACTGCCGGCCTTTGTGCTTATGGCCCAGGAAGTAACCGATGAGGGCGAGGATAGAGCCGATGGTCTGAACGGGAACATGCCATCTCGAGCGTATTATTCCCAACACCATGCCCGTGGGAAATAGTATCCCCCAGGCCACGGCCTGTACGAGAATGTGAGTCCATAGTATGCTGTCCTGCGCTCAGTCAGTCTTCGTGCCGCCAGAATACCGTATGCCAGGAGCTCACAATAGGGTCGTCGGAGATAGCACTGCCCTCTGGTATGTTGTCCATGTGGTGTTCGTGTGCGGTTACGGATGTGGCACTCAATAGCACCAGCACCCCGAAGGCGAGGCCGCGAGTCAATAGGCGCGCTGACGTCTCCATGGTGTCCGTTCACTGGGTCTCGTCTGCTTCGGAACACGTGTAGGTGGTGAGAGACCGGCGACACTCCAACGGCGAGCGTATCACTCCAGGGGGGCACTCAGGGACAAGACGGCAAAGGCCATTGCATTGAAGGATGCCGCCGACCGCGTGGCCATTCATGCATCGCTATTGCTGCTTACGTCAAGCCGCTTAGCTTCCTTCCGCTTCCGACGCCAAGCCTGACACCATCATCCCAGTCGTTCATCACAGCCAACACCTTCCTTGCTTCATCGCACCGCCTTCGCGACGGATTGCGGCGGCATCACGCCAGCATCTGCGACATGGCTATCGCGGGGCGCGTCACCGAAATTCCCGACTCCGAAGACGAGCCCTTCACCTCTTCACCTGAGGCGCTTCCAGATGGTACCGTTGGCCAGCAAGACGGCACGGCCGAAGAACGACTGCAGGACGCTTCATCTCGAGGAGGTTGCTTTCCTCCTCTCCTTGGAAATTCCGATGTAATCAAACCTTCAGAGTACACCGCAAACACGTGCAACGACGAGCAGCAAGCCGCGTTAGATGACGCTCAATCACATAATGCCGTTACACCAGCTAACCCAGAGTATGACATGCTCCATCAGTATGCAAACGAGCTCCAAATCTCTCATCGAAATGTTGCATTACTCACTGACATTCGCGACTCTTCTAACCAGCATGCAAGCGCACCTACCAACTCATCTCCCGTGCACATCTTGAACAAGCCGGAAGACGCAGCAGAAACAGCATCCAGCGGCAGTATGAAGGAACAGATCATCCCAGCTGGTGAGAGCGTCTCGAAACCCACGGTTAAAACACCATACGCAGCGCCATCTCGAACTTGTGTTATTAATGACTTCATCGCTATGGATAACGACCTGTTGACCCACGATGAACAGCCCGTCCTCCCTCCTGTAGCAGATGCCGTCTGCACTTCGTACTATGGAATCGCATCAACAGTCTCGACATTAGAAGGCGGTTTATCAGATACACAGCCCACTGGACAGACACAGACAAACCTCCTGCCTGCAGAAGGGGACCCGTTATCGCAGTATGGTCTCCCTAAGAAACCACACTCGGCCTTGTACATTGGAGAAAGCGGTATACAGAACAATAGCGTTAACTCTAGCGATACGAAAGGCCGCGGCTGTTCCTGTCCGCCCAGCCTCTCGCCAGCGGATCTATCGAGTTTGTCGAACGACCATGCTTCCAGAAGATCGATGACGACAGGCGTAGCAACGCTTGCTAACCCGGAGATACAGTCTGGAGAATTCGAGGATACCGGATCATCAAGAGTGCCCAGTTCAGCAAACGAGGACAGCAGGCAACCATCGGTAGCAAATGTCGATAGTTCGAACATCCTACGCAACATCACCATGGAGTATATTGATCAAGATTTGCCCGCGAAGTCTGTACAGCCGTCGACAACACCCAAGCAGCAGTCCTGGGTTGAAAGCGTGGGAGGGCATCATTTGGCACACCCGAGGCTCGTAATTAGCGCAGACCTTGCACTAAACCTAGGTTGGACGAAAAAGCCAGGTGAAGTCCACATCGGCGAAGCTGCAAGCAACGAAGAACCCAACACAGCACCTCTGGAAGCGTCAAACACCACTCTGCAGATGCAGAACGAAGCTCGGGGGCCTGCCGCACTCGAATCGAGAAATCAAAATAGAGGAGAGCATACTGGGTCAAATAAAGAAACCGTGCCCTCGCTGGTAGTAGAGGTGGCTGCCACCCAACCCACATTGAATGCTTTCACACAGAGTTCGTCGTCAGCAGCTTCCATTGCCGAAGACCCACAACCAACTCCAGCCAAGAGTCCACAAGAAGTCAACATCGCGGGATTAAAGGCAAAACGAGCTGCTCTTATCGCATCTCTTGCTCACTTGCCTGCTATTCAAGACCTCCTGGCATCTACCAGGAATTCGGGTGTGAACTCTTCAATGTCCGATGCAGAACCAACGGAGAGCGAGATTATGGCAGCAGCCCATCAGATCAATAAAAAACACATCAAGCTTTTGCATGAGTACAATGAAATCAAGGACGTCGGCCAAGGCCTCATGGGTCTCATCGCAGACCAGCGCGGCGAGAGGATTGTGGAAGTACAGCAGCACTTTGGCATTGATGCCAACGACTGATGATTGCGTTCCGTGATGGGAATGGGTTTTAAAGGCGTTATGGGGTTTCCACTTTTTCGACATATGATACCCAGGATCCCAGCATTTCCTTTTAGCCCATTTGATGTACAAATTCAGCTTCAGCTAGGACTTCACCAACATGGCTCATTACTTAGTGCATTTCATGCGTTGAATGCTGTCTGCACTCGAACTGGCGTCTCCCTTCCTCTCCTGTCGTGCTTTATGAATTTCAATTCGGTCCTTTCGCTTTCGCTTTCACCTTCACCCTGCGTTGTCAGTTCTAGTCCGGCGCTCACACTCTCACTCTCACCTTGCCCCACCGCATCCAATTTCTTGACCCGCCAACCCTGAACCTCTAACCCTTGTCCTCCCGCTTTCTCGCAACTCCTGACTAGTTTTGCACGTACTGAAAAACCAAACACGCAACAACTGATAATCCAGACACGCAACACCCGATTTCTTAAACACGCAACTATAGTGAAGTGGGACGCCGACAAGGACCGCCAGCTCCTCCTCGGATGGCTTTCATTCGTGAACGCCAAAGTCGAGAAAGGCCTAACAGATCATCTAGCTGCCATTATCGGTGAGGGTACAACTTCAAAGCAGCTTCCGACCTCACGTCTCTTTACTGATGTCTCACTTCTAGGATGTACAGCAAAGGCGGTCCACCGTCGCATCGAGAAGATTCAAGCTGGTGTAAAGCCAAAGGAGAAGTCCAACCCCGACACTCCCTACGCCGCGAAGACTTCCAAGGGCGTCGACATCAAAATAGAGGCTGAAGAGGACGCGAAGCCCAAGACGACAGGCCGAAAGCGGGGTCGCACCGAGAGGGAGCGGGAGAGGATGAACAAGAAGGTGAAGGCGGATAATGGAGAAGGAGAGAAAGTAGATGATGCTGAAATCCGAGAGACGTTGGCGGATGGCCTGAAGTTGGAATGCTATCTGGGCATCTGAGAAAGCTCTTGCGCTTAAGTCGTGTCACGGGAAGGGAATTTCACTCAGGCATATATGCATGCTCAATAATTTCAGCAACACTCAATCCAAGCTCAATCCTTCTTCGTCCTCAAAGGATCCCGTGCACTCTCCCTCGCCTCTTCCACCTTTATGACCCTCGCTCTCTCTTGATCTCTAACCTCAAACACCGCCGGGAACGGTAGCGGCTTCGGATTCGGCGTAGGCTCGTACTTAATATCCAGCGGGATCTCCATCTTCGTCGTTGGATCGACTTTCTTCCTGATGTTGAACGCCCACGCCAGCCGCGCCACAATGACCGTCAGCGTGCGCTCGGTGAAGTTTGCAGCAGGGCACGCGCGCCGGCCGTACCCGAAGGAGGTGAAGCCTTGCAGGCTGGGATACGATGTTAGCGGCTCTTTGTAGGTCGGGTAGGACGGGTCGAGCCAGCGGGCGGGGTTGTAAACGGGGCCGTCGGGGTAGAGTTCGCGGTCGGAGAGGATGGCGCTGGGAGGGGAAGGTCAGTGGCGAGGCAGTTCGGGGGAGCGAGGTCCTACGTACCTATAGTTTGCGTGCAGGATGGTTCCTTTGGGGATAAAGTATCCCTCGTAGAAGTCGTCTCTGTCCAGCTTGTGGGGGATGCCAATTTCAGCCACGATGGACCGGTAGCGGATCCCTTCCTTGATCACTGCCCTGACAGTCGGCAAATTCGACAGGTCCTCGAAACTCGGTAGGCGGTCCTTGCCCACTACACGGTCTACTTCTTCTTGGACCTTGCGCTGCCATTCGGGATGCTCCATCATGTTGATCGTGTACTGCATCATCGCATTGTATGGTGAGCGTGTCCCAGCACCAACGAGAGACTGAAAGACCCACGCGCCGTGCTCCTCGGTGAGATCGAACTCGTGCATGTGTTCTAAGAACCATTTCTGCAGGGACTCGGGAGCGGACCTGTTCTTTATTCTGGCTTTCAGGTCGCTTTGCACCAGGTCGATGCTACCTTCCAAGCGCGCGAGATATCTTCTCAAGGTCTTGTTCGAAGGTACCAGCCCTAATTCAAGAGTTCCAAAGTCAGTGCGAGTCAATATCAGGCGGATGGAGACTTCGTGTGGGCATCTCTGTCTCAGCTAAGTCAGAAGTAGGATACCTACAGTCAGGTGCGTGGAGCAACGGTGGCCAAATGTTGCAAGCAAAGAGGTCAGGCCGGAACGCTTTAAGAGTTTCGTCCACGCCCATAATAGATTCTTGCACAACGTAGTCGTTGAGATCCTGGACTCTGCGGCCGAGACCGACCCGGAAGACGATGCCGTACGCATAGCGCTCTAGATGGTCCGAGAATTTCTCCGGGCTAATGAGAAGGTCGTGGAGTGTGTAGATGGTTTCGAGTTCTATGAAAGGCTCGTATCGTACGGTGGCGGGTGCGGAGAGAACGGTGTGCAGGAGTTTGCGATGTTGACGCCAGGTATCTAGTCACGTTGCTTAGCTAAAGACATATCAATTGTACTCTGAATGACCTGCCAGATCTGTCCATAAGGGCCGTGACTCGCCCTTTCGCTATACCATCCGCGATAGCTGTTGGTGCGCCACGGTCTGAATAGCTGTTACCTCGTTGTACAAACAAGTCGTTGGCGGCTTTCTCAATGTTGAGCACAACTTGATTGATGCCGAGTATTTTGAAGGAGACGAGGTCACCGTATTCCCGATACCATTTGTTGAAGACTGGGATCAGTTGGCTGTCCTTGGGCATATCCAAGACATTGCCCACAATGGGTAGACCTAGGGGGGTCAGTGACGGAGCTACCATAGCAGCAGCAGCAGCAGAATACCATGCGCACCTTTGGGTCCGGGGATCTCTGTAGCTCCATTCCGACGACTCCTGTAGTTAAACGTGCTGTATATATACCACAGAGCAAATCCAGCGAATGGAAAGAGGAAAAACATGACAAGTCTGTCTATATTTCTGTCAAGGCGATCGTCGGATTGAAAAAGTTGTAAAATTATCTCTCTGCCTTGGTAGCTTGATGAAACAAGACTACCACTGGTTAGCTTCTATACTTGAACAGCAATCAGAAGTAAAGACTTTCAGAATCATAGTTGCGAAGCATGGCATACATTATATACGTTCCCCGCAAGGGATGCATTTTGATACTACAATCCTAGAGTAAGCTCGTAAGTTTCCGTAAATGTCTCCGATAGGTCCTGTTCTGTGTAGCGCCTGAGATGTGCGTCAGGTATCCCACCCTACTATGAGTTTGAGCTTACAATAAGCGCTTACTGAATCTCGGGTGAACAAATGCCCGCCCAACCTGTACCGTAACTACGCCCTGTAGCTTCATCGAGAATGGTATTAGATCTTAATGCCTCATATTCTCGACACTTGGTCTGGCAAAGACATGGGAACAGAGCTTGCCGTCGTCGGAAGGATCGTGCCAGTTCTGGAGTCGAGAAATGAAGTACCCCAAGGACAATCAATTGTATGAATGTCTTTGCACATGTTGTAACGACAGACTTTCTTTGCTGTCAAATAATGAATACCTCAGAAACTTGGAGGAATTGGATAGATATAACACGACTAATGTGATAATCGTGTGAGAGGTTTTGGGGAAACATTGAACTATTCGAGGCATCCATACAGAAGAAATCACTCCAAGCTTTGCGTACAGATACTCCTCCACTTCGAACACTTCGCACTCCATTTTCGACCTTTGGTCTACACCGCCAATTCAGTGTCAACAAAAGTGATGAATTTAGCAGCTCTGCGAAAACAAAATGTCACCCCAGCAATCGAATTCTCATCATGCCACCAACAACAACCCAGAATCGACACCAGACTTCTTTTCCCGCAGGAGTTCGTGGCCAGGTCCCTCAAAGGAAGACTGGTGGTGCTGGGAGAATCACATAAGCCCCAGATATAGCAATAAGCGCGAATTGACACCTGCAGGGGCCGTGAGGGCCTAGGTTGATTATGTTGAAACCGAAAGCGGTGAGATGCAATCCTGAGATGGTAGATACACAACTGATTGTGCCATCAAGAGCGAGACGGCGCTGAGCAGCATAGAAAGATTGCCCGGAGGGGAAGGAACGAGTTCAAGCCGGATATCCAAAGATTGGAGGATATCACGCATTGGCTAGACTGATGTAAAATCTTGAGGGAGCCGCTTATCCATTGGGTATCTCAGGGCACCCGGAAATTGGAGTGAAATACTTGATTATGCTTCAAAGGCGACATATTAGCACGGTATTAGGTCAAATTTGAAGTTCAATTGACCTACCTTGGGGTAACCATGGTACTCGGGCTGTTATTGCGGCACTGCACATACCAGCCAGGTTGACACGAACCTTAGAAAGGGCCGCTGAAGACAATCAACCCGAGTGCTGTGACGAAGGCGGTGATCAAAAGCGCTCCTGAATGGCCTTGTGTTGTATCGGCAGTCTGAGGAGTTCTGGTTGTGTTGGAGCAATATATTTTCCTTGTCTTCGCATCACTCTGCACTGCCATGGCTGTCTCTTCTATCTTCTCGTGGATATGTATTACATTTGATCCAACAGCTGCGCATGCGATGTAGGAAGCGTTCTTCTCGGCCCTGCAAGCATGCTGCCGAAGCTTCTCTTTGAGAAATCCGTTCTCGCTTTCGAGGGTTTTGATTTTGTCTTCCAATATCTTCAGTTGGCTCAAGAGCTCATAGTGGAAGATTTCTTGATGTTCCTCTCCTTTCTGTCCCAAGAGGAACATGTGGTGCCCGCCTCGGGCTGGTGGATTGTGTTGTAGAACTGGCTTGTGGTTGTCTTCTGCGGCGGGAAGGTAGCCATCCACAGGGGAATCAGCCCTCTTCGATTCAGCGGACATTTGAATATCTTGCTCCCTTTCAACGTTCCTGCAAGAAATATGACTGTCGCTTTATGGCAGTATGAGGGTGTTTGAATTTCTGTCTTCGCTTTACGAACCAAATAGATAGGGCAAATGTGCATTGCGGGCTGTGAATTTAGCTTCAGGTTTTAGTTATGATTGTTGAGATTGGATGTGGAAGACCGGTACCATGACCAATGTTGAGGTTCCAAACCAACGATCCATCGTCCGCAGCCAGCAACAAAATAGTAAGGGCACTGCGTTGGCACCCTGGAACAACACGATGTAATCAAACCTTTGCGATATGACACTGTTTGCTACCCTGACCTCCCCTGGGGTGGCCTAGGGACTTTGTGGGAGCCTCGGACATGGACTGCAGCCGGCTCCGTGACACCTTCATCGCTACTTGGACTGAATTGGCTAGGATATTCGTAATCGGCCACAATCTCCAGCGGCTGATGAACAGCACAGCAGCCACGGCTGGCTGCAGTCGCAGTAAGTGTTGGATCGCAGCTGCCCATTAGCGAACAGAGCGAATGACATCACCCTTCGAGCTTCCGCTCCTCAACGAATACTCGTGCCATGGGCTACGCGATGTGATGTTTCGGGGGAATATGCAGCTGGATGTGCGGGTGTAAATGCGGGCGTAGGAGTCGATCTGAATTTGATTTCATTGTGTGGTGGCCTGCCGTGTCCCAGTCGCACCTTCCCCCCTCCCCCAGCTGATGCGGATGCTCTATCCTTAGGTATATACAGCAGCGGCTACATCGTCCAGCAATCGGGGTCGCGCCTTCCTTCCGCCGCGCTCAATGGTCCCACGGGTGCTTCCAGCCGAGCAGCGCGGGGCCGTCCTTCTTCGCGCGGTACATCAACTGCGGTGGTTAGCAGGTCGGCAGCTTGCGGAGGCGGTGGCAGCGCTACGCACGAAGAACCACATGGAGGCGCCGAGGGCGGTGGACATGAAGCGGTAGAGCGGGCGGACCGGGTGCACGTGGATTGGGTGGTTGCCCATGGGCGGGTACTTTGGGGGGCCCATGGTGAGAGTCGAGCCTGCAGTCAGTTCAGCGATCGCGCATCATACGCCGGCGGGCGAGGACGTCTACCTGCGGTGGGTTGGCTGCAATGGCGTGTTGGATGTGCTCAGAGGTTGTCGGTGCTGGGCGATCTGAGCTCCCCTGCCCCAGCAAGTGGCTTATGTAAGGCAGCCCTCTCAATCGTCGCCTTCACATTCGCGACGCCGGCGCAAGGCCCTTATGATGCCAGCGCGATAAGATTTGCCCCTCGACGACATACCACATGGCAGCGCCTGCCACGCCCGAGCCCTCGCAATCCCCACTTCCTCCGCGAGCCCACCTGCGAGCCCACCCACGCAGCTGCAACGCGCTTCCGATTGCCTCGCGGCGCCCGGCGCCCTAGCAGGAACCACCGTCTTCAGTGCCAGCATCCGCACCCATCGCATCCCAGCCTCGGCCACCGCACACGCATTCCACCCCAGCCGCCCGCCATGGCGAACGCGGGCGCCCCGACGCCCTCCAAGGGCCTGCAGCGCCGCTTCAAGGGCTGCTCCAAGATTGGCGAGTATGAGCTGCTCAAGAAGCTGGGCGAGGGTACCTTTGGAGAAGTCCACCAGGCGCGGCACGTCCGCTCCGGCCGCATCTTCGCTATGAAGAAGATCCTCACCCACAACGAGAAAGACGGCTTCCCCATTACAGCCCTGCGCGAGATCAAGCTGCTCAAGATGCTGTCTCACGAGAATGTCCTGAAGTTGGAGGAGATGTCTGTTGAGCGCCCCAAGGCAGAGGGCAGAAAGCGCGCCATCCTCTACATGGTCATGCCGTACATGGACCACGACCTGTCTGGCCTGCTCGACAACCCTGACGTTCACTTCTCTGCACCCCAGATCAAGTGCTACATGCTACAGCTGTTCAAAGGCCTCCGCTACTTGCACGACAACCACATCCTTCACCGCGACATGAAAGCCGCGAATCTGCTCATCAACAACCGCGGACGACTACAGATTGCTGACTTTGGCCTGGCGCGCCATTACGACGAGCTTGTGCCGCAGCGCGGGAAGGGCAACGGCGAGGCTCGACGAGACTACACCACGCTGGTGGTCACGAGGTGGTACCGGCCGCCCGAGCTATTACTCCAATTGCGACGATACACACCCGCCATTGATATGTGGGGTGCTGGTTGCGTCTTTGGCGAAATGTTCAAACGCAAGCCCATCCTTGCTGGACAAAGCGACCTTCACCAGGCGCAGATTATTTTCGAGCTGGTAGGCTCGCCAAACGACCGCAGCATGCCTGGATGGAACCAGCTGCCCGGCGCAGAGCCTGTCCGAGCTTTCCCAACCAGCACTGGCCAGCTCTCCCAGAAGTTCCGGGAGCTCAGCCCGCAAGGCCTGGATCTCCTCAGCAAGCTACTGATGCTCGACTGGCGAAAGCGCATCAACGCCATAGATGCTATCGACCACCCTTACTTTACGGAGGAACCCAAGCCGATGCGCGAGGAGGATATACCCACCTTTGCCGACTCACACGAGCTTGACAGGCGCAACGCGCGGGGTCAGAAACAACACTTGCCGCCAGCCCCTGCAGGAGGTACTGTCGGCGGAGGTCCGAATGGGGAATGGACCGGCTCAGGTCCCCCTCAGAGCGGTCCTGGCTGGAACAATGGCGATAGACGATTCGGACCACCCGATCGAGGGCCACCTGGGGTTGACCGGCCACGAGGAAACCACGACCGTAGACCCCCGCCTCCACCAGGGGAGCGCAGGCCACACTGGGGTGGTAGCAATGGGGCAAACTTGCCTGTGCCTCCTTCGCACCCGCCTCGCTACGGCCAAGGTGGTGACCGTGGGCACCGCGATCGAGACCGAGCACCACCTGGCGATACCTACATTCCTACTTATGAAGGAGCGCGACCCAGAGAGGAACGTCGATCACGGGACCCCGATGATAGGACTGCCGGTAGAGATGGCCGGCGTGGATCCCGAGACTCTGGTCACTCGCGAGATGGTTTTGCCGATGATCGTTCGGACCGTGGCAGAGGCTACCGAGACCGGGACCGAGGGGGTGATACGCGCAATTTTGGAAGAGACAGGCGAGATGGCAGAACACGCTCACGAAGTCCCGAGCGAAGAGACCGGGCGCGCGAGCGGGACCGAGACATTTACAGGCGGTAGCATCGTGTGTATTAACAACCCTCACATATCCTTTGCTTGGGTTCCAGGTGTAGGGGAAAGGTGTCTTTCGTTTATACCAGGCAGGAAGTGCTTTTACGCTGGAATTTGGCGCATGCGGTTTGATGAGATTGTTTCCTGTACTATATGCATGGCGCCAGTGGACCAACAAGAGTGGGTTTGGCGATGGCCATGTGGCGTTTGAGGGGTTTGACCAGCATTTGCACGGCGTCAATGCTCAGTGTTCACACATTAGATCCGCTAACGGGTGGAGTGTTTTGATACATGAATGAGTACAAGGTGTCGATAACATGTGACGTGCGATTTCGGTGCCCAAACCGTCCACTGCGCGATTTGACTTCGGCTGCAGTTCGCGTGTCGGACCGACGGGCTACCTGTGAAGACTTCGGCTGCAGCACCTTTGCTGTGGCCTGACACGTTGTCCAGTGTAGCGCACTCACGGCAGATGAGAAGATGCATCACGCAGCGAACGAGCGTTCACCCCGCATGGAGGAGGAGCATGCTTGCTTTTGGTGGGTGGCTTGGCCTGTGTATAAAGAATCTTGACTCGCCGACGCTCTCGGCCGTGATCGCTCTCACGCGTTCCTTTGAGCGCATGAGTCAGCGTCGACGCCCCGCTGTCGCACCGAAAATTCCCCACCGACGCCGTTGCCGCTGTTCACGCTTTTCCCTGACTGAAGAGTCATCCAACCTGCCGTCTGCCCAGTTCCACGTCATCTACAAGTCCAGGACCCTTTTTGCAACAGCGCCCACCCAATTGATCTGCCTGATCGACAAATTCCTCGCTTCACGATGTCTACCACCACAAACGGATACAAGCACTCGTCCGAGCGGATAGCTCACACGGAAGAGAAGCACCTTCCCGGTGGCTGGGTCGTACTCAAGTTCGGGGGTACATCTGTGGGCAAATTCGCGGAGAACATAGCGGATATCGTCAAGTACGGCGTCCCCAGGAGCGCACGCGATGCGAGCAGAGCACCCTGCTAACGACGCGTTCTAGGAACGGTCTGACCACCAACCGCACCGCTATTGTCTGCTCCGCGCGCAGCGGCACCACCAAGCTCGAAGGCACTACTAACAGGCTCCTCCGCTGCGCGAGGGCCGCCGAGAGAGCCGGCTCGCGTGCCTATGACGAGGTCGTAGAAGCCCTCCGCGTCGACCACATCCAGGCCGCCAAGGATACGCTGAAAGATGCTGGAATCCTGGCCAAGTTCGAAGAGGAAGTCAATGCCGAGTGCGAGGGACTGGTCAAGATTCTGGAGTCAGCGCAGCACCTGGAAGAGGTGACGAGCCGCGCCGAGGACAAGATCGTGAGCAAGGGCGAGAAGCTGAGCTGCCGCTACATGGCGGCGCTTTTGAACGACCAAGGTACGCCTGCGCAGTACGTCGATGTATCGGATGTCTTCAAGACTCCTGGTCCTAGGAAGGGTGGAGTGGGCGACAATTTTTACAAGGACCTCGCGGAAGCGCTGGGCAAAGAGGTTGAGGCTTGCGGCGACAAGGTTCCGGTCATCACGGGATTCTTTGGAAATGTCCCTGGAGGCATCCTGAGCGCCGTGGGACGTGGTTACACCGATCTGTGTGCTGCTCTGGTGGCCGTCGGCGTCAAGGCGGACGAGCTGCAGATCTGGAAAGAGGTGGACGGCATCTTCACAGCAGACCCCCGCAAAGTCCCCACAGCCCGTCTCCTCTCCTCCGTTACGCCCTCCGAGGCTGCGGAACTGACCTTCTACGGCTCCGAGGTCATCCACCCGTTCACTATGGAGCAGGTCATCCGCGCTCGCATCCCCATCCGTATCAAGAACGTCATGAACCCGCGCGGCAACGGCACCATCATTTTCCCCGATCGCTTCGAAGACGAGCCAGGATCGCCCACCAAGCACACTGGCCTCTTCCGCACCCGCTCAACCAGCATCCTCTCGGCCCTGCAGCGCCCCAAGCGGCCCACAGCCGTGACCATCAAGCACAATGTTATTGTGCTTAATGTGCACAGTAACAAGCGCACGCGCGCTCACGGCTTTCTCATGAATATCTTCAGCATCTTGGACCGCTGGAACCTTTCAGTCGACCTGATCTCTTCCTCTGAAGTGCACGTCTCCATGGCTCTGCACTCCGAATCCGCGCTGCTTAGTGGCGGCGGAGAAGACGAGTACAAGATCAAGAACAAGGACCTGCATGGCGCGATTGACGAGCTGGGTGCCCTGGGCGCGATTGACATTGTGCCTGATATGGCCATCGTCAGCTTGGTCGGCAAGCAGCTTAAGAACATGATTGGCATCTCTGGCCGTTTCTTCAGCGTCTTGGGAAACAATAACATCAATATTGAGATGATCTCGCAGGGTAAGATATGCTTTCCTTGCTAGATTGAGTGCAATGCTGACAGCGTGCAGGTGCCAGCGAGATCAACATATCCTGTGTGATTGAGGAGCGCGAGGCTGACCGCGCCCTCAACGTCGTGCACACAAATCTTTTTACTTTTCTCGAATAGAGCTGCATATGCATACGCGGCGTTTGAGCATTTACACCCCCCTGTTAGGCCCTGTTAGGGTCGCTTTCCCGGTTTTCGTAGATAAATTTACACAAGACAACTGTGCTTCCTATTGATATATCAAATTCAGTATTTTTGGATATCAAATTCTGTCTTGTATTTGTCCCTTGATATGTCAAGCGAACTAATTTTAAATGCCGTCACATAATATGGGTATAGCCGTGCTTGGCTGCAGTAACTCCAGCCTCGGCTCCAATTCCAGCCTCAGCTCCGTCATTAACTCCAGTATCTACGCACGCGATTTTTCGCCAAGTTCGTAACGCCCGGAACACCGTGTTGAAGGACAATTTGCATTCCAGGCTTTGTACCGGGTTTTAGATTAGCCGGAAAACGTCGTCCGGATCATACAATTCAAACATCTATATAAGCTATATCAGTGACGGCGTTGGTACTGCTTGTCACGACATAACATTGTCATCGATACTGGGTCATTTTACGTTCCACTTCACTTTGAACTATCGTCACGGGCAGCCAGACCGCGGTTTATTGTATTTTCAACCGCTAACATCACCATCGCCATGACCACCTTTGGCTGGGGAACCACAGGCGAGGAAGCCACAGCAGCCTTTGCACAACACATCGCAGGCCGCACTATCCTGATCACCGGTGTCACCCCGGGCGGCCTCGGCCTCGAGACGGCCCGCGTCATCGCTCTGCGCGATCCCAAACTCGTCATCCTAGCCGGGCGATCAACAGAGAAACTCCAGCAAGCAGAAGAGGATGTCAAGAAGGCAGCACCCAATGTATCGGTCCGCCAGCTGGTGCTCGATCTCGGGAGTCTGAAGGCGACCAGAATAGCCGCCGAGGAAGTCAACAACTGGAGCGATGTCCCCAGCATCGACGTCGTCATCAACAACGCCGGCATCATGGCGACCCCTTACGCCCTCACCGCGGACGGCATCGAAAGCCAATTCGCAACTAATCACGTCGCGCACTTCCTCTTCACGCAGCTGCTCATGCCCAAGATCCTCGCCTCGGGGAGCGGTGCACGTGTCGTCAATCTGTCCAGCAGCGGATATAAAGGCGGGCCCGTCCGCTTCGACGACTACAACTTCGACGGCGGACAGAAGTACGAGAAGTGGGCGTCGTACGGGCAGTCGAAAAGTGCGAATGTGCTGTATGCAAGGGGTCTGAGGGAGAGATATGGGAACAAGGGGTTGCAAGCGTACGGCGTTCATCCTGGCGCCATCTGGACGAACCTTGGACACCATGCTAAGGATGATCTAAGGGCTATGGGTATGTTTTTATTCTAGGATTATGTTTTACCCGAGTGTGTGCTAAGAGCTGTAGGATTCATGGACGAAGCGGGCAATACCGTGAACTCGGAGAGGCTGAAGTGGAAGACGTTGGACCAGGGTGTCTCGACGACAATTGTGGCGGCATTTGACCCGTCTATCGCTGGTCAGTTCGCCCGTCGAAAGACGTGAGAACTGGGCTGACAACATGTGTAGATCAAAGTGGCGCATACCTCGCCGACTGCCAGGTAGAAGAAACACAAGAAGACTGGATGCAGGACCCGGAAGGCCCAGAAAAGCTCTGGAAGTTGAGCGAGCAACTGGTTGGACAAGAATTTCCAGCACCGGCGTGAGGAGATTTGGTTAAATGGTGGCATCGCTAATGTTGATACATGGGTCCGGATCAAATTCCGAATACCATAGCAGGACCTTGAGGAACTCGAGATACTACAAGCCGCTATATTATAACTTAATAATGCATCCCCTGATCCACGTATTCCACTCCTCTTGTTTTTGTATCGGTTCCAGATGCGTCCTCGATGGATGAACCATTCACCCCCCGCCCCCTTCCGACTTATCTCCACCCGAGTCCTAATTCTTCTCCCATAGCTCGAACCTCACCCTAATTGGCGTACTAAGGCAAACACAGCCGTAGATCTGGAAATCCTCTTGCAGGGTCTGTCCAATGCCTCCAAGTGCTCACTCACGAATCCCGCCATCCGCGGCCGAATCTCCACACCGCACCTCCGAACCCAATGACCCAGAGCGTCAAGCACACATAAAATCCCCAAACTCAGGTCCCACCATCCTGCAATCGTTAAACACCTCACAGCAACACCCCCGCCCTCGCCCATCATGTCCTCCCCAACCCCAACCCCAACCCCAACCCCAGCCGCCCCTCTCGCCCCCCTCCTCCGCACTCTCCCCTCCCTCAAAGGCCCCTTCCCTCCGCCCAACACGTCCGAACTCCCTCCAACCCCCCAAGGCGCCTTCCACGCCTGGCTCTCCGACGCCATCGCCCACGGCGTCAAAGAGCCGCACGCCATGACGCTCTCCACCGTTGGCGCAGACGGCGCACCCGACGCCCGCGTCCTCATTCTCAAGAACGTGGACGCCCGCGGCTGGCATTTCGCGACCAAGGCGGATAGTCCGAAGGGGGTGCAGATCGGGCAGGAGGACAGGGTGGCGCTGACGTTTTACTGGGCGGCGCTGGGGCGCCAGGTCAGAATCCGGGGGCGGGCGGCGGCGCTGGGGGCGGAGGAGTGCGCGGCGGATTTCCGGGCCAGGCCAGTGGGGGCGCGGGCTGTGGCTGTGGCGTCGAGGCAGAGTGCGGTCATGGTAGATAGGGAGGAGCTTCAGGGACAGATTACGGAGGCGAGGAGGATGCTGGAGGAGGAGGGGCAAGGGTACGTGGCGCCGGAGTGGCGGGTGTATGCTGTTGACCCGGAGACTGTGGAGTTCTGGCAGGGGGCGGAGGATAGAAGGCATCAGCGGGTGAGGTATGAGAAGCAAGGGGTGGAGGGAGAATGGGAAAAGGTGATGCTGTATCCGTAGCGGCAAATAAAACTACCCATACCCAGCACATCTATACACTTCAAAAAATACATTCCTCACGTATCGTATATAGTACACATCAATCAATATACCCCACAGCCGAACCCCAACCAGCGATGCAACCTTTCTCTTGAACGCTGTACATGCAGACCCGAAACCCTTGCCAAATGGCCTACCCAGGAACCCCACTCGTCACCAGAATGGCGTAACAAAACTCCAGCGTCCGAGAGCTCATGTACAAGAAATGGGCAACGCAAGAATAATGTTGCCTATCTGCCCTGCTTCCCGCGCCGTCAAAAGAATACGGGTATACCGCCGCCAGACAAAGAAAAGACACCGTCAAGGTTGCGTGCCATCCCAAATAGCAAAATCTCTCCAAGACTTGCCTAGAAATGAAGAATCATACTTTTGAAGGAAACTACTAACTCTACCGGCGCCATTCGCCGTGCTGCCTAGGCACGGCGTTCGCCCAGTCCATTCCACCGGGGCCCTGGGGTGGGCCTGGCGTGCCCCTCTGGTCGGATGCGGGCGGTCCTTGTGGGGGACCCCTTCCCATCATCCTCTCCCGTTGCATATGTACATCGCGCTCCCTCATTTCGTGGAGTTCCCGTTCTCGACGCTCTCGATCACGGTGTCCAGCGAAGAACTCTTCACGCTGAGTTTGTTCCTCGCGCAAGCGATTGTTCTCCCGGGCGAATGGATCCCGAAAGCGTTCTTCGGGTCGAGGAGGACCGCCGAAGAGAGGGTGGCTCTCGCCTAAAGATGAGCGAGGAGGATGCTGCAAAGGCGGCGGACCGTGCTCTGATCGCGAGAGCGGAGTGTGAGAGCGCTGCTGCCCACCATAGGATCTGTCTTGTGGAGGTTGGTAGCGAGGATCTTGGTGGGCCTGAGGTGGCCCTGTGGAGCGCGACATTATAGGTTCGCGTTCGCGGAGCAACGCATCAGCACGATGCTGTATCTCACGACTCATATCACGATTGTCAGTGCGTGGATCGAAGTCATGGTGCATCTCGCGTGGATCCCGCCGAAACTGATCCGCCATGCTTGGAGCGCGCGTATGCTGGCCTCCGGGATGTTGTTCGCTGGGCGTTTGAGGATTGGGGTACGCTAAGCCACCATTGTGAACTTGTGCATGCTCGTTGCGACCGTGTACATCCCGCTGCCCCACCAAGTGGTTGGTATGGAGGTGGGGGCTGGGCCGCATGCCAACGGTAGCTGAGGGCTGCGAGTTTCCGCCTGGGGGATCAACCTGTGCGTACGGATTAGGTTGGAGTATTTGCGACGTTCCACCAGATGCTTGAGCATGTTGTGAAGCGGCTGCCGCACTCATGCTGTGACGAGGCTGTTGTCCAGGTTGTCCGCTTAAACTAGGGGTACGAGAGTGCAGGTGTGGCGAATTTTGGAATGCGGACAGCGGGGGCGGAGATGGATTGTGACGTGGATTATTGTGTTGCGCCAGGAGGGATCGATGATTGCCCATAAAGGCGGATCTGTCCGTATAAGCAGGTTGCTGATGAGGGGAGTTGATGCCAGGACCCTGCGGTGCCTGGCTGTGGCCCGGAAATGGTCTCGACCACTCTTCACGCGAAGCCCGTCCTGCAGCAGCTTGTTCCCTTGTCAGATCGACAACCTGCCGGCCTGGCATTTGCGACACACCAGGTTGTTGCGCATAGGGTAGGCGACCATATGGCGGTTGTGTCGTTGCTTCAGCGTAAGGATCCCTTCTCGGTGGAAGAGACTGTGGAACCGGGGGAGGCGGTGCAACGGGAGTCTGTTGTTGTGGAGTCGGAGTATGCGACGGTATGCTTTGCTCAGGTTTCTTTCGCTTCGGCTCTTCAGGCTGATCGTCGTTGAGAAGAGACATCAAGTTCGACTTCCTAGGTTCAGTGGCAGGCTTAGGGGCACTTGAAGCGGTTGGCGGTGGCGGCACGTAACCCTGCGGCTGCGTGGGCATATGCATCGGTTGTTGAGACTGCGATCGTTGGTGGGGAACTGGATAGAGCCTAGGCTCCTCTTTGACAGGCGGAGTCGCAAGAGCAGCACGGGATTGCGCAGGCGGTAGTGAACTTGGCGGTGGTACCGGATTCTCCATCAGTGATTGCTGGTGACGATGCTGATAAGAGAGGGGCCGACTCTCTGGCGATCCGGCACCTAGGGCAGGACGACCTTGCACTGAGACAGAACCAAAAGGCCTGCCTTTGTGCATTTCTCCGGAGACATGACGAGCGTGCTGGGGCTGGAATCGATCCTGCTGCGTTTCCGCTCTTGGAGGTTCCCGTTCTTGGAAAGAGGGGCGGAATAATGATGGTTGCGCCTGCATTTGTGGTTGGCCATGAGACTGCAAAGCTCGAGAGTTTGGTGGCATGTTGGATGGTTGGGAGGGTGGACGATGCTCCATGCCCCTCGGAAGTTCATCAGAAAAGTAGCCTGCGAGAGGGCCAGGACGACGGGAGTCCAACTGGGACATATGAGGAGGCATCGGTTGTCGTACAGCATGGGTCGGAGGAGAATGCTGCTGAGGGATTGACACAAGCGAAGAGTCGGGCATCGAATATGGCGTACCAGGAACCAGTGATTTTGACTGGGGGGCTTGTGCAATGTTGGAAAATCTAGCTGCGGACGACATGCTGGGAGGCGATGCCTTTGACACGACCATACCGAAGGCTCCAGCCGCTTCGGGGGTCGGCGCAAGAGTCCGAGGGACAGTGACCTGAGTGCTTTCGTAACGTCTTTTTGGTGCGGGGGTAGGGACTGGTGGCTGTCCTATGTCGACGCCGCGATTACGTCTCTCATCGGCTTCCTCTGCTGCTCTTTCGAGATCTTTCGCTCCACCCTCTACAAGCCGGAGGTATTGATTCTTCACCATAGTCTGAGTCTTGGTGCCCATATGTGTGGCAATTGCCGCCCAGTCAGTTCCGAAATGGGCAACGTTCTTCTGGAAGTCTGTTTGTTCAGTGACTGACCAGTAACTCGAAGGTCCAGGCCTGGCGCTAGGTGGTTGTAATCGAGCCCGTTCCGTCATACCGGGCATAGGGTAATACTGGGGCTCTGCCTGAAGAATCATTTGTTCATCGTGGATGCCAGGCTGCATTGGAAGGGCCATTTCTCCCAGCTTGCTAAACTCATCCTCCACCTTTACGCCCATCGCTTTGCGATCAACTTTGACGGGTGATCCAACTGGAGCAGCAGCAAAAGGTTGCACTTGCGCTTGAGCATGCGCTTGGGCTTGAGCTTCAGCCTGCGCCTGTGCTTGCGCCTGTGCTTGAGCCTGTGCTTGAGCCTGTGCCTGCGCCTGCGCCTGCGCCTGGAGCTGAGCCTTAGTTTTCCGCGATCCTTTTTCCCTCGCGCTCTTCCCGCGACGCCCAGCCTTCTCCTGTGTCCCATCCGCATCTGTTTGCCTGCGAAGACGACCTGGGGTTGGTGTGGATGCTGTTGTGTCTATATCCGTTTCCGCTCCAAATGTCGGTGCAGCTGAACGCCGTGGTCGTCCAGTCTCCGTCAAGGCCGGGGGAAGACCATCTTCTCCTGACGGATCAAGCCGGTCCATGTTAGCTATAGCTCCACGACCACGAGTGTTTCCACCTCTTCTCCTTGGTCCACCTCGTCCCCTTCTGACTTTACCTTTATATTCTCTTTGCCATTTGGTGGCATAGTAATGATTGATACAGTCTTTGTATGTTCTGCTGGTGCCAGCTTCCTTGTACAAGATCTCCGCTAGTTTCCCCCACTTCTTCGCGTATTGATCCCTATATTGTTGCACCATGATTCGATGTTCCTCTTCTGTGAAATCGTCCTCAGGTGGCTCATAGTGGAACGCAAAAATCCCTTGGCCGGGCTCGCGCTGGAAGTTGGTGTCAATGAATCTCCGTCGCTGCACCTCGTATGTAGTTAGTTCCGGTGGCACATCTGCTTCTTTCTCCGGATCTGCCATTGATCTCTTCGGTTCCTTCTCGTGTTGCTCTCTCTCCAGTTCAGCGGTCCTAAGAGATTCCTGCATTGCAATCTCGAGGTCGAGCTCAGTTGCCCATCGATGGCCTCGGCGGCCAGTGGTGGGTGCTGAATTGTCTAAAATCGGGCCTGTTGCAGATGTCTCGATCCCTGGAGTTGTCGCCAGTGCACTCGGCTCCGCGGATGCTGGCCGCTCGTGACCGTCCGTATCGTTCAGCCGATCAAGATTGCGAACATGATTACGCCATTGTCGATATACTGTAGCGTAATTTTCCAATTGTTCATCAGCATCGAGTTCTGGCTCAATGTTCTCTCTCAATTTGTTACGGATGGCGAGCATGACGGATTCGGACATGCGAGGGCCTTCCAGTTCGGATATCGGCGTTGGCGGTCCAGAGCCAAGGAACGGAAGCGAACTAAGATCAGGGACATCTTCCAGATCATCACTAGTACTGCGACGCAAACGTAGTGCGCGTGTTGCTGGAGCTACTTGCTTTTCCTCCTCCTCATGCTTGTATTCCATATTCACATCTTCGGAATCCTCGGGTTTCGGTGTCGGGAGCTCGTTCAGATTGTTTTCTGGGGGAGCGACCGAAGATGTCTTGGGCGAAGGTACAAAAGTCGGCGCTTCAGCTGCAAGCTTAAGTTCTTCTTCGGGAAGATGATCTGTGGTCAGGCTCGCCAACAAAATAATCTCTTGTAGGGGAGTTGTAGCGCGCAAATGCGGTGCGCTGAGATCTATTCGTTTTGATTCCAGTAACGCTTTTTCGCGATTGTACTTGGCTTCAGACTCCGCAAAATCATCCTCGTCGAGATCAAGATCATCATCCGAGTCCTGTAGAGCTTCGGGACCAGACGATGCTGCCGAAAAAGGCGGTTTTTCAGGGACCGAAGGTGCTTCTGCCATCGATACGTTGGAAAAGCGTCGCGTTTCGATTGATGTGGGTTTCGGTGAGAAGGCTTTGCGATAGTCCCCGGATGCTCTTCGGTCGCGAGTCATTTCAGATTCCATAGAGGGTCGAGTGATGGAAGGTGAAACCGACTTGGCCTTCTCGGCACGCTGAGACTCTGGCGCAGAAATGCTCGCTTCCAGCTTAGGAGCCTTAGGAGCCGTGCCAAAGGTCCGGTCGCGATCATCGGAAGGATATTCGCGCTTTGAAGGAATTGTCGTACGATTATTCAAATTCAGGCCTGGTCTCACCCACTGCATGCTCTTGGGTGGCCCATTCATAGGCATACGCGGAGCCGGAAAGCCAGGGCGATCAGGAGGTGGGTACATTGGGGTTCGGGCAGCCATTGGGTTCCCTCTATCAGCTTTGGGCCCAGTTGGAATATTCGCAGGCAGACTTTTTGGAGACGTGTTGCTTAGCATCATAGATGCGCCACTTCCGCTGCCGTTGCGGGAACCTAAGGCTGGCTGTATTGCGCTTGGAGACGGATCACGCGGATTATTCACGTAAGGAAGACGCGCTGGTCTTGGGTAAGACGGCGATACGTTGGCTCTTAGAGCTGCTTGAGGTCCAGTGGGAGGAGCTCGGGTCGTTGCTGCTGGGCCTGCAGGAGGCGAGATTACCGAGTTTGGAGCATTACTGCTCATAGGAGCCGACGGCTTCGATTCCGCATTAGAAGCTGGAAGGCCGCTGTTGCTCGATGCCGGTGGCATGAGAGAAGGGCGCGACTCAGTACGTGATGGCTCTGACGAAGCTAACCTGCTATCCTGCCTCTGACCCAAACCCTGCATTTGGGACGGAACATCCGGGGGTGGTCGCTCAGGAGCCCGATCGGCTTTAGGTCCGGTGGGAGGTGCAGTCGATAGCCCAGCCGGTACGCTTGGTTTCGGGGCTACGGTGGTGGTAGGAGCCGTAGGAGGAGCAGCCGGGACAGGCGCCGAAAGTGCAGCTTGCGCTGGTTTCGGAGGTTGCGAGGCGGTCGCGGGCTTCGCATCGAGAAGGGGGTTTCTCCAAACATTAGAGCCAAACGCAGGTACCGCGGCGGGAGGAGACGATGCGCGCGGCGCATAGCGTTCCCTCGAAGCTTCCGCACGGCTTGCAAGGAGAAGATCGTCTCGTCCAGGTTCGCGCCTAGCATCCTTGTTGCCTAGTGCCTCTGACGCAGTTGAAGCACGTCTCGAGTAGGAATCCACGGACGGACCATGTCGTTCAGCAGGTGAGTGGTGGGTCGAATGCGGGATCGCGCTCGTGGGTGTTCCAGGGAGATGTCTTGTATCAAGCGTGGCGCTTCCACGGTGTGTGTCAAGCGCCCGTGGTCCTGGTTTTGCACCTGCCGGTCCAATATAAGAGTCGTACTCTCTCGGTACGAATCTGCGGTCGTCCCGTTCTCTCCGGTCAAAGTCTCGATCACGCTCATCACGCGGATCTCGATCACGTCGCACGGGGTCCCTTGAGCGGCTTCGCGGTCGATACGATCGATCAGGCATACGATCACGTGCGTCATGATGCCGATCCCTGTCATCTGCATACATGGGCCTGCCTCGTCCTCGACCCTCGCCGTGGAAGTCCCGTCCACCTCTTCCACGTGCAAATCCACTGCCTCTATAGGACGAGCCGGTAGTAAGTGGAGCGTCTGAGTACGTGGAGCCTGCCGAGGGTGGGCCATCTCGAGAATTGCGCCTCGCGCGGCTTATATCAAGATCGCGGGATGGAAAGTCTCGTTGATCGCGGGTGTCACGTACATCTCTAACCGGCGAGCGTCTAGGAGGGGAGGGTCGTCTGTCTCGTCGATCGCGGTCAAAGTCTCGGTCGCGATCTCGATCTGCAGCCCGCCAGGAATTGTGCGGTGGGTGCGGGTGCGGGACGCTCGAAAGCGGCGGTGCATCACGCAATGATGGCCTCTCTCCACGACCCGCGAAGCCTCCTCCTCGACCGTCGCGCGGTGCTGAGGGCACCCCAGAGGGACCTCCAGCCGGCGGCCCTCGCGGCGCATTTTCTAGGGACTTGGGACCGCGGGGCGTGTCCCTCGGAGGGAAGGCGCTGGAATCTGTGCTCAATCGTGCGCCAGCATCGTTTGGTCTAGGGGGGTATGTGCTTCCGTATGCGGATTGCCTTCTGTCGCGGAATGGCGATCTGTCGCGAACGTATCGGCTGTCGGTGTATCTCGAGGACGACATGAGAGCGGGCTGAAAGGGTCGTGCTTGTTCTCGCGGAGCTGAACATGGACTCGGGTGTCGCACAATGGGTCTCTGGAGCTGCAGACGTAGTGGTTCAGTATACAGGTTGCGCGGTGATGGTCTTTCACGGCAACGGGCAGGGTAGTCGGGCAACGGTAGCAATGCAAGAGCGTCTTGCGAGGCCGCAGTGTTGGCGCCGATGGGGAGTAGCTATAGAACTGGAGGACCAGAAGGGTGGTAGCGACGAGGCGACTGTCGAATCGTGCGGAGACTGAGCCAAAGATGCAAAGACGCTGCGTCGAGGTGACCGCTCGGGCCAAGCACGCAGCGCGCGGTGGCTGTCTTAGACCGAACGGGACAAGCGCAAGGCAGGTAGCGCAACCTTGGAAGGCAGGAGCGGGTCCGTGCTCAGATCACAGCCGAGAGGTGACGATACAGCGATTTCGCAAACGGGAGCCAGGAAGGACTCGGGTGCCTCGATGCTGGCCGCAAGAAATGACCGAAGGGTGCGCCCGACCGTCCTGGAGACTGGCTGGGACCGGCACGCGGCGAGGGGGCACTGGGAGCGGATCCGGGTGCAGGCCGTTGACGTGGCGCTGCTATTTCTTCGAGAAGGGGTGTGCAGGCACAGAAGTGCCGGTTGAGACGGAAGACGGACGCGCCAGGTCAAATGAAAGGAAACGTTAGCGGGGCGGCGCCGCTGCACGCATCGTTGGAGTCGTTGTTCGGGCGCCCGCAAGTGAGGAGGGCAATGAGGGAATGAAGGAGAACTGCAGGGCACGAGAACGAACGCACCGGGAGCACGCACTGACACGATGCACTGTGGCTCCAATGGCTGCCCCAGCCGTCATGTTCACAGCGCGCCCCCCTCCTAACCCAGCAGGGATGGTGTCCCGGCAGGGCGGCCATGGCGCGACCTGAGTGGACAGGAATCGTGAATTCGATCTCGAACGAGGATCCCTGCCTGCATGTTGCTTAACGCTGAAACTGCGTCAGGTTTCGGTACGTTCTCCCATGCGGGTGGCAGCATCGGCAGAGGCATGCAGCTGTGGTGTACCGACGACGGGGCGCGGTGCATCGGCAGGACAGCGCTGCTCCGTCGCCGTCGACCACTGTGAGAGTCTTTGCGGATTCTCAACGTTCAGCGGGCGTGCCTGTGGCTGTCGTTTCTGCGGATCGACCGTCTGGGACGCTCTGCACCTTGCCCGAAGCAGACTAGTCGCACTGGTGCATGGCCCTAGACGTGGATATGTGGGGGTGTCCAGCCAGGGCTCCTCAAAATCTGCGAGTCGCACGCGCACCGAAAAATAGACGGCGACGAGACTCTCCATACACTCGACACACCAGGCTGTGCGACGCGGTGAGTACAGCTGTCCCGCAACGCAGATAAAGCCTCAAGCACTGCTCTACACCGGCCGCACGCAGTCCCCAGCCATGCCTCCGGCCAATCAGGACCCGGCGTCGCAGGCCCCTCCGACGAACGCGACCGACGCAGTGCTCAAGCCGTCCGAGCCCGTGCCAGCAGACGCCAGGGAGGTGCAGGGCATCGAGTTCAACGACTATGCGCAGCGCAGCATCACCGTCGAGGAGCTGATGGGGGGGTATGCGCGCATGGGCTTCCAGGCAACTGCGATCGGCGAAGCGGTGCGGATTGTCAATGACATGGTGAGTGCTTTTCCGCCGGCGCATGGAGATCCCGGTCGTTGTGGGTGCTCGGGCTACGGGCGCTTCCCGGCTCAGCCCTTGCGAAACATTTTAGCCGGAAAGGGCATGCCTAAGCCAGCCTTGGTAATGCGCCTAATGTTTCTATTCTAACAGTGACAGCGCACGTGGAAGGATGCTGAAACAGGCGAGGGCACGACCGTCTTTCTGGGCTACACGTCCAACCTGATCTCCTCGGGCCTGAGGGAAACGCTGCGTTACCTGGTACAGCACAAGCACGTCTCTGCCATCGTCACGACCGCCGGCGGTGTCGAAGAGGATTTCATAAAATGTCTCGGGCCAACCTACCTGGGCGCATTCTCAACGCCGGGCGCCAGTCTGCGTGCAAAGGGGCTCAACCGGATAGGCAACTTGCTAGTGCCGAACAACAATTACTGTGCATTTGAAGACTGGGTCTTGCCCATCCTTGACCAGATGCTGGTGGAGCAGGAGGAGAGCAAGCAGACCGACGAGCCGATACACTGGACGCCGAGCAAGGTCATCAGTCGGCTTGGCAAGGAGATCAACGACGAGCGCTCCGTATACTACTGGGCGTGGAAAAACGACATTCCCGTCTTCTGCCCAGCACTGACCGACGGCAGCCTCGGCGACATGCTCTACTTTCACACTTTCAAGTCATCTCCCGACCAGCTGCGCATAGACATTGTTGAGGACATTCGCAAGATCAACACCATTGCGGTGCGGGCGAAAAGGTCCGGCATGATCATTCTAGGCGGAGGAATTGTCAAACATCACATTGCCAACGCAAACTTGATGCGGAACGGTGCTGAGAGTGCCGTCTACATCAACACGGGTCAGGAATACGACGGGAGCGATGCGGGAGCGCGGCCAGACGAGGCAGTTAGCTGGGGGAAGATCAAGACGGACGGCGACAGCGTCAAAGTGTACGCGGAGGCGACAATTGCGTTTCCGTTGATCGTTGCAGCTACGTTCGCGAAGGGAAGGCCAGACAGTGGAGAATCATGATAGCCACCGAAACGCAATCCGTACAATCACTGTGTCGTGCGCTTCGTGTGAAATTTGTGCTTTCCGTAGATGCGTCTGCCACGCCATCTAGCAGCACCAACACGAGTCGTAAGTGGAAGTGAGGTGCAGGTAGAGTCGGAGGAGCTACAGGGATGCGTGGCCGGTGTGTCCCCACAGTTGTAATCGTCGCTCAATGCAGGGTAGTGCAAGTTGCAGCCTAGATTTGGGGCCGCGAGCCACCGCAGGGGAGCAACAAGCTACGCAGCAGGGTGTAGCTGTGTGACTCAGGAGCTGATGACTGTGCCATCTACAGGATCGGCAGCAACGAGCTAGCTAGAGCAGTAGGGACAAAAGGGCTCATGTACGTGATGTCGAGGGCGTTGGCGGTGGCCGAGCGCGCGGGACGTGGGGAAGCGCTAAGTCGCTGGCGGCAGCCTCACTGCTCACCGCCCGGCGGTATAAATGGTCCCCACCAGGCAGCATGCACAAGCTCCAGCCTGGTACAAACAACGTATAAGCCCAGCCACGCACGCCTCACAGCCGCAAAACCATCGTCGAAGCTGCGACTTTGCTTTTGCAGCCTGGCATAGCCTTTTGTACTCTGCCGTGTCCATTCCAGGTTCTGTTCTGTCCAAGCCGTGTATCGTGCTCGCTATAGAGCTTCGACTAGAGCTCCGCCGATAAGACCATCTAATCAACACCACCGCCTGTCGTCGCCATCGCTGCGCAGCCCACCTGAGCGCGGCAGCCGATCCGGTGCAGCTGGCCATTGCATTGCTCGTCCTGGGCTGGAACGGTACATCCTGTCTTTGGACGCGGCCGGCGCAGTGCCTCTCTCACATAGACTTGGTGATAGAGAGGTACGTAGGGTTGCTTCTCCGGCTGGTGCCTTCACTTATCCTTTCCGCCCAGTATATCTCAGACCCGCAACCATGAGCTCGACCGCCGTCCAACCGCCGCCCCCGCCCATCTCATTCGCGCAACAGCCACCCTCGTCGCCGCCGGCCTTCTCGAGTGCACACTCGCCCGCCGAGTCACACCCTTACACACAGCCCGCCATGTCGTCGCCGCCGCCGCCACCACCCCCGCAGCAGCCGCAGCAGCAAAGTGCTGGGGACATGGATATGACCACTTCCACCACATTGCCGCCCGCCGGCCAGCGCCACGACCGGGAAGATGCAGACATGCAAGACGGCTTGACAAACGGTCTACAGCCGGGTGCAAGCAACACGCCGACCCACAACCAGACAAATAACGTCGCTATAGAAGTCGCAGCGGTTTCAGCCGACGAAGACGTCATGGACACCACGTCCGACGACACACAGGGCCTCGTTCTGCCAAACAGCTCAGCCGAGCCCGCCGCAATCACGCCATCTTCACCCCCGCTGGCAGAGGGGCCGGGCAGCGACCAGGACGCCCAACATGCCACCAGCACCACTGTAAGTACTGGAGCTATATTTCCTCAGTTTACTTCGACATCCCCATCACAGAGTGGGGAAACGATCCCATGCTGGAGAGCATTCCATACATTTCCGTGACGCACATCGAGGACAACCGCGATCTAACTCACGTGCCTGCAGCCAAATGATGCTCCGCCAGAAGAGCCCCCAGCTCCATCAATAGACCTGCAACCGCCGCCGCCGCCTCCGCCCGTTGACCCCGTCCAAACCGATTCCGACTCGTCCGACGAGGATGGAGGTCAGCCATGGCATCCGATTGCCGAAGATACATCTGCACCCGAGGAGGACGAGCTGAAGGAGATCGAGGCAACCACCGAATACAGCGCGTTGGATCATGAGCATTGGGAAAAGATGGCCTTTTCTCCCCTGGAGGATCCTGAATATACACCGGGCGAGAGCGGTCGCATAGAATGGCTCATTGATAATTACAACGGCACGCGCGATAATCCCAATCGTGATCTGGTCATGAAGTCGAAACCGGTTACTATCGGCGGACATGAATGGCAGATCAAGTTTTACCCGAAAGGTAACGACTCCGACTATCTCAGTGTGTACGTAGAATGCCTCAGCGTTGGAAACGAGAAAAACAAAGACAATGCAGAAGGTAGCCATCAGAAGCCTGAAGACGATGTGGAGGCAAGCATTGACAACAGTGCTCACTCGGGCTCAGCAGAGACACAACACGCTCCTTTGCCTCTGCTCGACTCGAAAACAGTGCCCAAAAGAAAAGGTGTTGCTGCACAGGTCTCCGTTGTCCTCTACAACCCTACTGAGCCTCGTGTCAATTATTCACGAACCTGCCTGCATCGATTCTGCACGACGTCGCCTGATTGGGGCTGGACACGCTTTCATGGACCACATTATGATATCCCCCATAGGATTCGAGGTCATCGACAGGCCCTTCTCCGGGATGATAAGCTTGCATTCACTGGCTACATCCGTATCGTTAATGACGAGACTGGCTGTCTCTGGGAACATCCCAGCTCAGAGAACGTCTGGGACAGCTTCGCCATGACGGGACTGCAATCGGTGGCGCTCCGAGACAACGGCGGCTCTCCAGACGGAAATATCGTCTCCGCCGTCATCTCTTGGCTGGGTTTCAAGCCTTTTAGGCAGTTCTTGTACAGCTTCAAGACCCCTGACGGCGAGAAAGCGCCGTTTGCTCAACCCAAGCCGCTCATCGGGGCTTTCCAGAAAGTCCTGTATCTGCTCAGGACTCAAGTCCAGCCTGGCGCGGGCTCCGTCGACCTGGGGGTCATCGACGATGCACTGGACTGGTACGGTCTCTCGGAACCGCTACACAAGTTCGACGTCGTGCAAGTATGGGAGTGTCTCCGCACTAAACTTGAGGAGGAATTGCGGGAAACAACCTCTGTCAATGTCCTCGAGGACATTTTCGGCCAAAAGCGCGATTACACAAAAGGCGTCTCTAGCTACCGAACCCCAGTTGTCGGTGTGGGTAGCATGCAGGAAGCCGTCAACCAGACTCCAGAGCTCATGAACCCGGACAGCAGTCTCCCTCAACTCTTGTCTGTTGAACTAGAACGGCAATTCTTCGACAGCGCTTCGCGGTCGTACGTCAAGGTCCTCAACAAAGTGTCACTGGATGATTTTATCACCATACGAGGCACGTCATATACGCTCTATGGCTTTGTAGTGCATAAGCAGACCCTTCAATCATGCGTCTACCAAACTATACTCCGGCCTGAAGGACCCGGCTCCCGATGGTACCACTATTCCGATAGTCGAGACGGGAATAAGGTCACCTGCTTGACACAACGACAAGCTGTGACGGCGCACGAAGGCCAGGTTGCAACCGCTCGCACGACAGGTAGTGATGCTATCGCTTACATCGCGATGTATGTCCGCGACAACGTAGCACAGTCTGCTTTCAACTCGCAAGCTGAGTCGGAACAATGGGAAGTTCCGGAATGGATACCCCGAGAGCTCGAGAGGCAAAAGCTTGCTGAACAGCTTCCTCCAATCCCGCTCCCGACAGAGGATCCAGGGGCGGCCCTGCCTGCGGAAGCGGAGGAGATTGTTTCGGAAACGGCGGGCATTGAGGAGCGCGAATTCCAAGTGGTTGATTCACAGGTCTTTCTGCAACACGAAGGTCCAGGGTTCTTCGATGCATTCGACCAGAAGTGGCGATCCGACAGCTCTGGTTTGTTGGCTTCAATTACGCTCAAGATAACCGACAAGTGTCCAGACATTCGCGAAAAGATCGCTACCATCTTCAAGGATGTTAAAAACATCCAGGATCCTAGGCAAGTGAAGTTCTGGTTCGTCGATACCTATCAGGGTTCTTCTGCACACCCTCTGCTAGTGGGTACGGGCAAGATCGAATATTCAAGCGGGAGCTACAACCGCTTCGCTGAGGATGTCAAAGATTGGAAACTGGAGAGTGCATCCGGGGATTGGGCTTGCCGTCGCCTTTGGGTTCACATCGTCCCCTTCACCGACCTGCCTGAGGCCCCCAAAGAGTCTGTGCCCACTCCTGAAGAGACTGCGCGAGGTCCTTCTGAGTCAGCCCAGAGTTCTGAACAAGTTCCTACATCATATACACCCGAGGACAATGACGCTCCTGCTCCGGTAATAGAAGTCGAGCAGCCAGTGCCGCATCCAGATTTAGAAGACACACCTATGAGTGAGCCAGGGGAGCCAGAACCGGCGCCGCCGCAGACCAGCTCACCTCCCTCGGGCGTCGAACGCCAAGGTTCTCCTACCAACGCAACACCTGAGGTTATTGATACCGCTATGGTTGAAGTCGAAGCATCCGCAGCGCCAGATCCTCCCGTGGTTGATGTATTCATTCCCAACGATGCAAGCGACGATACAGAAATGGGTGGAACTCAAGAAGAAGTCACGCCGCCGCCGCCACCCCCGATTGACTTTGCCATGCCTCCGCCTGTTGATATACAAGAACGCCCTCGAACCCCTCCAGGTGAAGCACCGCGGCCGCGAACTCCAGAGCCTCCGCCTGATGAAATATACTTTTTCGTCAAGTACTTCGATGCCGAGAAGCAGACTTTGGAACCTAAAGGCTCCTTCATAACTCCCAAGCCCGCGCGTCTCGACATCACAGTGCAAAAGCTGCTGGAGTTGCCCGACACAAAATTCGAATGGTGGGAAGAAGAAGACATCGTTCAAGCCCGGTCCCTTCGGCGCAACAAGTCTTTCAACTCAAACGACCTCCACAACGCTGCTACCATCGTCTACACAACCCCCCTCACCGACGAGCAGAAGAGCGCTCTTGCAGACCGCGCGGCCTTTGCCGACCTCCCGCAATACCTTCGGTTCCGCGCCAACGCTCGAAACTTTCCATCGCGAATGAATGGCCACTTTACGTTCAACTACTTCTCATCCCAGTATTACAAGGGCGAGTACGTCAAGGGTCACCGCCACGGGCACGGCAGCCGCATCTACCACTCGGGTGCCACCTACGAGGGGTCCTTCCGCCTCGGCCAGCGCCACGGGCACGGCCTCTATACCTTCCAGAACGGCGACACGTACGACGGCGACTGGGTGGCCAACCAGCAGCACGGCACGGGCACGTTTGTGGAAGCGACAACCGGCAACACGTACACGGGCGGGTGGAAGAACGACAAGAAGTTCGGCGAGGGCGTGACGCACTGGAAGAGCGCACAGGAGACGGAGCGCTTGTGTCGGATCTGCTGGGAGGAGGAGGCCGAGGCTGCTTTTTATGACTGCGGGCATGTGGTCGCTTGTGTGCAGTGTGCGAGACAAGTGGAGAATTGCCCCGTGTGTAGGCGGAGGGTGTTGAGCGCTATGAAGCTTTACTATGTGGCGTAGATGAGCGGAGCCTTGGGGATTGGAAACTTGCAGTGTCCGGGTGAGGAAAGGAAGGAGATCAGAGTATGGCGTTTGATCATGGGGTGGGTTCTGTTTGGCGTACGGGTCTTTTTGGATGATAATGGGGGATTTGATTGGGCGTTTTTTTTCTTCCTCTCCATCCGGACCTGTCATAAGTACGAAGTTGTTCCTTCCTTAGCAAGGTGCTGGGTGTATAGGCGTTGCATCTCTCGTTTCATCGTTGAGACGGCAGGTGCTGGGCTAGATTGCGACTTGTAGCTTCATCTATAGGCTACGGCCTATGATCTTAGATTGATTGCACTAACGGTTTGTGTCTTGGACATTGTGTGGAGTCGATATGATGTGATGTTGTCGTGCGTTTGGTGGTGGTTGCCGTGCTCCTGGTTATGCGGGTGGCCAAAGGGACGAAGCACCTTGTTGCACTGGACGAGAAACTGTGGTGCCGACAGTCTGCTTGCTCATACTCCCATTTCGATCAACCCTATTTGGTGCTATAGCTTGAAGCACCCGGGTCTCAGCTTCTGACCTCAGGCCATTGGAAGGCACCACGATATCACAGGCGCTCTGACAGTGTGGAGGAGGTGAATGCTGCAGCATAGGAAGCAACACTAGTCAAAGTGCAGTATCTTACCCCAGGATAGCCTATACACAAGCCAATTGCACGAGGCCAAGTATGGTGTTTTACCATAGGAAAGGCCATACACTAGCCGAGTGCACGAAGTCAGTTATAGTGTGCCAGCCCAGGGACCTCTGAAATGAAGTGCCAGTGCAAGTTGGTTGTGAGTTCACTCCAGAAGAGGGCAGCATAAGCTATAGTATCTAAGGGACAAAGGCGCTGCGCGACTCCCATCTATTAATTTGTCCTCGTCCCGCATCTAGACTCCCATCAGCCGTCCTGCAGTATGAACCAATTTGGCGCTGATGACGAGCATGGAGCCGACGGTCCCGGAAATGAAAAGCTCAAGCCGTGAATCGCGTGTGCACGTTTCCAAGGTTCTTGTCGAATATTTGCAACACAACCCACATCCAGTTGACGGATGAAGAAATCACGACAAAGTGGCTTCGACTTGCACTCCACCTCTGTCTTCGCGACTTGCTCATGAAATGCACGTCGGTCGTGGATTTACGTTCTGTAGCGTTGCCGAACCATCGCCGAACCATCGCCCGGCCGAGCTCCCCAAGCTCAGGCGTCGCTGCTCGTCCACATCGCGAAGCCACCGCAGTGCCCGCGTCACCAGGTCCAGAGGCTCGTCCCGGCTGCCGAAGCTGCCCCACGTCCCCGCCGTCATGAGCGCGCCGTAAAGAGAGCCAAACCCCCGCAAAGCAGCCCACCATGGCGTACGATTCATCGGCGGGATATGCCGCGCCCGGCGCGAGCAGCTTCCAGGACGGCGATGCGACGCTTCCCATGTTCAACATCGAGCGTGTGTCGCTGCAGTTCTCGGTCGCTTCCGACTTTGTGGCCGCCGCCGTCGCAAACAACGTGCTCGTGCTCGCCCTGTCCACGGGACGCATCCTGCGCATCGACCTGGACAGTCCCGCCGACATCGACGGTTCGGTCGCCCAACGAGCACGCTTGTGGACTTTCTCTGACGTGCGCAGATATCGACCTGCCCAAGAAGACGTCCGAGGTCGGCGTCATCAAGCGCTTGTTCCTCGATCCGTCGGCGTCCCACCTCGTCATCACCACCACCCTCGCCGAGAACTTCTACCTCCACACCCAGTCGCGGACGCCCAAGGCCTTGTCCAGGCTCAAAGGCGTCGCAATCGAAAGCATAGCATGGAACCCCTCCCAGCCCACCGCCTCGACGCGCGAGGTTCTCGTTGGTGCGTCCGACGGAAACGTATATGAAGTCTACATCGAGCCGTCGTCCGAGTTCTATCGCCGGGAAGAGCGCTATCTTAAGGGCGTGTACAAGACCAACGATGGGCCCATCACAGGCCTGTGGACCGACATCGTGCCCGGGAGGAACGACTTGCGACGCGTCATCATCGCAACCCCCTCCACGTTTCTGCATTTCGCCGGCAAGGTGGGGCGCCACGGCCACGAAGGGAGCGGCTCCATCTTCTCCAAGCTCTTCGAAACCGAATCGGCAACGGTGCACGAGATCGCCAACGTCGCCTCCACCGCCACCTCGCTCCTCGCCGTGTCGCCTGAGATCGAAGACATACCCTCGTCCGATCATGCAAACACCGAGAGGATATTTGGGTGGCTGACTTCGCAGGGTGTGCTCCATGGCAAATTGCACTTGGCCTCGGACACTTCTGAGCTGGGCGGGAAAGTGCTTGGCGAGTCGAAGATGCTGCCTAGATCACAGATACCGCCCTCACAAAGCGCCAGCGGGCGCAACAGGCGGACGCAAGAGTCTGTCACTTCCATGATCCTCAGTCAGTGGCACATACTGCAACTGATTGATGGCAGGATAGTGGCCACAAACCGATTGGACGACACCATCGTGCTCGACCAAGTAGTATTGGAGCCCGGCCAGACTGCGGTAGCCCTGGTAGCAGATATCAAGAAGAACACTTACTGGCTCTTTACGAATCAGGACATCTTTGAGGTTGTCATCACAGAAGAGAGCCGAGACGTCTGGAAGATCATGCTCAAGGCGCAGCAATTCGATGCCGCATCGCAATACGCAAAGACAGCGGCGCAAAAGGATGCCGTAGCAACAGCATCAGGCGATTACCTGGTTGGAAAAGGACAATACTCGGAAGCCGCAGCCGTCTATGGCCGAAGCACCAAGCCTTTCGAACAGGTGGCACTGACATTCATCGACAAGGGTGAGCAGGATGCTTTACGCAAGTACTTGCTCACCAAACTTTCCACCTTGAAGAAGTCGTCTACCATGCAGCGAATCATGGTCGCCACGTGGCTCACTGAACTCTACATGGCTAAGCTCAACACCCTGGACGATACCATCACCACCAAGGCAGAGCTTTCCGAGAGCATGAACACCGCTGAGACCCAGGATCAGTTGTCAGTCGTTCGGAAAGAATACCAAGAGTTCGTAACCAAGTACAAGTCTGATCTAGATCGAAAGACAGTCTACGAAATCATCAGTAGTCACGGAAGAGAAGAGGAGCTGTTGTACTTCGCTACAGTGGTCAATGACTACAACTATGTCCTCGCCTACTGGGTCCAACGGGAACGGTGGCGCGAGACTTTGGATGTGCTCAAAAAGCAAACCGATCCCGACGTCTTCTACAAGTACAGCAGTGTACTTATGGCGCAGGTTGCAGTGGATCTCGTCGAGATTATGATGCGACAAACGAATTTGAATGCCCGCAAGCTCATACCCGCCTTCCTTAACTACAACAATATTACCAAGGTCCCGCTAAACCAGAATCAAGCGGTGCGATACCTGCTGTTTGAGATCAACCAGCATCAATCGACAGATGCAGCCGTCCACAATACGCTGATTTCCATTTATGCCTCGCATTTCACAAGCGATGAGTCGGCGCTACTTGCGTATCTCGAAGGGCAATCGATGGCCCATGAGCAGAACTACGACGCTGACTTCGCCCTTCGTCTCTGTATACAGCACAACCGCGTACAGTCTTGCGTTCACATCTACAGCTCCATGGGACAGTATGTGCAAGCTGTCGACTTAGCACTCAAATACGACGAGATCGATCTTGCTAGTAACGTTGCGGACCGCTCCAACACCGAGCCCGCTTTGCGCAAAAAACTATGGTTGGCGATCGCCAAGAAGGTTATTTCGCAGTCATCAGGAATCAAGACGGCTATCGAGTTCCTGCGGAGGGTTGACTTGCTACGGATAGAAGATCTCATTCCGTTTTTCCCGGACTTTGTGATCATCGACGACTTCAAAGAGGAGATCTGCTCTGCGTTGGAAGACTACTCGCGCAAGATTGACGAGCTCAAGCTGGAAATGGACGAGTCGGAAGAGACAGCTGCACACATCAAGACCGACATTAAAGCCCTCGAACAGCGATATGCCATCGTGGAGCCAGGCGAACGGTGTTACGTCTGCGGCTTGCCCCTCCTGGCGCGCCAGTTCTTTGTGTTTCCCTGCCAGCACGCTTTTCATAGCGATTGCCTAGCGAAGAAAGTCGTTGAGCTTGCGGGTATGGCAAAGGGTAAGCGTCTTGGTGAACTGCAAATGGAGGTTAGTAAGGGCACAAGCACAGGTGCCAAAAGGGAGAAGGCCATCAAAGAATTGGATGCCTTGGTTGGGTCGTCTTGGTAAGTTGCTGCCTCTTTTGACCAAGTTTGATGACAGGCTAACGCGTGTCGCAGCGTGCTATGCAGCGAGCTGGCCGTTAAGCTTGTCGACGAGCCGTTTGTATCGGCTACGGACGATAAGAACGAATGGGCATTGTAGAACTGGAGATGTAGGATGCAGATACCACAGCTTCCACGCTATCATGACTACACAGTACCAAAGGCTCACAGCTTGCTGATCGCTGCATTGCACAAGATTCGGGAGCGTGTTTGCGAGCTGGTCAATGAGACTAGCAAAACTGGCCATGCCCCTCTTGTTGTTTATTGCAACTCGGGTCCGCAACACGTGATGTGGACATCATCGTTCCGCAGCAGCTCATTCGTGATTTGTAACCACAGATGCCCCGTATCGTCACCAAAAGCGATACGGAGCTGGTAGTACTCGAATCATTGCCCCGATAGGTGTTTGTGACGTTCTTTGATATTTTTGAAGGATTCCCACCCGCATCAAACCGCGCGTCCTCATGCCCTATCATCCAATGTCTTTGAGGTTCCTGAGTATCAGAGGTTCGCTAACCACTACCGCGGCGAGGCGCAGCAATGTTGATCGCGTCAGGGGTAGCACGTCCCGCTGGCTGATCTGTTCCACACGCGAAGGAGCGAGAAGCAGCACGCTAGGATGCCAAGCTGGGATGAGTACCGCGTCTGCATAATTAACAACAATGGTACCTTTTTGTTCTCAGTTGTTATTCCGTACCGAATATTCTCTCACGACGTTACGACCGGCAGGTGCGATGGGGAAGGAAGTCCAGAGCGATGGACATATCATACGGAAACGAACCTTCACTCGCGTATGAGTATCCGCCGCCTTATTCGCCAGTGCGCGGAGCTGGCGAGGGGAACAACGGACTTTGGGACGAAAAGAAGGACGATGGGATCGTAGTACGCATTGCGAGGACCTGGACGAGAACTGCTACATTTCAAGAAGCTCCCAAGAAGCTTGCTCGAACCACGTCGGATTTCCTTCAGCAACGTACATGGCCCGCCATAAGGGACACGACGACAACGCATGTTACGCCAATGATTGCTTCTGCACCGCGGACGACATGGAGCTTCGTTCGGGACCACGTTTGTCGGCCTATCTGGAACTATCCGCTCAAAGCATCACAGTTCTGGGGCCTGTTGTTGCTTCTCTTCGGCATCATTCCTTTCGCGATATACGGATTGATAGTGGGAGCGCCGTACGGTAGATTCTACTATGGTGCTTTTGCCGCAAAGACCTTGGGGTGTGGTGACGCGTTAGGTGTGCCGCAAAATTCGACCGTGGTGGGAATCGAAGCATTGTTCGTCCTGGACTGGACATTTGGCCAATTCTCATTCTCGCGAGTGAAGACGATTGACGTGGCATGGGACATCTTTGTTGGACGTGGCGTGCAAATGATTTTCTGGGCCATATCCTATCGCGTCTTCTCGGACGCGCTGCTGCGCTTGATCGAGCGGCATCCGGCGTCCTTTGAGACGTTCAAGAGTATCAGTCTCGAGGGTCCTGGTCTCGGCTCTTCCTGCATCCTACTGAAGCAGCTTTTCCGCAACCGGGGTGCACGTACTTGGTTCTTGTTCTTCTACATGCTCCTGGCTTCTTTCTACGTGCTCAGTATCCCGCCACTGCTCGGAGCCATGTCTGGGTACGATAGCACGGCGATTGCCTGGGTCGCAGTCGGCAACGACGACACCATCGTCCCTTCTTCCCAGATCATCCAGAGCTACGCTATACTGGGCGTGCGAAATCAAACGTTTGAGCAGCCCATCTGCGACACCACGACCATGGAGCTGCGCGACTTCTTCTACCACAAAATGGACATTGAAAAATACTGCGACTGCAAGCTACCGAACGGAACCGTTCTACCGTTCCAAGAATGGCAGTACCGATATTACTCGTATAATTACAACAATGAGCCGAATTGGGTTCCACCACAGGGACCGTACCAGTATGAAGATTGCAAAACCCACTTCGACGGCCAGACCGGCGTCTACCTGTCTTCCTGGGGCCAAGACTCGGATTATCCGCGCGCCAAAAACTGGGGCGAATACGCCTGCAACGACACGTTTCCCGTTACCCTTCCAGACGGCCAGACGTACTCCATCTACGACATTAACTACACGGCAAGCGGCTACTGCTTCGGAAACAAAACGTACAAGTACTGGGATCTCGTTGACTCTACGCGCTGTCTGCCTGACACAGCGAATCCGAGCTACCAGTGGGGCTTCTCCTCTGCGATGATAGGCGTTTGCTTCATCATCAACCTGGTGTGGTGTCTCTCGATGTGGGTTGTGTGGCAGGATGCACTGAGGGCGAAGCTGGTGAGGAGAGGGTACCGCATGTCACCGTTGCGAGCGGCTTTTATACTCACAGAGGCGGCGCGCCGGAGAACCGGAGTAAACGGGGTCGAAGGCTTGGTGCTGAGGGATAGAAGGCTTCTGAGGAGGGAGCTGAGGCGAGGAAAGGGGAGAAAGGAAGCGGTGGTCGATAGGGAGGTGTTCGAAGAGGGTGAGGGTGATGATGAGGTGGAGTATGGAAAGGGCAATGCGATCACTATCAAGAGACGGCCTGTCAGAACTAGAAGTAGAGATGATGTGGGAGTGTAAAGTGCAATGGAACATGCTGTCTAATGATTCTCGCCGCTACTTCCATTTCCAAGGCCTATCAGACCTACCCCGTGATTAAGCAATGCAAGCACCCAAAGTGCAAAAATTTCTCAGTTATTGCGGTGTAGTCAAGCGGTTTTACCTGGGACAACCGTTTTTACATGGATCGAATAGTGGTAGCGCTATGGCCAAAAGTGCGCCCCGCACCCAAAAAAATCGCAACGCACTCTTCCCGCACCCCCTTCCCGCACCCAAGGATGCTCAAAAGAGTTCAAAAAGACATATGGACTTGCTGGGAATCGAACCCAGGACCTTTCCCACGCTTCCGCAATGCTGTAGAGCACACAAATGCTAAGGGAAAATTATACCACTAAACCACAAGCCCGAATCGTGCTTCGATGTCCAAGTCGCTAAAATAAAAAATTAAGTGCCGGGATATAATATTTGGATCTCCTTGATCGGTTACCAAAATCATAGATTCAAAGAAAGGCCTCCTTCACGATAGTACTGCAAGGTCAGTCTCTAGAGTGGGAACGTCGAATTTTGGCTTATGACATCCGCTTTATAGAAGAACGAAGTTTGCCGGGTGTGAGCTTGCCAACGCGGTAACCCTTCCGACGGAGGCTTCGCCCGGGGTGTCAGCCCCACCGCAGAGGCTAATCTCCCGTCTACCAATCATGGCTTTTGCTATCAAGCCCATAATAACGCGCCCTTGCTGACGCCAACAGCGCTTACTGTTGGTGGCTGAAATCAGACACGATTTTCGAATTACCACTTCTTGAAAGGCAGAAGAGTATGTTGATCACGTGAAATGCCGAACATTTGCGGAAAACGAAGTGGTTTCCAGATTCGACCGCGACAGGCTTTTCGTCTTTCACTGTCTTCGTTCCGCTTCTGCATCAGGGCCACTATCTAAAAGTTACCGCCGCGCGATACCCATGCCAAGTACAGAAAGTTTCACAGCCACGAGAATGTGGCCGTCAGCCGCTTCTGCGCATTTCGGACTGTAGGCTGCAAATGTAAATAGATGCTGAGCTTGCTAGATTATTGAGTCACTACATAGGCACCATCTTACATAGGTACCATTGGCCCACGGTTGACTTACATATACGATAACTGGATTGTTGACGCGAATACGACTTACATGTACAAGCATATTTAGTGGCTTTGATGCAGGCCCACAGGGCTAGATTCACATTCACTTTGAGGCGCCAAGACCGCTCGCTCGCTTAACGCTTTTTGTCCCTATAGTAGGAGCGCTCTACTACCTTTGTTGCCTTTACTCTATCACTTATTAGTTGGTCTTACAACTTAACATTTTTTATACTTATCTTTCCGACCTCTCTCACATACAAAAACCGTCAGTGTCTCTGCTAACCCTATAATCCTTCTGTCTTAGTACTACGCTAGGCCTCCAAGCGAGGGGACACATTCGGCTACGCAACGAACGAGCAGGACTCGTTGGCAGCCTTGGCATATTGACTTACCCATGCACATCCCTAGAAATCCACTACTCGTACGGCAAGGATTCGGGGAATCTTGGGGTCCACGATGTTCGCTGTGAGCAAAGAGTATAAGAATATGCAAGTCGAACGTCTTCTCTGCTCATCCACCAGCTGCTTTGCAATCCGCCAAGCTCCTTTCCTAAGCCGGATTCTCCTCAGGTTGGTAAATCAGAACCTGTAACAAGGTCTTTTTACTTGGTCATCCAGACTTCTACTAAACATACTTGTAGCAAACCACCACTATGCTCCACCTAACCATTTTCACCGCCATGCTCGCCTTTGGTGCAAGCGTTCTCGCTGCTCCCGCCGCCGAAGCTGCACCTGTTCCGGAAGCCAATCCAGCTCCAACTCCAGAGGCCGCGTCATCACTCGTAGCCCGCACTGGCGAGTATCTCGGCGGCATAGACATGAATACAGCCTGCCGCGAACAATGGTTCCGCTTTGCCTACGCCTACCAAGTGGACAACTCATGCAACGCGTGGAAGTGCGAAGAATACGTAGAGTACGGTGTTTCGGGCCTGTATATTGATGTAAATCGTGCTTGCACAAAGCAGCATGGTGTTTCAGCATATGGTTGGTGTACCACCGGTGCGTGGGGTTGGGGGTGCTATAAAAATTAGAACAAATTAAAATAGATATAGTTATTCGTATAAGGAGCTAGATGACTAAGAATCTTATCTGTTTCATCCTCGGTAAGTGACACATTGGCAGCCAGGTACCAGAAATTCCGCGCACAAAGATGCCGTTCATACATTCCACCATACTTTGTGGCTTTCTAACTTTTGGCCGTTGTCTTTGGTTCCGAAATCCCACGGCCCTCACCCGACTAGCTCGTTTCTTTTTCCACTGCGCCTGCCTTTTTCATCCTCGGTAAGTTACAAACACTGACGAAGCCTTGGCACCCAGGCACCAGTCACAAGCTCCTTTGAGCCTGCGTCCACAAATTTTGCGCGCAAAGATACCGCCCGCACCTACATCGGATAAGTATCGCCTTGCCGTCTCTCCTCAGATTACGCGCACTCAGACATAGGGAGATAATGGGGTGAGGTTACCCCCTCGACTTCCATTGCTCAATTCATAGCTGATTGTCACAGTTACTGTCATTACTATAACATCGCCTGGGATACTCTAGAATGGCAGCTCGTCTGGCCCCAATTACTCGACGACGCCCGGCTCATCCTAGAAGCCTCGGACGTTTTGCTATCGGGACCAACTAACGATGAAGCCTCCATTACACCACCAATTGTCGACGAAGACAAGGGTATCATCTTTAGTGGCTTCGCGGACGACTTCCACGATAATTTTGTCTTTTATAGAGATACACTTGGCTTTGGTCCTTTTGTCAAAACGAATAGGAAGCCGTATGACCTTGCGGTGGCATGTGTACTGTTGAGAGCGTTTCTTCTCGCGCCGGAGTGCGTGCATTTGAAGTATGTTTGTCCTTGGTGTTCTGTAATAGAGAGTTATCTTGTGTGATACAGTTCTGATGGTTACTGGACCGACGAAGAATGGATCGATGCTGTGACCTTGTACAAACAGCTGTGGCCGGACGAACAAATTGAGTGTCCCTGGGGTATTACAAGACAAGCAAGATACCATCTCACCGGAAAAGCCGACAGGCTCATTCACGACGGAGGAACCGCTCAACCAGTGAATCAAAGCGCTCGAGCTTGCGTCGCTGCCACTGCTGTTGACGAAAAAAGTTGCGCAATCCATGGTGAAATAGCTGGACTGGATCGCGCACAGAAGTGGCTAGCTACTTGCGACCAGGACCTCGAGCATGTGGCCTGCGGAGCCGCGCCCATTACGTGGCTTCAGCTACCAGGCGTATCGCTCAAGGTGATCGATGTCGAGCGGGCGTGCATCGTGGAGGCACCGAAACATTGCTTTTTCATGGCATTGACATACGTCTGGGGCAAGATAAATCATCCCAAGCTGACGTCAAAAACCGCAGCCGTGCTGATGCAAGAGGGCGGGCTCGACACAATTTGGTCCGATATACCTATGACAACACGCGACGCGATCTTACTGTGTCGGCGCCTGAAGGACAAGTAAGTCTGGGTTGACGCAATCTGTATTAAACAGGACTCTATCCGGGAGATGAAGATCCAGATCCTGCGGATGAGGCAAATTTACTCAGCGGCGAAGTGTACTATCGCTGCAGTGTCTCTTGGATACATAGCATTGGACCGGGAATGGCGGGCTGGTCAAGGGGAAGAATGCATCATGGAGTTCATGGCTTTGGCGGGGAAGAAGCATGGGAAGTGGGAGGGAGAGTGGGTCATTACGATGCTGATGTCCTTGCAGAGGATGGAGAAGCTGGGTATTCGTGATCATGAGAGGTTGCAGGTTATGGACTGTGATTTTCATGAGACATGGTGGCTTTCGATCGTTTCGGACTGGAAAGGCAATGGGGTGAGCTTCCACCATCCCTTTCTTTTCCGCCAGAACTGCACAGGGAGGTCTCTTGGCGGAGAATGAGAGGCCAGTTTCCATGATCCTGAGCCACCGATGTAGTCTAATTCTGCTCTGATCAGATCCTGAGCTTCCCGAGAGCTGCTCATCCAGGACAGGCCTGGCGACGTGCGTTATCCTTCGAATGTTGAGTCTGTCTCTCCTTTCGTACACCCGTCTTACGTTTGAGCATTGTGTATGTGTAGCATGCGAATCAAAATATGGCTACAGTTAGGTAGAAAATGAGACGAGACCCCTTGAAACCTTCGCGGCTTCGCCTAGGGGTAATTCTACTCACGAAATGGTACAAATGACCATCAGAGTCAAAGCGAACCCATTGCCTCAATAGCTTGGTCCAGGAGGTAAAGATACAGATAGCAAGCGTCAGCGGCTGTTTGTAGCTTTCATCACCGATGCCAAATTTTCTGGGCCATCCACGGCGTATTGGAGTGGCCAGACCACTCCTGTTCAAGTGGAATTCGCAGTCGTTGTCTCAATATGGGAGATACCATGATGTATTACAATGACTCCCGCTCTCATTTATCACCAGAGCCCCGAGGCTAACTCAGCTCACGCCAATCGAGCCCTGTTATACTACTCGTCCCAGAAATCTCTTCCGCCATGTTTATTCCCAACAAATGCTTTCCCCGTTTCAACGATTACCACACCGTTATATATATATAATAACCCTTGTGCTTCAAACTTCCAATCCTCACTGAATGTATCTCCGATGTATGCCTTTCCATTAACATCGACTTTCAGGTCTTGGTGTAGACAATCTGTTACTAGCAGCCGCCAAGGAATCTCGTACAGGACACCAAGTGCGTTAGTCTCCCCAAGCTTGAACGCTTGAATACCCTGGATTTGTGCTATTTCCTGTCTGACGAGAGCGAGTTGCGCCTCGGGCGCGGGGAACAGCTTCTCGGTGCTGTTGAACAGCGACGTAATACTGCCGATTAGGTTTTTAAGCTCGGAGCGAGGTTAGAGAACCCACTGACTCGTCTTTAAAATACTGGCGCCTTTCTGCCGTCCGATTGCTAATTCCTTCATCTTGTTTCGAAGACCAAATGTTGCAGGTTCAGGGCTATGCAGGTTTATTCAGCGCATCTAGGGCAGTCTCCTTCTCGCCAGATGGCAAGACTCTGGCGTCTGCTTCGGACGACGCAACATCAGGCTGTGGGACACTGGTAGCGGGAAGTGTCTATCAATCATCGAGATTGAGCAGTCACTCGATAGCATCTCATTCAACTCTGGTGACAGATGTTTGCATACTAACGTCAGTGTTATCGACATTGGTCCCTTAATAATATGGACTCCAGCATTTTTGATTGCAAGACCTTAAGTCCGAAAGTATGAAAGCATAGGCTTAAATGCAGACGATTTGTGGATAACCTAAAATTCAAGGAATATATTATGGTTACCTTGAGAGTATCGATTATCTTGCTCAGCAGTGTCAGGAAACGCTAATGCTATAGGCAAAGGCCGGGGGAAAGTGTGGATATGTAGGGTTCGTAGTTCTATGTTCTAGGAGTACTGGTATATAAGCGAGAATAGTGTTGTTAACCGCGTTAATAGATGAATGGATCGTGGGTATCGAAGTCGTGGGTTATCAAGTCGTCAAGGGTCTGAGTGAATCCAGACTATAGATTGAGAAACAGGTTACACACGTAAGTTCTTGGCGCAGAATTAGTTACGCCTATCACACCCTTGCGCTCTGGAAGAACCGTGGCTTGGCTCAGCCAGGATGACCGGAGTGTGCGATTTTTCAACGCACGCTCTTCCTGCGGGTTGGGGGCGGGGCACTTTACTGGTAGATGGCTAAGAAAACAAGCCGTGCGTAAGCGACACTCTGCAGTTGTTTCCTGTATCTCGCATAAAAACACACAATAGAACATATACCGACCCCTGCAATGCTCTTCGACTGGGATCGAAGTCAATGAGTATGTATAGCGGAAAGCGGGTGGCACGTCTCTCATAGCTGCGGGTGGGAACCCGGGAGCCCATTGTTTGCAAATTATAATCGAGTGTCTCTGTCAAACTTAACATTATTTGCCTCAGCTGAGAAAGCGTCATCATACTCCGTGCGTTGGCTGACATTTTGTACGGTTGGATTGTTCTTGTTACGAAATGCGAAGAGTTACTTGAGGCTGAGCTCCAGGAGTAAGATGGGGCGTTAGACCTCCTCCGACTCAAATCCGATCCCACCACCAATCAGATATCGCATCGCCTCAAGAACACTGCCATCGCGATCTCCTGAGATGGAAAACTTTTTTTGCCTTCTCTTCATTTCACCGAAAGGCTCGGGACCCACTTGTCTAAGTGCAACCTTGAAGCACTGTGTCAAGTCTCAATAGCATTACTCCCATTTCCATCTAGGCCTGGATATGTAAACTAAGACTCATATTGAGGACTGGGCAGCCCGACCTTTCTTGATCAATTTAGTCCTGAATGGAGATGCATCATATAATAACCTGAAAAATTATTCGAATTATTTGCAGCCGGATTGATAGGCATTTAGCCAATCCAGCGATATTGCTAGAGCGCTACGATACTGTTAGACAAATCGTTTACTCTTCATATGTACTATGTTCTTAGTCAGGAGCAATATGATGCAGCGTTTGATTCTAGAGAATCTTTTCTTAGCACCCTCAAGTCAGCCTTCCCATGTTCTCTTACCAAATTTTACCTACAGAAAGTGAGCCACAGTAAGATGCCAAGACGTGGTGTTGCATTATCAGGCGTAGCATACGGAGTCCGGCAACTTGCCTACCACGATGCGGTTCCTCTACACAGTACCGTAGGGATACCAAGACTATAGAGTCCGACTGATTATTTCGCGACTCCAGAAAAGCAGCTTTTACACCACATGTAACTACTTTTTCCAGTGCACTTCGTTGACATCCACATTCATTCATTTTTTCTTGCGCTGTTGCGCATTCCATTCATTTCGATACATTCAACACACTCTTTCTATCATTATTCGTTGCGAATTGATCAGCGCGTAGAGCATGAGACAATTTATTGTCCCGACAGCCGCGTTCGTCAACGCGCTGGGCGCACTTGCGATCGTCGCTTGCAACCACGAGCACCAGAGCGACAAGCACGTTCCTGGTGAAGATGTCGCCAAGACTATTCGCCATTTCCTTGAAGGACCCGGATTCGAACTATGCAACGATCTTCCGTTCGCCAATGCGAGTGAGGTTTTGTACTATGAATCGCCGCATTACACCTTCCAGATCGATCGCCAGGAGCACACCGATTCGGTTGGGAACTGCAGGGCGGCTTTTCAATCTATCTTGAACGAATGTGTTATTGGCGAGAACGTGCTTGGTGGTGATGCATATGTCAATGATATTGGCTATGAGATCTACCACACTGACTTACGTGAGCGTGATATCGTAGGGGGAGGGGAACTAGACGGGTGGATGGAGAATCTTGAAGGCCGCAGTGTTGACGATGGTGGTGATGATGACGACGACAACGACGAATATGAAGAGAATGATGATGATAATGATGATGATGGAGAAGACGAGGAAGGTCTTGAGCGCCGGGACCTTGACGAGAATCGTGCTGCTGATTTGGAAATTGGCGACGAAGAGGACCTCGAAAGTCGTAGCCTGGCTGCCCGCAAGAGTCGAGGTGGAAGCAGACGTACCAGAACCAGGCCCAGTAGGCCCAAGAAGAAGCCAGCCAAAAAGCCGAAGAAGAAACCAGCAAAGAAACCAGCAAAGAAACCAGCAAAGAAACCAGCAAAGAAACCTGCGAAGAAGCCTGGTAAAAAGCCGGCTAAAAAACCAACCAAGTGCCCCTCTGAGAAGAAGACTAAGCCTGGAAAGGGGGGTAAGGTCCAGCCGCTTGCGCCAGCTGGCAAGACGCCTAGTGGTAAGAAGCAGCCTGCAGCCTGCCAACGTGAGGACAAACTCGATTGCAAGAAGATTCTCAGGAAGGCGAAGGCAAAGAATGCCAGAGAGAATGCCAAGAGCAAGTTACTTTCCCGAGATGTCGACGCTCCCCAGGGCCTCGTAGACAGCTTGATACACTCTTTGACTAGGCGAGGTTCTAAGCCCGGTACGGCATGCAATGAGGGAGCGAACACGTTCAACGCACGATCATATCCAAGTGATGCCAACGCGCGCGCACTGGTATGTACATCCCTTTCCACAGTAATACTCAGAGCTGACTCATAGACAGGCGAACGCTCGCGTTTTTGGTTGGCAGCATCCACAGCAGTGCCAAAACATGGCATGGGGGCATACGCCTGCTTTCCGCAAAGTTCCTACAGCGCTCGGCGGCGACTACGAAGTAGAACACATACTAGAATGGCAGATGGTCACCAAATTCTTCGAATGGCTTGACGAAGAAGAATTTGGCGGTCAGGCCCAGTTCACGGATCCGGATCCAGCCCAAAATGGTGCGAAGATTGACTTTTGCACATACTGGAAGAAGACTTGGACACCGAAATTCACTATCCCTGTCAATGGAAACCGCCGTCTAAATGCAAAAAAACATCTTGCGTGGAGATATCCTGGTGTTGATTTCAGGAATGAGTTTGTGTGGCTGCAGGAAGACATCAACGCACCAGCGAAGCAACAGGTAGAATGAAGCGCATCCTCTCGTAAACCCGGCTGACTATTAATAATAGATGTGGACTCGCAAAACTACAAATCAAATCTACGATCTTACTGAGGCTCGCAGATCAATTAACCGTAACCAGAACGATGCCGCCGTCGAAGCCATCCGAGTCAAGGCACTTCTCGGTGCTCAGAAGTACCATAAGAACCCACTGGTCAAGCAGTACTTCGTCGCGCAAGTGCAGCGAATCAGGGATGCGCTCGATGAAATCGATCAAGCTCTACCCAACCACCCACCTGCAGCTGGGCATACTGCATGGCAGCGACAAGGCCTTCGTAATCTCTGGATTAAGTACATGAATGAGGCCTTTACTCTTGCGAAGAGCCGAACAGACAACACTATGAACACAATGCTAAATGCGCTCGAGAACAAGTGGATTAAGCGCGCCAATACACCAAAGAATGATAACTTCAAGCGAACCATCAGAGCACTGAGGACAGAGTGGAGGAAGGAGAAGCGGTCAGGATGGACCCGTCCTAATTGGTAAACATGAGTGGAGTCATAATTTGCGGAGTGGTGTGGTTTGTCATAGGTTCAATTCAACTACTAGAATTAGTATACATATCGAGTTATACATCTCGCTAGTTTTTCTTCCTCCCTTTTATGAGGGGTGCGGCGGCTGGGAAGCCAGTGCTAAGAAGCTGGCTCTCGAAGCGCTCGAATTCGTACCGATCAGAAATTGTATAGTCATGTTCCCAATATTCAGCAATGTCTTCTCCGTGTTTGTCTTTCCCAATCTGTCTCAACATCTCATGAGTCGCCTTGTCGGGGCGCCAGTTCGCTACTTGCCACCAGAGTTGACGATTGCCCTCAACCTGGTGGCCTCGACAGTCCATGAACCCCTCGGTGTCTGGACTAGTGTAGACTAGCCCCCAGACGTTATTGGTATAGACGCCCTTCTTCTTCTTATACTCTCCCATAGCATTACTACGAACTGGTGCCCATAGTATTGCCTGCTTCAAACGGGGCATAAAAGAGGTGGCTCGAGCAAAAGATTGCAGAAGTGGAACAAGCGTTTCATCGTTGGGTACCGTACGTTCCTTCTGGTGAATGAAGTTAGCCCAATCGACCTCATCGCAATGACGGAGGTTCGTGCGATCCAATTCGGTTTCAGCATAAGGAGGATAGTCGGTTTCTTTTATTTCGTATCCTTGCTTGCTCCCACCCTTGTCTGAGAAGTTGAAATACCAATCACCAGATGGGCTCACAATCTGGAACATGACGTGTAGAGTTTGCAGGTTTGGCCAGAATTGAGAAGCACCCTCGGCGGGCCAGAATAGAGTAGGATCTATCAGAGCTATGACGCTGAAGCGACGTAATTGATATGACAGTACGCGTAGGCTGGAGCTGAGTGGATCGTGTCTCGCTGGCGAAACAAGATCGGGAAATGGCTCGCGTTGCTCAAATGCTACAGCTAGCGGGGCTAGGAAGTTGAGTCGAGCAACGCGTAAACCTGATATATGTGCAACATCGAGGATCCGAGCAAAGTCATGGCGTGAGTCTCGCCGTGGGCCAGCCCAGTCCTTCGTGATATATCGCTGCCGATAGTCCTCGTTGCAATCCAGCCATTCGTCACCGCCAATACTGCAATGCAAAGCTGCAAGGTTGGGAAATTTATTGGACAGATCAACCATCATGCGCAAATCAATTTTCCAAAGGGACACGGGGCCGTATTCAACATCAAAGGAGACTTTCATGCCATTCTCAATACGGAGTGCATATATCGATGTGAGATCAGGCAAAGACTCAGGTTCAAGGAGATGAACTCTCCAGCTAACGTAGGCTCGTTGGATGGAATAATTCCCTTGATCGATGTGACGTGTCGGTGTATAGAGTGTAAGCTTGACCTTGCCGTGGGCTTTTTCGGAACGTGCAATATCTTCCGTCTCCTTGACAATTGAAAAAAGGAACTTGATCTGGTCCGTAAAGCTTTCATCGGCCTCCCGTAAATCCTCCTCGGAGTCGCGTACCGGATGGCCATCAGGGTGGGCTTCCCAATCAACCTTTTGATCCAATGCCGGGATAGTTGATCTGAAGGTGAGATGCTGGAGATAGCCAAGGCGCCGGCCCCCAAACGTGTTTACAAACCGGCGGGCGGTCTCTTTGTTCAGCTCGAAATCACTGAAAGCGCCTGAGTACTTCTCGGCCGCGACTTGGAACGCAGGTGACACGGTGAGCGTATGTTTCAGGTCTTCAGGACCGAGATAGCTACTGATATGGTCGACTAGCTCCTGTGGTAAGTTGTCCATGGTATTGCGATTCCAGAGGCAGTCCGTGGAGGCAGCTGCGATAAGCGAATACTTGAACTCGAGAAACTGCCGCATATATCGGGTCTGCTTCTGTAATAAAGCTTAAACAACTTTAAGAAAAGAACTTGGAGTCGGCGGGATCGTTCAAATGGCTGTATCGTGGGTCGGCATCAATTTGGCTTGCCTTCGTTACGCAATAACAAACTTAGGCTAACCCACTTTTGGAAGTCGGTGTACATCGCCGAAATCCGTAGCAAGGGTGTCGCGTACACTTAGGCAATCCCGAGGTATTCTATCTCGCGATCAACTTTTCCCGAGAATACTACGATGTTATTAAGAAATCGTCCGTATATAGGGAATCTGATAGGTGTACGATCACTAAGTTCTATAAGATAAGCGAGCGATGCCAAGGGATGGGAACCAGGAGACACCTCAGCCGTACGGTGTGGTGATAGATAGAAATGAACAATGAACAACTCCTTTACCCCTTACGGAAGTGCACTTGTATACTTCGATTGCTTTGCAGAAGAAGCTGTCTTACAGTAATACTATAATTACAAGCTTCATTCCACTACCTAAGTTACTGTCACGAGAACAGGGAGTAGAGAAGTCCTAACTTAGACAGCTGGATTGAAAATACTGCGTTCGATATCTACGTATTATTAAAAGATGTTGGATGAGGAAGAAGTCCCTATCTCCCATCCCACGAAAATCTATCAGTCCCGCTTGTCACGTGCGAGCACCTGGGTGGTCAGTGTCATGGCTAGAGAGCCATGTGGTACACAGACCACCTGTGTTCTGACTCATTGGTTCGGTGTTCTGTAAAGACAACTAGCCTTGAATCAATCTGTCGGCTCCTTGCAAGATGTAGGTGGGAGGTTCAGCGTGCCAGAGCGGCAACCCAGCGAAGCGACAGAACGGCGGTGGCAGCTGTCCGCTAATCCCCGGGCACAACGTCAACTGGAACGAAGGCCCGAACGAACCCGAGTGCAAGGCGGAGGACCATTGCGACCCGAACCCCACGATCCCACACCCGCCCGACTCCTACGACCCCAAGGACCCTGAAAACCCGCACGGCACGACCAATCCTTCGGACATTCCAACGCTGATTGGGTCTGCCAATCCTTGTTCTTTTACACAGTCGCCTTTACCTACACAATCACCTTCCCCTACACGGTCGCAGCCTATTAGTTCTCCCACTCCAACGTTGGGCCCCTTGGATCCCAAAAACCCCCGAATGTGACAAACGCAGTGCCGAAATAGGCTCGAGTATGTGTCTGCCGGCGTGCCACTCGTGTCTCATCAACCAGTGCTGGGACTACCAGCTCCTGTTTGAGGGCGGCCAAGATCCCACGAGGCCCGATAGCCCTGAGTGCAACCAGTGTGCCGATAATCTGGGTGCAAGCGATTGTACAGCATCCGATGACCAGTGTCTGTTGGACCAATGCCATGGCGATGAGACGTGCTTCTACTGCAAGTTTGACTGCGAAGGTCTCGTCTCATAGAGAGCTATATCACTCCCTTACTTTTCTTTGTTCATGTTTACCGTAACTAAGTAACGCAATGGAATACGTGCCTTAACTATCTAATTTTATTTCAATTGAGTGTTGTTGACATGACATCATCTTCACATGTAAGGTGATTAGTGCGTGGAATATACGATGACGAAGGTCGTGTCAAATAGAGACTGGCAGAAATCAAGTTGGATTCATGGCGAGTGCGAGATCGTTTTTTTTTTTTTTGGAATATATTGATAGTGTAGAAGCGGGGCAACAAGTCAAGAAGTGCAAAATTAAAGACCTAGTAGAAAACGCGTAAAACAGTAGTAAGAAGGAGAAGGAGTAGTAGCTATTAGAGCTTTTATGTCAATTAATTATAGAAACCCAGTATCAGACTTATGCAAGAGCGAGAAAGATTATGAATAGCTTACCCAACTACATAATATTACACTTTGACGAACATGACTGCTCGCTCGACTCCACAGGAGATGCATCTTTTGGATCAAAAGGCCATATATCTGCCCCTTTGGTCAGCTCAATCCATCAAGACGATTTTTCCAAAGACTCACAGTCTAGAACACTTGGGTCTTTAACACACGGGCAGGCCTCAAGCTCAAGGACTTTTGAATCCTTCCTCAGAACTAAGGCGCTAGGAAAGTATCTATCCAGATAGCCCAGAATGGATAAGGGTACGCGCGGCCTCTTGTCCACAAGTACCTTATCCGGCTCTTTCCTGGGTGGATCATCTTCCACCGGATCCCATTCACCATCTGGGGAGTGATAAATCACGTCGGCCATATAGCGGATGGGAAAGGCGACAATGCCATACTTTATGCGCTCAATGTTCGAAACGTTAATGACTACCATGCCATATTCCAAACAGTCGCCATGAAAGGGAGTTGATAGCGGCTGAAACTGCACGTCGCTGGTGCGAGTGCTTTCATTGCCCCTTAACAAACCCTCTACAAGGCACGTACTAGTAACGGGAAAATCTCTAGGTGCGACATTTTGCGGTAGTTCAGGCTGCCAAATCGGCGTCCATTCATCCTTCCAGCCACGGAATGGAGGTTGCGGCGAGTCAGGCAGCGCATCCGATCTTGCTTCTGTACCCGCTTCCTGGCGTTGGAGATACCATTCCTTCGCCCGTGCCCGCTCTGCCTCAAGGGAGGCACGGTTCGCGGGCTCCGACAGGACCTTGAGCAGACTCAGAATGTCGTTGACGAGATTTTCGATACGTGCCTGAGGCGAGGGGCTGACATCATTGCCTTGGCGGTAGGCGACAGCGAGCGGACGGATGCTTCCTCGAGGGCCAACATTGGCGACTACATAAAAGAGAAAGGACCTTTGGCTGTTCTCGTAGAGGGATATATATCCAGAAGGCATTGCGAGAAAGATCGTAGTAGAGAAGAAGAGGTGCCTTCGGACCATGTGTTGGCATTTATTGTGGCAGACCTCGTGAGGATCGTAAGTCACCTGACCTTTGACTAGACCTTCTTCAGCATAGCGCTAATACGAGGTACACACAATCTCAGCTAGCTCACACAGCGGACACAAATAGGCCTATCTAACACAAATGTCAGTGCCTCTTCTTTTTCAGACAACACGATTAGCGAGTAGTCTAAGTCGTCCCTACTTTGGTGCAGGTTTGTATGGAGAGTTTCGAAGTCGGCTATTTGAATGGTGGATTTTGGGTTCGCTGTATAATTCTTTTCAGCCATCAGCAACCAAAAATATTAGAAGGTATATTTCAGGTACATCCACTCTCCATAGTCAGATCATAGGTTTTTAAGAAACTTTATCGTCAGCCCAACAGTACCCGCGCCTATTTCAAGGATCCTGGAAGTCCCGGGCGACAATATCGGTTTAATGTTGGATTTCAAGTCAATAGGATTTGGTCCCTTGTTAACGAGACCCTCAAGTTTTCAAGTTTGGGATTCGATAATTTAATTTTCCGAACGGAAACCATTTCTACGGCTGGGATGCTGTCGTCAAATGTTGAAACCCCCATTCTTAAAATGGAGTTTAGGTTTCGCACAACGCGCCTTTGAAGGACATCGAACTATAATAGTACTCCGACTTTCGTTTTCCATTTATCGAAGGTGGAAATTGAAAAAGTGGACTTCGGATCTGTAATTGTGTTATCCAGGTTTTGAACCCGCCTTAGTAATCTTAGAGACAAAGCCGGGACGCAATTTCTACTATGATAACCTTCATGTATGACCGACTAACCTCAATGGTTATTGTGAAGGATTCTTGTGTCGCATATGTGCCTGCAGAACAGGGTATCGAGATTGAAGATCTACATGCACGTGGTGAACTCCTTCTGAGCTTGCGCCTTGTAGCAATTTTCGATTTGCACTCAAGGACTGATAAAATGCCAGCAGCTCGCCTCAAATGCTTCTTAGTTTAGCTCTCAATGAAGTTCACAACATGTTCGCTGAAGATTCAGACTACGACTCCGAAATTGCTGCAGATGTGCTGCAGATGACAATTCAGGGCAATCTGGGCCCAATTCATACGACATTGAGGGCATAAGAAGCATCACGAAGCACTGGCAGAGATTTTGCATCAATGTTCCTTCCCTCAAAAGCACATAGCCTAGCACACTAGCAGGTCACATGCCATCGCGCTTAGGCGCGCTGGGCGCAACTGCCTCATGTTACTCTTGTACGACGTCGGTACCTTGGGCGGAACGTTGTTCCGCTCCGGCGACTGCGCACAAAAAATAGAGCCAACTTACTTCACATACGACTCTAGATGCAGGAGACCGTGCTCGTCCTCACAAAAGGCCAGCTAGCTTCGTCACGCGGCACATGCACGCTGATGTGGCAAGAACATACTAGTCCGGCAGGTCGCTGACAGTCCCTCCCTGCAGTCCTTAACAATAGTTCATGTGATTGGTTATCAGCCTGCACAGTCATGTTGTACGACTTGCATTAGAGTAGTATTGGAAAAGCAGCACGGAGTTCGCCGATCCACCCACTACTTCCCTCTCCATATCCATCCTTGCATGTTAATAAGCTAGCCGGGGCCGACCATTGCTCCGCAGGCTAAATTCCGGTGTCATGGTCCTGCACGGCCAGCTCTCTGAACCTACTCGAATCGACAGCTCGAAACATCTGTTACCCACAAGCAGTTCGACTAAATAAATCGAAACGAGTTACTAGAGACTTATCACATCTCCTCACCACCACAATGTCCGACTCGGACTCCTCCGAAACACCTTTAGACAGTCTTAGCATTACATTCGGAGTCTCAAGTAATATACAAAATATCACCGACTACTATCGTAGAGCAACAGAAGGGCTTTTTGATAACAATGGGAACGCTAATGACCCCACGCCAGGGGCTGTACTTGGCAGCCTCATGCTCGGTGTGGTAAGGGGTTTTGTTCTCGAGCATTCGACTCAGGGCCAAGAGGCTATGTTGTCACTCTTATGGAGCAACGTCGAGTCTGCACAAAAGTCATTCCGTGAAGTTGCTCAACAGTTCGAAGTCAAAATTGAAGAAGCAAAAGTGGCAAATTCACGCTGGAATCAGGTGAACAAAGATAAGATCCGACAATCGGCCAATGCCAGAGAGCTCTACCAAATGGTCGAAAAGCTGATTGAAGCTCGATGGGCTGTCCCGCGATTTCCTAGAGTCTCGATTCCCGAGCCTACTACTCGTTCGTTCCTAGAGCCTCACACCACACCATGGGAAATATTCGAGTACACGAGGTTGGAATCACCAAACAACACCATCCGTCTGGTAAGAATGGAATCCATCTCCGAATCACTCGAACTCCCAATACGTATAACGACAAGAATGGTTTGTCTTGAAGACAGCGTTCCCTTCGCAACGCTGTCATACACCTGGGGAAACCCTTTTGGTGTATTTTGTTCTGAGAAAGACCGCGATGCTGCCCCACGCACAGACATACCAATAATATGTGACGGAAGACTCTTGAAAATTGGCGAAAACTTGTACAGATTTCTCTGCAGATGGAGGCAGGCGCTCGCCAATTTTGATGAGAGGATGAGAGAATACGACGCGCCCAGCGAAGTGCTAGAGGTATCCAGGCCGCCTGCAGAGTTCTGGATCGACGCGATATGCATAAATCAGGAAGACCTTGAGGAGAAAAGCCAGCAGGTCTCGATTATGGGTGACTTGTACACCAAGAGTGCGATCACTTGGGTATGGCTAGGAGAGCACGACCAGTTTTCTAAAGATGCATTCGGCGTTCTACAAGACCTCGCCAACCAATCCGATGGTGCGAATGATGAGAGCCTCCAGACTCTGGACGTGGACAACGAACTACTTGTCAGTTCTGGCCTGCCGGACACAAATTCATGGAAGTGGTTCGCTGTCTTCGCCCTTTTTCAGCGACAGTGGTTTCGACGGTCGTGGGTGGTGCAGGAAGCGGCGCTTTCTTCTCGAATTCTCTTCCAATGCGGGTCGCTAAATGTGCCCTTTTGGATGATTGTGTCCGCCTGCAACAGTATTCGGCGATTCGGCTTTTTGGAGAAACTGATTACTAATGTCGGCATGTATGAGATGGGGCCAACCCGATTCGAGCTGAGGATAGCGAATGGACCTACCCAAAGGACTTTTTTCAAGACGTCAAGCAAGGGCCCATCAGAACTCAGGTATTATCATCATCGAGAGGGAGTCGAGCTCCAGTCCGCGAGGATGATTTCTAGAATCATCAGAATAAAGACACTGGATTCCGAGATCCTCATCAACGATAGGAATTTCTTAGTTGTCAAAGACTCCAACAACACTTTTGATAACGTTTCTGCCTTGCTGGACCTCTGGAAGCTCAGTCGGAATACTCTCTGTGGTAACCCAAGAGACAAAGTATATGCATTGGCATCTTTAGCCAATAGGGACGTATACAAGACCTCACGTACTGTTCAAGACCGCAGACTGTTGAAGCCAGACTACAAGAGGTCTGTGTGCGAGGTCTACTGCGAAGCGGCATGGTTCACAATATTAACGCATGCCAGCCTGGATCTGCTGTCGATGGCTGGGCACACTGCACTAAATAATAATAAGCACGGCTTACCATCGTGGATTCCTGACCTATCTCAATCACCTCGCTTCCTTGCTCTCAATGAATACCTCAAAGCCAACCCTGGGATCGGCTGGCGAGCCAGCGGTGGGGTGCGCTGGGAGATCCCAGCGCCGTCCATGCGATACGGGCGGCACCTGGGCGTTCAAGCCATATTCATGGGCAAGATACGGGAAACAGATCACGAAGAGCCAGATTTCAGTGACAAAGAATTTTTGAAAGTGAATTTCAAGCAAATTCTGGAGTTCTCCAAACTGCTCCCATCGACCTACCTTGGCCACCAAGATGGCCAGGCCCGGTTCGAAGTGATTTGGAGAACAATCATAGCTGACACAATAAACGGTATCTCGCCAGCTCCTTCCAATTATGCCGTTGAGTTCGAAAGGCTGTACATGAGAGCTATTAAAAAGGTCGTCGATAATCGCGCGGTAGGCAATTTCGGAAACGGGGAAATGGTTGGCTCATGGCCGTCTGAAAACGACGAAGTGCTTAGCACATGGTCGATTATGAAGGATATGGGAAGACTACATGATCACTCAACTTTGGCTGTTGCAATGGAAGAAGGGACCAATGAGACTGCAAACTTTCAGCAGCGAGTAATCGCTACGATGGATAAACGTAGGCTTTTTGTAGCTGACACCGGTCACGTCGGTTGTGGAGATTCGAGGCTTTCTATTGGCGATTTCATAGTTGTTATCGCTGGATCTTCTATTCCTTTTCTTTTGCGGTCTGGCTCCAGTGGGAGCTATATATTGATTGGGGAGGCCTATGTTCATGGCATGATGTTCGGTGAACATGCTTTTAGACCTAATGCAAAGTGGGAGCATCTTAGGTTAGAATAAAACTCTAACGTACCTGGTAAGCGAGCTGGCCACCCCACCAGCTTTTCGTGACGCGCGACCTACCAACCACCATGTCTCAACCAACAGCTGCTCGATCATCCTACAACGAAGCAGATATGCTCCTTGCTATATCAAGTCTAGATAAGCACCAAATAAAAAGTGTCCAGAACGCTGCATCTATGTCACGAGAGCAACGAGTAGAGACGTCTACGGCCTAGTAGGCTAGACTGATATTACTGCGTTCGGTATCTACGTGTAGGTACGGAGGTGCATTTCAAAAGTTCTTGCCCCCCCCCGGCACCTTGGCGGAAGGGGTTCTCAGCCGTAAACTCAATGGGGTAATTGACTCCGGTTTTGACAGGGGTTTGACAGGGGTTTGACAGGGGGTTTGATAGGGGATCTATGAATCTATCTCCATGAACGATCTCTGCCCTCCTTGAACTCATTACCTCCTTCTAGCTCAATGATCTTTGGAATATGAATTGGGATGCGCTCAATCCAAGCCTGAATCTTATCCTGAGGTAGATCCTTCCAACACTTCTCCTATACATGAATTGCCTCAGCTCTAGACTTTGGAGCTCCTTTCTTTGTAGTTTCTCTTTTCATCCAAAACCAACAAGGCTCAATTGCATTAAGATCTGGTGAGTTCCCACACTAAAGAAGCCTTTCTATCTCTTGTAGGCTATAGATATAGCTTTGTGCATAGTGACTATGTGAAGGAGCCTTATCTTCTTGGACTATTGTTGCTGGCCTTTTCTTTTAACAAGATTTTGCGAAGGGGAAGAGCTTTGGAAGTAGGATTTTAGATTGGTAATGATACCAATCAATTACAGATCTAGATCCTCGTGATAACTTGCCATTCCTTTTAGTCCATTTCCATTGAGGTTGCCGCCTAGGTTGGGTATGTAGAGATAGACGCCGCATGCTATTTTCTATCTCCCATTTCTCTTTCATGATAGGTTCAAGTTCTTGATTCAATCTCTCAATCTCCTTTGTAGCCTCCTCTTTCTTTGCCTTTGTCTCTGATAGCCAGCAATGACAAGGTCCCTTCTCATCATATGAAAAGCAGCCCCAAAACATGAACTCAGAGTAGCCTTTCCACCTCACTCGAATACAGCTTCTTACAAAGGCTTTATCTACTTTGCGCCAAACTCGATAGCCTCCACGTCTATAGAGTAAAACAACAGAGGTTTCATCAGACCAGATCACATTCTTCCAATCCTCTATAGTCCAATATTTATGTTGAAGACACCAGTTTAGCCTCTCTGTCCTCATCTTCTTCGTCAGTCCAGGCTTCCTCGTTGGTTTTGTCTTCTTGAATCCTGCAATCTTGAGGACCCGCCAAACTGTTGTAGATGATACATTCACTCCCTTTTGGCTAAGGTCCCCAGCAAGATCAGCATAAGATTTCTCTCGCCTATAGCGATCAGTGCGTACAGAGTTAATTACACTTTTAGAGATATTAGGTTGTTTTGTTGGCCTGCCAGATCGTGGAGCATCTTCAAGATAGCTATTTTGAACTTGCAAAGGCCTTTCATCTGGATCAAAACCTCGTTCAATTGCCCGTGAATAGATTGATCGAATTGACCGTATAGGAATATGAGTAATATGATTGATCTCTGCATTTGTAGTGCCCATAGCTTTTAAACAGACAATAAAGGCACGAGTAGCAATATCATATTGAGGCATGGTTGAGTAATTGATTGGATTTAATTGATTGAATTTGAACTGAAAACCCTTTAAAAACCCCTCCAAAAGTTGAGGATACGTATACTCGGAGTCAATTACCCCATTGGGTTTACGGCTGAGAACCCCTGTCCGCCAAGGTGCCGGGGGGGCAAGAACTTTTGAAATGCACCTCCGTACAAGACGTTGGATAAGGAGAAAAGGTCCTCTTCCCCTTAGCCAACATGGATCTATCATCTCGCTTCGTCGCGTGTCCTTACCAAGGGTAGCTAGCGCCATGATTCGGCCAATTAGCTAGTAGACGGTCACCCGTATGCTGTTCTATTGGCTGGCAGCCAGCGCGCGATACCTCTGAGATATACTGTTGCCAGCAGTATATCCATGCTTGTCAGGTAGCCTGGGGTTACCGTGACAACGTGGAAAACCCCTTGTAACAGTGGGGTGGCCAGCTCGCTTACCAGGTACGTTATACATTTCTTGTAAATTTAGTTCATAATTAAGGATGTATTAATGTATTGTTACGATCACAAAGAAGCACGACAGGGAATCAGTAGAGGATGGCGTAACAAGGAATATGGCTACTAAAGGATAAAGAGCCAACGACAACGACGCCGCTCAGAACGAGCGAATACCAACATCACGTAACGAGACCCCGTAGAGGCGAGAACTTGGCAGGACCTCAGGTTCACGTAACGAGATCCGGCATAAAACGAGACCCCTAGGGACCCAGTTGGATCCCGGGACCTCGACGAAGGATCGGAAGACGGTAAGGGATAGGACGACTAGTATTTAGTCGAGGACATTCTCTAAACATTTCTATTCTTCGTAGTCAACTTCGAAAGCTTACTTTCATATCTAAATTGAAGCCACTCGTCTTTACACGAACCATTAGCCTTCTCTTGATATTTGTTGCATCGTATTATCATACGGTGTAGGATATTCACCCAACCTCTTTGGTACCGCCATCCCTCACGCTCGAATCACTGAATACCCGCAAGGTCCAAACCTACGGTTAGGTACGTGGATACCCTTGTAACAAGCAGATTGTCATGCTTCTTGCGATTGCAGGAACAACTTCACCTTCCAGTTCGCCCCACTATAGCAATTTTTTCCCTTGGCTTAATATTTAGGTTAATTTTTCAAAGAACCATGCACTCATCTCTCAAGGGATCACAATCTAGGCTCCGTTCCTGGTTACTTCTCCGCGAGGATTTGCTTATATACTAATAAGAGGCTAAGACGTTCTCCAATTAGACAGCGCCAAACTATGGCCAATCTTCTGGTAGCTGTTGTGTCACACTATTTCCATTCTCGGTCCTTACTGCCTTATTAAAGCTCTCAAGCCTGCCTATTACCCCGATAACCAGCTCTAGTAATGTCCATTGCTTTACAATATTTATTAGGATAGGTGCAAAGCTCATTAGTGACATCAGTATTGCCCTAGTAAACCCCACATTTGCTCTTAATTCGGTTGCTAGAGCCACAACAAGGATAACTAGAACTGCAACCATCAGTGCAAGAGCCGTCATCAACCAAGTCTAGACAATGGATAGAAGATAAGATAGGCATTGAGAAGCATCAACCCGTGCGTGATTGAGTGTAATATACCAGTCAGTCCAGCCGAAAGCTCGAAGGATGGGAAGGCCTGCAATAGTTTCTAAGAAATGGGTGCTAAAGATAATAGTTCATTAGGTCGAACGTACGGTGTAAAACATATAAGAGTGGACTTTTAGTTTCCAGGTCCAAAATGCGAAGCTGCTTTAAAGATTTTAGGTAGAAACTTTATAGCCCGTAAATTATTCTGCCAAAAATAGGATACGATATGTCAACATATGGTGACAGTTACAATGACGATAGCCATGCTGATGGACATTTCGATCGCAAAGATGAACTCGAAAAGATGCTCCTCTAGCTTAGTATTAATGATATTAAGATCTTGGGAGAATCTATTTAGTAATACTCCTGGCGGCGTCTTATTAAAGAGGCTGAGCGGCGCCACTATGAGTTGTTTATCGCTTAGTGGTGGAAGATCCGGCTAGATCGCCTTACCAAATGAATACTTGTAATTGCAATAGCAACCATAAGGCAAATTAGACTAAGACTTTGAATGACGGCATATATGCCAAGGTAGAAGCCTTCCTGAGACTTATCCTAACGGTGTTAGGTGCTATAATTAGACCAGAATTTAAGCCACACATTTCCGAAATTATTGCCGAAAGCAGCCGATAGAGACAAGATAATAAATAACAACGTCGAAATCGGCCCCAAAGTAGACAAATATCACTTATAGGTAGTGAAATCACCCAACTGTCTCTAACGATCTTTATAATTAACCTCCATAGCGATAGGGTCTGCTGAAGACTCGTTAGCTTTGGATATAGTGGGAACGTTACTCTGAGTAGTAATTCCAGCTTTATTTTGGATGTTCAAGGTCTAGACATAGCTCCGGGTTGATTTCAAATGTTCGTATGTTCCTTGTTCCACGATCCTACCGTTAACTCCTAAGGCAATGATATGGTCCGCATGCGGTAGATGTCTAGTTGCATGGCTATAGAAGATAGTAGTGGCACTAAGTTTCCTAAGCAAGCCTTTCGTGCTAAAAACTTTTTTAAAGATAATTTCCTCGGTGGGCTCGTCCAAACCGCTGAAAATGTCATCAAATACGAATATGGACGGCCTCGCGAAAAGTGCCCGAGCAATGGCGAGCCTATATCGCTATCCGCCGCTCAAATTCGATCCGTTCGGGCCAGCCATGAATATATCTCTCCTGGATAATGTTGCGAAGTCCGGAGATATAGTGGCTTCGATTATCTTATTGTACCATTTCTTGTCATACTGCCTATGGCCCACGATATCTCGTACGCTGGCATCAGGTATGGATGTGTACTGATCACAGAAGCCAATTTGCGCTCTGCCTGGTCCGCCTGCAGCGAGGCTGAGTCTGAGGTTGCAGCCCGCTGAAGGCGAGCCCCTCGCTGCCTCAGGCGCACATCCATTCCTGTCAACGAAGATATATTGTTGTCTACAACCGTCCTTTATTGCACACTCGACCCATTTAGACATACTTCTTGCACCCTGACATGCCGCCCTTCTCCAAAGAAGCCCAGCTCGTGCACGACTATGAGCCTGCAGCGGGAGCGCCAACGACCAAAACTTTACCAGGCTACCCTTTGGTCACGTTGAACAACGCCTCCCGCATGAGACAGTTCTTGGAGCAGGAACTCTGGTGCAAAGATCTGGAGACGATGGCGCCGCGCCTCTGGATCATGACGACTTTCTCTAGCGCCAACATCCACCCGTTGCACCGCCAGCGGGTCAAGGGTCGGGAGATCGTCGTCACGGAAGAACCGCGACTCCATCTGGTTTGGATACATGTCCGGATCTTTGTAAAGCCGCTGCCACGTTATCTGTTGTCACAAACCTTCTGGAAAACGCATCTAGATGCGGGCTCAACCCAAGCGGGCTACAGTCGGAGCGACCTCTTCAAGGTTGCGACTGGGTTTCTGCGGACATACCGCTACTTGATCCAGCACGAGTCCGACTTCCATATCGCTCAGCAGGATGACTTCCGTCTCGTACCTAAAGACATAGACTGGCCATCGTTCTGCCGGTTCGTCTTAGAACTCAGCCATATCGACAATGCGGCCGTGTCAAAGAGATACTACTATGGCGAACTAAGGCTAACGCGACTTAACTTGTATGCGCTGCTACTTCTCCGCAAGTTCCACTTCGAGCAGGTGCACGGACAGTACGGAGACTTCTTTAGACGGCTGTATGGGCCTGTGCTCTTTGTGTTTACCGTTGTTTCTATAATTCTAAACTTAATGTAGGTTGTGCTTGCGGTCGACCAGCTTGAGGCCTCTCATTGGGAGGCAATGTGGCACGTGTCTCGATACTTTAGTATAATCAGTCTTATGGCAGCGGCTATTGTATCCTTGTGGTTCGTCGTGCTGTGGCTATGGATATTCCTCGATGAATGGATATACACTGCAAGGCAAAAGCTAAGGAAGAAGCAGAAGGCCTGAAACACATTATTGCGCTAGGATAGGCATGCTTAGAATACCGTATATAATACTACGCAACAATATGCTATATTAGATTTGTGGCACTAGATGGGAATAATGTTAGCTAACTACTGTAGGAATAGCTGTGGCTGAACATAAGCCGAAAAATGCTAGCGGCGAGAAGTCTGGCGGAGCAGGATGTACCTTAACGTACCGCTGTGGCTGGGCCAGCGAGGTGGTGAAGAGGTAGATGGTGGTAATAGCGCACTTACAAGGAGGTGTGTTGAGCCGCACTAGCTAGAGGGTTGTTGAAGAGGCGATGGTTTGTAGAAATGGCTGAAGAGGAGAGTGCTGTAGGTGTAGGCTCTGGATAGTGTAGAGTCTTGCCAAGCCACTGCTATAGCTCTGCTAGCACTCATCTCTTACGAACATGAACAACCTAAACTCCTCACAACTATTAGAAGTTGCACTAGAGTACTTCTGCATAGCCCTAATAATTGTAGATTGCAGTGCCCATGTAAGGAGTACGATTTTGTTGGTGGATAGTTTGACTCAGCACCCGTGATCTACGCCAAGCTGGGTTATTCTCATTCTCACTCTACCCTCACGAAACTAGGAGGGAAAAGACTTTAGTAACGTTTATAGTGATTACTGCCAACTCCTTTAAGGCGTGCGTATTAGTTCCTCTCTCGTTTACTAGAGCCTGTGTAGTGACCTAATAACTTAGGAACTATGGTATCGGGTTACATATGCACGTGTTTGCAGCCTATAGTCCGGAGTGCGTAGAAACAGCTAACGGCTACTGTAACACTAATTACCACATTCTTGTGATAGAAAAACCTCATGTGCCTGGCACGGGTATTGCGTAGTGGTCCCCTCTAGATAGGTGGCCGTGATGCGGACACCGTAATTGAGAAACGAAAAGAAGATAGTAAATGACGAAAATTGAATTAGGTGTTGTGGTTGAATCGAGAAACCACTTCTCATTTTTCGCAAATGTTTGGTAGCATTTCACTTGATTGAAAAGCTCTTCCGCCTTTCGAGAAGTGGTAATTCGGAAATTGGGTCTGGTTTCAGCCACCAACATTAAGCGCTATTGGCGTTAGCAAGGTGTGTCATCATGGGCTTGAGCCAAAGCCATGATTGGTAGACGTGAGATGAGCCTCTGTCGTTGGGCTGACATTCTGGGCAAAGCTTCCGTTGGAAGGGTTACCGTGTTGGCAAGCTCACAATTGGCGAACTTCATAGTGCTGTGAAAACGGATGTGATAAGCTAAGACGCGACGTTTCCTCTCTAGACGTCGACATTGTCGTAGTTCCACAAAAGCGAGCTATTTTCAGTTTTAGAAAGTGGAACTTGTTCTCCGAGACTCAATGCACGCATTCTGGTACTTATATTTTAATTTCTAGTCATCGTTCATCAAACGCGTGAACCGCATCGGTGGTTTAGTGGTAAAATTAGCCGTTGCCATTGGCCTGGTATTCATCAGTTCAACAGTGTCGGCTAGCCCCGGGTTCGATTGTGAGTAGCTCCGCTTTACAAAAAAAAAATGCATTGTCTAACATTCATCAGCCCGGCCGATGCAATCATTAATTTCCTTTTTGCATCGGGATTCCCTCAGGGTTATGTCGATGCATTTTTTGTCCTTTGGCGACTTCGTAGGACCGGTTATTGTCAGTGTGGACTTCTGTGCTGTTTTGCGATGTTTTTGTGCCGGAATGACGGATCTAAGCGAGGCCCAAGCCACTCGCACCGCCACATCTGCGCCACGCGCCTGCCACGCGACTTGGACTCGACTCTCCCCCGCCATTTCTTTTCACTGCACAGCGCGAAAGCAACCCTGTTTAGGCGCCTACATAGCCTCGCAATGCATGTCATGCCCTGAGCCGCTCCATTAAAGCTCTTTCCCCCACTCAATGCCGCCGTGACTACATGCTGTGAAAGTCCTCACCGCCCCTTCACGTTCCCTTCACAACACGCGCATATGTAACTACTGATACCACCAGGCGCCCCCTCTACTGTGCGACTCCACTCCAATGGCGCTTTTTACGGGGCGTACCCCCGAAGCCCTGATTCCTCGCTCAGACTCGCGAAATCCCGCTACGACATGCAAGGGCATTACGAAATCAGGACGACCGTGTAGACGTGCAATCGATGCGAGAGATTCCTCGCACAACAATGGTGTACTGGCAGTTGCATCAGTCATAAGCGACAACGATGACGAGGAGACGGGTGCAGCAGCGTTCTTTTGCTGGCAGCACAAGGATCAAGCAGAGCACCTGATGGCTCCGAACGCTGCAGGGTCTGGTGCGCAAGACACTCATTTATATCCATTGCAAGAGCGGAATAGCATCGATACGTTGGTAGCACGCTTAGGTGTGCTTGATATGGAAGAGCCGGAAACCGCACCACAGCGGAGGCGTAGGCGGAGTAGGCAAGAGAATTCCACGAGTAGGCCTCCGCGAAGAATCAATAGGCCGCCGACCTGGGACCAGGTTCAAGGACCTTTGATGTCGGTTCCGAGCGACGTGATGGCAGAGAGGAGACGGCAGATAAGCCAACGGCCAGAACCTCGAACGCAACGAAAGAAGCGGAGTTTCTGGACGTCGCTGTGCTGCGGCTCGGCAGACGACGACGACGACTATGTGGAGGTAGTGAGGCACAAGAGAAGAACACAGGGGCAGTCAGTTGCGTCAACTCCTCTGCAAATGGCTGAGGCTTCGCGGCCACAGAGAACGCATCAAGATCGGCCTAGCAATACCTCGAGTCCCGCGTCAGCGCCACGTCCAGCGACCACCAATGTGCCTGCACGGCAACCTTTAGGCGACAAGCCTGCTCGACCGCTCAACAAAACATCACGCCCATCGGAAACGTCGGCGCTGCTCTCATATATTCCAAAATCCATTTCACCACAAACAACGTCGGCGCTCCTTACCGAGCTATCGAAACCGATCTCCGGGCATGACGAAGAAGGATACATCTATATCTTCTGGCTTACTCCCGAATCTGCGGGGCCTGCTCCGTCTTCTACAGCATCAAGCCTACTAGCCCCGCCAACACGTCCAGAGCAAGGCCGGCGCACTTCAGACGTTCTCCGACAGTACTCTGTGCGTCGACCGCAGCGCCCGCGTCTGGATGCTGCAGAAGAGAAGAACACCATCCTCTTAAAGATCGGGCGTGCAAACAATGTAACCCGCCGCATGCACGAATGGACACGCCAATGCGGCTACAGCCTCTCGCTTGTACGGTTCTATCCATACGTTCCTTCGACACCGACAGCATCACCACAAGGCTCTCCAGCTCACTCGAGGCGGCCGTCCTACAATAATCAGCGTCCCCCGGATCCTGCGCGACGAGTGTCGGAGGGCGTAAGGAAGGTGCCGCACGCGCATCGTGTGGAGCGCTTGATTCATATCGAACTTGCAGGCCAGCGGGTGACGAAGAAGTGCGATGCTTGTGGGAAGGATCATAGAGAGTGGTTTGAGGTAGAAGCGAGTAAGGAGGGCGTGAAAGGCGTGGATGAAGTGGTTAAGCGGTGGGTTGAGTGGGCTGAGAGGAAAGATCAATCTTGAGAGGTATGTTTATCATAGTCTATGCATAAAATGCCTTGGCAGAATTCCCATGTTGCCAATATACGCAAATAGTAAATTCAGAGTCCTTGAGTACCGCTGTAGAGGGCGCAGCTGCAAATTGCTGCTCGCTCAGCCATGTACAGCTGGGAATGCAGCGCCCCTCTTTGGATTGTATCGAGCACAACACTAAGAACTGAGTGATACGCGACCGGGTGTAGCGACCCAATCATGCATAGGCACAGGTCCTAGGATGCTCGGTCGTGGCGGCTTATCATAGGTCAACTGTATGCGTGGCTGCTTTTTGGGGCTGTGGCAACTGTGGCAATGTAAGCCTCCTCCCCGTCATCTCTGCTTCATTAAACATTCGACCATGGTCCATCGGTTTTTGACCGCAAATCTCTTTTCAAGATGGCGAACGAAGTACCAGATCCATCTCAGAGCAGCACGCACAGTCGCTCTCCCAAGCTCAATCCCCATTATGGTATTGAAGGCATCTTGGAATCGCTGAGCCCCCACGTCCCAACGCCTGATGGTGCAACACCACTAAAGCTTTTTCTACAAGCTCAAGACGAATACTTTTCGAAAATAACAGCCGAGGCAAAAGATGCCCTGTTTCCCAAAGGATCTTTCAAGTCCTCAGAAGATCTGATCGAAGACCTGCAGGCTACCAACGCCTTGCAGCATTCCAATCACAGTCGATTATTACGTGGCTCGCTCGAAAATATCAAACGGTTCGCGGACAGATTGCAACCGTACTTTGAAATTATAGGAATAATCATCCAGTCTCACCCTGAGATAGCAGCCATTATATGGGGTTGCATCCGAGCCACTCTACTCGTAGGTACCTTTGAATAGACAAGGAGCAGTCATACGTTGACTGACCCTTCAGCTTGCTTGTAACCATACTTCCTTCTTTGAACACCTTGCCAATACCATTAGCGTCTTGACTTCCCATCTGCCTCAATTGGAGAACGTATACCAGTTGCTGCTTCATTATGGGAAGGAGCCATCAGAACGCTTAAAGTTTGCTTTGCAGCAGGTGTACCTTGATCTCTTTTTCTTCTTTGAAAGAATCAAAAGCATCTTCATACAGAAAAAGGGCAGTAAGTATCACCTGTTACTTCTCGAACTACTCTTACTATGGTGCTTAGGTCCTCGTTGGACAATCGCTGTGATAGCTAAGTTATCCGTCACCTCGTTTGAGAGTAGGTTCAAGGACCTTCAGGGACGCATGCGGTATCAGACTAGTATCATTAGCAGTGAAGTACAACTTATACTTCTTGAGAACTCGATGGCACAATTGGCGATACAGAAGGAGACATATGAGCTTGAGCAGCAGAAACCGAACGGGAAGTCGGAAGTTCTTCTGTCCGACAAAGCCGTTGTGCGTCAAGAATTCCAAGAGCAGGAGATGCACTGCAGAACAACATTGCACAAGTATGTCCGAGAAGCGGAAACTGCCTTACTCAGACTTCGAGAATTAGCGGAGGAATATATCGGCCCACTGAAGGATAGAGGTCATACAAAGGTCAATGAAGGTGCGTGCTCACTTGACTTACCGTCGCTGCACGCTCATCGTTTAGGTAAAAACAAGGAAGAGAGGCTATGGTACATACGTTCTTGGCTTGATGCTCCTGAATTCTCTGTGGCCTTTGATCAGCACTGCCACGCACGCCAAAGAAATACATCGCAATGGTTTTTGGAGGAGCCTGTCTTCAATGCTTGGATGTCGTCGCTCCTACAGGCCTCACCCCTAAAGGACCTTTCCCATGAAAATACTCTTTTCGTTTCAGGTATTCCATTACTTCTTCTTCTACATCGTTTTATTACTGACATCGGAAACTCGAAAGGCCACCCCGGTAATGGAAAATCGGTACTTGCCGCTGCGGCTGTAGAATACTTGCTCGGCCTTCCAGATTCATCTTGCTACTATTTTTTCTTCTCCGATAACGACTCGGCTTCAAAACGAGCCTGCGCGTACCGAGCTTTGTTGGCCCAGGTTGTGCATAAAAGAAGTGCGGACACAAGCTTCATGGAAAGCATCGAAGTCACCATGTTCAAGAAGTCTATAGGCACGAAAGCATCTGTCGCCGACATGATGGACTTGTTGAACATCTGCGCACGTACTGAACCGCAGTGCTATGTTGTGCTTGACGGTATAGATGAATGTTGCGACAGAGACGAGCTTCTGTCCGACCTTAGAGAAATCTTCGGCAAGTCGGAAGTCAAGCTTCTCCTATTTGGCCGACCAAGCGTCGTCGGGCTAGCAGAAACTCTGCCTTCACATCGTCAGTTCCAATTAGGCCGGCGGACAGAACCAGATATCCAGCTCTACGCAACTTCAAAGCTGCAGGAGCTGATGCAGTCCAAATTGATACCCGCAAATGAGGATCTGAACCTAATGGTGGATCGAATGGTGGTCGGATCTGATGGCATGTTCTTGTGGGCTAGGCTGATGATCGAATATCTCAAACTTCCAGTTCTACAACCGAGGAAGCGCGTCAAAATTCTATTGAACCTCTCGACGCCGGAACGTCTTGACGACATGTACGACCGCATCATGTCCCACATATCACGCTTGAATACCACAGAACAGCATTTGGCGGCATGGATCTTTGCTTTCTTGGCCTATGCGCGCACAGAAATAAGTGCGGAAGAATTACGTGAGTCCAGCCGCCTGGTATATACTGACACAGAAGAAGAAGCAAACGACGAAGACCACTTCGAGAGCAGTGTGATCGTGAGTTGTGCCTGCCTCGTGACGAAGGACACCTCTCGAAAGCCTGCGCTATTCCGCTTTATGCACACATCTGTCAGGGACTTTCTTGCGCGAGCCAAAACTAATGTACCGAGAGAGATAGCGTTGTCTGCGGCCGAGTCTCATGCCATGATTGCCAGAGTGTGCATTCAGTACTTGCATACAGTTATGCTCTCGTACCCTCTGAGCACTGGTAGAGAAGATAACCAGAAGTCCTCCTTGACCAACAGATACCCTCTGAGCGAGTATGTTTCTGTGCACTGGATTCATCACCTGCAGATGGCTCTGAAATTGCCATGCAGTCCAGATCGTCTGGACCCGCTGCATAATCAGAAGTTGACTGAACTGGCTACGACAGCACTCGCATTCCTCTCAGCACCAACCCAGATTTCTATATGGCTGGAGGCCGTTTACCTTTTCGGACGCGCAACGCACGCCGGAGCTTCACCCAAAAGGCAGATCGAGCTTTGCATCAGCCCGCAGATTAAGTCACTGGCTGTTTGTGCAAATACGGCACAAAGATCCTTTGAAAAGACTCCTGAGCTCTCTCCTAAGGATGTTTGGGATCAACTTCCACAACTAGCAGAGTTCTGGTTCGAGTTGAATCGTGAATGGGGCGAGCAGCTCATCCAATATCCATCATGCATATGGACGGAGTGTCCAGCTTTCAACCCAAATCCATGGCTTCATCCTACCAACGAGATGAAGGTGCACTCTCTGACAACCGATAAAGATGACCCTCTGCTCTCGCCAAATTTGAGCACTACGAGCCTGAAAACCGTATCGAAAACTTCATCAGACGGAGTCCACATTGCAGTGTTGGGCATCTGGCCGTCCAGGTAAAGCATGTATGCATTTACATGTCGCAATCTTATTAACATATGCAGAGCATACCAGGAGATTGCCATGCAAACTGGTCAACGTCTTTCGTGGGATGAAAATTTAATTAATGTGTTGAAACAGCTGTCGTCTGGGTGGGTTGCTAGATATCAGATCTTTTCCATTGCCAATGACCCGGAACTGCTATTTGAAATGGATTGCCCGCTGGAGCAGCCCAAGGTATGGACGCAAATCAGACAGTCATTGTGGAAAGAAGGCGACAGCAATGCTGCAGAAAATTTTCGCCTACAATGCCCGGTGGCGATCTGCTCCTCACTGCGGCGTTTCGCGGTCCTGGGAGACGTCTACTCGCCACAAGCTTCACCTGGAAGCGGGTCTTCATACCAGTTGGCTTCGATCGTTCCTAGTTTCAATGAGGTTCTCAGACATAACTGGAGCTACATGTCACCCGATAGTACTCAGAATACGTTCCACGCCTGCTACGAGGCAGCGACACTGGATTCATGGGTCCATCGGAACTGCAGGCTATATCTTTACTGGGTATGGTTTAGTTTGGATGGTAAATACTTATTTTACGTAGATAAGGCTCCCTCACAACCTAGCAGCCTTGCCATATGGGACCTAGGCCAGGATGACTCTTCACCCACGCTGCAGCTAATCAACTCTGGATCTTTGACGTTATACAGAGGGATGAAGGAGGTGTATTGCGATGCTGGAACGTTCCATCCCACGCAACATCTGCTCCTTTTCTCATTGGTCGGATCCGTATATCTATGGCCTTTCGATCACGGTGAGCATACTGTTTCATGAGGTGCTCGGGTCCATTGCTGACTTGAGTAGACGTAAGCAAGATCATCCAGATTCACCACAGCTTTGATAGTTTCCAATCCGTAACATTCTCTGACGACGGCGAGTTTATTGTCATCAACCCGGTCACAGCACGATACCCGGTCATTAAGAAGATACCCGAAGACATTCTTACGCTACTCCAAGCCGGTAGAGCAATCGAAGGGTCACTGACCCAGGAAACAAAAATAACTAGAATAAAATCCTCTGGCGAATTGTCCAAGACTTTTGGCGTCAATGTTTATCTATCGGCCGCCGTGCAAGAAACCCAGGTTACTGTGCACAAAGATGGAAGTAGCTCAGGTGTGTCAGCCAATCCAAGCTCAAGCAATGCCATCGAGGTCCACGCCTGGAAGGAACATGCGGGTGGAGAATTTAAGCGCTCAGATGTCCATTTCGAGTTTTCAAAATTGCCCAGTGGTTTTGACATACAGAACATGTCAACGACGCTGCTACCTCAGCTGCGTCAGGGAAGGATTCGTATGGTCATCGAAGGCTCGCGCAGACCTTGGTCAGGGATCTCGAAGAACAGAGGGAGCCGGCCGTTGCTTGTTGAAAGACATCGTCAGTCCACCAAGTATTTCCAACGGCAAATTGATTGGTCTCGTACGGTTGAACAATCTTTTGTCCCTGTGATCGCGATGGAGGATCATAAGGACCTTTAGGAATTTAGACTGTCTATTGCAATGGTCGATCACCTGCAGTCGAATGTGCTTCGCTTTCGCGCAACGGTTCTACGTAACAGCTACCGTGCAATGGTATCGTGTCCCCTCGTCCGGTCCACAGTACTCTCACAACAATCAAATATCTTAAGTCTAAGATAATTTCTTGAAAGGCGGGAAACATGAGGAAACCCTAGAATAACTTAAAGTACGATGCAGTTTCACAATGTTCACAATGCGAGAGACCGTACAATCTATTTGATTAGAGGGAAAGGTGTTCCCGTGTTTGGTCGGTGTGCTACGTGCAGGAGCTGGAGACTTACCCGTCTTGCCTTCAGCCTTGTGGCGGGACAACCTGTGCACGCCTTCGTTCTGGAAGTCATGTGAGTGCTAGGCAGCAGTGCTGTTAAGAAAATCTGACTTGACGAGTGGGTTGTTATGTAGGCGGAACTGGGAGGATACCATGACACCGGAAAAAGCTGCACAAAAGCAAAATTTTCCTCGGAATGCGGAGCTCGCATATTCTTCTCAGTACAGTGGGGTCGTACCTTGTCTGTTCCGGATACTCACATTAGCTTCCATATTCAAAAGAATCTTAATGACGCGAACCATTCCTTTCCGCAGCGAAAAATAGCGGCGCCTAGCCCTCATTTCTGGGGATCTCCCGATCTAAGCTGTATCATGACAGTATATGAACAACAGCAACACATCCTTCTTTCGCAGCTCAAGCTAGTGCTGTGCAGCTCCCTGATTCTCGAACATTGAACTCATTATCGGAGCGGTCAGGGAGAACAAAGAAATTTAGTTCGTGCATTTGCCGTTTGGCGTGCCTTCGCAGGGCAGCCTGCGACTCCAAAATTTACAGTTCCTTGGAGTGCATTCAGCAGAATGTGTTCGGTAACGCATCCATGTTCACATCAGTTGCTAGGGATAACATGCGAATTCAGGTGCTCGGAGAATGCGTGAAAACGGTGTGGGGACCAATGTCAACAGCGCTTATTACCACAGACTTATGAGTGGCACGTCTTGCGCAGCGTCAACCGCTGCTGGGATTGTAGCGCATGTTCGCGAGTGTGAGATTTTTTCTTTTCCCTTTGTCTTTCTTGTTTAATTTGTTACATTCCTATTTAGGCTGAGCAGAAGAACCTTCGTCGCGCAGATTCAAAGTGATTCGCTCTGGTTTGCAGCAAGACAACTACTGGGTAAATGACTGGAGATAGTCCGAATCGAGATGTACAGAAGGCTGGGGCGAGGGTAAAGTAATTGGCAACGTCCGAAAGCAGTGTTTTGCGAGGGTTATTTTCACACCTTTTCTATGGCTCTCTGGTCACGAATTCATACTCTCTACCAAGAACCGCCACCATTAAGGGCCAACTATCACTGCATTAATTCCGGTAAGATGTTTCCTTCCGCTCATCTTCGTTGGCCAGTCCACTGTTGATGCCGAATGCTGTAGCCAATGTAATAGTTGATTCAAGATCTCTAGGAAAGTATGAATAGGCAGGGAAAGGACTTCCTCAAATGATAGTATACAAGTGCCTGCAAGAAGCCCATCGACCAAGTGATATACAAGCCTTGGGCACTGTAAGCGACTACGACATTCAACAGAGACCCCCTTCCCGCGCCTGGTGCCAGCTGCATCTCACCAATAGGCATTCGGCACAGCAACCTCTTGCACCCATTTACTCAATTACAACGAAGCATGCTACACCTCTCTATACAAGAGAGCTCGCCCTTAGCTTTACGACACGGCACACTTTCCACCCTAAATTACAAGCATGGATACAGGAGGTCTTCAAGTCTCGTCAGATATCCGCGCCGTGGAACATTGTATGCACCAGCAAAGGGTAGGCAACATCCTCCACACGCTTGGCCCTTGCACAGAGCACGGTCAGTTCCTCAGCGTCGGCGTCGACGCAACCGTTTTCGGTATAACAGTGGAAGCGGGTCTGGAGCTGGAGGTCAAGGTGTCGGAGAGATCGGTAGCGTATCGGGGATCGACGAATAGGATTGTTTTTGCGTATCGGGTAGTTAGAATCAAGCTGAAGCGTGATGGCGAGGTGAAGTATCGGTACAAGAGTGGTGGGAAGTATGCTGAAGTCGATGAGAATAGCGGGGAGGAGGAGAAGTGGGTGGTATAGGTGTTGGCAGAGCAGAATAGGGAGAAAGAGTTTCGGACAGGATGAGGGCGGAGGTGAAAGACTATGAATGGGTTGCTCAACGTCTACGGGTCCAGAACAAGATATGGACGCCGGGAATAACAGTAATTTTGCGCTCAAAAAAGATCGATCATGCATACTGCCATTATTGAATTATACGTCATCCTCGATTACCACTTTGCCGCACATGGCGGGGGTCGCATCGAGGCTCACTACGTCCCTTCTTATTCCGCGGCATGAACTGCTCGGCGAGTCAAGGAAACTGCTCGAACGGCAACTTGATCTGCTCAGTGATGTGCTCCAGAATGGTTAAGATCTTCTCATCTTCGAATCTTCTTCCCACCAGCTGCAGACTGACGGGCAGTCCATCGAACGCTTCCGGATCCCACAACTCCCGATTATACGTATCGTGTTCACTGAGCGGGCTCTGTTCTCGATCCCACTTGTCTAGTGACTTGTCCACCTTCGTGACGGGAAATGCAACACCTGGGTAATCGAGCAGGTTCCATTGCGAGGTGTATGACCAGTATTTCGCGGTGTTGTGCTTGGGCGCTACACCCGGATTCACAGGACAGAGGACAGCGTCTACGCCTAGCTCGTTCCAGTGTAGCGCGTATTCCTTGCGGTACGCCTCGCGTTCTTCGAGCCAGTATGTCAACTCACCGACATCGAGTTTCTTAACGCAGGTATTTTGCGTGATGATCCATTCAGAAAGCGGTCTCCAAGGTTCGCCAGAAGAGTTGATTGCTTCGCCGTCAGCTTCACCGCCGTCAGTGAAGTAGAGTGACGCAATAATCGCCCAGGCTTCTTCATGGAGATATGGATTGAAATCTACGACTTCAACGCCCTGAATCTGAAGGCGATCTGCCACCGTCCTCAAGGCGCGGGTTATTGGCGGATGTGGTCGAACGATCTGATCGTCCCAAAGCACGCCAATCCTCAAGGGGCGGTCCTGTGGCAATTGGAACTCTCGGCAGGGGAATGGAACCAAGGCGGGTTCGGTCAGCCAGGGCTGCGAATCTAGAATTGTCTTCATGAACAGCCTGAGTCCCGATAACGTTGTTGACATAGGACCCAACACCGATTCGACGGTGTCGGCACCAGCCATGATATATCCCCAACCATCAGTTGGTATCCGAAAAGCCGTTGGCTTGATACCATACACGCCGCAGTTTGCAGCTGGGTTGCGTATGGAGCCGCCCACGTCAGATCCAATGCCAAGGCATGAGCCATGAAGGGCAAGCAGCGCTCCCTCTCCACCCGAGCTGCCGCCAGACGAGTGATTTCTGTTGTATGGGTTGTTCGTGACACCATACAGGTTGGAATCTGTTTCTAGATGCATCATAGTTTGTGGTATGGTGGTCCGGCAGTGGAAAACTGCGCCAGCTTTGCGTAGTATCTGCAGTATATGCGCATCTTCCTTGGCAATGTTGTCGTAATGGGACACATAGCCCGTAGTACATCGCAGGCCTTGGAAACCGATATGCTCTTTGACGCTGATAGGTAGGCCATGTAGAGGGCCTATGGGTCTTCTGTGCTCCTGGAAATAAGCGTCCAGTTCTTTCGCCCGCGTCAAAGCTTGCGTTGGCAGGAGTTCGGTGAGACAGTTGACGAGGCCCTGGGCGACGGCAGCTCGCTGTAGGTAAGCAGTAGTGACATCGACCGCAGACACTTGGCCAGTTGAAAGGAATGTGAGGAGCTGTTCGGGAGGCAGGTCGGTGATGAATATAACATTCGGATGCAGGAGCTCTGGTGCGATGGGCAAGACGTTTCTAGGCAGCTCTGTTGGTAGTTTCGGTGCTGGTGGACTGAGTGCGTTGAGGGTCGAGTCACGGTGCTCCTGGGCTTCCTTGGCAACTTCCTGCCACGGCCTTTTCGGCTTCGCTCTGGGTGGCATCTCGGTGTCCGTCCGAAGGATGGAAAGAGGGAGCACAATGGATCTGGGGTACTGCAACTTGGCGCACGCGTGCGGTACTCAGCTCTCCCTTTATAGCAGAGCTGTCATCCCACAAGGCCAATAATTAGGGCACATTGTGCCGGTCATGGTGAGGGGCGAGATACACAGCGGGCCGAGACGCAGCTGCAGGAGAGCGATGCGAGTCGTGCTGATTGGACCAGGCGGTGAGGCTGTTGCAAAAGGCCATGAGTCGCAATCGCATTCGTTTTCGCTTGCAACCAGCAAGCGGGAGGAGCTGGAGGACTGGCGGGAGGGCAGGGGCTCGATGACAAACGTGGCAGCCACTGTGGCGGCGGCCGCTATGATCGCGTTGGCGTCGCGTCGAAACCTGCCGCCGGAGAAAAAAAAGCAGCCGACAGAAGACTGAGACTGCCAAATAATTTCACATTTCTTCCCCTCCGTCATCGCAACAAGTTTGTCAGAGGAATTTCTCTCGCTGGTCCTTCTTTCCTCCCTAGGTAGATAGCCAATGAAGTCATTGTTTCTTGCACGTCATATTCGAACTCAGTCGCACCTGCCGTCGCTTTATCTGCACCGCGCCTTCTCACCTCAACCGCAGCTTTCGATCCTAAGCTCGTCGCCGACCCTCTCGCCGATCAACCAACAGCGCCATATCTCCTCACTCGCACTGTTCGAAGCCATGCCACCCCCACCGAGACGTCGAGGTGGCGGCCGCGGCGGACGTGGTGGAAAGCGACCCGGATCGCCGTACACGGTACGCAACATGAGCGATGGACGACCCCCGCGTGCCACACAGGAGCAGGGCCAGGAGCCCCAGATTCGCACGGCACCTGCAGATTCAAAGCCACCCCTTGTGGTTGAGGGTCAAAAGCCTTACTCGGATATGAAAGGCATCTTGTACGTTGTCCTGAGACGCGCTCTGCGGTCAACAGCCCGAGCGCAAGTCGGTTGGCGTCCATGTTACCTGTTATGCAGTAACAAAGAGTACTCGTACTCTTGGAATGACGCTGCATGTCCTCTTCCGCGCCATCCTTCACAAAGACGATCTGGCTAACCATTCTAGGCACCCTGGCTTGTTAGAAGGAGTCGACGCAATGGGCTTCAAGTTCATGTCTCCGGTACAGGAGAAGGTGTTCAGTGAACTACCATCGTTATCTTCGGATTGCTTGGTGCAGGCCAAGACCGGTACGGGTAAAACTGCCGCTTTCCTGCTTCCCGCCATACAGAACCTTTTATCTGGGAACAAACCGCCCCGCGGCGGTGTTGCTATTCTCGTTATCTGCCCTACGCGTGAACTCGCCCTACAGATCGCCAAAGAATGCCAGGATATCACAGCACGCCTTCCGCAGAAGCTCGAGTGCCACACCGCCTTTGGTGGCACTCAGCGCGCGTCGAGCTTGAAGCGCTTCATCACTGGCAACCCAAGCATTTTGGTTGCTACCCCAGGTCGCCTTGACGACATTCTGGGTGAAAAGGAAGTCCGAGAGAGGCTTCAGGGGCTTAAGACGCTGGTGTTGGACGAAGCCGACCGTATGCTGGATGCTGGTTTTGCACCGGCGATCCACAAGATCTTGAAGCGACTCCCTCCCAAGAGCGATGGCTGGCAAGGCATGTGCTTTTCAGCGACTCTGCCGGAACGCGTGAACGATGTGGTCAAATGCGTGCTTTTCCCCGGCTATACCTCGCTCTCCACCGTCGACCCCAATGAAGCCCCGACAGTCGCTCGTGTGCCCCAATTTTCTGTCTCTTTGACCTCGATCAAGCAAACTTTTGCAGCTCTGCTTGCGGTTCTGCAGAAGGAACACGAGTCCAACCCGGATGACTTCAAGGTCGTCGTGTTCGGCACCACCGCAAATGGCGTAGGCATGCTCTACGATCTCTGCAAAGTTGCCCTCCCTCAATTCAGGACGTTCGAACTGCATAGCCGTATGAGCCAGAACGCTCGGACGCGAACCACCAATGAGTTCAAGGAAGCACCCAGCGGCATCTTGATTGCCTCTGATGTCGTAAGTAACCAATGCTCATGTTTTTGAGGTCTATACATACTGATAACGACAGGTCGGGCGTGGCATGGACTTCCCCAACGTCAGTCTAGTAATCCAACTGGGTCTCCCCTCGGATGCTGAACAGTATGTTCATCGAGTTGGACGCACAGCAAGAGCTGGTCGTGATGGTAGGGCAGTCATCATACTGTTCTCCAACGAAAGTTTCTTCATTCACACCAACCCGGCCCTGCCCATCAAGCCATATCCGACCGACATCGTGGCCGAGCTGCAAAAGTACCAGCCTCTGGTTGAGAAGTCTTTCCCGCGGGTTGACGAAGTTGCGAAGGCTAAAGCTTACCAAGCTTTCCTCGGGTACAACAAGACATATCTCAAGAAACTAAGGTTGCAGCCGAAGGAGCTGGTGCAGGTAGCTAATGACTACGCGTACGCGATGGGATGCCCCGAGCCACCTATGATCGACAAGAAGGTCGTCGGCAAGATGGGGTTGAAGGGCGTTCCTGGGATAAGGATCGGCTCGACATACTGATAGCTTGCTGAATTAGAAGTGGTTGGCGCTTGGCAGCGCGTTCTCGAACGAATATCGGATTCATAGCTGAATGCTTGGATATGAAAGCTGAGGGCCTGGCTTCGATATCATACCGCGCTTGGAGCCGGCTGGAGGGTACAGCGTACCCCGACGATCCACAACTGTAGGGCGGCTTGGTTGAGACACGCTCGGAAGCACTCTCGTCTCGCGCGATCTATCTAGACCGCCTATGGCGCAACGCCCACGGGAGAGTCCTTGATGCCTTTGGCGCAACGGTGATATGGCCCGAGCTGCCAACCGTCGTTGATCCATGCAACTCGATGCTGAATGTGGCGTTCAGCCACAATTACTTCACCGCCCGGTTTGGGGAAGCTCAAACGCAAGGGATGGGGGCGAATGAGCCCAAGTTCGACTACACTCCAACAAATTCGAAAATTCTTTGCACTTTGATCTCTATGCTTAATCATCTTCTGCCGTCCGCTTTTGCAAGCTATCGTCACTGCTTTCCAACTGTCTTTCCTGCAGTGTCCACCCCTTGTTGTCGAGGATAATCGTGTTACTGAACCCTAGGCTCGAAGAAGACGTCAGTGAGTGAATTTCATATGGGCACACGAGACAGCCACGTTCCTGCTCTGCCTGCCGGTATCGCCGTTAGAAGTATCTGTGCAACTGTTCACCTGTTCAGCCATACTGACGGTACCTGAAATACAGACGCATCCACTGCTGTACATCCCTTCTTTCCACCTGAATTGATCAAGACTCAGATCTGCCAAGGGTGTTGCCTCCCGCTGGGACACTGGCCGAGCCGTGCATCCGTAACCTTGGCCCTGGACCTGTCCAAGCCAGACTGTTCTGAATCTGCGGGAGTCAAGACGACGACAGTCTCATGCCCCCAAATACATTCGACGTTCGACAAGCGACCTTGATGGCGAAACACAGCCACAGGTGAGATCTTTGTGGCCAGCTCGCTTCTCAAATCACACATCCGGTGGTAGCTTGGCCTTCACACCGTCTTCCAAGCTTCCTCCTGAGCACTCTAGCGTTAGGACAAGGCCACCATCGTGTCAATCTGCTCAGCGCCGTGGTGCATCGTCTAACCCAAACTACTCGATAGCAATGATAATGGTCTCGGGATCCATCTCGTTGCGTTCGCAATTGCTCAGCCGCCTCGTGTCTTCCAGACATCCAATTTCCTATGGCATCACCTTCCGATGCGCAAAAGTATTTAAGGGCCTCAATCTTGCATTCACGGATTCATCATCGAGCAACCTACACTCGCTTCAGCTGCTCCTTCGTCCGCTCGCTTCGTTTCCGACTCCTCGACGCCATGAGGTCTCCTACTGTGCTGGCTGTTCTTGCAGCCCTTCCGGCCATTTCTGCCCAGGTGACTTCGGCACCGGCCACGCGAATTTCGACGGTCTTCTCTACGGAGACCGGTCTGCCATGCTCTACTCTCAAAGGGCCGACTCCCTTTGTCATCTTTGGGATCACGACCAGCTTCCAATTCACCTACACCGTTACGCAGAACAATACGCTCCCTCCTAGCACTTTCCATTCTGCGAACACTGTCACCGTTACACGTAACTCAACTACAGTGACGAGCCTCTTGACAACCACTGCCACTGCCACTATCACGAGCACCGTTACACCGGCTGTGGTCACTGTCTCGCCGGTAAGTAGAGCCCGGCAACTTATGTCGTACTCGCCCCTGCGGAAATTCCCACTGACCTTTTATTTCTATTCTAGTCGCCTGGATGGCTCCCACTTCAGGGTGCGCAAGCCGTTGCATCTGCTACACCCCTGCCTCGCATCGCACGTGGTGCACTCGAAGGCCAATCTATGCCATTTAATCTCTTCAAACGCGATGAACCCATCACCAGGCAGATTGGATGGATTGCAGACCCCGAAACGGGCGCGCGTGTGCCGATCGAGAGGACCTGGTACACTCTCGCTGTCTTCTGTCCCGTCCGCGTCACCCAGAGCCTCGAATACTATGTCACCGACCCAGATGTCACGACCACCCAGCAAGCTACTGGTACAGCCGTTGCTACCACCACTGTCACCACGACTACGTCCACAATTGTGTCCGCGCCAACACCAACTTTCTGGGCTGCTTGCCAGGCTAACAACATTGGTATTCCTCGCGAGCATTGTCTATTACGAGAGAGGCTGACCGAAGAATAGTGAATCACATCGACTACGACGTCAACGGCAAGCCTTTGTACTTCGATGGCGTCTACTTCAGGCGCGGAAGTGGTAATAATACCGACATTAACGAAATCGGCGTCGACGCCACAAACGCAGTCGACTGCTGCATCAGGTGCCAGTCCGCTGTAAGTCTCCCTCGTCTCTCCCTCTCTCCAACACCACCAACTAACCCTCCATCCCTCCAGCCCGAGGGCTGCTCCGAAGCCTTCTTCGTCCCCGGCGAAGGCAAATGCCAAATGCGCCTCCGCCGCACCATCAGCCCCGTCGCCGGCGTTGCCGCACTCGTCGTGCCCTCGGAATTCCCTACTGGCACCGCCACCGGCGCACTCGCCGCCTCCACGGGCGGCGTAAACATCAACGCCGTGTGCCCCGGCGGCTCGATGAGCGACTACGTAGGCGTGATCCGCGGGCGCGAGGGCTTCAACCCCAAGTTCGCGTGGAGCTTCACCAACGGGCCGTGTGGTCGTCTCAGCGTCAACACCGTGCCGCAGGACTTCCCCGCTAATGTCACGGTGCCCGAGGTTGGGAGTGCGGAGAGTGGCGTGGCGACAGTGGAGAGGCCGTTCAAGAGGGCGGTTAAAGAGCTGTCTGGCTAAATGCTCTGTTCGCATGAGAAACGGGTAGTCTGCCTGCTAGACTGGGGGTGGGGATGGTGTAGGTGTTCCTTGTCTTCTCTTCTACCGAACCTGTAGGGTTGTTTTAGTAGTCTGCCTTTGGGTTGCCCATGTCGCTCGTTTACATTCCTGGGCTGCGTTTGGGGTTTGGATTTTGTGTCGGGCGTTGGGTCTGGCTTCGCTGTAGAATCTTGTGCGGACGAGTTCGCACGAATAGAACATCTCTTTGAAAACGTCTTCGATTTGTGAACAGTTGGTGAGGTCTAAGACTGAGGGATGGGGAATGGGAGTCAAAGAAATTGTGGAATGGGATGGATAGGGGTCGTGTGACTTGTAGAAGTTCAGACAAAACGATGTCATGATCTAAGGTACAGTCTATTGTTCGAGGATTTCCAAGGTTTGATGGTTTGGTAGAGAACGCTGTGTTCTTTCCTACGGCCGTAGAGCGCACAATCGAGGTCTTTCAAAAACAGGTCGTATATTCAAAGCAACCATCGACAGTGCTGCTTTGCTGCTGAGAAATATTGGCTCTGGTGGACTTGACATACGTTACATACCTTGCTGAACCCGTTGACGAGTACTTTTGAAGTCCGTGTCACGCGATATATTTTTCGATAGTAGGATTTCGTCAACTGGGTCGATGAAAGCAAGCACGTGGCAGTGTAAAAACAAACATCAACATCAACATGCACGTCAACCACGGAACGCCTGCAGCAATTGACAGTTGTGATGACAACGATAACAGCATATCTGACATGCGCATCTCGGGCGCAGGTGCTTCCACAGCATCCGAGGTCAGACGAGGTACATGGCGAAATGCTCTAAACGGCTGCCCCGCAGTGTAACCACAGTGACAACTGCGGAGGTACGGGACCGGAAGTACTCCGTGAAGATGTGCGCGAGGAGGCGGCAGGACGGCAGCAGGATCGTGGTTAGATCTTAGTTTAGAAACAAGCGGGCGCTCTCAACGGATACGGCGATCGCTTGGGAGGGGTTGATGAGCAGATTGGCAGCGCGAAGTGGGTTGCTGGCGTGGAGCAGCGCTAGGTGAGGTACGAGGAGGCGGTACCGCGTTGTTACCCCTCGCATGAGCTAACGGTAGATGGGCGCCACAGTCGGTTCCTTGGGCGAGACTCTTGGATCTCGCGATCTGATAGCCGCGTGCTAGACAGGTGGGGGGCGTTGGTGCGGCAGGCGTCCGGTCAGTCGTCTCAGTGCGTCTCATTTCCTCCCATCGCGCACAGAGCAGAGCGACTGTCAGTGTCAGTTGCATCGCGATCGGGCTGCGCTGGAGCGATTGCCGACAGCGCACTTGGGTTCGCGCAGTGCCCGGCTGAAAGAGCTCCCAGGTGGAGCCATGCAGGCCGGCTGCGTGGAGAGGCTTGGTTGGTGGAGAGCTGAGGGCAGCTGGGGTGGTGCCTTGCAGGCGAGGCGCGGTTTCATGGCTGCCGTGGTTCGTGGGCTCCTGGAGGCGTCGATAGGCTGGCGACGAGCACAAGCGGACAGGCCTCGAGCTGCCGTCGCACCTCTTGCTGCTACGAGCGCCGCAGCGAGCGATAGCGATAGCCCGCCAGCTAGTGCGCTGGGTTCTTGCCCGGGGAAGCCTTACACGTCGAGCCTGATTGGGCCGAGCTCCCTTGCGCCTTCCTTGCGTTTGCGGCCAAGGAAAGAGCAGCTCTGCTGGTTCCAGGTCCCTCGCACACCCTATCCAGCGCGCGCTCCGATCATCCTCTCTCTGTGCCCTCCCGCTCACGCTCACGCTCCCCTCTGCCGCCCTCTGTCGCGTCTGCCTCTCTCGCCTCTGCTGTCCCGTGTACTTTCGGCCACAACAGCCGTTTAGCAGCCCGCTGGCTAGCCGCGTCGATCGCGACATTCCGTCACCGTTGCTTGTTAGCGCCGCCGAAGCGAGTTTCCGCTGCCTCACCCAGGCGCCCACTTGGTAAGAAGGTGCCCACGCCCGAGCACCTCCTTTCTAACCCTCACCGCCAGCACCCGTGCCAGACCGCCCGACGTTCTCGCCTTACCCGTGACCGCCTTTCCCCTGCCTGTCTTCTCGACGTTATCCTCGGCCGCCGTCATCGCAATCTCCCCAACAACACCATCTGCCCGCCGGGCTGCCCCATCGCCGAACGGACCCAATCCGAAAAACTGAACGCGATTTGACGCGTCAAAGCGCCCGTCGACTATATACAAGCCTAGAACAGGCCTGCAGTGCCGTGTTCACGATGGCTGCTACGCGTCGACACGCTTCACTGCAGATTTTTCAAGACCCCATCCACCCCCAGGACCACCACGAAGTCGCAGCCTTCGACCCGCAGTACCTGGACGCATTCCCACCCGTGACCGACGTGTCAAACGACTCTCACACCCTACTGGCACCCCCACAGGCCTTCGCACAGGAACGATCGCCGCGAAAGACACGTCACGTCTCCAGCTCGCCTCCCCCCAGCGCGCTTGCCGAGAAGGATCTCAACTCAGTATCTCTACCACCACCCCGCGAACCCCAATTCGAAACGGACGCGCCCATGAAGAAGGCTCCCAGGCCTTACGGCGGCCAGGCTCACGTCATGGCCCCCAATCCCCATTTCTTCGCCAGCTTTCCCGGACACATGGACAAAGAAAACGTGTACGCGTTACCAGAGTCATCACTACCCAAGCTTGCCGCCGCAGACCTACCAGCAAAACCCATGAGCAAGAGGCCTCTCGGGGATGCAGCACAGCCTCGCGACCGAAGCAAGAAGCCCAAGATACGCGAAGCACGCGTCGTGGAGGAGGAGGGACCGCTTCCTGGACCTGACGAGATGCCGCAAGTGGACGACGATGGCCTCAAGCCGCCCTACAGCTACGCACAGCTCATCGGGATGGCCATTCTGCGCGCACCGAAACGCCAGCTTACCTTGGCCCAAATCTACAAGTGGATCTCGGACACCTTTGCCTTCTACCGCAACTCGCAGGATACCGGATGGCAGAACAGTATCCGCCACAACCTGTCACTCAGCAAGAGCTTCAACAAGATGGAGCGCCCTAAAGATGACCCCGGAAAAGGCCACTACTGGGTCATCAACGAAGGCTTCGAGAAGCAGTACTACAAGGTCAGGACGACTCGCCGACCGACTAACCCTGATGGGTTCGCTCCGGTCTACCCCCAGGAAATGGCACGCCCGACGACGTCAGCGTCCGCGAGCTTTCCTCCCTTGAGTTCGAGCAAAGGCTTCGACTCGAGCAAGTTTCCGGAGGAGACGGAGCTATCATCCGACGCGACAATTCCTTGCTCAGATCCAGCTGCACACGATGGACATGATCCCGCTACCATGCTTCCACCGCGTCGGTTGCCGTCTTCGCCGCCTCCTGCCGACATTCGGTCATCACCACCCGCACCTGTCTCGCGATCTCTACGCGACGACACGCCGCCACGTGCCCCACGCTTTCCTCCTAGCAGCCGTTCTGGCGGACGCAAGCGCAAGTTTGGTGACAGCGGATATTACTCCTCAATTGAGTCCTCAGCGATCAAGCTTGGGCCTGCACAGACCTCGGAGGCCGATCTCGATCGCCCCTCTATCAAGCGAGGACGGGCCGAAGAGGAAATTGCGCGCATCCGCGGATCATCATACGATTCTCCGACAAAGCTGCGGCCTCACGTGAAGCAGCCCAGTGGTCACTCGCTTATCTCATCGCCTTCGCGCCCAGCGACCAAGGTCGTCGACCCACTGACGCCCGCTATTGTCTTCAAGCGCCCGGCGCTCCCTCCGGCCTCTGCTTCGCCGAACACCAACCTGCGCAATCACAGGAACAAGATGCGTGAGCTGGTGGGCGGATCTCCGGATAAGAGCCTTGCAACTTGGGTTGACACGTCCTTTTTGGACTTCAAGACCTGGAGCCCGGCTGTGAACGTGCCCAATGAGGAGAGCGTCAACCTAGTGGGCAATGGCTTCGAAAGCACCTTCGACATCTTTGGTGACTTCGACTATCAGGAGAGCCCCCTCAAGAAGAGCGCCAAACGCCCTCGTCTTGAACGTGCTGTCACCTCCACTGGTGCATTGGCTGATGTCACTGGCACGAAGTCAAACATGAACATCACTAATTCTCCTACGCCCAACTGGAAGCTCTCGTCTGCATTCCTCAATATCCCTAATTTCTCCCCCATCCGCAATGCGTCTCCGCTCAAGGCGCCTATGCTGAAGCCTCCTACCTCCACACCTCTGCCAGACTTCAACTTCCCTACCCTTGATCAGGAGAATGCCCACACGGGTCTCACTCCGCTGAAGTCTTATGGTAGACTGCCGGATATGCCGAACGAGGAGGAGGATTTCTCTCACCTCTTGCACAGCGACGAGTCCGAGCCAGGCATTGACCTGTTGCAGGGCTTCGCGAAGATTGGCGCAAGGGCTTCCTCGTCCGCGGTCGCTCCGAATGGTTCGCCCCAGAAGAAGACAGCAACGAGACCCGGCCTGGCTCGTAGCGTCACCACTAGGTTCTAGATGACGAGGCGTTCTCTGTCACTTGATCGGGCATGTGTTTCCACGTACTCTCGTTCCAGCCAACGCCATACCCCATCCTCTCATCGCGGCTTGAGCAACAAGTTGTAGGCCTTGAATGGCCTCCTTGGGCGCAATAGCAGCCAGGTTGGAGGATGGGCCAAGGCGAGCTGTATCAACAGAACGCGGAGCCACTCGTCTGATTGTGTTGCTTACGGTTCACTGTGGGTGGATGCCTGTCTGCCTAACTTTCTTCTCTGTTGTCCTCTCCCTCCTAACTTTTCTACCGACATGCTTCCTCAACATGTTATCCGCCGGACAACACGACTCTTGAATACGTCCTGTAACGATGCCACGACCAACGATACCCATGATTATACCGAGTTATCCGGCTGGTCCCCCTATACCTCTATGTGCCTAATGCGATATTGCCTTAATGAGAGGCGTCTTCTGGGGACGGGCCAGCGAGCGTTTTGTCTATACATGCGAGCGAGTCGAGTTTGTTTGTTGGGTTTGTAATTGGCGTTCGGGTTGTTTTATCATTTTTTTGATTTTGTATTTCTTATTGGACAGAGATTTGAGAGTCAGACATTAGTGTCTGTCACCTTCCTTGGTATGTGCACGATGCTTTTGGTCTTGACGTGGCGGAGGTTGTCGAGCATCTCTTTCTTTTGATTGGGAATGGACAGGTTGGGTTGGTTTCTTCAGCTTGCGATTACTTGAGGTTCAGAATGAATTGCTTTAACTACTCGCATTGTGTTTCTCTGGCTAGACTGTGATGTGCGTCGCTTGTATCAAGTCATGGTAGAAGTTGAGAGTACGCCAGCTTGTGAGGTTTTGCCAGATCAATAGTCTTGTTGCAAATGCTTTCATGTCGTGGATGTGCTTTGGTCGTGGCAGAGAACCCTTTGCCATATCTATCGTTATGTTTCATACATGTCGTCGAAGCAGGAACCTCTGCTCCGGTGCGTGTACAGCCCGCACACCTCGGGCTGAGGAGCAAGTCCAAGATGCATCCATCAGTCTGTCCGTCCACCGATCTATGTCTATCAACCCCCCGCCCCCAACTGTACCGTTTCCTTGCTATCCCCGGACACGCTTCCACGCTGCATCTATGACTAATACACCCGGTCCCACGCCCACCACTCAGCCTCATGGATGCGCACCTAGTACAGCACGCCCTTCGTACTCCTCACCTCGCCCTCCCACGCCTTCACAACAGTCGTAGCCTGCCTTATTGCCACCGCCAGCGCCTTGAACGCCGACTCCGCACGGTGATGATCGTTATCCCCCCTCAAGCAATCCACATGCAGCGTCGTCCCGCTCGCCTGCGCAAAGCTCTGCAAGCAATGCGGGATCATCTCGGTGCTCAAATCGCCAATCTTCTCTCTCCGAAGCCCAAGCTCGGCCACGCAGAAGGGGCGGTTGGAAAGGTCGATGACAGCGCGCGACAACGCCTCGTCGAGCGGCGCATACGCATACCCGAAGCGCGCGAGCCCCGTGCTGCCCTTGAGCGCGTCCTTGAACGCGGTGCCCAGCGCGAGACACGTGTCCTCTGCGGTGTGGTGGTCGTCGATGTGCAGGTCGCCGCGGCAGCGCAGGCGCAGAGACCAGCCCGCATGCTTGGACAGCGCGTGCAGCATGTGGTCGAGGAAGCCGATGCCGGTGTCTACGCTGATGGCCTGCGAGGTCGAGGTTTGGCTGGCGTGGTCTTTGTCGCCATTCTGTGCGGCCTTATCGATGGCGTCCCAGAAAGGTGTTGATTCGAAAGGAAGGAGCTCGCCGCCGTCGAGGTTGATGGTGCACTGGATCTTGGTCTCGTTGGTGTCGCGATTTATGGTTGCGGTGCGGGGCATGGTTGCGGTCGTTTCCCTCGGTGGGATGGTCTAGGTGACGAGAAAGTGGTGGGAGCTTTGGAGAGGTTGTGCGGGCGTTGTGGTGCAGCAATTGGGGATTGTGGTTATGACGCTGGATAAAAAGTCGAAGAAGGCGATGGCGGGGACAAATTATTGCCCCACTGCACTGCGCCGCGGACTCGGCCTTGGCAGACGACGCAGGGCTGAGAAATGCGCCTGTCCCTTGTGGTCTGGAGCGTACGACCAATCACCAGCGCCGACAATCTCTAGTCCTAAATTTTTCTGATATCGCGACACTTACATATCGCGCCGAACGCCGCCACAACAGTCACACGCAGGTACGAAGAAAGAAAAGAAGAAAGAGAGAGATAGCAAGATTTTCACCATGGCTGCCAAACCCATCATCCAGGGCCAGGAGTTTCCTGTCATCACGCCAACGTCGATCAAAGACATTGACGAGATCCCCGTCAGCGTCGACCAGGAGCGCGTGCGCGTGGTATGTTGGATCAAGAATCCAGGCATGTCCGGAAGTAGGTACTAATGCTGGAGTAGCTGCCGGGGTCTACGAAGAGCGCTGCGTCATTCCAGTTTGATGGCGAGGACCACACGCTGGGGAACGCCCTGCGGTACATTATCATGAAGAAGTGAGCATCTCATCATCAGTTGAAAAGTTACTAGGCTTTGAAGCGCAGGCGAAAAGCCCGGATCTGAGAAGGAGGGGATGCATGCTGACGGAGTTGCAGTCCTGATGTCGAGTTCTGCGGCTACTCGATCCCCCATCCGTCCGAGGCCAAGATGAACATTCGCATCCAGAGCTACGGTATGTTCTATTTGCTCTTTGTCCAATCTAGTTGTCAAAAGAACGAAGTGGGCTGACCATCTTGATCAGACGACGTGGATGTCTTCGACATCTTGGAGAAGGGTCTACAAGATCTCATGGACATGTGCGATGTAGTCACGGAGAAGTTCATCATCGCAAGAGAGGAGTTCCGCAGCAATAAGATGCAGTCGTAGTTGCCCTCGAACTGGACAGCACATGGCCGCAGGATGAGAGCATGGGGCAAAGGTCGTCATTAGAAGCATGCATTGCACGGCGTTTCACGATATCAAGGGTAGCTGTTGGCGTTCATAGGACGAAAGGAAATGGTATTGTCTGTTATATACACGTCTCTGATGTCCTCTGCCGTTCCACTTCAAGCGTTGCGGCCCTGTTGCAATTAGCGCACATCCCTCATACAGCATACGCATGACTAGCGGGCAACCTACCTCCAAGAAGCCGTTGATGAAGTTGCTCGGCAACCGCGCCTTGGGCTCCTCCTCTGTGCGGAAGTACTTGAGCACGTGCGACAGCTGCTTCCAGTAGTTGAGCGTTTCCTGTGCGCGCGTTAGTACTGCTGCATTCCGCGCGCCGGGGTCTAAGCCGCCGTACCTGAAACTCCTGGTGGCTGTTGAAGAGCAGCACGTCGACCGTCTTGAGCTGGTTCACGTAGCGGTGGCGCTCGAATTCCTGGCGCATCTTGGTCCGCAGCGCTGACACGGGCATGCTGAGCGTGTACATGTTCTGGATCTCCGGGGCCTGCTCAACGGTCAGCTCGCGCTCTCCTTCTGCTCCCCTGCTCCTGCAAATATGCCACAACCACAGCATATCTCATGCGTCCGAGGATGTGTAGCCAGGACGTACCGATCGCAGCCAGTCCCGGTAGCTGTGCAGCACCCTCTTCTTCGCATCGGTCCAGTTCACCGCTGCAGGCTGGTTAGCGTTCCGGACGTCCCAATGGTGCTAGGGGCGGGTGACTGACACGAGCGCGTGCGCTGGGCGAGGTAGGTCGGGTTGATGGTCATGGTGGCGGGCGGTGTCGAGCTGTAGCTGTTCGTCGGAGCTGCTGCAGTTGATGTGACGATGCGGAGGAGCCCACGCCAAGCCGTCCCTAGCGCCATAAACTTCGCGATGTTCGTGCATGCCCTCGCCGCCCCGCTGCTCGCACGTATATCCCGCGCTCGACTCTTCTCAAACAAACCTTCCTCACATTCCAGACCTCCGGAAGCGAAACGCAACCATGCCGCCCGTCCGCACCGCCCGCGCCTCCAAAAAAGCGCCCCCCGAAGGCTTCGACGACATCGAAGACACGCTCCTCGAGTTCGCGGCCGCCATGAAAGACGCCGAGAACGCCTCCCACGACGGCAAGAAGAAGTACGAAATGACCTGGCCCATCTTCCAGATTACGCACCAACGCTCGCGCTACATCTACGACATGTACTACGAGAAGGAGGCCATCAGCAAGCAGCTGTACGACTGGTTGCTCAAGAACGGGTATGCCGATGCGATGCTGATTGCCAAGTGGAAGAAGCAGGGATATGAGAAGGTGAGCTGGTTCTTGCAGGCGGAGAGGGAGAAATCGGCTAACAAGTGACAGCTTTGCTGCACGAGGTGCATTCAGACCAAGGAGACGAACTTCCGCTCGACGTGCATTTGCCGGGTGCCGAAGGAGACGCTCAAGGAGGGACAGGAGGTACAGTGTGTGAACTGTGGATGCCGGGGATGCGCTTCAAGCGACTGAGTGTTCTGATACAGACGGGGAATAAGATTGATTTGACGGCATGCGCCATGAGGAAGAGCAAGGCTGGATCAGACAGCACGTCCAGGAATAGCGCCACACGGAGAGGAGATGGTCGAGGGAAGCTGAGGCAAGATTTCAGGCAGTCGACATTGATACCCTTGGGCATAGCAGTACGGCGTTCAGGTCGCTTCGAGGCAGATCATGGGACTTGGGATGAACCACGGCAGATGGTCTGTCACCAGATATCAAATGCATAGCTCGCGTTAACACTATCTACAGACGCAAACATTGACACCAGAAGTTAAAGATTAGAACCCCAAAGGGCCTCAGTCTATCTGTCCCCAAACCTTGTCCAATACCGCGCTTCAGTCGCCCGTGGGGAATCAAATATCAATGTAAAGACAAGAAACGAAACTCAACAGAACAAGCAAGATGTACTTAGAAGGACACGCCATCTGCCGTCACAGGAGGCGCCACCACTCCCTTGGGCACCGGCGTCGTAGCTCTACCCTCCCCTTCCACCTCCACTAGCGTATCCGCACTCTCATCCCTCTTCGGCCGCGGTCGCGAAAAACTCTTGCTCCTGTCTAGGCCGCCCTTCTCCGGTATACTCGGCAGCGGCTTGTCCGGCATGTCTGGCGCCATAGCCGCATCCCAGCTCATAATGCTATCCCGATCATCAGGATACAAACTGCTCGCCGCGGTCTTGGGTCTTGGTCGGGGCCGCGAGAACGACGTGGACCGCTGCAACGCGCCCTTGTCATCCCATTCGACGCTCTCCTGCGACGAGCGCGCGTGCTCCGCCGACTCACGGTCTGCCGGCGTCACGATGGAGCCCTCCATTGACACGTGACGTTCGTTGGCCTGGCCTGTGATGCGCTTCTCGAGCTTGTCGCGGCCCTTGAGCGTGCTCTTACGCTTCAGTAGGAAGGGGGAGCTGCCGTCGATGGGCGACTCGATGCTTGACGCGTCGTCAGAGAGCGAGTGCGCGTGCTTGAAGCGCGATGCGGCGGTCTCAAAGGGCCGCGTCTCGTACTCGTCCTTCTCTGTCCAGGGGTTGGCGTAGAAGTCGGCAGGCGTCATTTTGTTCTCCGTCTTGCCGTAGCCGACGGGCGCGATGACTGCGGGGCCTGGCCCGTTCATCGCCATCTCGTGCTCGCCGTGGTCCTCGTTGTATGGCGAAGTGTGCGCAGGTGCAGGGTACGCGTTCATGTCGTCGAACCCGGATCGGTTGGTCTGCGCAGTGCTGGCATTGCCTCCAAAGTACGTGCTCTGGTATGTGCTGGCGCCAGTGCTGTCGGACGAAATGGACTTCGCGTCGCCCTCCTTGTAGGCTGCGTTCTGCCTTCTGCGCTTGTAGTAGAAAATTCCCATAAGGATCAAAGCTGCGCCTGCGAGTGGTGCGCAAGCCACACCGATCTTTGCGCCTGTCGAGAAGTTGGTAGGGGTAGAGCCAGGAACTGCCGAAGCTGTGGTATCTGCGGCTGCTGCGCCGACAGTCGCTGAAGGAAACAGAGTAGAGATAGAAGGTGGGAGACGGGTATCGAAGACAAGGCCATTGGGGGTAGCTTGGCCAGCAATAGCCAGCGTCGGGTCGGGGGTGTTCCAGTTGATAGTTGGATTGGGTGCTGCATGTGTGGTAGTCGCATCGTCCGATTTCTCTGGAGCAGAAGTAGTCTTCGCGGCTTTGGAAGACGACTCTTCTCCACTTGATGTGGGCTCATCTTCATTGACATCTTTAACCTTCACAACATCATCGGTTTCAGATGCTGACGCTGATGCACTCGTCTTGGTCTTTGTCGCCTTCGCGCTCGTCGAGGTCTCTCCCGGCTCAAAGTCCTTCACCTTCACGATATCATCCGTGGCTGTGGCCGTGGCAGTTGCCGAAGCCGTAACCTTAGCCGTCACTCCGCTTTTCGTCTTTGACCTGCTTGCCTCCGCCGTGTCCGTACTTTCAGTCGTCGCCGCCAAAGTCGCACTCGCCTCGCTACTTGTCTCTGGCAGATCCGTTGCCATGTGGTTGATCTGTATCATTGGCGCATACAGATCCATCGTCGCTATCGTCTCTCCATCCATCGTCACCGGCACCTGAAAGTCATCCAAATTGCTCCCGGACACTCCGCTACACGTCATTGCGTCGAAGCTTGTCTGTGTAGCCACTTGGTGGCATGTCTGGAACCCGCCACTCGCACCGCAAGTGTACCCGGTGGGACAGCACCCAACCGCCGTCTCGCCAGCTACCAGCGGGAATTGGAACTTTCCCGTGACCTGGGGTGCTGCGGCAGTCTGGCCTTTGGACGTGGAGACCGCGGTGCATGCGCTGTAGTGGCCTTGAGGGCACGTCAGGCCCGGCGAGTAGAATCCGAGGCCAGCGAGTTTAGATTTGGCATTGACGGGATAGGCGGTTGCGCGCGGCCAGCAGCCTGTATCATCAGCTGCAGTGGCGCTTTTTTCGTTGACGGGGTTGCATGATTGCCCGAGGACGGCTTGCGAACCCGCAAGGGCGGCGCGCGAGCAATATGGCGGCGGGACAAAGACCGTGGTGAGAGGTCCAAGATTGACGCGGGTGGGTGCTGGGATCGGCTCTGCCTGACGGCGCCAGTCGTAAGGGGAGAGTCTCATTGTTGTGTAGAATGTAAATGGGTACTGTTTGAAGTCGCGCGGTACTACCGGGTCGATATGGCTCCAGGCATAACAGTGCTCAAGAAGGTAAGGTCTGGGTTAGTTAAAGTTGCAAAACAGATCAAGTAAAGACAGAAAAGGTCAGAAAGCGCAAGTGACTGAGAAAGAGGGTAGCAAAACCGCAGTGAACCACAGGACCCAATAGCAAAAGAATGAACGCTATCAAAGCCCAGCACTGCGCACTTGGAAGGAATGTCGAAAAGAGGGAAAACAGCGACGAATGCGATGAAACAGAAGCTAAGGGAAACAGACACGGCAGAACACGGCCACGGGTGCGAGGTGCCGTGAGTTTTGTAGAGAGCGTGCGCCTGCGCCTTGAAACCGTCGGACTACGGACATTGCGATTGGGCTGGTGGAGAGCGATGTAGGGCCGATCATCACCAGGGACGCTCAGGTGGGACAGGGACCTGATTGGGGTATTTTGGGGATACTGGTGGAAAAATGGGGTATCGTATGTGCTGCTGGCTGTGTGTTGTGATGATGCCGAGTGGTGAGACGGTCGCGGAGACGACAGCGCGATGGGACTAAGGCCGAGGATTGGAATGAGAAAGCCAATTAGCAAAGGTTCTTCGATCAATTCAATAGTTCTCGGTCCTATCAAGTTGCACCTTTGGTGGCATCGTGTCAAACGGTGCACATGTACGGTTGGTTGGGATGGCTTGAAGCATCGTGAAGTTGAATGGGAGCAGCACGCGACCAGCCTCTGCTGAGTATCTGTCAGGTACAGATCGTACCCCTGCCAGTGTGAGATCCTTAATTGTCCGGTGGACACAGACGCTGTACGATTGGTTGGTAGTTCCGATAATCGAAGCCAGCACGAGCTAGTGGGGGCGCAATGCTGATGGCCTCAAACAACTCCGCAGGTGACTTTATGGAACGCTGTTCGCGATGCGCGAAACGAACGATCGAATCGTCGGCTGCGTATTCTTCTGCCCTGTAGCAGTGCCGTATGTGATGCTGCAATGCCCAGTTCTCGGAAGCATAGCTACAAGTGGTTCGCTGCGTCCGGACTCTGTGAGAATGAATAGGCTCGTATGTACTCAGATACTGGAAATCACTGGTAAGCTCAAAAGTCCGCTCATACTGCCTACACGGAGGCGAACCGTCTGCGCCGCGGAATTCATCCGTCCGTAGGGCAAAGTTCTTCGCGTAAGCACCCGAGCTGCGAAGAGCAAAGTGTGCACTCATTTGCACGAAAGAGTTGTAGTTGGACGTAACGTGACAAGTTAGTGCGGGAGTATTAGCGGTGAGTGGAAAATTGAGGTTCATGGTCGTAGTTTTGGTAAAAGTCACGATTCTTGCAAGTGCACAGCGGCTCACGATAAGAACACGAATGCTCCTTGAGACCCTACTCTGAACTACTACGCTGACTTATAGCATTAAAATTTTGCAAACATAAATTAGAGTGAGTTCATATAGGATAAGTTCCGCGCCTATAGTCCCATTTTCCGTGTCAGCCACTGTGGTGCGATCAGCGCGGCTTTTGGCAAGCCTTCTGAGGTCGCAGCACTAAGCCATGTGTTGAGATGTTCCTTCCCAAAACGAGTAGAGGACCACATGTCTGCATACCATGACTTAAGGTCGTTTCTTGCACGCTGTGTGGTGTGTGGTGAGAGCTCCTAACGCAGATCTGAGCTTGCTGGCTCAACATACTCCTTTAGCGTGCTTTGCACATCTGGCTTTGATATCCGCAATCCTCCTGGGTACGGATGGAGTAGTAATGGCACGCAAGGTGCTTCAGCTGCGTACAACTTCGGCAGGTCGTACAGGCCGAACGGAATGCGCTCACTAGAGGTTGACCGGAACCGGCACTACACATATCGACACGAGAGATGAACTTGGTCGAGCGATGCATTCGTACATTCAAGGCGAAGACTAGAAAATCTTCTGGTAAAGCTCCGCCTGTTTTCGCGAATCAACGCGGAGGTGGAGAGCCGTGATATAGTTCATGAGGGCTGATCTGAAAGCCTACCTCGCTTAGCGTTCTACAAATAGAATAGGGGTGCATCAATCAGACTTGCGGGAACTAGGAATCAATAGTGGCAAGCGGAATAACGATCGAAATGAGGACCAGAGTCACGCGGCAGCTGTGCTGAGGTTTGCACACGCGAACCATGCCGTTGGTGGGTAGATTGGTCCGGGGTCGATGTGCAAGTCATGGACGAAGGATGAAAGCGGCTGTGGGGGCGTGTATTGACAAAGAGCTGAAGACTTAAATGCGCCCTCAACCACTCATCAAGAGTCCACAAGTTCACACGCAACCCAACGTCCGTTACAGCCATGTCTCTCAAGTACCTTTCTTGCGAGAAGGAGGCGCTCCTACCAGTCGCCGACATGCCCGACCCCACATCAGAGGAGCGTTCCAAGGACAAATTAGAGTCGACGCTCTTCTACCTCTGCGTCGCAACGCTGCTCTTTCTCTTCGGATCTCTCTACTGCAGAGACTCGATCCCGCCATGGAGCCCGTTCGCATCCACTCTGCAACTACTCAACGCGGGCATGCTGGCTTCCCTTTGGGGCAGCCTGCCCGCGCCGATGATGCTGTTTGTGTGCGCGCCCTACTTCGCGGAACGATCCAAGGTCACCATGGTCCGATACTGGATCTACCTTCTCTACATTGTGGGCGCTGCGGTGGGCGCATTGGTCTTTGGGGGCGAGCTGGCGATGTGTTGAGCGTGGAGACTGGGCAGCGCTTTTCAAGGTTCGGGCTAGGGTAGCGCACGGTCGAGCCGATAAGCGGAGAGATCTTCAGCAGCTACCATGTCGACGTGCAGGGCGTGCAGTGCAATTGAGTCACCCACGTCGCTGGTGAGGCTACAAAACGCCAGGTAGGAAGAGCCCCGAGCTTGTGCGCTGCGATCGAGCTGACACCGCTGCAGCCGACCATGGCCCTCGCCCGCCCCAGTCCCCGCTGGCTCACCCGCTCGCGAGCTTTCACCGCCCAGGTGCGAAGCTATTCGGCGCCCGGCGATGGCACCATTCCCGCCTCCAAGAAGAAGTACATACCCACGTCGGGCACCTACCCGCTCGGCTTCAAGGCGGGCAGCGCCCATGTCGGCGTAAAGGCCTCCAACACCCGCTTCGACGACCTGGCCCTCGTTGCATCCGACACACCATGCGCTGCCGCCGCTGTATTCACGACGAACAAGTTCCAGGCCGCGCCTGTGACGGTGAGCCGGGACATGCTCAGCAAGAGGAAGGGCGACGGCGTCCGCGCGGTTGTCGTCAACTCTGGATGTGCAAATGCTGTGACTGGCAAAGGCGGCATCCAGGACGCCGTGAGGATGGGCCTGGAGACAGACAAGCAGTTCATTGAGGACAGCAATGGAGAGGACGATGGCCAGGGCAGCCGGAGCATCGTCATGAGCACCGGAGTCATCGGCCAGCGGCTGCCCATTGACAAGATTGTATCAAAGCTGCCCCATGTCTACTACAAGCTGGGTGACACACACGAGCACTGGCTAGGCGCCGCCAAAGCCATATGCACCACCGACACCTTCCCGAAGCTGGTCTCCAAGACCTTTACGCTCCCGGGCAGCCAGGAGGAATACCACATTGCAGGCATGACCAAGGGTGCCGGCATGATCCACCCCAACATGGCCACTCTGCTTGGGATAATTTGCACAGATGCACCCGTCTCAGCACCGCTACTCCAAAGCGCACTCAAGGAAGCCATCACCAAATCCTTCAACAGCATCTCCATCGATGGGGACACCTCCACCAATGACACTGTTGCCATCCTCGCCAACGGCGCGGCAGGTGGGCAGGAAATCACCTCATCTTCATCCGAAGACTTCAAAGCTTTCAGCGCGACGCTCACCGACTTCGCCATCGACCTCGCGAAGCTTGTAGTCCGCGACGGCGAAGGCGCAACCAAGTTCGTCACGATCCGCGTTACGAACGCGAAGACCTACGAAGAAGCAAAGCAAGTGGGCAACTCCATCGCCCGCTCGCCGCTCGTGAAGACGGCCCTGTACGGCAAGGACGCCAACTGGGGCCGTATTCTATGCGCCACGGGCTACGCAGGCGTGGAGTCTATCATTCCTGAGCAGACCAGTGTGAGCTTCATCCCTGCTGATGGCAGCGAAGAATTAAAGCTGCTGGTGAAGGGTGAGCCGGAGCAGGTTGACGAGGAGCGCGCCGCGAAGATACTTGAAGCGGAGGATCTGGAGATTTTGGTTAGGCTGAGCGAGAAGTACGATGCTGAGGCTACAGTTTGGACTTGCGATTTCTCGCATGAGTATGTCACCATTAATGGAGACTATAGGACGTAGAACTCCTATAATGAATTTCTAAGGCAAAGCATCGTAATGCCAGGGCACCCAATCGCGATATCATATTCGGTGTGTCGTACACGTTGCGGACGCTGTGTAATCTATGCTTCCAAGTCTGCGACAACGCGACGTGCTAGAGTGGGACCGGACGAAGATAGTAGCGACAAGCTCATGTAACATGGAGATTCGACACGTCCGGATAAGGAAACATGACACTTAAAGCAGGTTTTGTGCTTTGTTCCACCCCTGTCGCCGTCACTTTTTCGCTCGGCAGTCGGACATCGGCGACGCGAACATGACTAACTGACAAATGACAAAGAAAGTCCCCAGCGTACATCTCAGCACGGCCCGAGAGTCCGATGCTTGATAACGCTTGCCATGTACGCAATGGCGATACATACGGACATTATTGAGCAAGAGGAGAACTTGGTGCATATAAGGATCAGTCCTGCTCCGAGTAAGGGAAGTCAGAAAACATAAGCCATCTCAAGTTCCTACAAGCACTTTCCAATCGACACAACCTTACTTCAACATCAGCACAATTAACAACACCGCCGAAACTCATATACCCAGACCTTTCAAAGGAACTACCGACCAAAAATGGCTGCCCGCGCCATCCTCATCACCGGCGCAACCGGCAAGCAAGGCTCCTCCGTGGTAAACGCCCTCCTCCGCTCAAACGCCGACTTCGAGATCCTCGCCCTCACGCGCAACGCCTCCTCTCCCTCGGCCCAATCCCTCGCCCGCAAGTCTCCACTCATCAAGCTCGTCACCGGCAACCTCGATGACCCCTCCTCTATATTCGCCTCCGCCCGCTCCGTCACCAAGACCCCCATTTGGGGAGTTTTCTCTGTGCAGACGCCCTTCGGCGGGAAAGCCTCCACCAAGACCGAAGAGCGCCAGGGCAAGGCGCTCGTCGACGCGAGCTTAGAGAACGGCGTGAGCCACTTTGTGTACTCGAGCGTTGACCGCGGTGGTGATGCAAAGTCGGCCAAGGACCCGACTAACGTCCCGCATTTCATCAGCAAGCACAACGTCGAGCAGCACCTTTTCGCTAAGGCGAAGGGTAGCGATATGACGTGGACCGTGCTGCGGCCTGTGGCGTTTATGGAGAACCTGGTGCCGGGGTTCTTGGGCAAGGTGTTCAACACGGACTGGAAGATGGTGCTCAGGCCGGAGCAGAAGCTGCAGCTTATCGCTACTGTGAGCCCCCCCTCTCCTCTGCGAAGACGTAATTTACTAACAACAACACCAGTCCGACATCGGCTTTTTCGCCGCACAATCCTTCCTCCAACCCTCCTCGCGCCTCTACGCTAACTCGACCCTCTCGCTCGCAGGCGACGAGCTGACCTACGCCGAGTACGCCAAAATCTTCCAGGAACGGACTGGCGAGAAGCTACCTACGACCTTCCGCCTTATCGTCAAGCTCATCAACTTCATGGTCAAAGAGATGGGTAACATGTTTGTGTGGTTCAGAGAGACGGGGTACGGTGCGGATCTCGAGGAGCTGAAGAGGTTGCATCCTCAGATCAAGGGATTCGGGGAGTGGCTGGAGAAGGAGAGCGCGTGGAAGAAGGGTGGCGAGAAGGCGTAGTGGTGGTTTCTTCTTTGCTGGCTGAGATATGTATGATACCTTGCGCCAGATATGGTGCTATCTAATATAGACTTCATTTTCTTTCTGTAATGCAAGTCTCTGGAACGCATTCTGTCCTACCTGACAAACTGTGGAGTCACCATTTTGTCCTCGAACCAGAGGCGCTGCCATCTCAGAACTATTAACAGTGCACAGTGGCTAACATAGGAAATGGTATCGAGACCAAAGAGAGAATTAGTTCGTTCAAGGGCACTCGGCACTTCTAAGTATGGATATCAAGAATCACTTGCTCCTAAAGACAATAACACAGCAAAAAGAAATCTACAGGTCATCTAGCCGACATCCATTCCATTATACGCCTCCAGCAAGCGAGATCCTCACGCAGTAAAGAAGAGGCTGCGTTTGCCATCGAAGGCCGCTGGAGCAGGGGTCATCTCTGCACGTGCTGAGTTGTGCCTGGTGGAAGTGCGAGCGCGAGCGGTGGTTGTCTCGCGGGCCTTGGAGGACGTGCTTGTAGAAGGTTCCTCTGTGGCTGTGGGCTCGGCTGTGGCACCCCCGAGGTCGATTGTGGCACCGAAAGTGGCCTCAGCTGTGGCTGTAGACTCGGTGGTCTCTGTAGGTTCCTCGTCCAGGGGCTCCTCATCCACGGGCTCGTCGTCGACAACCTCTTCATCATCTAAGCTCTCTTCGTCATCCAAATTCTCATCATCTTCCAAGCTCTCTTCGTCATCCAAATTCTCATCGTCCTCCAAGCTCTCTTCATCATCGACAACCTCTTCGTCATCAGCAACCTCTTCGTCATCAGCAACCTCTTCGTCATCGGCAACCTCTTCGTCATCAGCAACCTCTTCGTCATCGGCAACCTCTTCGTCATCAGCAACCTCTTCGTCATCAGCAACCTCTTCGTCATCAGCAACCTCTTCGTCATCCACAGGCTCCTCATCATCCACAGGCTCCTCATCGTCAACAAGCTCTTCATCATCCAGGCTCTCGTCGTCATCTAAGCTCTCCTCATCATCCACATTCTCCTCGTCGTCAGCAACCTCATCATCGTTAGTCACATCTCCATCCACAGCTTCTTCGTCATCTACATTCTCAGGCTCTTCCTCATCTTCTTCATCCTCCGTGGGCTCATCCGTCGGGGTTGGCTCAGAGTCTTCAGTCTTAGTCGGAGTAGCCCCTTTCGTCTTAGATGGCGTAGCACTCTCTGTCGCAGAAGCAGAGGCCTCGGCGCTTGAAGTAGGTTCAGGCTCCTTCACGCTCTCCTCAGCCCGTTCTTCACGCTCTTGTCTCTCCTGCTCTTCCTTCTCTGGGCTTTGTTTCCACTCTGCGAGCTTCGCTTCCAGTACGGCAGGACCAGACTCCCCTTCCTTGTAGCTGATGCACTTGTTCTCGTTCTTGGACCAGGCGACGCCCTTCACGGTTCCTGCTTCGTGGTAGGACCAAGTCCGACCGCTCTGGAGCTCGAGTTCGATCTGTAGGATATCAGCGGTGCAATAATAATAAGGATGGACAGGAAAAACTTTGACTCACCGTGCTGCCATAATCCAGGTCGTATTTACCGCTGAAAGCTAGCGCCTCGCAGTAGATGGCCTCGCCCTTGGGAATGTTCCCGCTCACTGAGAAAAAGAGCTCCGTCTGATATTGATGTTAGTTCCCTGTAGCCAAGAAAGCAAACGAAGATATCACTTACAGTATCTGAACCCTCTTCGGTGTTCTCCCAGGTGTTCGTAGTCTCCCAGTGGAACTCAGTGGTCACACTCCCGCCCAAACCTATAGCCGGCAGGCCAAAATCAATGCTGGCACCAACGGAGCCACCAAAAGTCTTGGAAGACGTCCTTGTGGTCGACCAGCTTCGCGTCTTCTCGATTCTTCTGTCAACCTGGTATGTCATATTCTCACCCGTCCAGTTCTCCTGTGAGAAAGAGTCGATGGCCTCAGGCTTCTGATTCTTGAGCGCTTCGTTGTTGCCATTAACGCTGTCCTCGTTAAGAGCGAAGTCATTCACATTCCGGTTCTTGATGGCGGAGTCCAGCATCATGAAGCCAAGCGCGTCAATGCTGCCCCCATGGCGCCCATAGGCTCCCATGATGATTCCGGCACCCTTGACAACTGGACTGTCGTAACCCTGGGTCTTGGGCGGGACAGTACCGATCCTCCAGGGGTCTCTGTTACTGATCTTGATTTCAATAGCAGCCACCCGCCTCACGTCGGAATAGCCATTGGGCCACATGGTGATGGACTCAACCGTGTCTGTCGTCGTGTCCCACGAGAGCCATTCCTTTTTGTCTCCTGTCATCTGACCGAATCGCTCCGGAGCGACTCCGTTCGTGTACTGAAATTCAATACCGTTAACGCTGTCGCCGTTGGCCCAGCCTTGGATGCCGTTGATGGCGGCACCATCCTTCCACTTGGTGGCACACCATTCACCACCAGTATCATATCCCACCGGATTTGAATTCCATGGTCCACCACCGTCGCAATCACCAACGGCTTGGGTACGTCCTACGAAAGCTGTAATCGCAGCGATAGCCGAGAGTGTCGACTTCTGCGAGAACTTCATGATGGCTGGGTGGCGATGTATGCTTGTGCTTGATCGAGAAAATTATAGGAACGGAGGATAAAAGCGCTGTTGTTGTAAAGAACGGAAGCCAGGAATCCTGGCAAAAAAGAGTGTACTACGACAACGTCGTAAAAGAACGAATGGAAACGACAGAAGGAACCAGCTTATTGGGGATCGTCGTACTGGGGCGTTTATAGTACATCTTATATGTACCTATGGTAGGTACCACAGGTAATCCGTTTCCGGACGCTTACTACCTATGGTCGATGGGGTCCTCGGAAACTTCAGCCCTGCGAGGCCAATTTCCGGAATAATGCTTGGCTCTCCATTTTGAGAATGAGAGCTACGGAGCCAAGCAACGAATGAGGATTTGCGTAGTGCTGAGCACAAGTGGGGGCGAGGGTTCGTGCCAAGAGTCCGTCGCTTGCCGCTGTTCCGCCAGTCTCCTCCGACCTGTTCCAAAGCCCGACGCCAGTCATTGGAGGCAAGCTTGATTCCTCATCATCCGGCCATTGACAAAAATGGGTTATACGAGACGCGCAGTTGGTTTTCGGAGCGGGCTGCGGCGGCGCAAGCGGGCGGAACCCTGTACCGTACTCTTGGCAGGTATCTTAGGTAATTCCAGCATACTGGAGGCACGTCGCCACTACTGTGAAGTTCGGATTCCTTCTAGTGTGTCCCTACCGGCGCTGTCAGCTCGATAAAAATGTCGCTCATCGCAGTTCTGTCAGCTGCAAGTGTCTGAAGAGGAAAAACCAGGCGACGAATCCCCGAGATTGTGATCACGAGTCAGGCCCAAAGTCAGTACCTAAAAGGCAACTTCCAGGCGATAACTGTGGGAACATCTTTGATCATCTTGAAGAAGGGCTGTGCGCGACAAGGGAATCTTATGGCATGAGACAAGGAGGAAGAGCCGGGGTCCATACGTAATTAGCTTCCAGCCATAGTTTGAAGCCGCGTCGTGTCGCGGCTTCCCAGTACGTATCTCCAGATGAACATTCTGACATGAATAGGAAGTAACCATCTCCGGAAGTCATTCATGTTGCAACAACCACCCCCTCAAGTAAACATCCCAGCTTCAGCAGCCAGCTCAACCCCCCTCACCGTCTTCGCCGTCCCTGTGCTCTCTGGTAAACTCCCCTCCCCACCTCTCGCCGCAGGTATCGGCGCTGCCAGATCATTCCCATCCCCACTCACCGAACTCAGTCTCCCCGTTCCATCCACAACCACGATTCTCAGGCTTCGGTACGCTTGGGAACACCTTTGACGATCCGACCCCTACGGAACGCTTGACAGATTGCAACTTGAAATCCTAGTAACCCTTGAAAAGCCACACACTAGCCCTCGATTCGTCAGACTCTCAGCAATCAGCAACTCACGGCCACCTCTGAAGAGACTATGCTCGAAGCCGGGCTACTCGACGTTGTAAAGGCAGGATATGTGACCACCAAAGTCGGAGATCTATTTAGTATGCTTTGACCGGAGAATCCCGCATTTGGACATGATGAGTTTCCGTATGGGAAGAGTGCGCTTGAGGTACCGATGGATGGAGCAACAAACGGCACGAGGAGTTTTGTCACTGTAATAAGCATTGTTTTAAGCGCAGATCCTGTGTTTCTATAGATATAATTGTCGACGTGGGGAACATGCTAGAGGCTATGATCGACTAACTCACGAATGAAGTGAATGGGTTTGAACTCAAGTCCAGCGGCGAAGTAGTTGATTCAGCGCTGATCGAGAAAGAGAGACATGGAATGCCGCTAGAAGGTGCGCCAGATGTAATGTCGCTCGGAGAAGATGAGGGCATGTTACTTGAAGGGGACGAGGTCGTGGTGATAATTGACAGAGACAAGGCTGCAGAGATACCCAATGAAGCTGAGAATCTTGCGGCTACGAAAAACCAAGAGGATTCTGTTACGCTTGAAAGAGATGAGCATACAATGCTTCTCGATGCATCTGATAGCATATTGTTGTCTGGCCATGATGGAAGTCCAGTGCTCGTAGCAGTTGATGAAGCCCGGGGCTACTGGGAGACCTTGCGACTCTGGTCGTGGAAGAATGCGTGGATGCCAACGTCGAACCATCATTTCCTACCTCGCAATCTCGGGTTCCAATGGGTAGATAAGTCAGGCAATGTCCCATACGGTTGGTTCCTTATTTCGGTACGCGTCCGGATCATTGATATAATCTGCCGTGATATGTGGGTGTATGCATCGTAGTTTACGAAGCCTCATACTGAGGAAATCTCCGAGTGCTTGATTCACACACAGGTAGTGATCGTTGGGGTAAACAATCAGTAGTCTTCCGGTTCGGCCTTACTGCCCACTGTGTACATCTAGTAGCCGTCACTAGGAGCAGAAGCGAAGTTAGCACCTTTACAAGCCTTGTGTGCATCCTCTCCGTAGATGATCCAGTGAAGCATTCCCTCAATCTCATCGTTGAAGCTAGTACATTTTGTTAGTCAGAGAATGCACAACGAACCGTTCTTGTCCGGAGTGACCTAATTCATTCCAAAACTTAGATATCGCTAGCACTCTAGGCGCGATCGGCTGAGCATGGCGAATCATAACCGTGCTTAAGTTCACATTTAGTTCCTGGCGCACAACAGCCCATGGTTCTCACTGGAATCTTACATTCATCCCCTTTTGACCAATTTACCCAATTCCCTTTCTTCGTTCCTATAGCTTGACTACACCCTGTTAGTTTGGCGTTAAACAATCTGTAGCCTTAGTTGTATACTAGACCTTTGAAATAGGTATCGATGTCTGCTGAATCAAATTTTGCATTATTATAAGTAGGGAAAAATTAAAATTCAGGTTCACATAACGTACCTGGCAAGCGAGCGGCGCAGGCAAGCGAGCGGCGCACCCCACCAACTTTTCACCACTTCATAGGAATCTATCTCAACAATAAGATAAAATAATAGAATATACGCATTATGCTAGATTAAGCTGCATCTCTAGTATCCTTCTTACATGTTCGCGAGTTATGGCCAGTCTCCCTACAGCGCCTACAGCGCGCGGAAGCCTGCCAACTGGTACCTGATCGCGCCCTACCTTGACGCGTTTCCCCCTCAAGCTGCTGCTCAACCTCATTTTGAGCTATAATTTCCTCTGCCTCTGCCTTTAATAGGGTGCCTTACTTCTAGATACGCTTCTTTTTGCGCTTTCTACATATTGTAGTAGTCTCATTTACTTTCTTAAGGCTCTTGATCCGATCGCGCATTAATGCTATTTCATATATTGCCATTGTAGAGCCTTTCTCAAGCTGATTAAGTCTCTTAATAATAGATATAGGTGATGAGCTTCTATACCTTTATATCCTATTACGTATTAATGTTGATTGAGCCTCTAGCTTACGCGCGTTGCTTGGTGTTCGCGCTTCCTAGAGGGTAGTCTCTAGTGTAGGTGGCGTTGGCGTACGAAGCTTTACATCAAGCTTCGCTATCACCCTATTAGGATCATATAGTACTAGGCCAGCGCCTTAAAAGCTTGCGCAGATATTCTCCTTTATAATTAACTAGTTGTAGGCTACGTAGAAGGCTGGTAGGAACTCTAGCTTAGTGATATAGTTAATGTGATCGCGAATTAGGCCCTTAATCTGGTGGCTGTATACGCGCTTCAACGGCGAGAAATAGCCAACATTAAGTGGCTGTAGGAGGTGCGATGAATGTGGCGGCATATAGAGAGTATAGATGTTATTCTCCTTACAGAGTGCTTGAAATTCGAGTGAGTTATGGCTCTCATAGCCATTAAGTATGAGTAGCTGGCGCATACCTACCCTACGCTCTACTATATGCTTAATAAAGTGCCTCAGCCACTCTACTCCAAGCTTATTTATTGTCTAGCCATTATCGCTAACTGCGAAAGCCCAGTTATGTGGTATATCATTATCCTTGTACTAGGTAGAGAGGTGATACTAGCTAGCAAAGATGATAAAGGGCGGGATCGCCCAGCCAGTAGCATTGATTCTATGAATTGCCGTAATCCACTCGCGATCGCCTGGCTATAACGCTTTTGGCCTGCCTTATCGCTCTAAGCCTGTGACAACAAGCTGAGCTGATATCCTGCCTATTATAAAGCCAGTCTCGTCGAAGTTATAGGTATCCTCATTACAGATCCCATAGGTAGCTTTCATGTGCGCTATAAGGTCGAACCAGGCCCTAATTACCTTAGGATCCTCACATAGAGCTCTCTGTTGATCATATAGTCGGTTGAAACGTGTAGTAAGGCTTTCTGTCCACTTAACAAAGTTGCGTGGCCACTTCTCGCCTACTTGGCCAGCGCCGCGCTTAGTGAGTAGTCTATTTGCTATATCTCGAACAGCATCTAGGGTAGGCGAAAACCCTCGCGAATCTAGGTCAAGTATATACCTAGTAATCACCTCCTCTTCTAGCTTAGTGAGCTTCTTTGAATTAGGCTCACAATCGCGTCGCGCAGTGATTCCAGCGCGTTGGCGGCGAAGCGTGGTTTCAGAGACTCTGTATATTGTAGCAGCGCGCCTGCCACTTTGTAATTGATTCTGATTGATAGCTGTGATAGCTAGAGATATATGAGCTTCATTGTAGCGTGATTGAATAGTGGTTGGTTGATCCATTGTGATTAATAGGTGACGCGTCGCGAAAAGTTGGTGGGGTGCGCCGCTCGCTTGCCTGCGCCGCTCGCTTGCCAGGTACGTTAACCAAACGACATGATAACATTTCTTTGACTGGCGCATTGACCTTGCCGGAATTCCATATCTGATTCCCCTGCTCCAGCGAGCCGTTCAAAGCAATTTTGTGGCAATAGAATGATCAATTGTTGTGTCAGAGTTGGGCGAGCTGGTGTTCCAAAGCCCAATATCGTCTCAAAAGCGCAATGGACGCACCAATTCACTCGCCGGGCTGTTCGACGAAACGCAACTGGACAACGTTCTACTACAAACCATATTGAACCAAAATATCTCCGTGACAAACAAACCCCTAGCTGCACAAGACTTGTCAACAGACGAAGTCTTGTATGGTTAACACATCATATCGCAGTGAAGCAGCAGCATCCACGCGGAACAATCAGCAGTGCTCCAATCATCTCGACTGAATTTTCTGACTTATTTCCTTTTTCGGATTTGCCAAAAAACGCTCTTGCCTCGCAAGCTCTCACCACGCGCTCAGGCTCGTGCGCTTCGCTCGGACTCTGTCCCTCACCCTCTCACTAATAAAGGATAACCTCTGCTTTATATACCCCGCTTCTTTCTCACATCTTCTTGACTGTTTGTCTACACTCTTTCATTTCTTTCAGACACATTCGTTACTACACCCAAGCACTGAGACTCTACCGCATCGGCCATCGACGATGCGTTTTCTACTTCCCTTCTTTGCGGTCGTCACGGTCGCTTGCGCAGCTGTCGTCCGCCGGGATTTGGGTACGGCGGGCGATGTCGAAGTCTCCAATGGCCTGTCCGGCACTCTTTCTGCTGCTCCTCCAGTGGTTATTCTGAGGGAGGCCATTCCCGATCCAGCCGACGTCGAAGAATCCTTGAACAGCGCCCGAGATGACAAGGATGTCGTCAAACTTTTCGTAAAGAAAGGCACCAAGGGACAATATTACCGTTACACCAAACGAGACACAGATGACTACATTTGCATGAACTATCAGCGCCTAGTCCATGAGGAGATTCTCTCAATTCGACAAGAGGTGCCCCCGCGCAAGAAGGGCCACGTTCGCTGCGAATACTACGCGGATACAGATTGCGGGACCGCTTTCGGAAAGATGACGCATGAGGACGAATGGGCACAAGGAGATCTCTCTAAGGAACCTCGTAAGGCTCCGGGCGAAGACCCAATTCTCGGTGACTGGGCAGACCGCATTCGCAGTGTGCAATGTTTCTGGATCCGCGCCGCCGCACGAAGGGCCGAAGAATCTGGGTCTTTGACCCCGATCAGTGTTAGAGACAATACCGACGTTGTAAGTATTCCTGCCTTGCGCTTTGTCATACAGCATATGAACGTATTGAAGATCTAATCAGAGCAGGTCGAGCTCCACACCAAGTTGGGCAATAAAGGACGGTACTACTACTACTCAGCTGGGAGCACTGACGACTATATTTGCATGAACTTCAAGCTCAAGAAAGGTGACAGCATTCTCTCAGTCCGTCAAAGGCGATTCCCTAACCACAGCAACGTGCGCTGCGAATACTATGCGTAAGTCAATCATGACCTTTCACCTGAACGAACAACAGCACTCACAACCTTAGGGAGGCGGACTGCGGGGCCGCTCAAGGTCAACTGACGCGAACGGGCGATTGTGAACAAGCAGATCTCGAGGCCGAATTTCGCAAGACTGGCGACATAGTTCTCGGTAGTTGGAAAGACCAGATAAAGAGCGTTCAATGTTTCTGGGTTCGCAGTACCGTACGAAGTACCGAAGAAACTGGTTCCCCTCTCGAGTTCGCGAACGCGCACGACGACGTTTCCGATACCTCAGATGTACGGGCACTTGTCGACGATACTCCCATTACGAAGGATCTGGAACTTCGCGATGCGTTGAATGACGATAATGTCTTGGTGAGTGAGGCTACTTTGACCCTTTCCCATGGAAGCGCGTTGGGAGGCGCTTGCTGACGATTGCAGACTCGCCTCTACGACGCAGAAAACTTCATTGGCCGTCAACTCGCACATGCTACGCAGAAAGACGCTGAGCGAGAATATTGCATCAAGACAAACCTGGAGTAAGCTCCCTACCATTGTTCTGTGGTCTTGTTGACTGACCCCTTAAGTAGGAAGGGAGTCTTCATCCGCTCCATTCGACAAAACAAGGACAGCGAGGATTCCTGGTTCGTCTGCTGGTACTACGAGTAAGTGTCCGCCGTGTGCGGTCTATGTGTCCTGCTAAATCCTTGAAGCGACGACCACTGCAACAGCGACTGGAACCCGCACGGCGTATTCGACCCGATCTACCTCGAGCGTGATGCATCTATCCAATTCAACTTCGCGTACAAGATTATGTCTTTCAAGTGCCGATACTCCGACCCCAGCAAACGAGCTGCGGGTTCTGGCTAGTGGACAGATTCATGAACCCGCCTCAAGGCAAGAAGCAATGATGGGAAGGGGGGATGGGAACGAGGCATTGCAGGCCTGGTCGTCCATTCACTAGCTTGTCGCTGCGTCAAGTTGCGGCCTATGCACAAGTTTCGGCGATCCACATAGATGGATAAACTTGGGAAGATTGTATCCTAGGTACCAGTCAACTGTCTGATACTTTTCAAATCGGCACCCCTTATCTTCGCGTGACCTTCTTTGCGATGCTCGAGCCATGGAAGGCCTTTCCTGGGGTCAGACTGAGCTCAGGTGGCTCGGATAGCACCTGCACACGCCTGAGTCTACATCAGCGTTGCACAAGTCCAAACTTCACATTTACAATGACATGCAACATCTGAACATGGTCAACAGCGTAATAGGATGGTAGGAATGTACAGATCATGATAGTCATTTCTCATCAACACGCGTCATCGTCAACCCCACCCACAGCCCCTTTCCACCCTCCCCACCCTTACCAAACCTCAAACTCCTCCTCGCCCACGCCCACACCCTTGCCGCCACCCCTCCCCGTCTCCGCATACCGATCATCCGCACACAACAACTCGACGAACGCATTCACCAGCGCATTCTCCAACCCCATCGTCTGCAGCTTATTCACCATGACCTCGACCTTTCCAGGATTCGCAAACACGCTATCCCAAATCCAGCGCTTCGTGTTCAACTCCATGCTCGCCTGGTCGAGGATATTCCAGATAATCGGCAAGGGGTCGACGACATCGAGCTGCGGGCCGGGACTTGCGAGCTCAAGGATGATAGCTTGGGAGGTGGGCACGGATGCGAGATGTAGCTTAGTGCCCGTGGCATCGGAGGTAGCGGTGTACGCGACGCTCTTCGCGCGCTTGGCGGACGTCGTGATGCAGCGGATGCCTGCGCCTTCGGTCGACGAGCTGGCCGGGGTGTGCGCGACAAGGCGAATCTTCCACTGCCGGGACTTCGGGACCGCGGGGTCGTCCGCGGGGTACACGGGCCCGATCTTGAGGACACCCGTGTCTTGCTTGTATGTGATGGGTGTGTGGACAAAGCGTACGGTTTCGTTGGGTTTGGTGTCGGTGTCCATGCCGTTGTCATCGTCAGACGCAGATGACGTGGCTGACGACACAAGCTGGAAGTCGCCGTCGTCAACAGTGGTACCCTTCCCGTCGTCTTCGATGAGGTCGAAGGAGCCGTCTGCGCCGACGACAAGGAGGAGCTCGATGGCTTCCGGGTTGGGGCTGCCGCTCTTGGGACGCCAGGCTGCGTCGAGCGGGATGATGGAGCCTTCGGGTGCGAGGACGGGGGTTTGAGTGAGCGGACGGTGGAGGGTGAGGCTGCGGTCGCCGTAGTAAACTACACCAGTGAAAATGTCTGCGTAGCGCTTCGGTGGTAGCCACGCCTTAGCGGACCCGAGGTGGGTGGTGTTGTCTCTTGGCTGCGTGATGGGTGCGAGGAGCAGCTCGCTGCCGAAATGATATTCGTTCGGCACCTCGTAGGCTTCGTCCACCTCTGGATAGTCCCAGTATAACGGTGTGACCAAGGGTTCATCATTTATAGCTGAGCGGGCATTCATGGTATACAGGTACGGGATGAGACGATGTCGGAGACGCAGCGTGTCTTCCATGATCTTGCACGCTTCGTCGTTATATCTCCACGGCTCTCGGCTGTTGAAGGGGTTGACGTCGGAGTGCAGGCGCAAGATGGGCGACCAGCAGCCTAGCTGCACCCATCTCGTTGTCAATTCATCGCTGTGGATGCCTGCGGTGTGTCCGCCAATGTCGTGAGACCACCAACCGTACCCGATATTCGATGCAGTTGCTGTAAACTCGGGCTGGAAGTGCAGCGAGTCCCATGTGATGATTGCATCGCCTGAGAAGCCAACTTGGTACCGCTGAGCGCCAGGACCACCGAACCGGGAGAAAATCAACGGGCGCTCGTTTCCGCGGCCGATGTCCAGGAAATGGAAATGGTTCAGTACCCATAATGGATCAACACCAGGTATCTTTGAGCCCTCGCCTTGCTGCCAGTCGATCCACCAGAAGTCGATCCCCCTAGCTTCATGCTGATGGTGCACGATATCAAAGTATGCGTCTATAAACTTCTTGTCCGTGCAATCGAACCGTACCGGCTCTTTCGATTTCGGGTCGATGCCCATGGCTTTTGCAACCTCCTTGTACTGGTCCTCCCAGTGGCGAATACCATCCGCAGGGTGTACATTGAGCGACACTTTCATGCCACGCTCGTGCAGCTTCTTGACGAACGCATCCGGGTCAGGAAATAACTCTTTATTCCACGTATATCCAGTCCACCCGTTCTCGCCTGGTGGAATTTCCTTCCCAGCGATGACCAGGTGCCAATCCATATCCACAACTGCCACATTGATCGGCACATCATCCTTGTTCAAATGATCATGCAGCTGCAGGTATTCCTTCTCATCATAGCGATGGTACCTTGACCACCAGTTGCCCATCGCGAACCTCGGCAGCAGCGGCTGACTCCCACTCACAGCGAAATACGCGCGTATCGCCTCGCGGTAATCGTGCCCATACAGGAAGATGTACTCGTCGCTCCGATCCTTCTTCTCCCCCGATCTGCGCGGCGCAATCCATCCATCGCTCTCAAACAGCATCGTCTTGCTATCGTCCAACACCGCAAAGCCCTCCCGACTCAGCACACCAGGCCCCAGATGCACGCGCCCATTCGCCTGGTCCAGCGTCCTGGTCGTGCCTCCCAGATTCGAAACCTCCTGCCCGTACGTCCACTTCGCAGTGATCGCGCCCTTCAGGTGTATGACAAATCCCCCCGCGCTGAACGCCTTCTTGTTGTACACGACGTGGAACCGCTTCGTCACGATCTCGAGGACATCGCCGCGGTCCCAGACGTAGAAATCCGGGACGGCGAGCTTGCGGTTGACAGCGAAGGTAGACGCGCGGTCCTCAAAGTGGCCGTCAGCGGCCCATTCGAAGCGGAGGAGGCCGTCGGTGAGGACGGTAAAGCGGTACTTGTCGCCGGCAACAATCGCAGAGGGATGCGCAACGGGGTACGTCTTGAAGTCGTAGCGCGCGGGGCGAGACATGGTTTTCATAAGCATGCAAGGAGTGAAGCTAGTCAAATTAACCGCAAAGGAGCGTATTGCAGGCGCGGTCGAGCGAACGATGGCGCACGGCGGGGCAGGCGGTGGAGGCAAGGATGGTACATGTATAAGGAATCCGGGGGAGATCAGCGTCACGTCCGAGCTTCACTGGGGCGCTTGTGGAGCTTGCCCCGGCCCGACGGGGTCAGACGACGTGTGCATTGGGGCAGGAGTGCCGAGACGCCTCGTCGATGGCTGCGCAAAGGAAGGCGTGAGGAGAAGCGTGCTTGCGACGGTGTTCACGCGCCAGAAGTCAGTTGAGCGCGTCGCCGTCAGTTCCGTCCCTGCATTGAGTGCGGGGAACCTGGAAGCGGACAGGCGCCCTGCTGCGCGACCACGTGTGGATATCGCGCCGCTAATTCCAGGCATTGTACGACTTGGTGTGTTTTCAAGTGAGCTGCTCTTGCTTGGATCGACCTTCCTCCTTTACATAGGCACGGACTATTGCCACATAGCCTGTACATGCCCAAGTGGAACGTGTCTAGGTTGGCGCGAACTTTGTCCCGTGGAAAACGCGCGTGGCAGCCTTGTGCAACCAATGCAGGCCAGCTATCGCGGCACTGGGAGGTGCAAGCCAGCACCGGCAAAATTCTCTGAAGCTTCTGTAGGAAGGTTGCAGAAGACGAGCAGACTGATGACTCTTTTCGACGACGAGCGTAGCAGCCTAATAATCAATCCACTTGCTCCTTCATCTTCTCTCCTTCATCCTCATCCTCACCATCCCATTCGCATACCACAGCCTCCGCTTCCTTGGCCTCCCTCACTGTCTCTCTGATACTTTCTCTGACCTTCATCAGCGCCTTTCCCAGCCTGTTCTCCCCCACTCTCCTCTATTGGCCTCTGAGTCTCTCTCCTTAAACCCAATCACCCTTACCCTGTCCAAACTAATCGCCTCCGCCAGCTCTCTTTCCTCCGACCGAGTTGAAAGGCATGGATGGTTCAAGCGATGCCATCGAGGCAGAATCAACATGAAAAGGAAATTAAACATAGTGAGTCACTGCACCCTTGAGTTCATGACAAGGGCGCAGCCTGAAAGACTTTGGTGACAGCGAAGAGCGTGCGGACCGAACCAGCAACAACCAATTCCGAACGTGGAAAGTAAAACCCGCGCATACAGGAAAGACCACCCCACCAACCGACGTCGTATCGAAGAAGGTCATCAAACCACTTCAAATTGCTCGGTCATAAGCCCAACTCCGTATGCTCGCCCTCACAATTCCAGTCTCTCCTTTTCTCTTCCATCCCCGTTTCTCAACAAGTCCTCTAGTAATAACCTAGCAATAGTTCCATGCCCCTCAGGCCTCAGATGGAATACTCTCTTCCAACTATCTGGCAACAACCAATGAATCGTATTCTCAATCGCCCCTTCACCATTTACTTCCCCAGCCTTCGTCTTGTTCACAAACCCCTTCTCAGGATCAAATTCCCACTCAGGGTGCTCCTTCAACGTCTTATTAATGCGCTCCGCGATATCACCCTCGAAGGTGCCCTTGGGTACGTCCTCGCCCGTCCTGTTCCGCAGCTTCTTAGGATCCTCGCCGCTGTCCACAGTATTCCACTCGTAGAACGCAAGCGCAGGCCGATTCGGTGCAGGCTCCGTAACGCCAGCTTCGCAGTACCGGCCGCGCAGCGCTTCGATGTGTGCATCGTAGTCGATGAAGCGTACGCCAGGCCCGCTGTCAGCCACAACTTCCTCAAGCACGGTGTTGACGGCGCGCACCAAGGCATTGAGCGCTTGCCGCAGCTCGAGCTTAAGATATTGCTTTGAGGACTCGACGGTGGACCATACAGCCCAAGTGACATTGTCGCATGTGTCGTCGTCAACGCCGAAGAAGCCCGCATAGCCGGTCACGTAGATGATGCCGTGGGGGCTCATCTTGGGCTTTGTGGCGTCGATGAGCGTGGTAATGTTCTTGTAGAGTTGGTCTTTTGATGCGACGCGCTGGGCAGCTTCTTGGATGCTCGACTTGCAGTCGTCTTCGGAGGCCATGTAAAATTGGTAGACGCAGTTGCTAAGTATGGGCGAGAGGCCGATGTCTATTCTCGCGGTTACAAAGTCAGCTGAGCCATCAAAGTGAGTTTATATACAAGTATTCCATGTCTAAGACATAGCGCCTTTGTACCGGGAAGGATCGTACCATTGCCCCCGGCGGAGATGGTTAGAAGGTCAAGGTCATCACTCAAGGTAGGCACTTGAATTTCGAGGATCTCGGTGCTCGTTTGTCCGGAGCAGGACAAGAACTGGTGTGTTCTGTTCTTGTTGTACCCGAGAAGTGATGTATGTAAGATGTTTGGGTAGGACTTCGCATATCGGGAGCAATAAAAGTCCAAGCGGTCACCTGCACCCAGGCCGGCAGCGTATGAGTCGCCTATCGATGCAAAGCGTTGGATCCATGGGAACTCTGTAAACGGCGGCGCTTCCAGTGTAGACTGCTCTGGAGTGTTTGAGCTGGATGTGGCTAGCGCGGCCGTGAGCAGCAGGAGGAGGCTACGCGGCAACATGGTGAAAAGAAGCGACGCAACACCAGGTTGGTTCAAATAAGAGTAGATGCTGAAACATAGGAAAGGACGCAAAATGTTGAAGGAAAAACAATATAGTGGTAAGATGAGGAGGACTGTTATCTTTGTTGCCTGTAGGAGCGGGCGCTTGGCAAAGCGATGGTCAGCTGTCTCGCGTTGCGCCGAGCACGAGGGGATATCGCGCAAAGCGAGTGGCTCGTTCAAGAGGGCGCGCTCTGGGACACGGCGCCGTGTGACAGCAACCACGTTCATGGTCAACGCATGTTGACATATGTTCTGTATGACCCTGTTGATTAGTATAACAATCGACATGCCGGCCTCACGTTATTCCTTGAGGTATTGGAATAGCCAGCAAGCTCATGAATTGAAGATGCGACTATACAGCTTCTCATGTCTGCCAACCCAGAGATCCATGACCGGCACGCTCTGCCCTGCATCCTCAACCTTTCTATTCCAGCCTTCTTCTATAAGCCCCCTGATCCGATCTTGTAGCTCCGTACTCGCCAGCTCAGCCTGTGCCTGATACGGCCCCATAACGCTTGCGCGTACTGCCGCGCTGACCACCGTGCGCGCGTGTGAGAACAGGAACAGGTATGCAGCGTCGCGCAGCGGGACGTCAAGCACGCAGGTAACGAGCCCCCAGAGTGGTGCCAGATGTGCGTTGATAAGGTCGGATTTGCGGAGGGCCGAAGAGAATGATATGAGCGCTTCAGCAGCAGCGCTGCCTTGGGTTGGCGAGCTGTCGTCGCCTGATATTTCGGTGGCCGTTGAACTGTACTGCGACTTGTAGCTGCGCTCCCACACGGTGAGCAACGCCCTTCCTTGTGCTATGCTCGCTCGCCGCGCTACCGTGCAAGGCGTGCTTGCGTCGAAGTCATTGTCGAGCGTCTCAATATCTGCGGGATTGCGGTAGCCTGCCAGGACGTACGGCAGCGCAGTGCTGGCGAGCGTGGAGAGGGACAGGCGGAGGAAGACGTGGAACGACGGTAGCTGCGACGCGGAGGGCGGGCTGGGTTTGTGGTGCGCAAGATACGACTCCAGCCCGCTGCTGAATGCGAAAGAGCCCAGCGGTAGCGCTGAGTCGGCCAGAAGTAGCAGTGCATGAAGCGCTGTTGTTCTGTTAGAATTCCGCGAGGAGAGCTACCGTGGGCTGATAACGCACCTACATCGCTGGTAGTTTGTAAGGAAGTCGTCGGACTGTCAACAGCATTCAGTCGGGCCTTGGCATCCTGGAGACGCCGCTCGAGGTCAGCGATCTCATCTTGCAGAGATTGCTGGCTATCGGGAGTCGTCATGGAATAGGTGTTGAGGAAGTACAACCCAGGAGTTCGCGGGCGGGTCTTGGCGAGATTTTCTACAGAGCGAGACACTCACAAGTCAAACATTGTACGAAAAACCCATTTCATTGCGCTCTTCATCAAAAAGCATGTGCTCTGCTAGTATTACAGTTGATCATCAAAAGTCGTATTCCTACCCTCCTTAAACTCCAATGGTCCAAAACAATTCGTGACCTTCCATCCAAACCGATTCCGCTTTATGACAAGACCAAACATTGCGACCAACATGGGCCTGGGTATCAAGATTACGCCCGCAGGCGCGTTGCAATGTCGCCGTCGACACATTAGACCACAACAGCGCGCACACAACTCGACAGACACCCGCTAACCATCGCCAAACCCCGTCTTAGGCGCGTGCACAGGGACGAGCAAGACGCGCGTATAGACCGAGACGGAGGCGAGTACCTAAGCCTCCGCATGAACCTCGCCGTTGTTCGTGCTCTGGTCTGTCTTCGGAATATCAGCGAACATGGCCGTGCCCTTAGCCGACTCGATTTTCTTGGAGCTCGTGGTCTTGAAGAGCGTCTGCGGCTTAGACCTGCATACATTAGCACCCACCCTGCATATCGACATGCAGTCTTGCTCGACTTACTTCTTAGTGATTTGCTTGTTGCGGAAAGCGCTGAGCTTCTGTGTAGCCGGCGATTGGATCGAGTCGCTGGGGGAGACGTATTGCTGCGTCCTGCACGACATTAACGCACGGTTCCACACAGATGAGCCAAAGGAGACACTCACTTGTCATTTTCCTTGAGACGAGATGCAAGCTCCTGGCGATGGGCGTCGAGGCTCTTTGGCTCAGGCTTGTCTGCCTTCTTTTGCGGCGAGGCCGGCTTCATCTGCGCGTTGGTGTCACGGTTGCTGAGGACGTTGGCGGACATGGCTGCGGGTGATAGAGCTCGGGAGGAATTTGGTAGCTTTAATTATGTCGAGCGAAAGGCTGGTAAGATGTGCTGCAAGCAATTTGTATGCGCAATGGTTGTGGGGCAATGGCGCAAAAATGTGAAGTTTTGTTTACCTACATGTTTGATGTTGCGGGGCAACCGCGGCTGGACGTCATTGCCCAGGTGTTCCATGCTAATTACTTCCTTGTCATATTGGGTTGACTCACACACAGCTGCGAGCATCGATGGAACAAGACATTACTATCAAGGCGTACTTGGATTGCCATGTCGACAGGGACCTTCCATCGCTTAGCCCGCATCGCTTAGCCCATGAAGCAGTCTCATTGTGTCCGAGGCTTGTTTTCAAGCCATTCGAGGCTCGCCAGCATTTCCATCTCGTCAGCGCGGCTTTGCTCAACGCGGTTCTGCATATCTTCCTTAGCATCATACAATCCTTTGGATCATGCTGAACCATTTAGAGCTTGACTCTACTCGTGATTGCTCGTGCTTTAGTTTCCTCTAGCTGCTGTTGCACTCTCGCTTACTGTTCTCCCAATTTCGTCATTTATTCTGGCATTCATGCAACTTATCCTCTCCCAAGAATCGTTTCTTCCCTGCGGACTCCAATTCGTCCTCATCGGCCTTCCTCTTCCTGATCAGACACCGTACTGGTTCTAATGCGCTCTGCAGAGCTTGATTGACTGTTGCAGCGTCAGAAACCGATTCACTGTTGGACGTGGCTAGGAGAAATCGCTGGGTGTGAGATGACCCAACCGTTTGACTGTGTGTCCCAGAACCTGACATGCTCGGATCAAAGGATGCCTCAGAGTTGCTGTAAGACCAGGTTGCATTTTGAGCAGAAGCCTCCTTGGCTTGGGTTTGCTCCACGTCTACATCAGCGTCTTGTATCGGGATTAGTAGATTATCGCATGGCTATTTCTGGGGACGCGCGGCAGGATTGGTGCGCGGTACATAACAAATCTGGGCTTGTCTGGTGAACCGAATTGTCGGCGATCCTTGGGAAGCGACTCGAAACCTGTAGTCTGCTTCGCACCCGACGGCAAACCGCGCGAGACAGTCTTCTTGACGTTCGTGATGTGTTGATCTAGAGTACAAACAGTTTTAGGCAGATCTTTCTACAACTTTACAGAATTCTCCAAGGGCAAATCCGTTCTTGGCTCAACAGTACTCCCCTCTCTTATGGCTCTGATCGCGGTCCTAAATGTTGTCCTAAAGCGCTCAGAAAACTGCACTACCCCCGAAAAAGATATATGTTTCAAAACAAAACATACGATCACAATGGTGATCACCGACCGGTAATAACAGGTTCCGTCGGAGCGCTCCAGATTGGTCTTCTTCACAGCCTCGCAGAGCAAGAGGTTCTCTGTGCGTCGGAGCCTCCTGCGTTCCTTGAAGAAATACACATGAGGCAATGTCGCGTGTTTGCCAAAGCTCAAGGAGGACTAGACCATTGAGGTACTATTCTGACCATGCCCATCCGTCCACGAGCCCGACCTCATCTTACGCTTCAGATGGACATGTCCGTCTTTTTCCGGTCTTCCACCGGGACGTCATTATTACGCAGAATTTCGTTGACTATATCACTGACCGGTATCCTGTCAAGCTGCTTAGAGTCCCACTTAAGCGTATCTATCAAGTTGAACTCTGATCGGTCTGTGCTGTCAGACCGAAACTTTGGGGGATGCCATCGGAGACCTGCCTTCGATATGTTGTGCGATGGACAGTGTGCTACCCTAGGATAGACAATATGTGGGGGAGATGTTCTCCGTGTTGCGTTTAGTGTTGCGGGTCGAAGCGACCAGGCTAAGTGAATGTAGACGTGGAGGTGTTGGTACAACCCTTGCCCGAGACGTTGTTGCAACAATCGGCGAGGTCAGTCAAATATTCAAGGCGCGTTGAATTTGCACTGTTCTTCCAAATCTAGACGTGGAGCGTGATTAGATACCAATTGGGAGATTCTTCTTGTGCGAATCCAAAAGGTCCCTGTCTAAGAACGTGCCGGAGTCTGCCAGGCTCGTGGTGCTCCGGTCAAGTTGTTCGACCTATAGCTTCTCAAAGGATGTCGCAAGCGCAGCAAGCTTATGGACTGAACTGTTGAACTCGGCGCGAAATTACTGCTTGAGGGGCGGACTTGGAGCTGATTCCTCTGGTTGCTTGACGGCAGTTGCGGCGACTGCCCGCGTTACGGTCGCTAAGAAGTGGTCCGAATACAACTCAGGCATTGTACCGAACCGCAGTGCGCAAGAACAACGAAAACGAAGTAGACGGCGTGTATAATTTGAGTGTGTCAAGCGTATGTGATCAAGTCCGGCGGGGCAGAGATACGAGCGACGTGTTGTGTTGATTCCGTTTGTCAGTTGCTCCGCGGTACACCGCAGTCTATGAAAGGAAAGAGCGACTACGATCATAACATTAACATACGCGAAAGCTAATGCCATCATCAAGACATACGAGACGTGATCTTAGTACCGTTTGACTACCTTCAAAATCCGCCGGCGCCACGAACCCTTTGTACGGCCCCAACTACGCCCTTTGCCCAAGCGAATTTCCCTGGGTCTTTCCCGACAGCGCCCTCAGCCTCATTGCCACTTTCGTCTCGCCATATGCCATCAACCTGTGACCCTCGTCCATATTGATGCGTGTCTTCATCGTCAGTTTAAATTGTTTCACGGAGATGAGTAAACGTACTCTGGTTTCGTTCTATCCCAGCTCTCCACTCGCCGCAAATCTGTTCGGAGTCAATCATGATGTTCACCTCCATTGAGTGGAACCATGACTGCGTGTCCTGGTTTCCGTTGCCTTGAATGCCCACGTGGCCATCCGCAATCAGGAGCTTTATGTGACAGCTTCTCTTCTTGAAGCTATTATGTATTGGTGCCATTTGGTCTTTGGCTACATAGTAGTGCACGTGCAAACGTTGCTTGGATGCCTTGTCGAGGCTCTCGTACAGATGATCAGCAACCATCTCGTTGACGCCACCCTGGAAAGGCAGCAGTTCTCCTGCATCGTTGTAGCCCAAGCATACATAGTACGTGATGTCGACTCCCCGCTCCAAAGCTTCCTTTAGAGCTGGTATCAGAGGGGAAGCATTCAGATTGGGAGACTGTATGAATACTGATGATGTGGCATTGCGTATCGCGGACAACCAAGCTTCATTTTGAGGGACATTGACGCCTTTGTGATTGAGCGCTCCCCAGGGTTTCCGGTTGACAAGAGCGATAGGGAAGGATGCGTGAGGTCTGTGTGGGATCATCGGTGTCATTTCTTTATCGAGGGAATCCTCAGGAACGACACCATTTTGCGAGAGCTTGGTAGCGAAATTGAGATGGCGTGTGATGGCCTCCGCGCGCGTTTCTCCCGGCAAGGGTGCCAGGGCATCCTGCATCCTCCGAACTTCAGATGCTATATTTGGATCATAGTGAGGATCACCAGGTGCGTGGAGAGGCATAAGCTCCCTACGCAGACCCATACCACTCTCCGCGCCACTGAACATGGATTGAAAAGTCAGGTCATCAAACGAGGTCCACCTCCCAGCTGATGCAGGCGAATGCAACCGAGGCAGTGGTGGTTCCATAATCGTATGCCAGGCCAGCAATGCTGTGTCAAATAACGAATCAACGATGGGCCCTTCCAAATGCGTCATCATCTCCAGATTGTCGTTGTCTTGGATATTGTTACTTTGGACGATGGCAATTTGCCGGTCCACAATCATGAATTTCGAGTGGAAGGTGCCTAGTGCTGGACGATGGTAGTTTTGGACCTGCATGTCAAGATTTGGAACTTCGTGAGGATGAGGCAGCTTGATGGCCTTGCCGGTGTATTCTTCGACTGTGACTGGCTGGTGGTTTTCCTTGACTTGTTTGATGTTACCACGGTCGTACATAATTTTGACCACGATCCGTTGCCCTCTGGCTCCGGCTCTCTTGGAAAGCTCCAGAAGCGAGTCGGTGATGAGTCGTGAAGCATCTGACGTGATCCAGTAGTTGGTCGCAAGGAATACTTCATGTTCGGCCCGCGCGATGACATTTGACATATGACGGCAGATATCCGGTAATGGGGCGATTATTGTGAGCGGAAGGACACCGTTGCTTCCCATCAGGCTTGGGCTGATCATGCCCGCCAGTGGATCGTATTCGAGCGAGCAGAGCGCATCATGGTAGCACTGAAGAAACAGATCGCTGGGTTCAGAGTCACCCCAATTCCCACATTGACGCGCGCGAAGAATTTCCTCCTTGCTTGGCGGCTTCCTTAGGTGAGGTGGTTGTTGCTTAGTGACGGCAGTCCGCTCTTTCCCGTACAGCTGATCTGCATAGTGGCCAGGAGGTTTTGTGGGATCCTTCGCGTATTCACTGCTTACGCTTCTAGGTTCTCTGCAGAATGCGAGTATCTTGTCTGTGATATGCGTAGCCATTGCGACTGAAGACGATCGAAAAAGAAGAGATATTTATTGTGGTTAAAACGACACAGCCAAGGAACGGGAGCGTGTCTGGTAAGAAGGGGTACCCTCCGGGTGAGATGGTTTATACATCATCCCGACTTGCGCATCTCGCTCTGAAAGCCCGAGATCAAGGCTGGATGACGAAGGTGGAGAAGGTGCCGTAGCATCCGCCACAGGTCTTCTGGACCACATCCTTGGTTAGAGCGCGTGGCTAGTGACGTCGGCCAACAGGGACCCCGGAAGGGTCGGGCTCTGTGGCTTGTGTTGGTTCGTCGATTGGCTAAACAAAGCTTGTTTTTATGACTGAAAAGCTTGTTAAAGCTTGTACTCAACGCTAGCTGTAGCCCACCAATCGCATCCGTCTCAGGTAGGGCAATACCAGCAATCCAAGGTCCTGGCACTTTCGGCTTGGGAGCGGTAACAAGCACAAGGGAAATCGTCCGCGGGCTTCGTCCAAAACTTGCTCAACCCCATGCGGCAAAGTCATTGGCTCTGGCCAGCCGACGCGTACCTCACTGATGTTGAGTGCTGTGGTCACGAATTCGCTAAGCATGCGTAATCGAGATTCCTGGGCAACCTTTCGGTCTATTCCTGGAGCTCGTTCAGATGCTCCATGGGCGCTAAGTCCCTAGACGTTTAGGTACCACAACGGCACAGCGTATAGGCGAGAATCTTTCGCACCAACATACAGCGCCCGGATCACGGTATAGAAGTAAGACCAGTGTTTGAGCACATCACAACGGGCCATATCTGCGTTGAAACGGCTTCTCTGGTCCTGTGAAGAAAACTGAGCATGGTTTACAGTGATTGTTTGAATCCGTTACTCGCGATAAGGTGCTGGATCGTATGCAGGATTTTTAACAAGCTAAGTCAAAATGGGGTCTAGCACCCACCTAGGATCGTAGTGCTCTGAATCCGAAGTCCCAGAACACCCACTGGATCTTCGAAGCTCGTACTCTCCTGCTGCGATCAGTAGATATATATATACTACATTTAGAGGTGCCGACATCAATCACATGATCTCGATCATGCACGGTGAGATGGCCGAGTTGGTTATGGTAAGCTCGCTTCCGATCATAGTCACCTTAACACCTTACTTACAAAAGCAGGCGCCAGGTTAAGGAGCATCTTAACATCATTTCCTGGTCACGAAAGTGGCGTGGGTTCGAGTCCCACTCTCATCATTATCGTCCGCTCTCAGAGTGGTATTCGGGAGATTCTTTTTTTGCTTCTGGGCGCGTGGCGGAGCACTTGGTGGGCAGCTTATCGTTAGCGAGCTTCTGCTCTCATCGCTAATGTGCGCTCCTTGGAAATTCTATTTGTCTTTTTCTTTCATCCTCATAACTTGGCACGTGACTGAAAATAGGCATTTCGGCGCACCTTGCCTTATTTTACCTTGCGCTACTATACGTGTGTGAACATCAATGTTCACACCACATGTAGTAGTCCGCCTCCAAGAATTCTTATTTTCTCTGTCGACATGCCCTCGATAGCATGATGTTCCTATGAGATAGCCTGCTGCAAGAACTATAGGACTCACCGTCAACCACTGCGCATTGTTAGAACGTGCGCAATATCGCGTCTTGTAACATTTCAAATGACACTCCTGCTTGAGCTATGCTATTAGCCTATTTCCTCTGCTACTATACATTTTCTTCACGACTGCAAAGCCATCGATGCTCATGATCAATGCTATAGCATCTCTAGCCAACTTTCGGTATGCAAAACGCGAACCAACGCGGAAGGTGCGCGATAGCTTCTGAACATCATTCCGACGCTCCCTCGAAGCTCAAAACACAGGTCTTACTACGCAACCGAATCATCGCAGTTGAGCGAGCGCGACGGCTCATCCATATCCTCTGAGGGTCAAATCGGTCAACGCAGCTTACTCAAACCTTGACCGCTTGCTTGCCGCGGCCTCGCCGGCCTCATACATGAAGTCGAGCTGTTCTTCATGAGACATCGTACCCATAAGGTCGCGCTTCCTGGCCTTGATCTCCTCGCAGACCTAGTCTAATTGAGCCCTCTCTTTTTCAAGGCATTGACCTCACTCTCAAGCTTCTGCATCGCCCGTATGTGCCCACTCCCGTATGTGCCCACTCTTCTTCTCTTGCATTGTCTGCTTCTCCTAGATAAGGCCTTGCTCTCGCGTGCGGATCCAGTTGAATGTGTCTGTGTTCTGTTCGCGGGTGCGAGGGACGATTGGAGTCGCCGAGATAGTGACCGAAGACGCGGACACAGACAGCAGAGAGGGTGCGGATGATTGCGCTACTGTGCGTTGACGTGCATAACGCAAGACTGCCCCCGACCTTGTCATTTCCGATCTGCCCTGTTAGAGATTCGTGATAGTCGTTCCACCAGTGATCTAGTGTCTGTCAGCTCACCGTATTTGGAAGGATCACGAGTATTCACCTCCGAACCGACTGCGATCGACACGTTGAGCTGTTCTTATTCACCTGCGCCGTCTAGAAGCCCGGCTGGCGGGTCGCTGTGAGACGGGACTTGAAGGCTCGCGCTCTTGCGTGCTGGCCATGTGATTAGTAACTCGCTCTGACCCAGTCCTTCCATTTCTGTTTGGGTGGATGCTTGTAGATGGGTGGTGCCACATACCTGTGGTCTGAGCTTGATTTGTGGCAGCTTTGCGCCGCGCCCGGACCCTTAACCGGAAAGCTGTATCGAGTGGTCTTCCTCGATGTAGTTCCGTTTGCAAGTTTCTCTGGTGCCTTTGCTGTTGGCTGAGGTGCGAATTCCAGGAAATCAGCTTTAAGATCCTCAACTCAGGTCATGGCGATGTTGAAAGGAGCTTTCAGCTCCTCATCCTTGGAACCTACGTGCATCAGAGCAAGAAAGTAGTACCTCGCCAAGGACTGAATGTTATGGCTGTTGGTGACATTGCCGAAGGCGATTGACGGGCCTGACTGCTTTTTTACAATGCGTCCCACATGGTGACAATCATACACATTAGGAATGGAGTTTTCATCATTGTTGCGTTATGCGGCAAACTTGAGCTCGCGATGTCGATTTGAGTATGTGAGCCAATAAATCCAAATTTTGGTAAGCTCGAGTTCCTCGTTGCTCATCCGTCCCATTCTTTAAAAGATCTTGTATCGAAACGCATCCTCGTCCTCGGATTGTGCCATCACTTCCACGTTGTCAAGAGAAGGCAGTTGAGCTATGTTCTCTGGATCAACAGCAGCCGTCAGTTTCGCAAGACTCTTCGCAGCCATGCGCATGTTGAATGTTTTCGTGAATTTAGGTGGTAATAATCGCAAAATCAATGAGGCAGAACAGTGGTAGCAGTAGTCGCGCAGGCCTAAGCGCCTGTGAGGCAGTCTCGGTGTTTTGCAAGCGGTTGCTCATTCATCAACGTCAGTCCGAGAGCCTATTATTGCGGTTTCGATGCTTACCCACTAGATACTTCTTCAAAATCTAGGTAAGAAGAGGAATTGTTTCGTAGATCATGGTTGTACGGAGGTGTAGATAACAGTTTACTGTCCGTTTAATTGTGCCACGTGATTTCGTGTATGGCGCGCGTTAGCGCGTCAAGTGGGGCAAGTTCCCCTCTCATTGGTCTCACCAGCAGACAGAGGCGTTTCAGACGGGTGGAAATTGTGGGATGCTATCTCATGGCTTTTGATCTACATCCTACCCAGCCTCATAGGAATATTGTTCCGAACGTTGTTTGCAAAAAAAGCTATGTAGAAAACATCAGTCTTCTCACAGCATCACACTACACGCATCTGCGTTCTCACGGCCACATCAGCTTTTGATCAGACCTTCTCAAGAAGGGAATTCGGTCCTTGGAGAATCGCCACCTACAAGAGTGAGTCAGTAGTTGCTCGCTCTTGTGCCCTTGTCAGTGCTCGTGCATTTAGTCGACTTAAGAAGTCCCGATATATTACTCACCCTTCGGAATCCGTAGCGGAACTTAGCGGTTTTTCAGGTGGCCGCCCAACGTAGATAAAATTTGAACAAGCTGTTCGTAAAGTTGGCCCAATACTTGACCGTCAACAGCCTCAAGCAGCCCCTGTGTAATCTCGCGCTCCACGTCACGAAGGCTCGTCATAGCATTGCGAGCAAGTGTATCCATGAGAGTTAGTTGATAGGCTCCTGAAGTTAAGAGAGCCTGGCCTGAGTGCTCGAGGCTGCTTCAACTCGCGAGGTCCTCAGATATCGACAGCCTAGGCCGATGGTCCACGCTCGGGCTCTTGCTGGCAGTTTTGGATGTGCGTTCGCTCATGTGAGTAGTTGATTCGGAAGCAGGACTCGCTATATATGGTACAGTTGCTCCGGGAGAACTATCAATTACTGACCGTGCACGCAGAAGTTTGAGGGGGGCGTTGGCCGCTGCCTATACACAAATGATTAGTATTTGGGTGCTTGTATGGCAACTGCCCCGCATACTCGCTGTCTGCCATCACCAGCGATATCGTTGATGGCCAAAGTAAACACTTCAGCACCTGGCTTTGTTGGGTGCTTGTCAGTACAACGACCGCTGCGCAACTTCGACCAGAATGTCCCGTTACGGTCGCGATACTCTTCAAACCCGCCCCTCAAGAGAGTTATTCAGCCGGAGTGGTAGGCTAATCGCAGCCATGGCGATCGGTGAGGTAATCGTGTGACTGCACGTAAAGGAATTAAATTTAGCGGTATGCGCTGAGGGTGGTATGGGTTCTGATACCTTGAGGTAAAGAGGTGGTCGCGGATCGAGGCTCGAGGCTGCATCGTCGAATGATATTGTCGGGTGACATTTGCTCGCCACGCCATCGATATTGTGTAGACACAGCTCGCCCACATCAGACAGGCTGCTAGTCAACCCTAAGGCCAGCTTTGATACGATATCGCCATTGGCGCTGCCCTCGGAAGTAAGCTTCTGCGGCAATGAGAGATCTGGCCTATTACGATGTAGGGATGCTCCAACATCCCGAATCCAATGTTACCGACCGTGAAGAGAAGGCTTACTACCCACATGGTCATCACTATATGGCAATCGTAAAAGGGAAGGGTGAATCCTCAACGTCTAAAGACTCATAGAGAACAAAACGCAATCCTCGTAGAAGCTGTACTCCTGCGACAAGATGTAGCAATAAGGGTATCTAATAAATGGCGCCAATGCTGAATGTTCATTTTCGCAGCGCCCCAGAGCAGGACATCACATAGTCTGAGCTTGACATGGGGTGTACTACCAGGAACGTTGCATCGCCCCAGGGACGTAATCTTGGTCATTACCCAGAGTTCTCCTTCAGGATGTTTCCATGCTGGTGATCCGATTTCGCTTCTGTTCGAAGCTGTTCGAAGCAGATGTGGGTTTACGTATCATTATACGCCTGGGCGGGCAGTGGAACCAAACGTACGGTTTCATTAGATCCGCGAGTGCTTTCATCGCCTCTCACACCGGCCGCGTCCTCTGGCAGTACAATTGCTTCCCGATTTTCGTCTCCTGTCTTAATCAACTGGACCATGATCTCGCTGATATTTCCCTTGCTCCTTCCGTTGGCTTTCAAAGCCAATGCATTGCCTCCTTGTGAAGCCGCTACAATGACACTACCGACATCCGCGAGTTGAAGGTTGGACATACCTGTCCAGAAGCGGGTCCGCATAGCTTCTGTAAGGAATACCAAAAGAACTACGCTGTTGATGCCAAGTAACACGTATACAAAAGCGGGCTTTCCATAGGTGACCGCAGGTAATCCAACGAGTGCTGGGACTTCAACGGTTTGATTAGCACCGATGAGACGCGTTGCAGAGAGCATTCCAACACCATTATCGAAGAGCGATTCTATATAGTCTTTCAGTCCTTGGAATAACGTTCTGTCGCTTTTGTCATCCTTAAACTCCGGGAGCATTCGCAGCTGATTGATGTTGAGCACAATTGAATGGCCTAGCTGGGAGCCAAAAACTATGCGGTCGTTTCCAGAGTAGCGACTGAAAGGATCATCAAGATGTTGCAACACAACATTTGCCCATTCTGGAGTGGGCACCTGGCCATTGTCCGCGATTTTGACGGTTTTTTCAATGACATCGACCTTGACAGAAAAGTTGGTGGCCTCATATGTAACCTCGCATTGAACATTGTTGAACTGATGAAAGTCCCAGACATCTGCTGTTGTGGTCGTGTCAGCCGCTAGCGACACCAAGCTTTTGTTTGCCGCGGGCATATCCGGTGCGGCATGCCCTACAGCCCATATAAATATGTCTTGTCTTTGTGGCGCGAGCATCGGATAATGATCAGGTACCCTGACTCCATTTGCAAATGTCCCGTTGGATGTAAATTCGTGGCGAAAGTGCGCGTCATCAGTTTCGGCATACGCGATGGAAAACTTCGCTGATTGATTGCGCATACATGTCGTGTTGGTTTTCAGACCCACCTCATAGTACGTATACCAAGATGGGGCGGATGTGTCTGGTATATCAATCAATCCAGCAGATGCTCCAGCGCCGTAACTTCGACCATTGAAGCGATATCCAGAAGAGTCGAACTTGGGGCGGACGCCATCTGTGTGAGAGGCATTCGAGGATGCGCTCGCCAAACCCTGGAAAGTACCGCTGACGCTGGAAAGCGATAGGTCGAAAGTAAATAAGCCCTCACTAGTGATCCATACGGGGCTTGTCCCATAGCCATCGATCCTTCGAGAAGCTGTATTATTCCTAGCTTTAAACATTTCGACATCGGAGTAGTTACTAGACATGAATGTCGGAATATCGATGGCGCGCCAGACATGTTTCTCAGCGACGACAGGTGTCAGAGCGCCCGACCACAACGCAGCAGGAACGAACGAGAACCCCAAAAAGACGACAGAAGCCAGGCTAAGAGGCCAACGTCCATGCCATGCTACTGTCGGCCTTGAAATAGCGTCAACGAAGCGCAGTGTATCGAGACTGTAAGCTCGAATGAGCTGTGAGACGCGAAAGGAGGACGCGATAGTATAACCTACGGTTCGTTTAATCCAGTGTATAACCACGTATGATGAGATGGTACTTACATAAAGCATGAATTTGCAAGAATCCCAGTGTTGACGAAAGGATTTGTACAGCCACAGCGATACTAGAGCGATTAGCCAGAACGATATTTGCTGTATGCTCTGAGCTCCTCCAATCTCTGGCGTTCATTATAGTCAACGCGATGCCCAAAGCCGAAGTCGCGATCATTCCCAACATCGGCCATATCCAACTGTTGTGTCGCTTCCCCGGCCTAGTGGGCCCGAGAGACATGTATCTTCTACCAACCATACCTGTTCCGGTGTGTGAGGTTTGATTAAGAACTTCTGAATTTGAAGCATGAGAGCGTCGGTGCAGAACAACTACTTATGGCTAATGACGTTTTCATGGGGCTGTTTGATGAGTTGATGCCCTTGGAAATCATCCTTCAGACTCAATAAAGAAGCTAGCTAACGCTGAGGAGCTTTGGGCTGAGGGAGCCAAGCGTTTCATCTCAGAAAGATGACGTGAGCGACTATCGTTTCCAAACTAGGTTGCCGCTGTGCTTTAAACTCCTCAAGAAGAACTCCTCAAGAGGCCTTTATTGTAAAATGTCCCACAGAGTGCGATCTCTCGAATGCTTTGGTGGTAGCTTGCTTGAGCCGTCCTGACGTGGATGAAAACCGTGTGAGATGACCTTTGACTATTACGATATTTGATAATCTACGTCAACAGCGGACTCACCGGGTCATGAGAGTAAAGCTCGTGTTTGGGCTGACCCGTTGAATAGCAATGTTGGTATAGACATTGGCCGAGGGTGATCGAGGATGAATGCGCTCTACGATGACGTCACTAGCGTCGGGTGTACTTCTCCCCGGATAAGACTACTTCCATCTCTTCTCCAATGCTCCCCACAGCGGCCGGTAACCCCGCATTCTTTTCACAGACCTTGGGATTCTCTCATTCCACGTCAAGGGGATTTGAAAATGGTCTGCGAGTACCTGGTATGTGACACTTGTCGGTGAAAACGGACATGCCATTGCTTTTTATTGATTCGAGAACGTTGAACTCGGACGACAACTTCATGATAATGTCAGATGGAATGTTAACTACCTCGTGCCCTGGACGCCATTGTGAACCAAGTTCTTGACTCACCAGTGGACTTTATCCATGGCTCCGAAGCCTGTGCACACTAATCTAGCGTACATAGATATATAAGCAACGCACTAGAAGCATTCAATGAGTATACCATCCGTTCTACTCCTGTTGAAAGCAGTCGATAGGAATGTTACCCTTCGTGCTCACTGCACTTTGTGCCCACCTGGCGACAGCCCAGACCGACCCGTACGCCAATTGGCCTTCATATGCCGATCTTCCTCTGAATGCTTCCTTTCCACCCAAGGCCGCATGGGGTGTTTGGGTAAGCGACTTCCTTCCTTCAGGCCTGTACACATCTCTCCCAGCTCTGAAACTGACACCTGCAGGGCAATGACGATGTACACGGGGCTCTGAACCACATCACAAATGACACGCGCAAGAAGAGCGCAGAAGAGATCCAAACCGGCCAAGCCTTCAATCTCAACCTCGAGCTATCTTTCTTCCCACAGCCCGCAAATATCGAGCGCAAGCCGCTCGTGCATCTCTTTCAGCCAGGCGATGGCTACACGGACGACGTGATTACCTTTAACACGCAGATGAGCACCCAGATCGATGGGTTGCGGCACTTTGCTTACTCAATCGACGGGAATACAAGCACTTACCGATACTACAACGATCTTATCCCAGATTATGAGCATGTCATTGGACATGATTACACAAGCGTATTGGGCATTCAACAAGCTGCCGATAAAGGTATTGTGGCAAGGGGCATATTGCTGGATTATAAGGCGTGGATGGATAGTCAGAACAAGACCTATGATGCTCTCTCCGTAGGAACCACAAAAGTGTCTGCAATCCCAAGATGTCCGCTAATCGTGCATAGGGATGGTCTGTCCCGGCATCGGATCTTGAAAAGGTTGCAGAGTGGCAGGGTCTGCCCAGCAACTGGTCTCGCCCTGGCGATATCCTCGTTGTGCGCTTTGGCTGGATCGAGGCCTTCGGTAAGCTCAACGAGACCGAAAGGGCAATTATCGTCCGTGGACCTGGCGAGTGGGTTGGTATGAAAGCCGACGACGAATCCGCCGAGTGGCTCTGGAACAAGAAGTTGGCCATGGTAGGAGCCGATAACCCTGCATTTGAATCAACACCATTTGGACACGTCATTGGAGGTCACGACGGCATGAGCCTCCACCAGCTTCTAATCTCTGGTGGGTCCACCCCAGTCTTTGAAGAGCCTGAAAAGCTGACTGCGACAGGTTGGGGTCAAAGCATTGTGGAGTTTCTTGATCTTGAGAAACTTGCACCTGCTTTGCATGCATTGAACCGATCTTCGTTCTTCATGACGATTCAGCCTGTGAACAAGATTGGGGGTATAGCATCCCCGCCCAATGCTATGGCTGTTATATAGTGAACTAGCAAGTCTACTCAGTCTCATCCCGAGGATCGCTATGTACATCGTTCTATGCATTTAATCTGAAGCTTGAACGTAAAGTCCCAATCATGGACCTACGACGCTGCAGGTGTGACCAAACCGACTCCTCCCTGTTCTTCATTATCCCTGTATCCTATCTTTCTGAAGTCGCCATGCACAACCCACGCGTCTGCATATTCCTCTCCACCTCCACCCACCTTCTTCAACCGCCCGGCCTCCGGGATCCGGCCAACATTAGTGAAGCCCAACTTCGTCCAGAGCCTGACACTTGCCTCATTGCTCGCATACACCAAGTTGAAGACGCTTCCACGGTACCCGACAGCCGGCCCGTAGAAGCAGAAGGAGCGCGCTGCAATACGTCCTAACCCGAGACCACGCGCGCCAGAAGGGACCATAAACCCGCCATTGCATAAGTGTGAAGAGCGTCCAGGATAGTTTGGCTTGATATAGTAGACGAAAGCGTATGTGTCAGCTTGGTTTGGCAGGTCAATGCTTGCTCTTGCTGATGATTGTGATAATGCGCGAATTTTCGAGGATCCGACTTTGACGTTTGAAAGTTGTGATTCGCTAAGGGGAACGCCGAGTTTTGGTACACCAGACGTGGAGTGTAAGCTTTCAAGCTGCGCCTTTGTAAGGATAAGACCTAACACGAGGTCGTACGACATGAAGTAGTTCTTGTATGCTTCGACATCCATAATGTCCTCTTGGGGGTAGGTTCGTCCTTCGTCGATAGCCCTGCAAGCAACTTAGTTCGGCTTCTGTATGATCAAGAAATTTGCTGTAACAGACTCGTTGAAATCATGGTGAAGCTTCTCCACCAGCTTGGCGTCAAGTTCGTCTCCCGCGTTGAAATCGACAGGAACAGTGAGGATGGCTGCGCGTGATTCTGAGGCATTCGACTCGATGGGGTAGATGCGCGCCGGAATCTCACCGAGCAGCTTCGAGATACCGCGGACTTTTCCGTAGGCCATACTGTAGGATGGAGCGTGGCACTTGGTAGTTCTCGTACGCTCTGAAATAGGATACAATTTGATGCACGTAGGGCGCGATGGACGTGGACATGTGACTCATGTGGCGGGGTGGTGGAGCAAAACATGACTCGGGATGCCGGCTTTAGGTCCGCTTTGTAGTCCCCAATGGCGTCGAAGTCTATACTTTACACCTTGGTAACATTCTCATGCGAGGGATTAACAGATTACCATCGAGGATTGAGTGACTTTGAATAATTCTCCACAATGTTGGGTTCAACTACTTGCTAAACATCAAGCTACAGCCTACGCGAGCACCTAGAGAAGGTTTGCGATAACGGCCGACGACACTACTCAAATACACCCGCAGCAACTTTTCGACGTGTACATGGAATACCCTGAGTGCCGGCGTCTCTAACATGTTTACAACAGCCGATTCAGCAGGTTTTGCCTCCCTCAGGATTAATCTTTAAGCCTATCTGTATTCGTCAGTGCAACAGTCAAGGACTGGAGCAAATTGACACACCTTTGCAGCATTGCCAGTGCACAGGCTTGCTGTTCATGAGTTTTAGGCTCTTTGATATGGCTGTATTGGTGCTGTAATGTGACCGAATGAGATCTTTCCCTTGGAAAAGCGGAAGGTCATTTTGCTATGATTGAACGAAGTGGAGTGAAAAGTTGCAGTTGGAGGAACAAGGTGTGCGGCGTAGTAAGAATGTGTCCAGGATAAAAAGGCATTTTTTATAATAGTTCTTCGTACTCTGTGGGAAGCCTCTTGGGTCTGCTTGAATGGATAACAGACATTGCGCGTCTATCATACAGAGCTTGAAGAAGGTAAGAGGGTCATACTGGAAATGGATACATTGGTCACGTAAGTTTTAGGTCCCCAATGAATTAACAACCAGTCGTGAGTGGCGCGGTTACCAGGTTATCCCTTTCGTGTACCCTTAGCGCTCCGTCGTCAATAGAGGACGGTGAAATGGCAGCTTGGACTACTCGTCTCCTATTGCTCCCATCTACGGAGGAAGACGGTAAGTGGTTAGGCTAGGCGATAATGCACATTTGCATAGTGAGCGCTAAGAATAGTGCGAGAGCTGAACATGTCTTCTAGATTCAAGCGCGGGGATTTCATTGATCAAAGAAGGAGACGGGTTCTGTAGGCCGTGACGGCTGCTCGAACCTCGGAGGATGTTGGATGATCTCTCCCTCCCAGTCCCAAAGCGTACCATGCTCGGCCCCAATCCGCACATAATCTTGACAAACTTCGATGGGATCATCGTCCATGAACAAGGGTATGCTATAAGTCATGATAGTCATGACTTTCTTTGGGTCAGTGCCATCCCAATGGCCGCGTCGGAAATTCCCATATCGCATCTGTTGGCTGTCGATGTTGATCAAGAGTACCTTCAGTGGCTTATTGCAGTGTCTGAAATATTGGGCTTTGATGTCGTAATCACGCAGTCCGTCCGCACGAGTCATTACCAACGTCTCCAGCGTTTCCATCTTCGCAACATCTCGCCAGAACGACGGATGACTCGCTGGATTGTAGACAGCGAGTCTTCGAAGCTTCGACCATCTCGTCCAAAAAGCATGCTCGCCACCGTGCCAATAGAGGTCAAGGAACAGCTCGTCCTGCACGCTCACGAACTCCTCGAGATGTTCCAGCCTTTGAAAACCCTCACGCAAGATGTTGCGCACTCCAAGATGATCTCGTTCTGGATATACGCTGCGCAAAGGAATGTCGATGATGAGGCGTTTGAGCGTTGAACACGTGTATTGGAGCAATTCCCGGACCCATGTGGCTGTAGGTTGGTCATCGATGGATCCACGAAACGGTGCCAGAAAGAGGGCCGTTATCTGTCTCAGGTCGGGCCTAGCGGTGGGAATGGCCAAGAGCAACGAGCACAAGCGTGCTTGGGAAGAGAGATACACGCAATGTTCTCGAAGCGCGCGATTGGCCACGCGTCGAGTTTCATGGCATACCAAGGTGAACTGAAGGAGAAGCTGGGTGATTGGGTGCGCGGGCCGTAGTAGGACGTTAGGCTTCGGCAGCGAACAGGTAATGACATTGAGGACTAGCTCGAGCGGAAGGTGCATAGGCTTGAGCGACTCCATGGCGTGGAGTGGAAGCGATACCTGTACAGTCATGCATTGAGGCGCATGGTGATGACGAATCGTGGGTGTTGAAACACGACTCAGAGCGATGCGGGAAGGATACCGATCGGGTGATAGCTTTGCCGCTAACGTGATGGGCGCGTTGGACCCCTGCTGAAATTTATAGATATGCCCCTCCCCCGCCGTTGGAAATAGGACCAGCACAGCATCAAGATGGAGTTTGAACCCAAGACACGTTTGTACAATCTCTCGTTCCTGGTTACGTGTATTGATGATATGCAGCGCAGTACAACACCTCGGATCCCACCTCATTCGCCCACACCTCAGCACGGTCCAGATGGCCCATTATCATTACGCAAGGCATCGATGATGTGCATCGGTCAATCTATGCTACACAAGATGAAGAAAAGGTCAAGGAGGGCAAATGGATTGTGTCAGAGCTGGCAGGACTGAAGTACGAGCTTCAACACGACCGTGAACTCTCGCCTATTCCCGATGACGGCGAACCGGACGTTGCGGATTACAACAAAGAATTGGAAGCACTGAAACCCGCTAAGTGGCACTCGGTGCCTTGGCTATATTCAGAGTGCTACCTCTACAGGTGACGGGTCCCCCTCAGTAGCTTGTGCAGCGATCTTTGCTAACCGCCGCTCAGACGCATCTCGAGTATCTTCAAGCGAACACAAAACTGGAGGTCGTACGACATCTTCGCCCGCCAGAAGATGTCCACTTTCAAGTCCTCGCGCCCCGCCGTCATCGAACTCGCGAACCGTTACCGAGACATAGTCACCGAGCTCGAATCGAAGCACACCATAAAGGGCGCAAAGACAGCCGAGGAGCTCGAAGAGGCGGAGAAGGTCTTATTCGTCGAGATGTGCGAGATTTGCTTGTGGGGCAATGCAACCGACTTGTCACTCCTTACGAACCTCACATATGAAGATATCCAGAAGCTACAGGGATCTGAGGCGCGCAAGAAGTCTGAGAAGAACATCCTGGTCAATGATCTGGACAAGGCTTTCAAGATCCTGTCCACAGCGCAAAAGGAAGGCAAGAAGGAGCGGAGAGTAGATATCGTGCTTGATAACGCTGGCTTCGAGCTTTTCGTGGACCTGATCTTGGCTGGGTACCTGCTTGCTTCAGGTCTAGCTACCAATATCGTCATCCATCCGAAGTCGATCCCATGGTTTGTCTCCGACGTTTTGCCACAGGACTTTGCAGCTCTTATTCAAGCGCTCGCCGACCCGCAAGGCTTTTACTCCGCACTCTCTGAAGACAGCGAGGACTCAGGGACAAGGACTCCACCGCTCTCGGAAGCGGAAGTTGATGCTCTGAAATATCTCTTCCAGCACTGGAGCGGTTGCCATGCGGAGGGCCAACTGGTTATGCGCCCAAATACCTTCTGGACCGCGGGTGGTAGCTTCTGGAGATTGCCGAAGACAGAGCCAAGCTTGGCTGAAGACCTAAAGCAGAGCCAGCTTGTCATCTTCAAGGGCGACTTGAACTACAGGAAGCTGACCGCCGATGTGAGTCTTTCTGTCGTGAACTGAATGGAACCGTGAGCTGACGATGACTAGGCGAATTGGCCTGCAACAACACCCTTCACCGAAGCCATCGGCCCGCTTGGCCCAGGATCTGGTATTCGCGTACTGGCGTTGAGGACATGCAAAGCTGATGTTGTCGTCGGTCTCCCAGAAGGCGAAGATGAGAGGATCAAAGCCACTGAAGGAGGTGGCGGCGACAGTGGATCGCGGAAGTGGGCTTGGAGTGGGAAGTGGGCCGTGGTGCAATTCTCTGATGGTAAGGCATAGGACTTGCTATGCGATGGTCTCATGGAGTTTTCCTCGGTCTAAAACAGCAATTGAACAGGCTTGAAGTGCTCGAGCTGCGCATATAAGCATATGAACGGTAGTATAGATGTAGGAACTCATGTAGAAGTCATAGTTGATTCACACAGGGTACACTCCAATTATGCCGAAATCCCATGAATAAAATTTGCTCATCATTCATTCTACTCGGAGAGACCTAGCAGAATCGGTGGAAATTTCAGTACTGACAGGGCAATCGACGTTGCTTTTCGAGTGCCTTAGAATCTGGAAAGTGCACGGCAATCTGCGCTTGCCCCTTGGAATTACTTGTTGCAGGTTTGCTCCTGCGTTTCTAGATCTACACACAAGTACGGCAAGAGCAGACCCAGCATGATGCAAAACATCCCTTTCTCATAACATGCTGCATCTCTCACTCCAGCGCGCACTATCCACCATTACATCACATTAATACCCAGCAGCATCCATTCACTTAGCCTCCCAACCATGCGCCGCCTTCTTGTTATCTCTTTCCTAATAAATTCTTTCGTCCTGCCAGCCCTCAGCCAATTCACACCTCTCTCACTCTTTGAGCGAAGACAGCCGCAAGGCTGCCAGTATCCCTCCCTTTCGGATGGAACATATATCTATTTCACCAGTCAGTCTGAACCGCTGCTGCAGTACTCCATTTACACGCCATGGACTCGCTTCTACCCGGACGCTTTGCGCGCCGACCTCGTAGAGCAGGACTTCCAGCTCGGCAAGCAGCACGACAAGAATGAAAGCGACGTGTGCGGCTGGGAGACCGTCGACGTCGTGAAGAAGCACGGATGGCATCGGGGCGATGTCAGCTTTCGACACTCACCTGATGGAGGCGTGAAGACCACGAAGGCTTCCGACCAGCCCTCTCCACACAATATGACGATACCCATCCTCTCTTCTACCAACCCCGCTGCTGCTGGAAATTCCAATATCGAACAGCAGACGAGCATGGTTGTACACCTCGTCAATCACACCCACCGAACAGAGCCTCCCCAGAAGGTGTATCTCAAGCCAGAACTTCGGCCAACCAACGAAACTCTCAAACACATCCACGGCGTCCTTGCGTCCAATTCTCCCGAAGCAGGCATTCTGTTCATGATGCTCGAGATCACCCTACCGATCCTGGGCGTCATTGCCTTCTTAACGCTCATGCTCCTCATCATGCGGCATGTCACCAACAAACTCTATCCCAATAATGAAGAAGACAGCGAGGCAGGCGACATCGAACTATCTTCCTTGGGGGGCACCTCTGTGAATAGCGACGGAACACTAGTCAACCCTCGAAAGCTGTCCAAACCCGGCAGTCCCAAGGCGGTGGATCGCTTCCCCGATTCGAAGAATGGTGGCGTCTTCGCGTGGCGATTGGCAATGGAAAAGCCGAAGCAACCTTAGCAGAGCTTGAGCTTGAGGGCGCAAGATCGCTACCCGCGTACGAATGCAGGCGGCTTCTTCGGGGCCTCGATCGAGCAGCCGTCTCGGAGGCAGAGTTCGAGTGTTTATTCGAGGAGCATGGATGGGGTTACGTTGTACCCAGAGAGAAACACGGGGAGTTGGGGGCGTCGTTGAGTTGAGCCTGTAGTTTTGTTGCTGTGCCGTTTGCGCCTGACTGTGCGGTTCGGTTTCTGTTTGTGTTGTTCTGGTTGTTGCTGGTTGGCGGATAGAAGCAGAGCGGATTAGACGTGGTGCTCGGATGTTGCGCGTCTTGTGTTCATTGCTTTTCCTAGTAGTGTGTTAATTTGATGCGTTTGATCTTGCTTTCAGAATCGAGATAAGATGTACGTCATCAAAGAGGAAAGCAGTGCCTGCGGGAGCCTGAGAGACAATAGGTCTGCGAAAATGACGAGAAGAATTGTGAGAATGAAGATTCCAAGATTGAACGTGATATATAGAATTCTACTATATGCAATAGCCCTAAGTGGGCGTGGTATCTCCCATGAATCGTGACGCTTGGCACAGGCCACAGTCCCCCAAACGCCTGGAAATGCAAGAGAACAAGAGTCTCGTGACCGAAGGTGGGAAAATCGTGCTCTTTGTCGAAAAAGCACATGTATAACATGACGTTGGGCCAGTTCTCACCCACAGTGGCCATCAGATCGCAGGACTCGACGTGACCCAGGCCACTCCTCGTGGCCAGATCCCCGGTATAGCACGGCACAGCGAAACCGAAATCGGCTACGAGCGGCGCTTGCGGACTTTGGATTCGGAGAAGGGCTTCAGCGCGCCTTTGCCGCGGCTCGTCGGGAACGAGATCTGGTTCTTTGGCTTCTTGCGGCGCAGCATCTTCTCCTTGTGGATGGTCTTGCGGTCCTTGTGCTTGCGCTTGGAGCCGGATCTTTCGCCGTCGACGTCCATGTCTGTCATGATACAGTTAGCCCCTGATCACTCAACCATTCTGGCGCAAGCGGGTCAAAGGCAAACTCGAGGGCGCCCGTGGGCGTGAAGCCCACAATGTCGGAGCAGAGACCGAGCACGTCGTACAGAGTCCTGCTCTCGAGGTCTTCGTGTGCAGGAGCGGGTTTGGCGTCTGGGATGGAGGTGGAGGTGGCGCAGAGGCTCTGGGGAATGCTGGCTGAGAGGAAAAACGAACCTTTGGGGAAGTCTTCCTCTTTGCTGGCATCGTTTGCGGCGGCGTCTGCGTCTGTGGGGCGACGGGTCAGCGTGTGTGTGGTTTTACTTGATAGGTGAGTCGCTGTACCTTCTGCAGAGTCGACGTCCATTTCCTTTTCCTTTGCAGTCTCGGGCTTGGGCTGCTGGGCCGTCTCGAGCAGCTTTTGGTGGATGCGCTCTAGACGAGCATTTTCGACGGGCTCGAAGACGCGGGCGCGCAACTTGGTGCGGTTCGACTTCTTGGAGCTGGAGCGGAGACCTTTGGCCATTTTGGTGGTGTTGTGTGGGTGGTGCTGGCGCGAGTGGAGTGTTGCGCTGCGGTATCGCGGAGGAAGTGCTGCAGCAAAAAAGTGTGGGCCGGCCGAGAATTTCTGGTGGCGGCGGGCAACAGGCAGCGCTGGAGCGATCGGCCCGTGCAGGGCTGCGACGCTTAGCGAGTCGGCTTCTGGACGATGATGACTTTGCGATGCGTGAGCACGGCCGCGACAGCCGCCGACGAGATCGAGTTCCTCCAGGTCCCAGCGGTGGGCGCTGCGCCGCGAGTCTCGCCTCTGCACTCTTCCCGCTCCGTGTCTCTCCCGCCGTCGCACCGCGTGTCGGCGACTGTGGTGCGCAACGATAATAAGGAAGCCGCTACCCTCGAGCCATTGGACCCTCCCAGACGAACCTCACTTGCCCGCCCTTCACCGCGGCCTTTACCAGCAAACACCCCTCACTATCCTTTGCCACAGAGCGCTCGAGCACAAGGCTGCTCCATGAATTCCCCCAGCAAGAAGTGGTAGCACCCACCGCCCGCCCAACCGCAGCCCGCGCACCCTCTGCGGGACCCGCCATGGCGTCGTCGAGCCTGCAGCAGATGGCCCCGACGCTCATCACGCGCTCCAAAACACTCCTGAATAAGGACTTGCAGAAGATATGCAGGGCAGAAGGCGTAGCCACCAGCGGCGTCAAGAGCCAGCTGCAGTCGAGAGTGACGGACTGTACGTTACACAAGCCTCCCCCCTCCACAAACAGCGGACGGCGCTTGCCGTCTCGTTGAGCTCCACCGTCCTGTCCCGCCTTGCACCGCTCTGATTCACCTTCGCAGTGATAAACAAGTCTGTCGTCAACAACGACCACGCTCTCTTCAACCGCCTGCAACACCACATCTCCAACGGCCCCGGCGCGCCTGCCGCGGATTACGGCAGCTATCCGCCGCGCAGTGCGACCGCATCTTCTCCCAGCATGCCCAGCGGACGCGGCAGCATGGCCAATGGCTACCAGCCGCCGCCCTATCCCAACTATCAGACGCCCGCGACACAAGCGCGTACGTTTTCCCTCGTTCGGGTTGCCATGGATGAGACTGATATTGGCCCAGGTCCAAATTACTTCTTCAAGGAGAGCCCGTTCTTCGAGATCCGAGAGATGCTGCTGAATAACATTACGCTCGACAGTAAGACTAGACGCCCCCACGGTCACTGTACTTTCGCTCACCTGTCCCAGCCTCTCCCAGCCACCGCCAGAGTGTCAACAAGAATCTGATGCTGAACGACTCTCAAAGTGCTCGCTTGCGTTCGGACCCAACACTGCGCGTCTTGCTCTTTTGCGCCGTGGAACAGCCGCTGGCTCCTTTCACGCGCCTGGACATTGCCTTCCCCAGCCAGATAGAAGTGCGCGTAAACATGGACGAAGTGAAGGCCAACTACAAAGGTTTGAAGAACAAACCAGGCTCAACTAGGCCAGCTGACATCACTGCTTTTCTTCGCACCACTCCTGCAAACTACCGCAACTCGATCGGAATCACCTATGCGTTGACGCACAAGGCAAGCGACCATCAGGTTTCTTATCCCCGCCCTGTTTATTCCTATTTCGCGACCTAGTCTAACGTGAGCCAACTGCAGAAATACAATGTCTTCATTTACCTGGTGCGCAAACACTCAATAGAGGAGCTCGTCAAACGCATAAAGGACCGGAGTGTCATTACCAAAGAGTCGGTTCTACGTGAGAGTAAGTACTGCGTGCGCCTTTCTTGGCGCGTACTGATTGGAAACAGTGAGGAAGAAAGCAGAAGACCCCGACATCGAAGTTGGAGACAGCGTTATGTCGCTAAAGGACCCCATCTCGACTTTGAAGATTAACACACCCTGCCGCTCCACCCTGTGCACACACAACCGATGCTTCGATGGCGAGTCTTTCCTTCAACTACAAGAACAAGCGCCAACTTGGACCTGTCCAATCTGTAACAAGATCATCTCGTTCGAAGCCTTGGCTGTCGATGAATACGTGCAGGATATCCTCAAGAATGTCCCCCGGAATACGGACCAGGTGAAGGTCAAGGCTGACGGCCAGTGGGTAAACGAAAAAGAACCTTCAGCACCGAAGCGCCAAAGCAATGGCAACGGATATGGCTTCGGCTTTGACGACGACGATGATGATGATAGCGAAGAAGGATTGGTAGAGTTACCGGACTACCGCGTTGCAGCCATCAAGAGTGAGGCCGTCCCAACACCGCAATCTCTTCCAAGCATCCGGACACCGCCAGCGCCATCGAGAGAAGCATCTTCAGCACCAAGGACGGGGAGTAAGCGCGGTTCTGAAGTTATTGACTTGACTCTGTCGGACGACGATGAGCCACGGCCAAAAAAGGTAGCGTACAGCACTCCCAATAGCGTGCCAGATCGGATGCGTCAATATCAGATGCATTCCTACACTGTGCCCCAGCGAGAGAGTGTACGAATGGACCCTCCCCTTGCGTACAGTCGTCATTCATTCAGTGGCTACCGCGACCCACAATCCCACTCTCCACAGACGAGCTATTCCGGCCAAGGAACCTCGGCCTACCCCGCGTATATAGATAGCTCGCCGTGAGATCTTGTACTTCCTCTATCCTGTTATTTCCACTGTATGTTTATGGACCTGCTAACACCACTATGGGTGCGCAGAGAAGAGCCACTAGACCCAGCTACGCCTTACCGAATCGAGCGAGGCAATCCGGCACTTGAGTCGATGCGCCGATTGTTTGGCTTCGGTCGTTTCTAACTACTACTTCCCTTGTCTATTTGACCTTATCAAATATTTGGCGCACGGCGTATTAGGAGGCTTGCATGAGGCAGCCGATGCCTGAATCGACTTTGGTTGGGATTCACGTTATGATCAGAGCGGAGAACAGCGGACGGGAGCAACGGCTAAATGGCGTACGATACGGACAGAGAGGAATACCTTGGGCGTAGTATCTGCTGCATTTTTTTTTATTTCTATTCCAGCATGGAATGTGCACGGCCGAGGAGGTGGAAATGATGTCGCTATCACCGCCCAATGGAAGAGTTTACTACAATATTCATGTAGTGAAGATTTGCTGGATGATGTGACCCTGGAGCGAGCGACCTACGACTATGGCACGTTTGACGGAGACCACGATGCTAATATAATCAAGGAGTGCAATATCAGCACAATATAGTGGCATGATTCCGCCCAGATGTCAGATAACCGGCCCACCGTCATCGACTCATTGGCTAGGAAACATTCTATCGATGCATCATCCACTGCGTCAGGGTTGCCACCTTTCCGCGCCGTATCTTGCAACCGACAATGACATAATGACCAAACGATCGCTCAGCTTGCCAGACACGAACAACCCGAAATAGACTTCCCGTCTTTCCACCTCTTCCTCTTCTGTCAACCCCTAGTCTCATCCCCCATCAAATCCAGATTCTCGCTCCGCGGCAACCGCGTCTCCCCGTTCTGATACCTAATCCCCAGATTCTCTCTCGCCATGTCGTTGATCCACCTGCTACTCGGCTCTAGCTTCTTCCCCCGCGACAGCGTATCCGCAAGGTACAGCCAGCTCAGCGCGTTCCCCACGGTGCCGACTTCGTCGCTGACGTGCGTCGCCGCGTAGCGGCTCATCCTATCATGCAGCACCTCGTCAGTGAAGAGGTCATACAGGTGCTGCGCAACGGCCTTGAAGTCGCCAGGCTCAACGAGGTATCCAGATTTCCCGTGCTGGACCTGCAGCGGAATACCACCAACGCGAGTCGCGATGACGGGGACGCCTTTGTGCAGAGCCTCCGAGACTTTGACTTCGAAGCCCTCGCGCGTGGAGAGCTGCAGCGCGACGTGCGCGGTGGACATGAGGGTGTTGAGGATCTGGTCGGTGGGGCCGACGCGCATGACGACGACGTCGGACTTGATGTCCTTGTACTTTGTGTGCAGTTCGAGGATGGTCGCGTCGTAGATGCGCTGGGTGTCGGTATCGTCGATGGCGCCGTGGCCCGCGACGACGAGCTGGGGTATGTGCTCTGTGTCGAAGTTGGCCATGCGGTTGCGCCGAAGCTCAGCGTAGGCTGCAAGGACATCTGGGATGCCCTTTGCGGGGTCGAAGCGCGCGATTTGCACGATGAATTGGCGGTCTGGCCATGCCAGTGTTGTCATCTGCTCGCGGAAACATGCTGTCGCGAACTCGAGCATGTAGTACTGCTGGTCCCAGTCGCTGAGATTCTTGTTCAGGCCGTCGAGCCAGTCGGTGGTGGCAGGCATGTAACCTACCTTCGCGGGAGCGACTGTCTTAGGCACGAATTCGCGGACCGGGTGGCTAATGAAGAGGTCTGCGGCTTGGATATTGTTCCAGATCCAGGACCACACTTGGTGGGCGGGGGTGCCGGGGATGTCGGCAAGATCGGCGCGGACTTGGATGTGGGAACGAAAGATGACGGGGCGCTCGGGGTCCTTCTCTTTTGCGATTTTGACGAGGGATGGCATTTGCGGGTCGTCGATGATGATTACGTCCGCACCGCCATTGTCGCGGGGTGCGAGAGGGCCCTTGTCGATGATCCAAAACCTTTCGGCGTTGTGAAGGGCCCAGTCGTCGAGCAATTGGGCCTCCTCGCGTGTGAGAGGGGGGCCTGCTCCCTCGACGTGTTGGAGGACATTGTGGTTGTTCTTGGTGTGAATGAAGACTTCTGGCTTGGGCTTCGGGACATACCTATGGGATGGTAAGCATCTTTCTCTACATAATACTGTATGGCCAAAATACTAACCATTCACAGTCCACCCCGAGAATTCGGAGAAAACGGATCAGGGCATGTCGCATCAGTGCCACACCTCCACCTTGAGGCGTGCTGTTAAAGAAGGCGACTTTGACTTTCCTCTCCTTTAGGGACTCGGCATACTTGAGCGTTGCCTTCCATGTCGTCTCCTTGTTGACGGTGTCCATGTAGTCGTCTATGACACTGATTTGAGTGCGTCCATCACTGTCGACCTCCACCATGTTTTTTCGCGTTCCGACGAGCAGCCGCGGTTGGTTCGCCGGTCCAAATTCTCTGATCAATCCGTTAACATTCTGATACCGCGGTCATGCCATTGTACTCACACTAATGCCTTCCTCGCCATAGAGTCCGCCTCTTCGTCAACAGTAACATCATGACGACCATGCTGAGAAAGTAGGTCTGGTGAAGGCTGGTTCGGAAGGACGAGCGGGACAATGTCCAATTCCTTCCACAAGAGGGCCGCAAATGTTGGGTTGAGTTCAAGCGCCTTCTTGTTCACGCCAGCGCCTACGAATTTGTACAAGTGCTCCTTCTGTAACTTTTCCAACTTTCCAATGACATAATTGGCCAACTCGCCAGGCAGTTCTTCTTCTGAGATGGGCTCTAAGCTATTCGAATCACTGCTGGGCGGACTAGAAGTGCCAGATATGGCGGAGCTGGATGTAGAGGAGGAGCTCTTCAATTTGAATGTGGTCACTTCGAAATCGATTGAGTATGTGCCGTCGTGTAAGGCTATGCCAATGTCGAGAGTTCCATTGGCACCGATTCGAACCGCGATACCGAGGTAGAGCGTCTACACAGTTGTTGGTTAAGATATGTGTATCGTGGCTCAGAGTAGGAAGACAGCTATGTGACTCACTTTAAGACTTGTTCGACTCCCTAATAGCTGCTGGTTCCTGAGAGAGGTTGGAGCTTGGAAGGCCTGGCGGGTGTTTTTCCGTTTCATCGCCTGGCGAACTTGGAGGTTGGAATTCATTGTCGACATTGTGAGTCTGCAGGGTCAGCTACGGATAGTGGCAACTGCAGTAACCGGATCTGACGTCAGTTGTACTCACTCAGGATAAAAATTGGCTTTGGAAGGTCAGGGATAGTTGGAGCTGGGTTGTTTGGAAGACTGGGAATAGAGGTTGTGCTGTGGTGCAGATCTTTACATAGAAGGCTGCGTCGCAGGCATTAAAGTGCTACTGTGCGGCGTGAAGAGCGCGTGATTGGAGGCAGTCGCTGAGAATGTGAAGCACGGCATCTTGCCTGTCTCGATTTAGTCGTAACTTGCAAGTCGGTGAAGATGGCACGGGTGGGGTCGAGGACAGGGAGCACCTGACGGTTGCCTATGAGGTAGCTCCTGCTACTGCTCTTCGATACCCCGCGGCGGCGTGACCTCCGTCGGACCAATCGCCCACGTGGCGATGGAAACACGTGAATGCCACCCCTTGGAACTACACGCAGCAGCTCAATGTGCGGCGGGCAGCCATTGTGGGTGGGTGTTGAGGTCAATTGCAAGAATGTGATGCAGCTCGTGCAGGATGGCTGCAATGGCTCACACCACTTTCCGGGGCAGGGGTGCAGGGATGATGGCGCAGGCCACTCTCGCGTGGCTTGCCGCTACGATACGGGCAAGGGCTTGAGGCGAACACAACGACACCACAACATGGCGACGGCGACGGCGATGGCAGCGCGCATTGGACCGGCACGGACAGGCTGCCAGTGGGCAGCGCGTACATCCGCAGCTATCGTGGCCTCTTCCACATGGTCCCTAGCGTCTTGCATTGCTTCCAGAGACACAACGATGCGCTGCCAACGGACAACAGGCGCTATGGGATATGCCCGTGATGGTAGTTGCGTGCGACTCGACGTGGCATGGCAGCGTAAGCAAGCGGCACCGTCGCAGGCGTGAAGGCTGCCAGACGCGCCCGGGTGGCACAGCGAGCAGTGCCAGACCAGGGGCACAAGGCATGCTGGGCACGTCGGAGAACCCGTGGTTGGCCTCGCCTTCAACATGGACTTCTAAGTCCCACGGCTGCCCATGGTCCTCTGCAGTCTGTTCGACATCTGTTCGACAGCTGCATCGTCAATGCGCCTGCACTTGTCACGAAACCGATGCCGTCTGCATGCGACGCGTGTCGGGGGCCAGCAGGCAGCACTCTCGCTGCGCCGTGCAACGCCGGCAGCAGCGCAGTGAGGTCGAGTGTTTGCTTGGCCCCATAGCCGGAGACGATGCCCGTCCCCGGCTCGCCTAGCGCCCGGGTGGTGCTTGGGCCACTTGGGGGGCTCGGGCCTCTGCTTAGCTCTTCAGACTTCACCCTCGTCGCACCCCCAACACCAGCACTCTTCTCCTCCCCGCTGCTGCATCCCGGCTGCGCGTCCGTCCCATCCCACCCCGCCGCGCATCTCTCCCGGAGCGTTGCGCCACCTCTGCCCCCATCGCGAGCCCCTCGACGACGTGTGCGACTGCAGCCTCGTGCTCCCGTCCGGTCGACCTGCCAAAACTAGCCAGCGCGCCTTGACAGCAGCCTCGCGCGCGCGACCAGCTGAACACCACCCCCGCCGCCCACACTGCGCGTCCCGCCGCCATGAACCACTATCCTCCCCGCATCGGGCCGCCTGCGGGCGCGCCCAGCCAGCGCCTGAACGAGCTGCTGGACCAGATCCGCGCCGAGTTCGAGACCGAATCCAACCGCAGCGTCGACTACGAAGGCCAGAGTGAGTTTTCGCGCTCTTTGATACATTCCGCTCGTGGCTGGTCTGGCTTGGATAGGCACATCGCAAACACCATTCGCGGCGGCGACGCGATCTGTACCATCGCAAAGCAGACCGGCTGCCCAGCAACCTTCCGCGACGACATGTAGGCTAACCGCGCTGAATCCCAGTCACTCGCCATATCCAGGAGATTGAGATGATCCGAGGCAAGGTGTACTCCCTGGAGCAGCAGCATGTCCAGGTCAAGGCAAAGTATGTGCTACCACCTCCCCTGCAGAACGACTTTGTTTACACTTCCCTCCAGATACGAGGAAGAGATCGCTCGCCTGCAGCGCGAACTCGAGGCCCGCGGTGGCCCTAGCCAGAATTCGCAACACCATGGCCCGTCGCAGCCACCTCCGCCCTCGATAGGACATGGGCCCAGCAATCTGTTCGGCGGTATCATGGCTGGCAACAACCAAGGCGGTCCCGGTCTGGCGCCTCCTCCCCAGGAGACTCAGCAGCCCGGTGGTCTCCCTCCACACCTTGGTGCAGGTCCCCAAGGGCCGCCCGGTCTCAATCCTGCCCCGGGACCGCCCCAGCACTTCGGCGGTTATGGGGGGTCGGCCCCATCAATGAACGGTGAGTGCTGCTTCACCCTTCCACAGTTCAATCTTGGCACATGAACACATTCTCACTAGCTTCTACAGGCTATGGCCAGCCTCCGCAGCCGACTGCCTCGCCCGGCGGGAAGCGTCCTGGCCCTGGCCCGCGTGGCCCGCCGGGCCCAGCCACTCCACAGCAGAACAGCGCTGCTCCCTACCCCGGATCGCCACAAGTACCCCGCCCCACTCCTCCTCCACACCAGCAACACCCTCTTGGCCCTCCGGGAGGCCCCCCTCTCAGAGAGAGCAACATCCTTGCTGACCTCGACTTGGAGTCGCTACCTGCGAATCTGAAGAAGGAGGAACAAGATTGGTTCGCCGTCTTCAACCCTCGCGCCAGGCGTGTGTTGGACGTGGAATTGGTCCACAATCTGCCCCATCAGAGCGTTGTCTGCTGTGTCAGGTTTAGCGCAGACGGTCGCTATGTTGCCACTGGCTGCAATCGCTCGGCTCAAATCTTCGACGTCGAGACCGGAAACCCCATTGCCCACCTTCAAGATACGAGCCTCCCGGAGGATGGCGACCTGTACATCCGCAGTGTCTGCTTCAGCCCGAATGGCCAGTACCTTGCTACAGGTGCTGAGGATAAGGTCATCAGAGTCTGGGATATCGCAAGCCGCACGATCAAGCACCAGTTTACCGGACACGAGCAGGACATCTACTCGCTGGATTTCGCGAAGAATGGCCGAATCATCGCATCAGGAAGCGGCGACAGAAGCGTTCGTCTTTGGGATCTTGAAACAAATCAGCAGGTGTCCAACTTCTCCATCGAGGATGGCGTTACCACCGTTGCCATCTCACCGGACAGCCGCTTTGTTGCGGCCGGTTCTCTCGACAAGAGCGTCCGTGTCTGGGACATCCACACCGGGAGCCTTGTTGTGCGTTTGGAGGGCGAGCAGGGCCACAAAGATAGTGTCTACAGTGTGGCCTTTGCTCCTTCTGGTGATCGCTTGGTCAGTGGCAGTTTGGACAAGACGATCAAAATGTGGGAGTTGACGACTCCATCTCGTCTCATTCCAGGCGCTGCACCTAGTGGCAAGTGCATCCGCACATTTGAAGGTCATAAGGTATGCTTGGAAGCTCCAATGAAATGTGCTGTACTGACATGATCCCAGGATTTTGTGCTCAGTGTTGCACTGACTCCCCATGGCGACTGGGTTCTCAGTGGATCCAAAGATCGCGGTGTCCAATTCTGGGATCCGCACACTGGTGTTGCGCAACTCATGTTGCAAGGGCACAAGAACTCCGGTACGTTATCTTGTGCCTCAAAACAGGGGCAATCAATACCGGAGATACCGGGTCACGCGATTGCAAACTGCGATGACGCGCTATTACCAAGGCTGATAAGCTGACATTTCATAGTTATCTCTGTCGCTCCCAGCCCGACGGGAGGCATCTTTGCTACTGGCAGCGGAGACATGCGTGCCCGCATCTGGAAGTAAGTCAATTTCTGCACCAGCACATTTACCCCACCCGCAGCCCTCCAAATTCGCGAGAGCTGTCATATGGCGCATGTCGCCATCGCGTTGGGAGAAGAGCGATGAAGCCATCAACAACAGTGCCAGGCCGTTGTTCTGACTTGGCATGGACCTTCCCCGCTCTCCTGCTGCACCCCACGCGGGCGTAAAGAGCGTGGGGCCAGGCCGCGGCCAATCGCTATGCCTATCTGCAACTCGATCGCCCCAAATGCAGGTGCGGTGCACCCTGGTCGATACAGATGTACTGTAATCGCGGGAGTCATGCGCCTCCATACGCTCATCGTCATTTGCCTTGCACCCGCGACCTTGTACCTCCCCTTCTACGTCTCATCCAGTCGCGAGCTATCGGACTGCTTTGACTAACGCACATTAGGTTTGATAGGTACACCGGTCCTTAGACGCCTCCTCCACGGATGCCAAGCCCAACATGAGGCGTCGACTCGCAAGGTCGTTATGAGGAAGTCGCGACCACTTATACCCCTTTCCTTATCATGCCCACGGCTGCGCTTCACCACCCCTACGGCACCTTGCTTTAGGTCGATGCACAACAGCGTGCCCGTGGTGACAGAGTCATCAGTATCATTCGGTGTTCTCGACGGATCGATCCTTGATAAAAGCTTCAAAGGTGTTTTCTACTTCATGTTGGATGTTCTTCTTATATGACGGGCGCGGAGATGTGTGGCTCGGGCTGGGTTGGACCACGTCAATCTGTTCCTCTACATCATACTGTTACTGTTGAGGCATGGGGATATCGGTAGGACTGATGACTATGAAACAGAGGTTGGCGGGGTGCAATGTCTAGATAGTTTATTTATACACCTTCCCCGTTTGGGAGGAATCGAGTCGTATTCTGTTGAACGTATGTCCACGGTGAGAAACGCTGCTAGACACCTGCTTGGGTGAGCTCGTGACGCTTCGAACTGCTTCGGCGGGCAAGCTCTTGTCAATCCTTCAGTGGCAACCCATGTCTTTCGATGACCGTATGCGGTATATTTGTATCATTTGATCGAGTCTGTTAGCGAACTACTGAACGTGGCATGTCCTACTAGGACGAAGTTCTAGTGCGATTGAATCGAGGAACCTGGGCGGGAATAGCCCTCAACGGTGTGGCATCAGCACAATGTCCATGAATGATGGTTTCTACCACCACGTATGCACTTATTGAACCTCCTTATCGCCGTGCGATGGTATGCCGTGCGACACACTATTAGTAACCTGTCTGCGCCTAACCCATCTCTTTCTCTCTATCGCACTCGCAACTCAATCTCCGCCTCTTGCTCTATCCTCTAAGGTTATTGATCTCGTTTGCCGTGCGCGTATGCACAACTGTACCTCCCAGCCACAAGGATTTTGTGTGCTCGAAGTGAATCCCCGAGTAGCATTGGCTTGGGTAATTTTCAAACAAGTTTCCCCGACAAGGGGATGTGAATTTACTTCTAGGATAAATCTTGACCTGCACGCGGGTACTACTACTCTATGTTACCTTCACCAACAAGAACACCAAGACTCTCCAAGAGCACCGTCCACATCCGTAGTCAACCCCTTCGAAACGCCAAATCAGAGCGGTGAGCGGCACCTCAATTTGTTTTGTCTGGGATTAAACTGCCCTGTGCTCACACTGTAGCTCCCCGTATCATGAGAGCCGCAGTACACTAATCCCTCACACCCCTCCCTTCGTCAACGATGTTCACGCCGTAGCACCGCTAGCTGGAGAACAGCACCGGCATTCACAGCCGAGGTGGCGGGTCGGCTTACTACCATGTGTAGTAGTGCTTGTGGAGGGGATACGAGGGCGACATTAGAACGTGGTAAGTCCACACGGAATTGGAGAAGACAGCACCGGCATGCGCGTCCACCCAAGACCACGGGGAACTCGTACATCCGAAGACCTACGCACGCGTTGAGCCACCTCCAGAATCTCTACCCCAGCGCCCGACGTCCTCAGACGTGGTCAGTAGCTGCCACACTTCCACGGGGCCGTCCAATCCTACCTCTGCTCACTCCCGTCTGCGCAGAGCGAGCGCGCTGCGCCGCAGCTAGTCGTCTCCACCGCTGCCATCACATCATCACACGTCCTCTCGCAGACGGACCAGACAAGCATTATCACCATGGCCATTGGAAACTTCCACTGCTTTGAAATGCCCTCAAATGCCCAGGACGACTTCACAGCCGCCGTCGATCCGGGGTCTCTACTGATAGGAATGCTGCATTAGCGAGGCTATGCGCAGGCAGCAAGCCTTGCAGCAATCAGCTCAACAAGGTCTGATCGCAAGACCTCTATGCAATCCGATCGAGGAGGGAAGGGGAGGGGAGAGCGATGTGGGGACATCGGTTCTACAGAGCCCCAGCAGATGGAAGAGGACGTGGTGCTTTGTGCGCAGCGAGCAGCTCCCGAAGTGAAAGATCGAATAGTAAGTGGACGACTTGTCTGCTATAGGTAGCATGGAAAGCCGGTTCAATGGCCAGCTACCGCGTGTGGGTCTATTATGGAGCAGATATAGAAGCTCTGCATGTCTCGTGACATGGTATACATTCATCCTTAATTCGTGAAGTAGCGCCTGACTCTCAAACGGTGCGTGTCGTTGCGCCCTGAGGCCACGTCTTCGAAAGCCACATGTAGGTTCCTTGCCAACATGTCAAAGCCGACACTGTAACATGTACAACGCGAGCAATTGAACCCAAACTACTATACGAATCCCAAAATCGCTGGAGATAAACCGACTACGCCGCCCAAGAACCCCCGGCATCTCCATCATGGCACACCTACAACAAAGAACCACGCCACCAACGCAGCCAGAACATGACCACCTCCAGTCTCTCCACATTCCCCACTATCACTGCACGAGGTGTCGGGACCAGCCTGCCCCTCCACATCCCGACGCATATTCATCACCCGAGTGACCTCATGCCCGGAAGTTGTACCACCTTCGCTCAAACAGAAGCTTCTTTTGCATGCATGATTCCAATCTGTTACGTGAAGAATGCAGGGGCGTACATAACGGTCGTAGGAGCGCTTGGTGTTGGATGATGCTATTGCAGAACGGAAGTGTGGATCCTGCCGTCGTCGTCTGGATGTGACTGAGATCGGAGGAAGGGCCAATTGGAAACGAAGCGCACTCACGGTATACAGACGGACATGTGAGTCGAAAGACTATGGCGAATGCCGAGGTAAAATCGCAGTCAACACATCCTATGTGTGAGGTCAGTGAACTAGAAGTCACGCTCACGGTGCGCCTGGCCTCTTGCTTGATATGAGTCTGCCAAGATACTTAGAGTGAGGCAAAACAGCAGTATCTGCTTGAGTTTCTCAATGCCACTTCGACGCGCGCATCTAGTTCAGGGCCGAGGGATATGTCAACGAGCTGTCATATGTGTGATGTAGATCTGACAGCAGGCCGGTTATTTCCGCACAATTGGCGGTTACAGATAATAGCAAGGTGGCACAAACTGCCTCTGGAGCATCGGCTGACCCAGCGTATTTGCGACTTCGATTCGACTTCTCGTGGCGAGCGTACGCTGTCGCGTAATCTGAGTCTCACGTCGCCGACCTGTGATGCAAGATCCGGGAATCTCGGGTTCGCATGCATCATCTCGCAGTAGATCGCGCATCGATCTCGGACCTGACAGGTACCACGCTTCTCAACAATGTCCCCACTTGCTCTCCCAAAGCAGCGAGACGCAGCTCGAGAGTAGGGTTACTGCTGCACAAGCCCTGGTCCAAATATGGGTCCATCATACAGACACGGTGGGAGTCTGCTCGCCAAGTTTGATGCGTAGTGCTGGTAGATCTGGACGGGAAGCAATATTTCGCTTGCGGAGATGGTTGGGCGTCCAGGGCCCCTGTAGAAACTTGGGTGTCTCGGCGAGTGCGTGCAGATTCGTTAGAGAGATGCTGCAAGATCGGGCGCTACGCCTCATGGCGTGGTTGTGACGGGCGCGCAGGTGCAGGATCTCTTGTGCGACGCTCGATGTAGCCAGGGTCCTAAGAGGCCGGACTGGTGGGATATCTCCCGCTAACTACCGTTCCCAGTCCATGCATCGCAGCTGGACGGGGATTATGAGGTTTCAGAGGCTTTTTTCGGCCGCGTGGCTCGCCTTGCGGGATCGAGGAGACGTGGGGATTGCAAAGTGACAGCTCGCGTTTGTTCAGGAACCCCACTACTCTCGACGCGTGCCGGCCCAAAACCCAGCCGAGCCAGCATTAGCAAATGCCAAGTTCGAGCAGTTGAACACACGATAGGTTGGCTGAGTTATTCTCAAGGGGCGAGGTCCTGGTGTTCATCCCTCGTTTGAGGATACTGGAACATGTTGATATGCGCGTCGCTCGAAAGGTGTCGCATCGTCTAAGACTGACCCTGAAATCCCAGCGCCAAAGGCCAGCTGAAAGACTCACCATGCTCACGTGCGATCACAAGCACGCAAGAGGAAAGAGGTAATTGGAGTCGTTTGGTGTTGGTCACGATGTGCCAGTTTGACGTGCGTGGTGGTACCGCCTGACCGATGCGGGTCGCGTGAGGTCGGTTCCGATTCGCGAGCAGCAAGATGACACTATGACCGTTCTTGGGGGTACCTGCAGATGGCCACAGCGCCCAAACTGCCGGGTCGGATTCGCATTTCTGCCAGGCGGCGGGGTCTTTCTCCATGGACAATCATCGCGTAATAATTGCGACGCTTCAGTCCGTTTGATCATGAACGTGGGCCCTGTCCAAGCAGCAGGCGAACCACCCTGCCCAATTTGAATCCGATTCTGCGCTTCCCCTGCTAGTCCGAGGGGCTGCGGGCCGCGGACATCGTTTGACGTTGATATGCCCCCGTAACCCCCATTTGTAGTGTCCTGAAACAATCACGATAAACAAGCCATTACCCACGCACTCTATCTGTAAGGATTGCGTGGGTGCCGACTACATACTGATTGCTCGATCCTGGCACCCCTGGGCCCAAATCTTATACCCCTGTTCCATCGCAAGCCAGCTGCCGAAGTAGCAGGGGAGTGGGGGCGACATCTTGTATGAACGCGGATGTGAATGCTATTGTTGTCGGCTTCTTGCCACATGGCCGAGGCTGCAATCATGAGGCGTTGTTCAGTTTCGTATCTGCATAGGCACCGATGATCATCGGGGGAGTGAAGCGAGAATTCGCCGCTGAAGGACGTGAGACCTGGACCCGATGCTGTGGATTTGCGGCGTTCCTGGCGGTGTGATGCGTGCTGTGAGGGGCGCTCGCGGAAGCGGATCCGACATCCGCTTGTAGAGACCTGTGTAGGCTTCGCATGTCGAAGGAGCAGATACTGGGAGTGACGGTATCGGAGACAGGATCGTAAACGGTGTGTGAAGGTTGCGTCCATACGGCATGAGCGGCAGCTCCCTAATCTGGGGGTTTTGCTGCACGGAAGCCAGCAGCCGCGGAGCCCTGCGGTGCTCTTTCACAGAGGCCACGTACCAAGCAAGACTCAGAAGAAGGAGCCACTCGTCAGCCAATTCGAGATCTACCTCAGACTCCCTTAAATGTCGGCCTGCATGAAGAAAAGGACAAAGCCACTTCACTGATCATCTTTCGTGAGGCGAAGGCTGTCAGAAAACATGGTGGTTTGACTACGAGTCTTGCGTAGAGGGAAGAGCGTTGGGTCGCCGCCCTCTCAAGCTCAAGCATTCTCATGTTGGAGCATCTTGTACTCAACCGGGGTCATGGCTGATCTCCTGTGGAGGCTGTGATTGCCTCAGAATCCGCAGGACCATTCAGGGATACGTGAGAGTAGACTGGAAAGTAGTCTTGAGGGGATGCAGCACGGTCTGGACTCATCCGCGTGCACCTTGGCCTCACTCATTGCAACGCGAGCGAGAGCGGTGCAAAAGGACTTTGAAGAAACAGCTCCTCATTCAATACCATACTGAAAAGAGCTCATGGAAAGCCGCTGATCATGGCTATGAATATCGCCTCACTGCTTGAATGTTGGAGCAAAAGGCTTTGTTCCGTATTCGAGAGACCGTTGCAGGCTACGCCTTTGATGTAGCTGGCATCATTGCTGATGATGGCCGCACACACGCGGCAAGGTTCATATATTGTCGCCAACCTTTTGGATTCGCTTGAAGAGGATAATGTAAGTATGGCTTACTGTGATACCGGGTCGCTTGACCGCGGTGGGGTATTGTAGGCTTCGTAACCACTGATGAGTATACAGTGCTGGTCATGTGGAACGAATTGAGCTATACACGAATACAAAGCAAAATAAGGAACCTCGGTCTTGTTGAAGATGCTTGACACGATACTTTCGCAATGCTGTGAGCAACGCGCATTTCACGAAATGTACAAAACGCTGAAGAGTCACCTATAAACATGCTGGCACTCACGCACTCTCCAGAGAGATAGATTGTGTCAATATTGGGCTAAGGCCAAGTCCTGTGACAACAAACTAGTCCAACCGAGCGCTTGAGAGCTGTCGCGCATAAGTTCGCGGGGATTTGAGCAGAAGCTTGCGTTTGGTTTTGTGATTCACCTATCCAAAGTTTGCCATGTTCTATCTATTGTTGCAGACGTGTCACAAGACAGGCTGACACTTCAGGCTGACACCCGCGAAAGTTCCTAAAGAGGGCTACAAGCGAAAGGCGATAAGAACTTGCATACATCGCGGCTTCGAGATGAATTTGGTCGCAAATATCGATCGATATCTTTCGCCTCCGCTTGTACGGTCTGCTCCGGAAGTCTTCTTCCGCCCATACCTTCTCCGTGTGTGTGTGTGCCACGTTGATCGAAGCTAGAGGATCGAATTCGAAGGGACAGTGCATACCGGTGATGATAGGCACGTGGAGAGATCAACCACACAAGGATCTTGATCAACATATGGAATTTGCGGCGCAGCGCCCTTCGTCTGAAAGAATGCTCTTGTCCAGTGCGCCTTGGTCACTATTGGGGAAGCCAATGGATCGTGGATCTGCCTCAAACTCTTTATTTCAAGTTCATAGGGAATGAGGACCTTTCAGTTGTAGGACCCACGTTAAGGGTTGGGTCAGACGTATGTGACGTACGTGGAGCCGCGCGAGAGAGCTACAAAAGCGAAAAGACTTAGCACCATACCATTGAGATTGACAATAGAATAGCTTCTCCAATGCCACAAGTTCAACACGTATGCGTGAATGCGAATGTGTCAGCGCCAAAAAGTAGTAACGTATTCGAGTTTTGGGCGGGGCGAGCTTCCCGAAGCAGGAATTTGATCGAGCGCACCTTTCACGAATATCGTCTCATTGCACAAGCTAGAGTGAACATGCGCTTGAGTCGTGGTAAAACTATTCACGACCCGGAACGTTGTTAGGCCAAACAGGGATGGGTTTCGATGCGAAAGCGAGCTCTAGGTGAGCGATTACCCAAGCAAGGATATAGGAACAGAGCCGGCCTGTGCGGTTGCGGTTTGGAATAACGGGAACCAACAGGTGCTTGGGCGCAGACTTCCCCTGGTCGAAATTTAGTCAAGATGTTGAATGCCGCTACTTGTCTGTTTGGGCCTAAGAGAGCGTTGCGAGAGCGCACGCGTGGGGGCACAGCTGACGCCTTCCATGACCCATACTCTGCGTGTCAAAGCGCCCACCCACCAACGTTTTATGTTGCAAACATGCGTCATTTCGAGGTGCGCATCGCAGGTCAATGTCAGTTTCTCATAATGAAGAGCCGAACATGTCGACAAGCATCGGGTCGTAATGCGGACGGGACGAATTGATGACGTTGAGAAGGCGACAAGCTCGCTGCGATCAATGACCAGTACAGCCACTGGAAGCAACTCCAGACTTTGTTGGAATGGTTTGCATTTGGGCAGCCGAAGGAACGTTGGCGAGGACCTCGGAAAGGGTTGAGGATGCTTTTTCTTGCAAGGCTTGTGTGTAGTCCTACGCAGAGACGTCTGTCCAGAAAGGTGACCATGTGCATGATCATCGGTTTGACTGCTGCAGGGCCAACGGATGGCAGGCTATAGCTCCGATCTAGTTGCATGCAGACCTGGTTGAAAGAGGAAATATCTGTTGCTGATCGGAAACAACGTGGTCCATGGTGAAGTCGATTCTGAGAGGTAGGTCTACTAACGCTCGCATTTCTAGTACATGCATTAGTGTCGTTGACGAAGAATTGATCCTGTGAATCGGCCTCCCATAGGTCCGGTGGCTGGGGCTCCATCACGGATATGAGATGTCACAGCCAAGTTATGGCCATGGGGGTCATTCGCCGCCAGTGTTGGCTGAAGAGAACGAAACCAGAAGCTTCCGAAACACAAGCTGGCGTTTTCCGATAGTCCCCGGTCCATTGCAAGAAGCCACGTGAAGCCAACATGGTAATCCGATCTGTTCGTGTTCATGCCCTGACCGAGAAGATCTATTTCGGGCCACACATAATGAAAAGGGTCTGGGGTAAAGATGGCACTCGAAGCTGATGAGGGCGAGACAGCGCGGACCAGGGGGCATGGCTGGGGTCTGAAAGAGAATGCGAGGTGGAGGGCTAGTCTTGAGCAGGACATGGCGTCTGCAGTCCGGATCGAGGGAAGCTTCAGCCGTGGTATTGGGTCGCCGTTGCAGAGGACAAGAGCTGCACGGCGTGCCCAAGAGAGCAAGATGAGTGGTGCTCGGCAGGGAATGGCCTGGGGAGTCTCGTGAGGGCGGTCGTGTCTGCAGAGGGTGACGAGATGACGAGAGTGTGGCTGCTGGGCTAGTGTTTGATGACCCTCCCGAGCACAGAAGCCGTGAACAGGATGCGAACAGGGCCAGGCCAGGCTGCACGTCGCCCAGCGAGGACGCCCGAGTGGAGCGCAGGAACGCAAGCCCCCAATGGTGTAGCGTCGTGGGGCGCGGAGCCAGTGGCAGCAGGGAGACGACTCTCCGGGAGCGTGGGCAGGGCGGCGGGGGCTGGCGGTGATTGGGTCGCTACGACCAATTCGGAAAAGTAATGCTATTTGTCGTCGCCGGCACAGATATCTGCGCAGCCGGTGCGTACGGGGGAGGCCTCGGCGGCGGGATCGCCCTGGGCCTGCCTAGAGGCGGCCGCGGCTGTCGGCGAGGACGGCTGCAGGCGGGAGGTGGACGGCGAGGGGTTGCAGACGAAGGAGTGAGGCAGTGAGGCTGCTGCTGCGGCGTCGACGACGACACATCTGAAGCCGGTGCACAGTCGCCACTGCCAGTGCCAGCAGCGGGCAGGCGAGATCGGCGAAGGAGCGACGCAGGTACGCACCGCGCACGGCTTTGGGCAGCGTCGCTGCGCGTCCGTGTCTGGCGGGCGTGGGCGCCGTCCGGGCGGATGAGATGGTTCCCAGTCGGGCGGGTCGCGCGGTGCTGGGAGACTGAGGAGCCCGCACGCTCCCGCTTGCTTTCCGCGCTGACAGCAGCCCAGGGTCCGCCGCACGCCGCAGCGCGCTAAGGGCGACCGCGGTGAATGTCCACTGCTGTCCGCTGCTGTCTACTGTGCGCCTGCTGCGCTCTAGCCACCCCGGGCGCTGCCAGACGACGCCCCCGCCTGCAATTACCTAAACGCCGCCCGCGCCACTCGCCTGGCGCCGTGTCCCGAGCAGCAGCCTGACGCTGTCTCGATGCCGTCGCCCTCGTCGTCCACTGCTCGGCGGGGCCCGTAGCCGCAGTATCCACGGCGGACCGCGGGAGCCAGCGTCCTCCACGTGTGTGCGCTGGTCGGCCCTACTCGCGCTCGACGACGCATGCGCTGCTGCCACCGACACGGCGAGCGTGCCATGGGCTCCCCAACGAGGCGCTTTGCGCAATGAGCCTCCACGCCGCCTGTCGAGATCCCCGCCAGCATGTCGTGCCCGGCCCCGGCCTCCACGCGCCTGGCCGCTTCCGCCTGGTCTTATTCGCGCTGGTGGCCGCGTCGTGCCCCCGGCGAGTGACACCCAGCCTCTGCTGCAGTTTATCGACCGCAGCCTGCCCTCGGCCTCCTCCAGCGCGACCTGCAAGAGGCGCCTCCCAATCGGCCGGAGATAATTCATCTCGCGCGTCTGCGCGGCGCGGCGACCTTTCCATGGCCTCTCCCAATGTGACGCGACTAGCGTCGACATGCCCCAAGAGGCTCACCCCCACACGATGCAACTTGAGACTAACCCTGGCGCAGCCACCAAGCCTGCTGCTCGACTGGACCGCACCCCCGTCCCGTCTCCGATAGGGATCAAGATGCCGCGGGCACACGCTGAGATGCCAACCTGGTCGAACCCGGGCCCGCTGTCGCGCTTATCCCATCCCCCATCTGCACATGCACACGGATGGCACGCTGCTCATACCCTGTGCACATGGCAGGGATCCCTTTCACAATGCCCTTCCCTCCTGGCACACCTCAAAACAGCTTGCCTCGCGCCAAGCATAGCTAGGTCCTCTTTCATCACTCCTTGGCTGCATGGCGACTGCTCACCCTGCTCTGCATCACCCAGGTCTCGATCTCCGGCTAGCCTCCCCGTATCTAGCCTGTTCGGTATACTCCACAGTACCGTAATCCTTGCGCCTCGCGGGATGAGTAGAATAGCCTTCGATTCGCAAATCTATGTATATGTACACCCCCCAAACTCGCCTCCAACCACAAGCGGTGCCACTCGATATACTCTCCACCTCCTCAGCTAATCATCACATACCTCCCACGCCGAACCCCTCATCCCGTCTCTTGTATACATATCGCTTCCTCGACCACTGATACTCATATAGCCACCGTCTCGGCTCAGTGTCTCCACGCCTCAGCTATCCGACCGTCTCGTGGGCATAGCCGTCTGGCGCTCGCTTCATCCCGCCAGCACGGACTTGTTTTTCAGCAATGGCAGCTGTTGTTGCCCACCAGCCAGGACTTTGGCAACACCGATCTGACCAACACATTCATTTCCCCAACATCAACATGTCCGACTTCACCTCATCCTACGACGAGTCTCACAGGAGTGTCACCAATCCACCTGTCTCGAGACCTTTCCAGACGACATCTTCGCACCTGAACATGCACGGTTTGCCCATCTTCTCCGCGCCGGCCATGACCACCTCAATGCCGTACCAGCCAGGAGCGTTTGCTTTCGACTCAATGGCAACCAACCCATACAACATGCAGCAAGCCTTCCCTGTGAGCTACTCGCAAGCCATGACGCAGGGCGTGTCCTACCCTACGACGTCAGACATGCAACCTGTGCCCATTGTGCGAACTGCACGGAACGGCTTCACGAGCCTCAGAAGTCCTACTGTGAAGTCAGAGAGCACTTCACCAGTTCAGTCGCATCATGGACTTCACGAAATGTCTTACGGTGACGAATACAAGCGTTCAGCATCGGAAGCATCAGAGGGCACTGAAGGCGCCTTCGCAACCCATGTCGATACACTCATGAGGGCCATTCAAGCAAAACAATCCGTTGCGTCGAGTGAAGACCCTGCCAAGGTGAGTTCATACGCACATTTACGGAGCTCCGTATCTGACAACATGGCAGGAAGACGAGAACAAGCCCGGTCGGAGGGCAGCGAAACGATACGTGTGCACGATTCCAGACTGTGGTAAAGCTTTCTATCAGAAGACTCACCTGGACATCCACCGCCGGGCACACACCGGAGACAAGCCTTTTGTAAGTTCTTCATGCTGACAAGCTACAAGTCTCTAACAAGCATAGGACTGCAAGACCTGCGGCCAGTCTTTCTCGCAGCTTGGCAACCTGAAGACGCACGAGAGACGCCACACTGGAGAGCGTCCGTACACATGCGAGATCTGCGGCAAAGCATTCGCCCAGAGGGGCAATGTTCGCGCTCACAAGATTGTGCACCAGCAGATCAAACCATTCACTTGTAAATTGGACCAATGCGGGAAACAGTTCACGCAATTGGGCAACCTCAAGGTAGGTGTCTTTATTGCCTTTCACATGTGCAACAACTGACGGACCCAGTCCCACCAGAACAAATTTCATGCTCCTGCCTTGCGCTTCCTTACCCAGAAGTTTGCTTGCATCAATCCCGGCGACCCTGTTCATCGCGAGGACAAGGAACTATGGGAGTACTTTGCATCCCTCTACAAAAACTCAAACAAGGGAATCAAGGGCCGAGGCAAAGACAGGAGGATAGCCACTGCTCCTGCTTCCGCAGCTGGAAGCTCCTCGTCATACAACGGCACTTCAGCACCAATGAGCCGCGACTACAGCGGTTACCAGCACTCTGGCAGCGACCGCAGTAGCCGCTGCTCATCTACTATTTCGGATCATGCCATGAAGGCCGATGCCGGTTATGACTTCAATGCTCCTATTCATTCGGAATACCAACCGCCGAGTGTTTACGACGACTCTGCATTTCCCGAACGCAGACTCTACTGATAACGCGTTTCGAGACACACGTACGACTACCTGTAAATGACCAAGTTGGCACAGTGACGGGATATAAGCTGAGGTGCCCGGCAACATGCGACAGACGAACATCATGCGTTACATTGGGTTGAGGAGTTCGGATGGGGGGGTGCATGATACCCAACCTGGAGCGCGAAAAGCACGAGTCCAGGAGTTTTCTTACGTTCTTTCTTTCTACTTTAGCGTTCACGATCATCACTATCATCAACATCATTAGAGGCAGCCGTTCATTCAATTGAGGCCAATCCTGTATCTAGGTCGGGCGTTCTGGTAAAAATCTGGTATGACGAGGCTGGCAGGTGCGCCGGTCGCAGATACCCTTGGCTCACGGAGTATGTACGTACCATGACCGTTGCGTGAATGAAAAAAAGAAAAAAAGAAAATCATCTACCTCCTTCCCTGATCCTGAAATCTGTGTAACGCGCAACTCGATCCAGACATCCAACTCTCGGTCAGCAACGGGCAGCGGACGGTTATTCCCGCATCACGCCCCAAGCCAACGAACGTATGGGATATTTTCCAGCCCCTCAATACTGGCTCTCGGCGCCATCCCAGCCAATCGATCAGCAAAAGTGAGATGTCATTTCGTAGCAATAATGTACTCGAGCGCGTACGCTCGACGGGGTGTCCCTGCGGCCGCGTTCACCGCTAGACCTACGGCGCACCCCATACGTGCAGGCAGGCTCTCGCGCGCAGCAAATGGCTCACCCCGAGCAGCTGCGTGTGCGCAGCAGCAGGTAGGATTGCCTCGCCGGACGTCAAGCAGCGTCGGGTGACCCGCGTGCGGCCCGGGAGCTCCTTGCTGCGCGTCCGCCAGCAGAGCAGAGCGCGCCTGGCTTATCGACGCCGGCCTTCTCGCGCGCGCGGAGATGTATAATTCCCATAGCGTCAGAGACGGACGTGGGGAGGGCGCTGATACTCGTGACCTTGCTAGCGTACGTGGAGGTGGTGTTGAGGCCCTGCGAGCGATACGTCGACGGGCTTGACTACGTTCTGGTATACACAGACCCACGGTTCAGCAGGCCCGACTGCGGGCGGAATGGGATGCCGCGCTTAGCTGGACCGCAGCGGTCGTCCGACGAGACGAAACGACGCGATCTGATGGCGCGCGTGAACGAGGGCGATTGACGTGGCGGGGCCGCGCGGGCTGCTGCCCCCCGCGCGACGTTCACAGCACATCCCACCTTCGCTTTCGCTATGCAGCCCGGCCTATCATCGCTTCACTTAGCCTCACGCGTAGTGTACTGTTCTGTTTTCAAGTGTTTTGCCACCTCTGCACGGTGAGGTATAACGTTCTGCTACGATAATAGAGGTTGGTTTTGCTGATAGGAAATACTAGAGAAAGGGCGCGCCTCACTGATGAGATCGGCGGCGCACGTGGGCGGACTGGGATGGGAACGGGGTTCCGGATTGGGAAGCGGAGATCCTTTGGAGAGGTTGAATGCGATTGGGAAACCGATCTGAAAGCTTTGAGGGCAACTTGCATATGAACGCCAATACACATTGTGTAGGGTCATGGATTTGGCCGTAGGCATGAGCTCCGAAAGGGGCCGAATAGGCTTCCTTGAAGATATGAGCGCGAGATGTCATTTCTGCATGCAGAGTTCGTTTTGACCAGGGGGAGATACAGGGACAGGGAACCGTTTTCCCAAAATGCACGACGCAGCAGAAGTCTGCCACCATGCAGTCACTGATAACGATTGACCAGAATACGATATATTCAAACGTCTGATGGCAGATACTCTGCATGCGCGATGATCGCCAACTTTAGCGGCGATCAGACGGCATACGGCCCACTTTTCTCTCGGAGTCGGCCGATGACGTACGGTCGGAGGGAGAAGGAGTGAGCAAACAGTCTCATAGCTTCAATCCAACAACATGGGCTATGAAATACTGGGCGCACTGTGCCCGCTATGCCTCCCAGCTTCATGGGCACCAAAGCAGCAGGTACATGCGCCCATGCGAAGGATTCCTCCGAGCACTACGCAAGCAAAAGTCCGCACCACGTTTACGCAACGGCCATCGTGTCCGGAGTGTTGGAGCTCGTGCGGTTACATTCACCTGGGACGCACGTTGTCAGGCCCGGCGTTGGTCCTTCCTGTTGCGGGAGGTCGGAATGAGCGATCTTTCTCTCTCCGGTAGGTCGGTGACGGTTTGGTCCCAGCGCTGCAACAATGGATTCCTGAGGGATGCGCTCCTCGTGCACATCGCGGACGCTCGGGCGGAAGACATAGTCCTTGACAGGCTCCTTGGAATGTCGCGCGCCCCAAGCTTGGCTTCGAAATTGCGCAACCCTAGGGTCACGAAAAGGTCACAGCAACGATAGCCTCTTACTAGCTATCAAGGTTAACATGTGCGAGGAAACATGCGATGGGACTGCGACTGCGACTCAAACCGCCCAGGATACACAGGGTATCCTGTATCGACTTGCTCCCTCACCTCGGGCAAAAATGTCATCACCGATCATACGCCTGGCATGCTTGTATCAAGAGCCTCCTCACTCGCTAAAGGTGGCAACCCACCCCACGCTGCCACCCAAAACCACTCACCGCCAGACCAACGTTAATGCAACACAATACAGCTCATCTCGAGCACCGAGATGCCCAACGCATTGCTTCCAAAAGCACAGACAAGCCTCAACCCCTTCTTGTCCCGCTATAGCGTCGCTGAACCCCAAGTTGACCTGCAACTGCGCGATCCTGCCCACGTGCCTGGCCCCCACCAACGCTACATTCCATGTAACCCCTAATCCTATTTTAAGAGGCTAGTGTTCGCATTGCGCACGTGGACGGATTGAGGGCGCGAGATCCTACGGCTGCGTGTCTGTTTGCCATATACAGTCGGCATAGTGGAGGAGCCGTGTATACGCTCCGAGGCGTGTTTTTATCGACTGCCAAACGCGGCGTCGGCGAGCGAATATACGAGTGCGGAAGGAGTCCGCTCTGGGTCCCCGGCGCGCGTTTCAAGGCTACAAGAAATTGATGTAATGCCTCAATCTCGACGAGCTGCGAGGCTGCATGGTTTTGGAAGTTGGTAAGCAGACGTCCAGGGCAAAGAGTTGGCCATCGCAGGGCTGCGCTGCAGTACGGTCTTCTTGAGACGGCGAATCTCAACACCCTCCACCAACAGATCTATGGCGTTGCCGCCACACTGAGAACAAACCTGGTTGCTGGGTCAATCTCCTCCTTGCACTCACGATCTGTCGAATGGCAGCACGCGCGTGCGCAACCCCAGAACGTGAACTTCCTTCGGTACGACATTGAACCGGTGTCTCGGTACTCCTCGCTCTGGGCCCCGTATGCTGGAAAAGCCCAGCTGAGCTCCCTTTGCAGCGCTGTACTACACGCCTCCATCGTCGGCGTTGCGCGCACCATCACCGGAACCTTCCATCTCATGTAGGAGGACTCGCAGTGGTGCAACACACCGAACCCTTCAACTGGAACCACAGCGCCATCCACCAAGTCGGGCCCCTGGCGTCTCCCTTCGCAGCAGCCATGACTTCCCCGCACAGCTCCACGATAACTGTCCGCGAACCATATCCACCGTCACCCTTCCACAGTCTTACCTAGGCGCCCAAACCGCTTCCCTGGATATTCTCTCCCCGCCACGGCGTCACTGCTTCCGTTCACGGTTCCAAAGCCTCGGGGCACCAGAAACCTCGATGCCGCATCGAAGATACCCTGCAGCTTGTTACATCGCAGTTGCGATTACGGAGGGGTTGCGGGATGTTGGGAGCCGGGGCTGGACGCTGTGCTCCCTGTGCTAATGTACGGATTCGATCGATGACCTGATCAAGAGACGACGCATATAGCATGGCATGCGACATCGGGAATGAGGAGGACGTCGCTCACCGGTGCCATGCAGCCGTGTCTGCAAAGATCTTGCATAGCACCTGCAGGTCTTGGGTTCGGGAGGGAGCTCCGAGAAGGGGAGAAACAAGGCTCGGTTTCGCTTGGGATGGGAGCGATGCAAGGGGATCGCGGGGATCGCGGAGGTTAGTGTAAGGGCTGTCTGCTTGTCAAGGTGCGGTGTGCACGTAGGGATATGCATTCGAGTGAGTTGACTGCACGTGGCCCTGACGTTTCGTCGAGTGCAGTGCGACCTTGGGGTGTTTCTTGCACATGACGTATCGAAATGCCTGTGTTTCACTGCCATATGGCAGTCGTACAACAAGCTGGCCTGACATCGTGTCCATGAAGCCCGACCTTTGCCTTAGCTCACCTGACTTCGATCACTCTCTTCCAATATCAAACTCTCCACAAGGGAAGTCTGCATCCTTCAAGAACTGCGACCTGAGTGCTAAGTCTTACCGTACTACCGCACATTGCAAACGCAACCATGCAAGCACCAGTCCTTCCCCTACGAATCTACCACATAAACACCGCCACGAAGACCAACGCTCAATATTCCTCCCCGTCCTTACAACCCACTTTCACCAGCTCCAAGCCCCATCCCACTCACGCTTCGCATCCTCAGCTGATCTCACGCCCTCATCACGCTCTCCTAATCGGCCCGAATGCCTCTCCCAAGAACCATCCTGACTCGCACCCCTCCCGACCTCCGACCTTCGTTTGCGGCCCGAGACCCAGCCCGCGCGCTCGCCCCGGGTAAATGCATCCCGGAAACCTTATCGCGACATCACCTCCCCACGCTCCGTTCTGCGCCTGGCAAAGGCACGTGGGGATGCCGCGGACGGGGGGCGTTACGTCACCGACCGCCACGCGGAGGTATTGCGCGTTTGGGCTGAGAATTGCGACAGTTGGAGGTCGGCGAGGAGCGGTGTTGGGGACGGGCGGGGAAGGGGAGAAGAGTTGGAGAGGAGAGCCTCGTGGGCGACGCGAAGGACGATCGAAGAGGCGTGCATGTTATTTTGGGGAGGTGGGTGGATCGCCTATCTCAAGCCCGGTACGTAGGTACGGTTGGCGCTTCTGCGCGATGCTGGTGCGCTTGGTCGCTTATCTGCCCATGGTAGGCTCGTATCTGCCGTCAGCCCCCTTCACGCGGAGATGTCTTGAAGAGAAACGGCACCTGGGTAGGGCGTGGCACAGGGCATGTGGCGGTTCCTGGTTAGGAGAGATAGAGGTGCAGATAGAGATAGCGATGCTGCGATGCGATATGATACTACGTGACGCGACAGATATTTTGACAGTGATAGTAGAGATAGCAAGCACTGGGGTGCTGATCGGACGCCGTCCGTTGTTCATGATCATCTGGCATAAGCCACCGCGATGCCTGCAGGATCGTCACTGGTTGTACACCACCCCTTGGTGAATGAGTAACAAGTAATTCCATCACCTTCACAACGCGCTACCGTCTCGGCATTGCTCCAATACGCGGATGGAATATACCACTTGAGCGCTACGGGCCGCTCTTTCTCACCCCATTGATCTCGCAATAGCGCCCGTAGATCGCGCATCAAGCTTTACGATCGATTCATCGTTACGGCGATCTGCTCAAGGAACTATGGAAGCCTATGGCTGAGTCACGAATGTTCATAAGGAGCTAGAATAGACGATACCCTGGCGATCGTCGATCGATCTATGCATGTTGATGGTATTTCGATTTGATACTGCATGGCGAATCGGTTGGCGTCAGTGGTTAAGTTCAAGATTGAACCCACTGTGAATGCTGAGCAATCCTTCCAAACACCGAGAAGCTTGGTGCGGGTTGAAGCTTCTATGGTGTTTCACTTGGCCAGTGAAGCTTGTGGTGAGCTTGGCTATGATGCGTCCTAAAAGCCCACCGTCCAGATGTGCACGAGAGGCCATTTCAATTCTCGTGGAATGCACTGCTTCGGCCGCTGCTTTTACCCATAGTATTGATATCTCTGGGTACTCACGTATCTGCCTTCCGCGGAAAACATCGAGCGTCACCAACTTACCACCAATTTTCGACTGATGAGGCTACATGTCAACACGACAGTGGAACATTAGGGCCACACAGCATCGTAATGCATTATGTTGTCATCATATCTAGCGCTAGATACTTGATCTTCTTCGCTCTCAGTCAATGCCCAGCACCTCCTCAAACGGGTGATTAGGATCATAAGGATACTTCCTGACCACCACATCTCCCACATATTCCCAGAGCTCCTTGTTCACATCCACGATCTCGTTGTTCAACGGGCAAGTGTCAGTTTTCTGCCCAAACGTCTCGACTGCAGTCGCCTTCCCAGCATCATAGTTGATGCGGACCTGGTTCACGGTCTGACGACTAGCATCTCCAAGCAGGTAGTTCAACGGCATGAATTGGACGCCCGAATGTGCGGTCGTGAACACCGTGTTCGGCAAGTCTCCCGTATGCGGGATATGATGCATGCCGAGGTTGATCCACGCGACGAGGTCGTCCTGGACGAGGCTTTCGCCATTGAAGAAGTGGTCGAAGTTGATGGGTGGGTCATTGACATCTTGCGAATTGTAGGGATGCGAGCTGCTAAGTTCGGTGTCCTTTTGCTTTGTGAATTGGATGTCGTAGCCTGCCCAGTTGGCCGAATTCACGGCGGAGGAAGAGTTCTGAACGGTAAGGTGGGCGGTGCCTGATGAAGGAAGGATGCGGTAGCCGCGATTCTCGCCGTACTTATTGGTCTCGTTTTGGTTGACGATGATGACTTGGGTTAAGGCGTTCTCGCCGAAGTTGATGCGAGATTCGTCTTCGCTCTCGATGAAGCTCTTCTGGAGTTTCATGGTGTTGCGTGGCTTGCCCTGGGACCAAGGGTACGTCTCGGTTGTGGCAACGTTTTTGACTAGCTGCACGGTGTTTGCCGTTCCGAGGATGTCAAAATCCGCTTTAAAATTCAGGACGTGGTCGTGCATCGAGCCGCTCAGTGCGTCATGAATGTGCCAACCGTAGTCTTGGTTGTTGGCATAGTACGCTCCTTGGATATAACCCGATGCGCGTACCTCAACTCCAACCGTGCCGTCCTGATAGAAGGAATACGTGAACATGTAGTCGTAGTTTCCAATTGTAGAGACCGACCGAAGGCTGAAGTAAGTGTTCTTCGTGGAAGATACGTAGTTTGTAGTGCTGTGACGTTGTTGGGGGTAGTCTGCATCAAACTCGAACAAGCAGATCGAGTTGACGTGAGTATGCGTCGTTTCATCAACATAGAAGGACGAGTTGAGGTATGTCGCATAGGCAGGGCAATCGTAACCCTCAACGAGCTGGAAAGCATAAGGCCCAAATCCGTAGTAAGAATCGAGATACGCTGTTCCAGATTGATAAGGATCAGCGCCAGCATAATGAGCAAGTGCTTCCTAGGGCATATTAGAGACAATTGTCGCGAGCTTGGGCGTTACACTTACTTGTAATCCAAGCTCATATATGATTCGGTCGCCCTTGTACTTGATGTCGTACAGTGCGAGACCAGTGTCCCTTGAGAAGCCCACGTAAAAGCTGAAATCCATCCACTCAACGTACTTCTCATTCACGTCAACCGAGTAGCGTGAGCCAGCAGGTGCTATAGCCATAGGTGGAGACAATGTATCCTTGGGAAGAATAGGTCCGCTCTGGTCGGTCGTAGCCCAGGGTCCATCGATATTGATTGGGAGTTTCACGAAACCAGGACTATAGAAAGCATTTTTGAAAGCCTCAGTCGAGTCGTACCAGATGTCGTTGTAGAACCAGCCGAGAACCTTCCATTGAGTCGGGTCTCTTCCACTCTGATCCACCAAGAAGTATAAGCCAAGAGAAAGAATGGAAGTGGTATCAAAGCCCGTTGCGCTTTTGTGGACGAACATGTACCAACTGGTAATGCGACCATCTTCTTGGCCCATTGGATCTATGCCCCACATAGTGATCGTATCGTTGTCATAGCCGAGAGCACTGCCGCCCCAAAGTTCGAGAGTGATGTCTTTGATAGATGCACTTGTAGGGTAGAGGAGTTTCTCGTAAAGCGTGTCGTCATTTGCACTGAGGTTGCGAACCCTTCCTTCAGTTTTCCGTGTGTGGTAGTAGTCGAGAGGCTGCCATGTCGTAACATTAGCTATAACCGGGAGAGGGCCAACCAGAATATCGGCATAGTAGGGCTCCTCGGTTGCTCGTATGTTCAGTAGAACATGGGCGTAACGATCAGGAGCTGGTCCGGAACCATCAAGGTAGGCAACTACGTCAGTCTTGTTTGGACGTTGCAACTCAACAAGTAAGCTTTGTACATCAGCGGAGCTCACCCGGCATTATGTTTAGGATAGCTTACACGGAGTTGTCCCACTCTCCAGCCTTTTCACTCGTTGTCAAATTCAGGTCCGACTGCTCGAAGAGCCAGTAAACCACAGACGCAGCTTCCTCGTCAGTGAAGCCTTCCCAAACATTGGGAATCGGGGCAGTAACAGCTGGCGCAGCGTCACCACAGCCGGGTGCTTCGGGACTTGTGGTGTTTAGATATTGACGCTTAGCTTGCCGCGAGTCATGTGGTATGACTCTGTGACCACGCCCACTCTTGACCCAATTAGCCTTTGCTTCAGGTGCTGGCGCACCGTGAACCAAGACTGGTACAATGGAGAGAAAGAGAGCTGGAACAGCGGGGTGAAATTTCATCTTGACAGATCCACCGATAGATAAGACCGTGATAGCTTACTGCGGTCATGGTGAATTGGTCTGGTCTATATACTCTTGAAAGTGACCGTCTTGCAGAACACTGCCGTCGCCAAGACGATTACGGACCGGCACTTCGACATTACTGATAAGGAGGAGTGCGCGCATCCAAGGTGCCGTCGTGTGTGCATGTGGAGTCAGTACGAGAGATTCGGTGAGATTGAATCCACAAAAATATCTAAGGTGGGATAGTGATGCTCCGTATCCAGTCGCAACTGCAGACAGTACCGGCATCGCGTGGCGAGTAATGATGCATGAAGACCAATTACTGCCGACGTCGGCTGGTAGACCGGTACCATGTAGCCTTGTTCCAACACTGATCAAGTTGTTGCGTCTTGACAACCTAAAGTTCTATCAGTTCATCTCGGCCGAGTTGATGAAAAGACTAGAGATCGACATTCTCCCCGTGAAGAGTTTCCTTCAAAAAGTTCCGCATCATAGGGTTTCCTGAGTGAGTATGCAAAGAAGTGGCCAGTCACACACTAGTTTTGATTGCGGTTGAGTTCTGTACACTTCTCGAAGGGTTTAGAGCTAAGTTTTGCGCTGGGAAGATCTAGCCACTTCGAGTTTAAACCGTGCAGTGGAGCCCTCCGTACCTTATCAATTCTCGGTTCCTATCGCCATGTGCCTATGGCGATAAGGGAATTGAGCATTGAGAACCGTTTGGAATTCGGACCAAGCCTCAAGTAACCTAACTTACTGCCTCAATGGGGCAAGTCCATGCGAGGAAGCCCTGTACCGGTCCCCGTAGGCTCCGACGACAGTCACAACCCCAGAAAATCCACAATTGCGGCTCCAATCTGTACGAGCGGGAAAGGCAAGGAGTGCTGCTGTGCCGTAGTTGGGCCTTTGGCGTTATCGTTGATCATGTCTGGCCATTGACACAGAGATAAGCATTCAATTACCATCAATGGTCTGCTATACGCGTCCACAGAAACAGAAGGACATTGCGGAACTCTTCCGAGTTAGTCCAAGGGTCCAACCTGCATCTCTAGAGACATTGCGATTTGCTCTCGATGGATCTTGGGTGATTGATCAGGCAAAAATTTTTACGAGTGAGCGGAAAGGCAAAAGGCGAGAAGCCCGAAACCCAGATGGCTGGCCCATGGATACAGACTACGCAGCACATGTTGGCCTAAGTCCGAGACGGTGCACGGAGTGCTACTTAGGCCGTCGTACATCAGCGCTCGTACATCAGCGCCGCATGGCATGCTATGAACGGGGCCGCCGGGGACCCAACTTGTGTGAACGCGTGTTCACCGGGTGACGCAGGGACCGCTATGTCAGATTCCCGGACCTGCGTAGTTGCTCCTTCGATCGAGGCCATCTTCATGATCTTGACATGCGCTCTTCTTGGGTAGCTGCCCCGAAGAGTACGGCGGCTTTTGAGGTATGGGCCAGTCTTATGACAGCCGCCGAAGACTATTCACGTCAAGGTAAGACGGATCAGCCCCTCTTGTGTCTCCTTTTGCACTAGTGGTGAAGAAAAAACTGTCGAGAAAGTAATCGGTTTGATCAGAGTCCATCTAATCGATCGATCAGATAAGATATAACTTCATGTAATGGAAATGCGGGGATGCCGGGATGTTTGGTCACGTGAATACGCGGTCGCGCAGGGTGCCCAGTCGCAGACTCATTGTGGCAGAAATATAGAGGCGGTGTGAGATCTTTGTACGCGTCGAACGGTTGTCAGGCCCTTTCCGCGCCCCCTTTTTATGTACCGGCCGGTGCGGAACGGACTGGACGATGATGAGGCGATGAAAAGGCAAGTAGCTGACGAGGATGAGGTGACCTGGATCTGTGCTGAAGGTCCGCAGGCGAGGAAGGTGGGGACAATTGGGCGCATCTATTGGCCGCTGCACCAGCGTTGTTCTCCACCTGGCGATCGAAATTGACGGCTTTAAGGCTTAGCGCCCCAGTTGTCTGTGCCTGAGGCTAGATGCGCATCTTGCTTAATACTGAGAAGCCGTCCTCGTAGCACTCCCTATTCCCCTGCTGTCCCTCTTTCGTCGGTAGTGTTGCAGCCCGTCTCGCGCAGGCGTCTTTCGCGGAGGAAAGCGCCCTGGCCAATTCGCTCCTTCCCGCATCGAAACTTGTCTTATTACAGCTGCCCGAAGCCAAATAATCGGACGCGCATACCAAGCGGCTGCTCGCCGCGACAGCATCGCCCGCCATGGATCTTGTCCTCGAAGCTTTTGACACCTTCCTGTTCGATCCCCTCTATGCGACTTTTTTGCCCGCAAAGACCCCTGGTCTTGCCCCCAATGGCACATATCCGAGCTTGAAGGAAGTGCCCACCACCGCTGCGTACGCGGCGCAACACACGTGGACATATGAGCCGGCAAGCCAGTACCTGAGCTTTACGCCCGGCAAGGATGCCTACATGAGCCAATGGCCTCGCGACGACTGGCGCCGACAGCTGCTGACTTTGTTCCTCATCACCTGGTACGCCCTTGCTCCAGCACTCTGTGACTCCAGCGCAACTGACACCGCACTCAGGGTCTTCGGCCTCGTCATCTACTATGTCTTCGCTACCCTTTCGTACGTCTTCGTCTTTGACAAGGCAACCTTCAATCACCCCAAATACCTCAAGAACCAGATCAGCCTCGAGATGCGCCAGACCAACATCGCCCTCCCCGTAATGGCTGTCTTTACCGCCCCGCTCTTCCTCCTCGAAGTCCGCGGACACTCGAAGATCTACGACAGCTTCCATGAGGCGCCGGGCATGTGGTACAACTACATGCAATTCCCCTTCTTCTTCATGTTCACCGATTTCTGCATATATTGGATCCACCGAGGCCTGCACCACCCGCTCGTCTACAAGCGCCTCCACAAGCCTCATCACAAGTGGATCATGCCGACGCCTTACGCCTCGCACGCGTTCCACCCGCTTGACGGCTACGCGCAGGGCCTCCCGTACCACATCTACCCCTTCTTGTTCCCGCTCCAGAAGTTCGCCTACGTCTTCCTCTTCGTCTTCATCAATATCTGGACCGTCCTCATCCACGACGGCGAGTACGTCGCTGAAAACCCCATCATCAACGGCGCCGCGTGCCACACCATGCACCATCTTTACTTCAACTTCAACTACGGCCAGTTCACCACGCTGTGGGACCGCCTCGGGGGCAGCTACAGAAAACCAGCCGACGAGCTCTTCCAGAAGGAACTCAAGATGTGCCAGTCCACATGGAAAAAGCAGAATCAGGACGTCGACAAGATGATCACCGAAGTCGAAGGCTCCGATGACAGGAAGTATGAGCCCGAGGAGCCCAAAAAGGTTCGCTAGGTTGGGCTATTGCGACACATGTTTTACACGCCGTTACGAAGAAGGCCTAGCGCGGGCTGGTAACGGCATATTGGGTTAGATGCGCTGCGCATACCATTTTCCGCGGTCGAGGTTCTGGGAGTTCGCAATTGTAAAAGCATGATGTGTTTGGGAAGTTGGCGTACTGTGTGAATCGCATGTATGGTTTAATAGTAATGCCAAGGGAATCGACCTGATGTCGGCTTCTGGAGGTTCGTTGTGTATATATTACAATTTGAAGACTGAGCTCAGACTTGACTTGGGACCTGATGATGTGGAATTGACGTGGGATGACAGGGGGCCCACGCGACGTAAGGGTCCTACCCAACGCTAATGGGAGCCATCAACCGCGGAACACTGCGCGTGAGGACCAAACATGGAGACCTGGGCTGTCGAGAGATTCCGTTCATTCGGGTTCAATTGCTGACACATGGTGGATAGTGCAGCAACATGTTGAACATGTCGCACCCTCTTCAAAGTCGCTTCGGAGCTGAACAGAACTCCGCTTCATGCGTGAGCAACATCCCAGGAACATGTCGTGTTCAGTTTCCGAACTGAACTACTACAGATGCTTTCACCCTGCACCATGTATACAGGAATGTATTGCTACATCAAGTCTAAGATAACTAGTATCACTAGAATGTGATCCCCGTCTTGTACCACGTATCGCCACGATGCCACGACGGCAGCGCCTCTATAGCCAACCACCCATCGCCCTCAGCGCCAAATCCTAGTCCGCGGAAAAGCGAAACCGGGCAAGGTTCAAACAGCCACACGCCACCTCTCGCAAAATCATCGCACAGCAAGTGCGCCGTATGATAGTGCCACACATGCACATACACAAAGGTCAGCGTCCTCTTCACCCACTGTGGCATGCTCCTCGTAACCCTGCTCCCCGCTAGACCCTGCCGGAGAACCCCTTCTACAAAACACGCCGCAGCCTGTAGCAAAAAGTACTGCATCGGTCCTCGCAGCGGGAACGTAGCCCCATGGCACGTCACACTCCCGCTCGCATGCAGCGCCCCGCTCAGCCCAAACGCAACCACCAACTGCAGCGCCCTCGCTGCTAGGCCTTTAGGATTCCACCCCAGCACCTCAATCGCCTTCCTGCTCGGCTGCTCAAACGCAAACCGGAACGTCTGGTGCCACCACCCGGACCACCATCCCGCGAGGCCGTTGTCCAACACCAGCGCGTACGACCCCCACGTCGAGGGGTAGATCCAGGGCTCTGCGCGGGCGCCGAGGACGGCGGGCCCGAGCACGCCGGAGAAGAAGAGCGGCGAGAGCGCGAAGAGGGATTCCAGCGCCCATTTTATGCCGAACTGGCAGATTACGAGACGCAGGGCGTGAATTAGGACGGGTGAGTTGAGGAGGAAGGCGGGGAGGTACGGGGCTGGTGCGCGGTCGATGTAGCCCCAGAAGTACGGGTCGTGGCTTGCTATAGTCTTGATGAGGTCGAGGATCAAGTACCCTGTGACGAGTGTCTTTGTATTCCCGATGAGCATTTCGCGACGCGTGGGGTAGGTGCGGCTTTGAGAGGGGTGCGTGCGGAAGTTGTATTTCGGCTGGAGGACGGAGTTGCGCAGAAGTTGCTCTTGGACGGGCTTGGGAGGCGGAGGCGTGCTGATTGTGCGCCAGTTCCAGTTTGCGCCGCGGAAGTTGGCGAAGAGGTCGAGGACCCAGTCGAGGCGCTCGATGAAGGGCGTGGAGGGGTAGGCTTGCCAGGCGAATTCGCCGTGGCGCCGGGAGGGACCGAGGGATTCCTTTGTCTCTGGGAGATCTTTTAGTACGCCGTTGCTATCCTCGCTATTGCTAGTTGTTCTTGCATTGCCATTTTGTGTGCCGTTGACTGGTGCTCTGTCCGAACTAAACATGCCTTCGGTCCTCTCGATCCTCATGAAGTCCCGCTGCGGGTCATTGCATACAATGACTGCCAGAATGTACATCGTGCCCCATGCAGCGATGAGCCCTATTCCCAGAGTGTTCGCAACACCCTTCGCTCTTACATTCTTGATCAAGTACGCCGTATACATGAGGTTGATCGCGAAGATAAAGAACCTTGCCTTTCGTAGCCATGCCCGATTTTGATGTGGAATCAACATGTATATGATGACCAAGAGAACCGCAAGGGTATCCCACGGATACAAAATTGGCTGGTATTTGCCAGCCTGAACGTCCTTTGCATACTGTTCGTGGTAAAACCGGGTGACATCGTGGTGGGTGTGAGGCCAGAGGTTAGAGGGTATCATGCTTGGCTGCGTCGAACAAAACAGAAACGAAATAAAACGAAGCTGTCGCTATGAAACACATGGCACAAGTGGGTTATTTACGGTGCTGTCAAACGTGGCGCCGCCGCGCGCAAAACATGTGATGACGTCTTGAAGCCTCGCGCACGATTGTCTGGCTCGCTTGTGCCACGCTATGCCCGAAGTGGGGTCTGCGGCGACTTCAACACCAAGCCACTTCGATCGCGATATCATACACCAACAGCAGCCGCGGGGTCCACTCTGCTCTTTGTGATACGTTATAATTTCCTTCGAGGACAAGAGAGGGAAAGCAATACCGACAAGATGGTGAACATCACGGAGAAGATCAAGGAGTATGGTGTTCTGAAGTTTTTGTGTGGAGAGCGCACTGACGCCCCGCAGGATCGAGACGGAGATGGCGAGGACGCAGAGTAAGAACGAATATCAGAAGTGGATCGAGCGAACAGGTACTAACAAGTGGCAGAGAACAAGGCGACAGGTATGGCTCCCAGGGATCGACGTAGCACCCACCCTCCTCTAGCACCGACAATAGCCCGTGAAGATGTCCATATCACGTGCGCTAAATTACTCACCCAGAATATCATCTCGGTCTCCTCAAAGGCAAACTCGCCCGTCTCCGCGCCCAATTACTCGAGCCCGCCCCTGGCGCAGGAGGCGGCGGGGGTCAGGGCTTCGATGTCTCGAAAAGCGGCGACGCCCGCATAGCCCTCGTCGGCTTCCCCTCAGTCGGAAAGTCAACCTTCCTATCCAAAATCACAAAGACCAAATCCGAAATCGCTGCATATTCCTTCACCACATTGACCGCCATCCCCGGTGTCCTGGAGTACGGCGGTGCAGAGATTCAAATCCTCGATCTGCCTGGTATCATTGAAGGCGCCGCTGAGGGCAAGGGAAGAGGAAGACAAGTCATCTCCGCCGCGAAGACGAGCGATATGATCCTCATGGTGTTGGATGCAACGAAGAAGGCCGAGCAGCGGCGCCTACTCGAAGCAGAACTCGAAGCCGTAGGCATACGACTAAACCGTGAACCACCGTAAACCCCCCCTCGTCTCGTGCTCCGTTGTCTTCCTTTCCTGTCTACTCTTACCCCTCTACTCCTCTCCTCTACTATTTCCCTTCCGTACAGCTAACACCCCTCAGCAACATCTACCTCAAGCCCAAGAAAGCCGGCGGCATGAAAATCACCTTCCAATCCCCGCCCAAGAACATCGACGAGAAAATGGTCTTCAACATCCTACGCGACTACAAGATCCTCAACTGCGACGTCCTCGTCCGCGACGAGAACGCCACCGTCGACGACTTCATCGACACCATCATGGCGCCGCATAGAAAGTACATCAAGTGCTTGTATGCGTACAACAAGGTCGATGCGATCTCGCTGCAGCATCTGCGCGAGTTGGCGAGGGAGCCGCATACGGTTGTTATGAGTTGCGAGCTTGATTTGGGGATACAGGTATGTCTTTGTCTCGCTCGCGGCGGGAATAGTGGTTGTAGAGGGGCTAGGCTGACGCGTACAGGACGTTGTCGAGCGGTGCTGGCAGACGCTGCAGCTCATGCGCATCTACACAAAGCGCCAGGGCGTGGATCCCGACTTCAGCGAGGCGCTGATTGTGCGGACGGGCAGCACCATCGAGGATGTGTGCGACCAGATCCACCGGACACTCAAGGAGACGTTCAAGTACGCGATGGTGTGGGGTGCGAGCGCGAAACACGTGCCGCAGCGGGTCGGACTAGGGCACGTAGTTGCGGACGAGGATGTTGTGAGTATCATTTCGAGTTACAGAGCTTAATTCAGTCGCAACGCAACTGGGGTACAATCAATCAAATCATTCGTTGTACATAGAAGAAGTGTGCACAGCGGAACGGAATCCATGATGATGACGTGTTGTTACATTCATTTACTCTTCCGCGCTTCCTTTTCACTATACTACATGTGCAAGTCTCGCTCCCATCACCGATATAGCCTCGGGATACCCAAACGTGCCCAAGCGCCGAGAATGCCTCCAGATCTCCAGACGGGTATCTCCCAATGATCCCAAACATACGCCATCGCTATGCATGCAAATTGCCTTCAAGTACACACCGTAAACGAGCAGAAACTCGATGAACAAAACAAAAAGGAAAAGTGTGCAAAATGTATAAGCCAGTCACCAGGTTAGTGCTGCTTCAACGCCGGGAGCGCTTCGTCTCCCCATGCGGCTGATCCGTCGGTTCCCGCGATCGCTTCTCGCCTTTGCGGTCGCGCTCTCGATCTTCTTTCCTCCGATCGTCGCCTCGGCGGTCTCGGTCACTCCTTTCGCTCCTCTCGCGGTGTGAACCATCCCGCTCAGTGCGTGGTTCGCGCTCGGTGCGGTCCCGTCGACTGCTATCCCTCTTCTCTCGCGGCCTCTCATCACCTTTGCGCTCGTCATCTCTGCTCCTCTCACTCTTTCGATGGCTCCGTTCCCCCGACCGCTCAACGGGCGCCGGAGCAGCAGGCGGCGAAGCCTGAGTCTGACCGCTCTGCGCAAGGACGTTGTTGATAGCTCCCAGTGCAGTGCGACTGTCCTGTCGGCGGACATGGCGATCTGGACCAGCTGGGCCGGTCGGTGGCCCACGGGTTGAAGGCGAGGGCAACGGTGTACGTCCAGAGCCCCGAGGACCACTAGGTGCGTTCGAGATGTCAGTCTGCAGGGGTGGCGGCGGTGGACCAGTCGGGCCACGCGCACCATCAAAACTATTCACCAAACCCATGCGGCTCGGATGAACGCCTGTCGACTGAGGTGTTACCGGAGTAGCGTTTGGGTTCGACGTTGATGGATGTGATCGCATGTCACGGCTGTCTGACGATGGGTCTAAAACGGTTAGTGGCCGACTATATTTTCGAACTGGCCGTACTTACTCCTTGGGCCTGAGGGGATCGACTCGGCTGGTTGGTTCAACCTTCCATAACTTGGGTCCTGACGTGATGCCACTGGTCGAGACGACTGAGAGGGTTGGAACATCTCACGCGATACGTGCGAGGAACTGATGCCATCACGGCCGCTGCGTGGTCCGGTGGGAGCGTTGCTGGAAAACTCATCACGCCGGTCGCGAGAAGTAGGGTATGGTTGAGCCTGAGATCGCTCGTCACGATACTCCGGACGGTTGTGGTTTCCATAGTACGCAGCGGGAGGGCGCTCATCATGTCGGTCTGATCCTGGTCCTCTGCGCAAATCGCGGTCATCAGAGCGAACGTCCCGATCCGGTCTTCCGCCAGGAGTCCTAATTTGATCTTCCTTCGCGTACGCCGCTCGGGAATCGCGTCCATGACGATCACCCTCAATAAACGAGCTTCGTCCGTCACGCCCGTGTCGGTCTCCTTCCTTATCGAAAGGGGCTCGAGGATCACGACTGTCGCGATCCGACCGAACAGGAGTGTTCCTGCTGCGATCATCTGGGATGAATGCAGCACGCTCGGGGTTGATGCGGTCGTCTTTCGAGTACGCAGATCGTGGAGGTGGCCCGCGGTCGAGGCTGTCTCCTTGCTCTATCAATGCTGCACGTGCCGGATTGACGCTGGGTCCCGGGGTGTCAGTATGGATTGTTGGACGTGGCGGAAGGGGACCGCGTTCATTGTGATGACCGGGAGCATCGCGTCGATGAGCGGGTGCCTCATTCGGTGCCATATTAGAACCCGCATGCAGACGACCTCGATTATCGGCTGGTGTCGTCGGCAATGGTGCAGGACCTCGACTGTCGGTTCGCTCACGCGTAGAGTCCCTCGTCCTATAGTCCCGCTGATCGCGATTGTCTCGATGGTCTCGAAGGTTATCCGCATACTGGGCGTTCCTATCGAGCGGGCCACCACGTGCGTCTCGTGGTACAGGTGGTCCTCGTACAGAACGGTCTTCGTATTCGCGAGCTTCGCGTCCAGCCCACTCCTGGCGATCGCCTACAGCAGCTGCCCTGTCTTGTGATCTCGGACGCGAGTGATGGCCAGGAGACGCTGAGCGGCCTCGTAGAGCGCCCGGTCGCTCAAGACGTCCATACTCACTTGGGCCGTTGGTCCTCGTTTCATGGCGCCCGTGGCTTTGATTGTATTCCACTGGGGGATGGCTTGGGCGATCGTTCGGCCTGGGTCGCAGAGGTTGAGTATCGGGTCTTGTCGGTAGGTTGTGTCCAGCCCGACTGGACTGTTGCGCTTGGTAACCTCCTCTGCTGTCTGGCCTTGGGGGTACCGGGGAAAGGTTTGCGGAAGCTGAACCCGGACCATGTCCCAATCGCTTCGCGCTGTCTCTACCTTGGAACTGCGAGGATGCCGACTGTTCAGAAGCTCGTGAAGGTCGAGCCGTATCATTTCCGTTCACGCGTGACATGGAGCTAACAGAGTGGGTTGCCTTTCGTTCGTCAGATGCACTCTTCTCGCTTGCAGAGCTGGTGATTCCGTTTCTAAGTCGGCATGTCAGTGGTGTTCTTTCTGAAAAGGGCGTTCATCTTACGTTGTAGAAGGCTTGGGCTGGAAAGCTTCAGCCGCAGCACTGAGCTTCTTGGATCCAGTATCTTGGTCAGTGGTCTTCGAGGCGGGTGTCGCAGCACGAGCGGGTGTCGACTCCTTTGGATCTTCCTTTCCCTGTTTACGTGTTAGAAAAGCCAATCAATATAGAATAGATGAGCGTACTGTGACAAACATGGTGTGGCTTCGCAAGGTCTTTTGTCTTTTTATGAATTCGGATTGGAGCGAAGTCGCTGCAACGCGAATGTCTGCACGCTCTTCCATCTTCTCATCTGCGTAGTGGATGAGATCTTCTTGGAGCGAGGTAGCATTCTCGCGCATCCTGGGGAATGAGGGTGCTACAGCTTTCAGAATGTTGATGGAGTTTCGTAGCTCGGTGTACTGTGCTGTTGTTTTCAGATGCTTATCACCTAAGTCTCCGTGCCGCAGGCATCCGTGCAAAGCATCATGCATCTTGTTGTGCCATTTGCCAAGCAGCAATCGGAATTCGGTATACTTTAGGAAAGAGTCCGGGTTTTTCGGCCGGCCTTCGTCGTTGAAGACCTTTACACATTCGAATTGTTTGTATATGCGCTCGCTGCTGTGCCAGCGACCCAACTCTTGAAGTATGTCGTTCATGAATCGGCCGACGTTCTTGGACTCGTCCTCGCTCATAGAGAAAAACATTGCAGAAAGTCGCCCAGTGTTGAATAAATCGTCCAGTACCTTGATCAGGCGGAATTTCGGTACCTTGGATTTATGCATGAAGAACAGCATGGAAGCGCTGAACTGAGCGTCCTGCAAAGACATGCGAGCGCGTGCGAGAAAGCAATCCTGCAGAAGCGTCATGTGTAGAGTCGGGTCCATGGAAGGAACGTCGGAAAACCAGAAATGCATCTCTTCTTGCAGACTAGACTGGATGAGTTGAGACTGTTTGCCAAATTCCTCAAACTCGACCATAACTTGGTCAGCCTCTGCCCTTGCTTCGCGGACCTTATCGACAGTTGTGTTCGTGCGACGCCCATCGTTCTTTGTGGCATCCTTGAAAGTGCTGTCCTTAGCGTCCTGATATAGGCGCTTGAGTAAGGCCATTTTAGGGTCTTGGACATCCTTCAAAGAAAGTTGCCAAAATGTAACAAGAAAGGGAAGACAGGGATGGCTTCCAAACCTTCCTGGCAGAGTTGCTTTAAGTTTCGACACCAACATATCAATTTCCGCATTCGACTTGGGAACCGTGACGTAACCTTCACGCGGCTTTGTTTGATCGCCACTGATCGTGCCAGAAGTCGTGGCTTCACCCATCTCCACATCTTCAATGCCGGCCGCAGCGACAGCAGGAGTTTCTTTCGTGGTACCGCTTTCTGTCGGGGTTGCATCTTCCATGATCGCATCACCACCGGAGACCTTCTCAACAGGTGCCCGAGATCGCAGCCGAAAGTCGTTCGCTTTAGCGGTTATGCTGTCGCGAGAGATTTGAAAGGCGAGATCCGTGTCTAGGTAATACTCGGACATCAATTCGACAAGTCCAGGAATCTGTTTGTCGAACTCCTCGGTGTTGAGATGATGACGGAGAAAGTCGAGGAATTGGATGAAGTTGAGCTTGAGGTTGTCGTAATTGAACAAGACAACCTTGTCAGGAACTTTGCGTTGGTTCTCACGGTAGAGGTACGCTTGAACTTGGTCCGCCAGGGCAATGAGTATGGGCGCTGCAAGACCTGATTCTCTGAAATGATTCATGAGGCGCTCGGCAGGCTTCTGGAAACCACCGCTGTACCGGTCGTCACTCAGTGATTTGAGGGTGAATTTGCGTAAACGAGGTCCGGCGAAGAGTGCAATGACCTTGGCCTCCGCCATAACGCCAGGAATCTTGACACCGCCCATATGGGTAATCAATTCTTCGAAAACTTTCATGACGAACAACTCCCCCTCGCGGTTGAGTAGCTGAGTGCTGATGTATTCCAGGATAGGTTTGGGATCCATATACTTGGAGTACTCCTTGTAGACTTGGCCGACGAAGCTTGCTGCATTCTTCAGCCAACCTTCTGTCAGCATTCCATCGCTCTGTATCGTCGGCTTGTTCCCGGCAGTGATTTGGACAACAAGCGAGTAAGTGAGGCAGTCGTAGCCTAGCTGAGTGAGATAGTGACTGCATCGCACAAGAGCCTTGATCATGTTGACGTATTGTTGCCCTCGCTCCAGTGTCTGTTTGAAAACCTTAACAGGGCAAGTGTTGGCGAGCTTTGCTATGGCTCTACCCATTTGCCCTAGGTTGGTGTTGGCGACCCGATTCAGTATCTGGTTGGTCTTGTAAATCACTTCTGCGAAAGCTGTCTTCATGACCGGTTTGAAGGACTGCTCCCATTGATGGTAAATCGTGTATCGTGTCGCTGTGTCGAAATGCTTAAGAAGTTCCCACATTTCATTGACGGCACCAGGGTTTTCGCCGGTAAAGGTGAGAGCAGGCACGAGGAAGGTGGCGAGGAGATCTGACCAACGCTTCATATTCTGGGCAGACGGATCGTCGATGATGTTCTTTCGTCCGATCCGAGCAAGTTTGGTCAGAAGCAAGACGTCCCTTCCGCACTCAGGACCTATCATGCCTAGCCAGGACTGACAGAGTAGGAATACATCGTCCACGGACTGGCAAACAGGCACGTTATCGGCCCAGTCGTCCCAATAAAATCGGTAGTCTATGCCATCACCGGCGTCCTTGAGCTCAGGTTTCGCCCATCGAAGAGTCCGTCGCGGTACATACTCGCTAGCACGTGTGGCCGCATTCGGAATGGCACCCTTGGTAGAGACAGGCACTGTGTTTAGTGGAACGGGTCGAGATGCTTCGTAAACTTTGCTGAGGGAATGGTGGGCCAGTCGGAAGATGTGTGAGTGTAGGTCGGGGTACAGCTCCAGCATCCATTTGTTTGTTCCGAGGGTGAACAACGCCTCCGGAATAGCACCTATGCAGAGAAGACTTCGCAAAAGCGCTACCTTTTGGTCTACGGGTTCTGGCAAAGCGGGTTTGGGCTCCTCATCGGATTGAGCAGGTGTGTTTCGTTCAGTTTCCGGTCTAGACGAGGGCTTGTTCTCGGCGTCTCGTAACCGAGAAACAGCGGGTACAGCGGGGGTATCGTCGGACAGCGCGCCAGCCATAGTCAAAGCGTTTGCAGTCTTTCCTTTCCGCTTTGCTTCCTTCTCTTCCTTCTCGGCTTTGAGCTTTGCCTGAAGCTTTTCCAAATCTTCCGCTTGGGGGTAAAGGTGCCCCCAGAGGTCCGTTATGGAGATGAAACCGATTTTGATAAGCAGTGCGGCCAGGTAAATCAGGTTGTCTGGCAAGACGTCGCTGGGATCACGTAGGTTGGAGGCATAGAACTGCAGCTTGAAGCCAAGAAGCTGAGCAGCGACTTCGTTCCCAAGCGGAGGCAGTGTTCCAGTCTCTTCTATCCATTGATCGACCCATTCCTGCGTCGCGCTCTTTTTGCTGACGAGCGAAGTGTCTGGGTTCGATTTGTCCGATTCGCGAAGAGTCCTAGTAATAGGGCGAGCACCAAGCTCAAAGAAGGCCTTGATGGCATTCCTCTCGCCCAATTCTTTCACTCGCTGCCAGAATTTTACATCACGGAGTTCGCGAAGGCGTAGCTGCTCTTCCTTCTCCTCATCGGTATAGTACCAATTCTGCGATGTAGGCAGCGCCCAATTGGGTAGTGTCTTCACATCGGGTTCCTGCCACTCAACATTGTCGGTGCCGAGTTGGGTTGGCCACCAGGTACTGACTCGTAGGTATTTGATGAAGAATCTGTAGTGTTTGACGAGAAGGTTCGCGAAAACATCCAGCGTGACGTCAAGGACCCTGCCGACATCAAGGTCAAAGGTTCCAATGAGGGCGTTCACTCGCTCGAAGGTATCGGAGACAACATCGTGTCGCGGAGGCTCGCTGTTGACGGTGGTGAAGTATTCCGTCATGAGCTTAGAGTAACCTTCGGTCTCCTCTCGTAGAAGATTGTAGTTGGCTTGTTGATACATGGCCTTGGTGGTCGCACGAACTCCCTTGACGTGGAAAGTGCCGCGAACCAGCTCCGTCTGCTCCAGTAGTTTTTCCTCGAGTTGCCGGCGCATCTGGTTTGGATCAATCTCTGTCGCGATCAACAGGTGTTGTATCGGCTGGGTCTTCTTGACATCCTCGCGCTTGGGGTCGAGCTCTGCGTATGAACTTATGCAATCCAAGAAGTGGACCACGGGGTCGATTAGGTCGTCAGTCGGAGCAGTGACGATGTCGCGAACGACAGATCCGAGCTCAGCCGGAGCCATGAGCCCCTCGCCGGCCGCATGTATGATCTCGAAGAAGATGATGTTGAGATTGAAGCCGTCGCCTGCCTGCTGCGCTGCGATGGCAGCCTGGACCACGGCACTGCGAGCCGCGGCATTCCATTGGAGGACACGCTCGGGCGTCAGGTACTCGTTGCTTTCGGGGACATCGCGCGATGCTGGCTTGAAGGGCGGCTCTTTGGGCGGCGCGGGCGATTGCGAGGGTGTGGCCGGCGCGGGTCTCGGTGCCGTCTGCTGGGGGGTGTTTGCAGGCGGTTGCATGGTCGTCGGCGACTGTTGCGCAGAGCCTGGGTTGTGAGTGCCGTTGTTGCTGTAGCCACCGCGCCCACGGCTGCCTCGCCGTCCGCCTCGCGGCGAGTTGCTCTGCTGCGGGCTAGCCATGGCGAGGTTCTGCGGGCGGTGCGGCGACGGGCGGCTCGAATGCTCTTCGTCGTAGGAATAGCTGCGGTCGCCGCGCTTTCGCTTGCCGGCGGGAGCCATGACTGCACTCTCTTTATCGCAAAGAGAGCGAGTTTGCGTGAGGCTCGAAGAAAGCTGCGGGGAGGTGCATGCAACGCGCGCGGGTGACGTAGGACCGTGGGTGTCGACAAGTCAACCGGTCTGGCGTGGGGGCGTGCAAGGTCAAAGGTCCCGAGACGATTGACGCGCTGTCGCACGCGTATGAGATGCTGTTGGGTGGGGTGAGTCGCGGTCGCGTGGGTTTGATAGACAGTTTCTCTCCAAAGCTGCGCTCACGAGAAATCGCTTGGCAGCCGGCCCGAGCTTGAGCTGCTCCCTGCTCCCGCGTCGCATCGCTTTCACCATCACCAACAAAGAACAACGGAACAATACGACCGCGCATTGCAGCGTGCGCTTTGTTCCCTATCCCTCCGCGGTGCATGGAGCCTAGCCATCGATTATGCGTATACCACTCTTGCCTTCGTCTGGGCTTGTCCCATGCGTGCGGAATGCGAGGCGTGGGGGCTAGTATACAGCCACCATTCCATCGGGCAGTATCGGTTGCCAAGCTCGGAGGAAGCCTTCCATAACATGACAGCGCCTTTTGATCGTACTTGAACATGTTAGGTGACTTGCTTGAGGAATCCTAGAAATGGGTCAACGGCATACCCCACCAATGGATTTCGGTGTGCCACATCAATGTGGCTCATCGCTCATCCTGCAAAAGTACTTGTACAAGGCTCAGAGCACCTTTCCGTGTTTCATGTCAACTTCTGCTCCATACGCATCTGTAGTAGTCTCATTGGGATGCGACAAAGGCGCAAGCTCACGCACTGCCTGACTTCCAGACTACCCATTTTGTGTCACCCGCAAGCAATTGCTCTTCTCACAGTGTTTTAGACAATGACATCAAGCAGAAAAGATCTCTGGCAAAATAGCAGTATTCGGGGTCAAAGCTGGCGCGACTGTCAATAGCATGCTCCTTGACCGGCAGAAACTGATGGGCAACAGCAATTTGACGCCGAGTTCTTAAGGGGTTCAGCATTTTTTGGCCGAGGAGGCAGATTTTACCGCGGTTAGGACAACCTTAGGATGCTGCGGGTGACGTTGGCTTGGTGAGCAGGAAGCAGGCTAGATATATCACGAAGAGTAAGGTTTCTGCGATTGGAAGCGCAGTATCGATTTTGTGATCTTGCTTGCCGGCGGTCAATGGTAGGACTGTTGTAGATATTCATTCTACCTGATTGACAACTTCTGAGAACTACAGCTCAGTCCTATCCACTCTCCCGCCCCTCCAGAGCTGCACCGCTTTATTCGCTGCCTTTAGATGCGCGAAGTCCGGCGCATCTTCACCCAGTCCCCATGCAAAAACACCGCCAATCCCCCTCTTCTTCCTGATCTGCGACACCTTCCTCCTGATAGCATCTGGCGTGTCGAAACTCCAGAACAGATCCTCCTCGGCATCGAAGTAGAAGTAGCCGTCCTTATCATACGTCCCCTCGTTAATCGCTCTGTAGAAAGACCACTCAAGCTCCTTAGGAAACTCGTCATGCCAGGAGAACGCGCCGGCCTTTCCCAGATCCACACCAGTCTCAGGGTCCTCCATGAGTACGGCCGGACACCCAACAGGATGCGCTGTGCACGCCTGTCTCCAAGCAGGATCGGTTTTGAACCACTTCACGTAGAATGCTAGTCCGAGATTTGCCTTGGACGGATCCACACCAGCTGCAATGTAAGCGTCAATAGCTTCGAGTGAGTTTTTGATACCTGTGTGATGCTTTGTAACGTTATCGCGGCGGTTCATCAGGTCGTAGGTCATGATGTTTAGAAAGTCGACGGAGGCCATGATGGATGGAATATGGGCAGACGTGAACGCTAGCATGTCGCGAGGGAGGCCGGGAACCGCGGCCGAGATGAGTTTTGAAGGACCAAGAGCGGTGCGTAGGGCGGATAAGAGGAGAGGATAACTGGTGAGTTCCCAGGTGTGGGCGGAATTGGGACTGCGTTTGTAGTCATCTCCATTTCCTCCGGGGTACTCCCAGTCGATATCGACGCCTGTGAGGATATCAGCCGCTGTACATAGCTAACCGTATAAGAGAATACACGGACCATCTGCACCAGTTTTCTCGACCATTTTCCTCACTCCCTTGGCCCATTGTTGGCGTCGGCTTTCACTTCGCGCTGCCTCTCTAAATCCGTCCTCGTTACCCCAACCTCCGATCGCGACCATGATTTTGGTGTCTTTCGCAAACTTTTCTCTTGTCTCTTTCACACTCGTAAAAAGCGGCCACTCATCTCGGTCTGGCTCATTGAATATCTCAGAACGCATAAAAGCCATGGCAACATGCGTAACGGCATTGACAAATGGGGGAGGCGGGACAACCTGGTGTTGACTGGAGGTTGTATTAGCATGAAAGTTGCGAGCACTAAGATCATGTTTCTAAACCGACCCTGTCAGGTACATGATGTATCGTGGAACATCTTCTGCGGTCTCAATAGCGAAAACTGATGCAATCAGGGTGCAGCCGAGCAGGCAAGAGTAAAAGCGCGTCATGGTAGGGAAATACAATGTATCGCAAGTCCTAGACTAAGCAGCCATAAACAATTCGTATTGATTGAGAGGAAGTTGGGGATGAGAAGAGAAGTTGTGCCCCAAGTAAATGCGGAATTACGGTAGGTCAAGCTTCCCCGCCTTTCCCAAAGCGAGAACGCTGGCTCTATAACCAACCCCTGCGCACTCACTGCATCCCCCCACGGTGCCAGCGCTTTGAACCATGGAAATATCAATGAATGACGTTGAGCTGACCACGCAGATCAATATGATGGGAATGATTTACAACTCCGCGAAAGAGGTCGTGGTGTGGCTAGGAATGTGACCTGCAATACTGGGTCTAGGTATAGAAGCAGTGCTTACGCCGAACACAGGTACCGAAAAGTCTATACGACAGATCCAGAATCCTGGGTATGCGCACAGAGAATTTCAGACAAGGAAGGCCCTCGTAACAACGCGTCTTCTCCAGAGTCGTTGGTTCCAAAGATTGTGGATAATCCAGGAGGCATGCCTGGCTCAAAACCTCATCTTCTTCTTCGAAAAATACGACTTGTTACCTGGCAATATCCATGAATTTCTTGCTGATATCGGCTGCGAGGCTGATACAGTTGGGCGCTGCAGACTTGAAATAATCATACATGCGATGACTGCTGGCTTCGTCGATCGATTGGGCCACATCTGAACACGCTCATACATGGCCTAATATTGTGGGTCGATACATAATTGGACAGAGCCTCTGATCTTAGTAAAGCTGAGTATGAAAGATTCAACGCCTCTTACCGGAAACTGAGGTCGCTGCATGAATGCCAACAGCGGCCGACGCCGGGTCATCGAAGAACTGCAGATAGCAATGTGACCCTACAACAATTCATGGATGAACTCCGTCCTGCAACAGTGAGGTGCCTATTTGCGACGCATAGCGGATCGATTGGATTGGGACCTGTCAGAATGGGAAGAAACAGCACTATCGCCCTTGGGAAAGGTGGCACTGTATCCTATCTTTTCTTGGATTGCAATGATGACATTCACGATTTAGCCGAAAAAGAGAGGAGCAATGCAGATAAAATGGAACGATGGGCTCCGAATGTATTTAAAAGTGCTCATGGGAAGTCCATCAAGGAATTGGAGAAGAAGAAAGGCGGCCGTGAGGGCTAGGTGCTCGTCGGTGAAGCTTACCTGTATGGTGTCATGTTCTGTGAGGCTATAGGTGAGGATGCAACGTTCGAAGAGATGAGAATTACAAAGAGTCGCAGTATCCCGGTGATTTGTTATCTGTATTCTCAGACAGATCTTGCGATACCTATGCTTTATGTGCTTCCGCCGGCTAAAGTTGCCCCTTCTTTCCGTTATCGATACGCTCTTGTCTTCCTTTCCGAACTAGACTCGTGCCTCATCGAACGACCATGGCCACCCGCACGCACTGTTTGTACAGCCTAGCAAAGACGCCTGCTCACCGCACACAATGGCGACGGATATGGATACAGCGCCGATTATACTCGTGCGAAACGCCCGAAGATTCCAGCAACCACAAACCAAAGCCCCAGTCGACGGATCCAGAAGACGCAACATGGTTCCAAACCCTCCGCAGCGAGATGCTTAATCGTGAACTACCGCTAGAGCGCGATGCCATCGAAGCCCAAGCTGTGAAGAAGCTGGATAGCACGTTATTCTCGTTCTTTCCGAAAGGATGGCAAGCGTCGTCGACCGAGCCCCAACGTACACGGCAGACAGCAAATGCGGCGATGCCTCATGCCATTGGCGAGCACCTCATCTTCTGTAATCCGGCTCTTTCCGACGATAAACTATTGCCCGATGGCACCGATCAGCTACACAGCCCCGGCGGCTCCTTCGTACGCCGTATGTGGGCGGGTGGAGCTGTCAGGGTGAACAAGAACCTCTACTTCGACGAGAATGCTGGCTGGGCCTTGCATAAACATATCTTGTGCTTTGAGCGTATAAAGGACGTGCGGCTACGAGGGCAGGGTGAGAAGGAGAAGATATTTATCACGATCGAGCGCAAGTTCGCAAGATACGACCCTGTCTTCCAAGCTATCCAAGATTCCAGGGATAAGCCTAGGCGGGGACCTTCGCTGGCTGTAGCTCTCAAGGAGCAGATGCGAAACTGGAACCAAGCATTTGTGACCGAGGATCGCAATATAGTCTTCATGCGTGAGCGTTCCGCTGAGGAGCTTGAGGACATCAAGGCTGGCAACATGGCGCCTGTCAAATACCTCCAGCGTTGGTAGTCCCTTTGATCCACTTCAAAACGCTTACTGACTGATGCAGCACTTGGGGAACCCGACTTCTCTCATACGCTGACCCCCACGAGCACACTGCTTGCTCGGTTTTCGTCCCTCACATTCAATGCGCACCTCATTCATCTCGATCGAGAGTTCGCTCGAAACGTCGAAGGTCATCGGAACCTCCTTGTACACGGCCCATTGACCCAAACTCTCCTGCTCAAGTTCATTGGTACTCACTTGAAGTTGATCCCAGAGGGTCCGCACATTGTGGAAGCTATTGAGTACAAAAACCTTGCGCCTCTATACTGTGGTGAAAAGTTGCGTTTATGCGCGAAAGAAAAGATTGCAGCGCGCATGGACGATGCTCGGATGTACGATGTCTGGATCGAAGGCCCGACAGGTGGAATGGCTGTGAAAGGCCTTGTGCGTACTGTGCGGCGGCCAACCCATATCAGGTCAAACCGTAGCACGTCGTCAACGCGAATTCGGAATGTGCCCTCAGACCAGGCTGCAGCCATGGACAAGCCACGACAGTCGAAGAGCGAGAAATCGAATGGTACGAAGCACTACATTAGCCGCAAAGTCCGTAAATTGGCCGTTGAACTTGAATCTGACACTATAGATAGAACACCGCCAACCACCGGCGCAAGAGTCGGCATAGTGCCAATCCGCCGCCACATCGCTTCACCTGAACGGAAGTTCACGATTCCTGAAGACACCGCTCTGACCGTGTTATCGCCCTTACCCACTCTCCCTCCACTTCCTAAGCAACCACAGCCCCTTTTCGCTGAATCAGTACGGCTTCGAAAATGCCTACGAGCTCTCCGTCTACAAGCTAGGCGGAAACATCCAAACGCTAAACCCCAATTTCTCCGCCGCTGGCTCCAACAGGTTCGCGAACACTCTCCGAACCCCACCGACTCCCCTCATCCAGGACCCCTCATGCGCGCCGTTGATATGCCCATACCCATGAGGGTACGCATGAAGCCTGCCGATCGAAATATCTTGCGACGAAGGATGCGCTTGCGTGCGCCCCGACTCGCCTTCAAGCCGATATCTGTCGTTCGTTCCAACTTAGCCGCCGAAGAACCTGCATTCGAGAGATTGAGAGTGCGCTGCGTGGCTCCTCGACCTGATATTAGGTATAGGCTTGTTGGGGAGACCCGTGAGGCTCACAATGCTCGAAAGTGGATCAGGAGTAGAGCTGCAAAGAAGGTTGCGCGCACGCAGGACTGGTCACGATCGGGTGCATAACGTGTTGTGTGGGCTGTGTTATGGGTATAGAGACCAGTCCGTATTGGAAAGGGTTGATCACTGCAAGATGGTGTATAGAACATAATGCAACGATACCAACAACATCCTAATGAGCTTACGATATGTATTACGGGAGCAGATTGATTCAAGTTCAATAGAATTGGTGGCTAAACAGCCCCGTAACTAAGATGGACATGAGCAGTAGACATCAAGTAGGCGGCATGTCAGAAATTGATTCATTCCAGTCACTGTGGACTACATGCCCATGAACGCCATGCAATTCATATCCGCTTTTCCATGATGCCAGCCAGGTATAAGTATTGCCCAGATCCGTCATATTCATCCACATACGCCCAATCTCACAAACTTCGCTTAAACGATAGCGAGCTTGGTGGCAGCGATGTCGAGGGCATCAACATCGGCAGTCAACCGCGCGAAAGCCTTCTTGGAGCCGTCTGGTCGGATGAGGGTGTTGATCTTGACGCAGGAGACGTCGTACTGCTTCTTGAGAGCGGCGGCGATCTGGCGCTTGTTGGCCTTGACGTCGACGATGAAGACGAGGGTGTTGTTCTCCTCGATCTTCTTCATGGCGGACTCTGTGTTGAGCGGGTGGATGAGGATCTTGCCAGCATCGAGGCGGGGCTGGTGAGGAATCGACTTGCGGGGGTACTTGGGCGAGCGGCTGTCCGACGGTTAGCCAGTTCATTCATGCCCATGGAGGAAGGAGTCATTGTGACAGTGTACATACGAGAGCTCGAGGGTCTTGGGGCGGTGGAAGCTGGTGCTCTTGCGCACCTTGCGGACCTTGTGCGAGTTGACCTTTACATCTCGTTAGAATTGCCGCCCATGGCACGAGAAGTAAAAGCCGCCAGCGACGGGATGCTGGCACGCCTTGTAGGTCTAACTTACTCCCTTGAGAGCAGCTTTGGCAGCGGCGTTAGCCTGCTTGCTGGGCTTGGAAGCTGCGACTCGTTAGCAGAGGCCTTCAATGCAGTTGTAGCGAATAGACAGGATGTTACGATCGAGCACCGCCGTGGCAGACGATTTCGCGTGGTGGGAGTTGGCCGCGAGTATTGCTGATCGCTTCGCTGTGACTGGAAGATTGTTGCGTACCCTTGGTTGCCTTGGGAGCCATTGCGACGGATGTGCTGTGTGTTAGTGACGGTCGTGAGAAGAAAGTCCTTCGTGATTTTCGCGACAGTCAAAAATCGCACGATGCCGCAGGTGCGAATAGCCTAAGCGAGCTTACGTTATGTGACGCTAGTGGTGTAGCGCCGAAACGCGGACCTCTCCGCATTAGCTCGTCGGCGAACATTTCTGCAACCCGACAGAACACCATGTGACTTTCGTCAATCAACACGAAGTCATGGCGATCAAGAAGCGTCAAAAGACGCTCTCCCATGGGCGTCCACCCATCAGCAAGCCGAAAGAGCGCATGACCTCCCAGCGCTCTCGAACCATCATCCGGACTCATCATCGCCTGCACAAGGAGCATGCATCTGCTGTAAAGAATGGTGATACGAAACTTGCAGCAAGTGTTGCCAAAGCCATCGAAGAAAATGGGGGTCTCGAAGTGTATCAAGCCGCCAGCAAACAAGGCCAGTCCAAGGATCGCGGCGGAGACTCGAGTAAGGTGCTTGTCGATTGGCTGCGAGGTGCAAATATCCTTGAACGTCCTAAGGGAAAATCAGATGGAGATGATGGGGGATCAGTACTTCAGTGCTTGGAAGTTGGGGCGCTCTCGACCAATAACGAGATATCCAAGTACCCCAAAAGGATCGAAATGACGCGAATCGACCTGAACAGCCAGGGCGCCGGTATCAAGAAGCAGAACTTCATGGAACGTCCACTTCCAACCTCAGCAAGTGAAAGATTTGACATCATATCTCTTTCTTTGGTTCTGAACTACGTACCAGACCCAAGTCAACGAGGCGAAATGCTGAAGCGGATAACGAAGTTTTTGCGTCATACCGACACGAATCAGAAGATCAACGCCTCCGTCCTTCCAGCTTTGTTTCTGGTCCTGCCGTTGCCTTGTGTGGAGAACTCGCGCTATCTGGACGAACCATTACTGCTTCGTATCATGACAAATCTTGGCTTCAAGTTAACAACCGAGAAGAAGACGCCAAAACTCTGCTACTATCTGTTCAGTCTGACAGGTACCAGCAACTCTGCCAAGACCACGAAGAAGAAAGTGAGAGATGGACCAGCCATGAACAACTTCTGCGTTATCGTCGATTGAGAACTCAAAGGAATGGGTATTCTATCTACATATCCTCCTAAGCCTGTGTTGCATGATCAGGGCATTATGCGGTCCAAGTCTATCTCCACCATACACGAACCAGAAATCTGCATGTCTTATATGCATCTACAACGAGCTTCATCGACTGTAATCCTTAGAAGCAAAAGATCTCATCCGCCATCTTCCCGACTGCTCCAGGCTCCTTGAAGCCTAAATCTACCAGCCCCTTCTTCGCAGCCCCTATCATTCCTGGCGGACCACAAAGCATGATTCTGGTATCCGGGCCCACCGTGGGCAGTCGCTCCTTCATGACATCGCGTGTAACGAAGCCGCTTCCACCCGTCCACCCTGGCGGTGGGGTGTCCAGCATGAACCACACTTTGAAATTCTTAGGATACCGCCGCGCAAAAGTCTCGAGCTCTGAGCGCAGGAGAATATCATCTTCGGTGCGGTTCGCATAAACAAGTGAAATCGATGTTGTATCGCGTGGGTCCTCGCAAATGGAGCGGATTAGGGCGTACATGGGCGTGATTCCTGTGCCACCAGCAATCATACCAATGTTCTTGCAGTGCCCTGTGGTATACTTCATGGCACCCTTCGGTCCGCGGAACAGAACTTCATCTCCAACCTTCAGGTTCGCGAAATAATTTCCTGTGAGCGCGCCGTCGGGGTAGATCTTGATGACGAGCTCGAGCACGCCGGTGTCGATATTGTTAGAGGTTGGTGTATAAGAGCGCGTTACGGTCTTTCCGTTGATCGTGGCTTTGATGGCAACGTGTTGGCCAATAGGAAGACCGATGACATCCCTTGGGTCCGGAAGCGCAAAAGTGTACTTGAAAACATTCGGAGAGATCTTGGTGATCTTGGCTACCTTGAGCGGCTTGTATTCTTTTGCGTCGAGGAAGCCCCTTGCGAGGTGCGGGTTTGCAGGCGCTACGCGAGGTCGCGCTTTTCGATAGGGCGGGTAGCGTCCGAAACCTTCTTCGACATGGGTGAACTTTGCGAGTTCTTTGCCTACTACGGCGAAGGCAATGGCAGAGAGGCAGGTGGCGATGGCGAATCCTTTGAAAAAGGGGGATTGCGGGCTGCCTGATGATGCGCCACCAATTAACGCAAGAGAAGGCAGCTTGTCGATCGGTATCTGGGAGAATAGCTCGCGTTGTGAGGCGTAGTACGCGGGTGCTGCTACCGCCACCGAGGCAAGGATGGCTTTAAGCGCAGTCGATGAAGCGGAGGAAGTTTGCGTCTTGGTGGGTAGTGGACTTGATTGTTGCACAAGCTTCACGGCCTTGGTCTTGCGGGCTTTGTTGCTGTCTGCGGCGATTCCAACGAGGTATGAGTGCAAGATCTCGTCTGCATCTTCTGAGTGGCCAACGTCATCATAGCCTTCAGTCGCGTCCTTGCCTGCGAGATCGATGAGGACGTCAACGCCACCTGGATGATCCCGGACATATTCTGTCACATTGTAAACTGGGCCATTGGTTAGCATACGAATACAAGGACGGCATCGATTCAATAAAGCGGTACCTTTGCCATGTATAACTATCCACAAATCATCTCTTGTAGAGTGAGACGCAACCTCAGCGGTACTAAAAACGGTGGAATCTGACATTCTGGTATGTGCAACACAATAAACCCAGAGTAGAACGAGGAAGAACGTTACTTTTATCGTGAAGATTTTCCCGCAACTCAAAGGAGCTCCCAGAATCTGCTGCACGCCGCCACGTACCTCGGCATCTCAAGCCCTAAACAGCATATCAGTTTCGTACGAGCTTCGAACGAGCTTCGACAGCCTCAATCTCCTTTTCAGGGTGGGGCAAACTTCGCCGTTACGGCGCGATTTGCGCTGCAGGACCCACGTGTATGGCTGCTGTATGCGCGGCGCCAGGACCCAGATCAAAACGTCGACCAAGCTTTCCAGGGGCGCCCGAGTGCCGATAAATGGCGCTCTTACTACTGGCCGATTCCCGCAGAGCCGCACGGGAAGTCCCACAAAATATCGGGGCAACGACGGCGCGTCGGAGAAAACGTGTACCTCGGCATCTTTGCTTTCTCACAGCGCATCATGTACCCAATCAAGATGATGCTGGTAGCACAAATTGATGAAAATCCTGACCCTGTTCGTTTGCGATGCCTCGGTTTCTTTTGTTGAGACGGCCGAGTTCAAGGTGCGTTATGACGGAGGAAGGCGGACGATCGCCACATATGTATAGGTCTGGCTGCGACTGGGTGCTTGGACTGAAACGTTCGCGATTCACCATTCATCCACAACATCACCGAACAATATGGAGTCTCAGCAATTTCATCTCCTAGGAGAATCGCCTGCATCTACACGGACAGTCACCTTCCACAAGGATGCCTCATTAGAGGATGTGAAGGATGTCATCGCCTCACATTTTGCGATCGTTGTTCCTGAAGGTACGATAAATAGAGACACTTTTCAAAACAATCGTTGACTGGTAAAAAGGAATCGCTTTCGAGCGGAACGGCATTGCAGTAACAGAAGTTTCAGACATTCTGTCGTCAGAAGATGCGATCACTATCACCATCGATGGACATGCCGTGCGGGATGCCCCAGGACCAAAAGGACTCCCTTACGTTGGAAACTTTTTCGAAGTGTTTCCCGACCACCTAGGAAACCACCAGCGTCTCTTCGAAAAGTACGGCCCGCTATTCAAGACGACCAATATGGGCCGAACGGTGTGGCACAGCAACGATCCAGATATTGCGGCTGCCGCCTTCGCCGAGTCGGACTTCTTCACCAAGAAGATCAACGAGAGCCACCCGCTCTTTGGTATCAAACAACCACAGGCTGGCGTGTTTCTGGGTGACACTGACACTCCCGAGTGGCGCGTTACACACAAGTTCCTCCCTCCGGCGCTGGGACCGAAGGCAGTGAGACATTATGCGCCGACCATGCAGAAGACTATTGAGGAGGCCTACAAAGTATTCGATCATTTTGACGAGCAAGGACAGTCGTTCAACGCGTACATTTACATGTTGAAGCTTGGATCTCAGGCGGTGGCAAAACTCACTCTCGGCGTTGACCTGGAGCACTTCTCATCGCCAAATGCGCCTGTGCATGAGATTGTACGACTGATTGCTGAGACCTTAACCCTGAACAAGAAGGTCACTTCCTGGGGCAGCTGGTATGCTTCGTTGCCCTTCGGCGACCCTGCAGCGCTCAAGAGCAAGCAACATCGCATGGAACAAATCATTATCAAGGCTGTTGAGGATGCTGAGCGGGGTGGCACCTCCGACCTTCCCCTGCAAGACGCCGCTCTCACCGCAAAGAACATGGTCGATTACGCACTTCGAGCAACAGATAACAAGGGCGAGAAGCTGCCCCTCACATCCATGGCGCATGCGCTTGTCGTCGCCACTGGTGCCGGCTTCACCACTACCTCCTCACTTCTGTCATGGCTTCTCTACGGCATCGTCACATACCCTGGCGTCCAAGAAAAGCTTCTCCAAGAACTCGTCGACAATGATTTTACCGATGACATGGAGCTCACCTCTGACTTCACAGACAAGCTCACCTACCTCGACCGTTTCATCAAGGAGACTCAGCGCAGACACAACCCCTCCTTCCAACCTGGCCGCACTGCAAAGGCTGACCTCATCCTTCCAGGCGGTTACAAGCTGCCCAAGGACTCTGTCATCATCCCAGCGCTTCACCACATCCACAACAACCCTGCACTATGGGACAACCCAGCCAAATTCGACCCTGAGCGATGGGAGACGCCCGAAGTCAAGAACAGGCACAAGGCAGCGTACATTCCGTTTGCGGCGGGTCCGCGCATGTGCATCGGGTTCAATTTTGCGCTACAGGAGGTCAAGATCTTCCTGCCCAAGCTCATTTGGCGGTATCACTTCACCAAAGATGGAGATGAGACTATTGAGTACGATCCTATGTTCCAGCTGATCCGTCCGAACAACCTGTATGTCCGAGCAGAGAGGAGAGGTAAGTGGCCACCGAAGACGGAAAAGGCGGATTCGGTCATTGATGCGGCAATCACGGGACAGCCTTAGTGGGCTGTAATGTACGCATGTGATGCATTGTTTGTGGAGTTTGGTATAGGATGGAGGCTAGAGCATTTAATACCCTAGATAGCAATATGATTCTCAAAGAAATCTCCTCGCTTCGAGTTCGTGATCTGGCTCGGAACCTATCCGTTCGTAGTTGCTACTCACGCTTTGATTAAGTGCCTCTAAAACTCCATGCCTGTTTTGGAGAAGGTCACTGTGTCTGTGGATGACAAGGTTTCCGCGATGGTCACTTCCTCTAGCTACATGAAACTCATCAAGGTGGTGTGATGCTTTTCAACATGTGTATAGCAACGGATACTAAGCATAATGTTGGCATCTCCCCTGTGTATTTCAGTCGATCCCTGCGTGGAGAAAGCGAAAGCGAGGTAGAGCTGCAATCATCCGTTGAACAGCCGGGGCCTTCTCCACCGCACCAAGAGGCATGCAGATTCTCACGGCGTCTCGCTGAATACACCACCCAACTTTGCTTGGAATCCATGAAATATCCTCACAAGGGTAGCCGTATTTTTATGCCTTTCAATAAACATATGGGGATTGTTGTCGCCTTAGTGAGTTCGTTCGACGTTGTCTGTGCATAATTGATAGCGCAAACAATCTATCGTCGCGCATGCATCTCCAGTCGACTTGCGCAGGAAAAGGTGGATATCAGGCTATTTTTCTGGCAGTCAACCAAGGGCATTGGAGCGTTGCGCACCGTGACAGCCGGTTTCTCACCAGACCATCCGACTTCGCCTGCTCTGGGCTCACTTCTCATCAACCGCGGGCTTATGTAAACGCCACCCGAGGATCCTACTGTTCCGACGGTGGCAGTCTTCCCTCGCCCGGGAACGGCAATAATCGGCATATTTATCGTCCAGATACCAAGCATTAATCTTATCGATCGTATCTATCGTGGTTTTACTTGGAATCTGGATGCGAAACTACGATCACACCGCTGGACCCTGCACCCGGACCAAAATCATGACTCGTATCGTGATTCGATCCGATTGCTTTATGCAGCGTCCAGGGTACCTTGCCCCTTAGAATCAACCGGATCTATACCTGACAGCTTTGGGCCGGCAGAAAACGATGTAAATGGTCTGGACCTCTGTCCGTGCAAGCGGATTGTAGCAGACAAAATACAGCGACTTCAATGTGCAAAAGGTATCGTCATTAAACCACTGCAGCACTTCACTCTGTACGAGTTCAACTTTGCAAAAGTCCAGGCGTAAGTTTTACGTACATGGGGTCACGCGATGAATCCTCACATCTATCGTGACTAGTTGAGGCCCCATGCGATGGTGACGACATCTTTGCGTTTTGGAGATTGTCCCGATTCTGAAGAAGAAGCGCTCTAAAACATAGTTTCTCTTTTCGCCACGCTCTCAATCGATTCTGAATGCTTCTGCGAATAGCAGAAATGCTGCCGATCAATGCATCGCGGTGAACTAAGGCCAAGATCTGGAAGGAAAGAGATGCATAATCTGCACCGCTTTGCACTAATCACTGCTCGTGCATGGGCAGATCTCGGTCTCTTCCGGTGGTGTAGTAAATAGCACATCTCGTTCATCCGTTCCCCGCTCCCCGCATCCTTGATTACACAACGTTCAGGCCTTGCAATAACATAACCGAAAACCAAAATTCATCGCCAAGCACCTTGAAACCTTGTCCTTGCGCCCAGTAGGCAGGCGATGTATGCTAGCCAATCAAAGGGAAATAGTACCTGCAAGTATCGGAAGCTAAACGCAAGTAGCGCGAGGTGACTTGCGTTTGTGAGATGGCGCAAGCTGCAAGTTTCCTGTTAGTCACAGCTGTCAAGCTGGATAAATCCAGTCGAGGAACGATCCCCAACGCCACGCTCGCTTTACGCCGCATCGGCCCATCCGAAACTGGCGCCATCACAGGGTACAAGGTTTTGACTACTGCATGTGTTTGTTTGACATATCACGCTGATTGCTTGTTATTCGTCGGACTGGTGAAAATGGAGTCGCTTCTCGCATATACCACCAGGGCTTTTTCCAGGATCTCGCGCATTTTACTACATGAGAGACGGAAGGAAGAGTAAGGTTGCAACCGAGAGTTTGGGGATTTCCCATGCGACCCTCGTTCACCCGCAGTGTCCTAACGGACCGGGGCGACGAACCTTGAATGCCATGGTCTGGGGAAGAGGGAACGTCTTCGACATAAATATGTGTGCACGGTTGCTGCTCCCTTGAGATCGGACCGATGAGGTGCTTTGCGTCGCTATGTCTTTCAGCGCAGCGCCAGTGATTACTCCAGAATACTTGGCGGCCGACAAGGGTTCCCAAATCCTTACCATAATCATTGTCTTTCCTACTTTGGCTCTTTTGATCGTGGGATTTAGATTGTACACACGGTGTGTGGTAGTGCGCAATCCATCGTACGAGGACTTGGCCATTGTATTAGCATTGGTATGCCAAAAACCTGTTCTTCAAACTCCTCCTAGATCTATATGGTTGACATTTCCTAGATCTTTAGTATTGCTACATCAATATGTCAAGGCTACCGTACGTTTCTCGTCCTGATGATCTGCCGGTATTCTAATTGCGGACAGAGGTCAAGTATGGCATGGGCAGGCACATCCAAGCTTTAACTTTGGAGGATGGTATCAAATCCTTAAAGGTAAGACTCTGCTAAACGTATGGGAAAAGCACGAGTCATAATTTAGCAACGATGTAGGCCCTCTTCGCCAGCATAATGATGTACAACTTTGGCTTGACGTTTACCAAAGCCTCGATCGTACTACAGTACATGCGCATCTCCATCGATCAAAACGTACGCAACGCCTGCTGGGTAGCGATGGGTGTCGTTGTTGCCTTGTGTGTTGAGGCCTTCTTCGCCAACGTATTCGCTTGCTCTCCGGTACCTAAGTTCTGGGATGATCGCATCCCAGGCAGGTGCATCAACAAGACAGCTATGTATTATGCCAACGCTGCCATCAGTGTTGTCACAGACGTTGCGCTTGTCATACTTCCTATCTTTATAATAAGGAAGCTGCAGCTGCGCAGACGGGAGAAGTACACGCTGGCGTTCATCCTTGGGTTGGGAGGCTTGTAAGTTCATGCAGGACGAGATATGAGTTCGAAGCTAATCATATAACAGTGCCAGTATAGCCTCTCTCCTACGCATTCACACCCTACAGAAGCTCGAAACCACCACGGACATCTCGTGGGACAATCCAGGCACAGCGACATGGTCCGTTATCGAGATGAACCTAGGCATCATCTGCGCATCATTACCTACTCTTCGCGCATTCGTCATCCAGCATTTCCCACGGGTGTTCCGATCGAGCGGGGGCTCTACACCGAATGCAAAGAGCGGGTATAAAGCGCGCGGTGGAAGTGGCGGAACTGCGGAGAGCGATGAGAGCGAACTCGTGCACATACCTGCCGGGAGACGATCTGCTGCTAACAATGTTAGTGATCCTTTTGCAGATGCGGAAAAAGGGAACGGTACGTTTTATGCAAGCGATTCGGATCAGGGAGATATGAGGAGCGAGTCTGGGAGAGCGTGAAGCTCCCTCCATGGGTCCTGAATTCGGACATTGTACATGCGATTGCGTCTGGGTAGATGCGTAGTCATGCTAGGTCAAACAATATATCATATTGCTACCAGCTCCAGCGACCTGCACCGGTAGAGATACGTGACAAAGGTAAAGAATGTAAAGGAACGAAACCAAACCTCAATGTTTTCCGACTATGAACCATGAATATCCCTCACCTGTACCAAGGTAAAGACTGCTGAATCCTCAAAATAAACCGAAAGCAAGTCGAAGTAGGAAAAGATTGTAAATATGCAAACCCCCACATGCTGCTATCGAATGGGACGTAGCCCTCGATAGTGCATGCAAGCCCTTCCATTCAAACCAGAGACTTGGTAAGCTTACACCCAAGCATCGTCGCCGGTCTTCTTCTCCCCGCTCCTATCCTGGCTCGCTTGGTGGACTTCGCAAACAACGTGGACTCCTGCGATCTCATCGGCCTTCTCGCCAGTGTATTTTTCGGCAGCCCATGCTCGCGCGATAAAAGCAGAGGGATTCGACGGCGTTTTGTCAAGAACAGGGAGACGGTCAGTATCGGTTGACATCTTATTCTGGATCGGGAGAATGGATTGATTGGTAGTACGACGGTTCAAGTTGCGACTGAAGATTGACAGCGTGTTGTTGGGCGGTTTGACCTGCTGCTGCTGTACAGTCACTAACTCCGGATTCGTGAACACAGAATGAACGACGGATCCGGTGAAAGATTCATTGCGACTTGGTTCAGAAACAGAGTCGTTCCTGCTGATCCAACTCTTCGCCTTGGTTGACCAACTGGAAGTCCACCGCTTGACGAACGTGACACCTGTCGGGGTTTGAACACCACTGCTCTCGCTCATGATGTAAAGACTGGGGAAGAGCTTGCCAAATCCGACAGAGGTGAGAATTCCTTTGTATGTATTGTGTGCATCTGTGCCGGTGCCGAAGAGTATGAAAGCGATGTATCCGGCGGCCACCTCACCCCAGCGATCCCAACGTACTACGCCGTTTGCAGGTACTTTGGTGACTGAGTTCCAATTGGGCCCATGGACACGCGACCAGCTGTAATCATCGACAATAGTGTCGGCGAGCTGGTAGAGGATGAAGAAGGAATATGGGACCAATATGATCGAGACATATAGAGCCATGAGAAAAAGTCGTACAAAGCGGGACTTGGTGGTGTTGCGGGCTGCGATTAGGTTGTGGAACTCGCGGCGATAGTGGAAAAGACGGAAGCCCAGTAAGCCTATAATGAAACTGTTAGACATGGTTGAGACCAGATCAGAATTGAGAAGAAGGAGTACTTACCCGAGTAGAAAGCTGCCACAAGAGTTGTGATGCAGCCCCAGACCCACACAATTGCGAGACTTGGCCAGCTGGAATCATAGACCGCTACGCAACCCGAGATCCCGAAGATGTAGTAACGAAACGGCTGGACAATGTAGTACGTGACCATGAGAATGATCGGGTACACCCAGCAGAAGCCGATCTCGAGAGCCTTCTCAATGAGTACACTCCGCTTGCTGGGAGCGACTGTGATATTTCGCGTATCCATGACATTGGCAAGGCGGCGCGCGATGATGGCAGTGCACGCTGCAAGGGCCACAGAAGCGCCGACTTGAACGCGAACTTCAATGTCACAAAGGCCAGAACCGTTATACCATTCCTCCATGTTGTCTCGAGGCCATATGAGCGGATTGATAGCGTTGAAGAAGTTAAGGAGTATGATCCAGAAGATGAGTGAGCCTGCGGCGATATTGCGTTGTGAAAGGTGCCAGACCATAGGGGAGATGCAGAGGATCCATGATGGGAAAGCAAGGACTGGAAGCCACACAGCTTGTGGGTACAGCGGGAAGTGGCCCTCTGCCATGTTGGAGGACATGATGGACGAGGACAAAACGAGGAGACAGTGGGCCAAAGCTTAGGATGGTGGAGTCGGAAATGCTGGCTGTTTTGAGGCGTGTCTTGGCCTATGGCATGGATATGGCACTAGAGAGTCGTATCTTTGTTCCCAGATGATGTATGAACCGTGGTATGCTTCGAAAGTGAGGGTTCGACACGTGAAAGTGGTAGACAGAGAAGATGAAGGAGACGATAAGGAGACGAAAGGGGTCGTTGGATTTAGAAATCTAGAAGTAAGGAGCGACGTGGAGTACGCATGAAGAGTACTCTATGGATGGAACAAATCAGTGTCAATAGATTTCAGCTCTCAATAAGCACTTAATAGCGAGTGGTCCCCCTTTCCGTCGTCACAGTCAGTGAAGCCATCCGAGGTGAGGGAGAGACAGTAGCACTCGCCATATTTGCCTGGAGCTTCTAAAAGCGAGGTTACTGATATGTGAGGTCAATAAGGCCCGCTTATTCACTCGCTGTGAGTGCGCGGCAGAGCGCGGCAGTGAAACGTGGGCTATTACCGTATTTGGGTCTGAATAGGAAAGTTGCCTAAATCGCAACTTGTCAATAGGAAAACGAAAGTAATCCTATTAAACATGTCTCTGATCGGGGGATTAAGCTCATCAGGCTCAGAGTTCGGTTTGGCCAGGACCGAGGTGAATTTGCTGCCCTACCCGTGTGAAGCGTGGCAGCCGCCTCGGCCGTGTACACAATTTGATGAACCTCGCAATAGCATCCAATGGACTCAATTAGCCCACCTAAGTACTCCAGCAGGACTATTGAGGCGAGAATGGCGCCCCCGCTCCTCAATCACCCCAGGCATGACCCTGTGATCTTACAATTGCAGGCGCTGCAAGTGACATTTGTTAGCTCAATATGATGGATGAGATCGCCACAGAAATAGCGGAGGTACTGCTTCCAGCCCGACAACAACGGCTGATATGTGTAGTTGGGATGTCGAAACGTTCGTGACTGTTGCGAATTGAAGTGGTATACAATTGTCCCAAAGGGGTTTGGTGACGTAACTGGAGGCGCGCTTGGCAGCAGCATTCCATCTATCCCGCCTTTCCGAGGGTGTAGCGCGGCGCACACGTTCAGCTACGTACTCATGATGGTCTATCATCGACGAGATCGTTGCTGGAGCTTCTCAGACTCCCCGACACTTCTGCCGGCCTAGTGCTCGGCCGATATTGCGCGCTGAACACTCTCGCTGGCTCGGTACGGAGAAGCCGCCTCGACGGGTCTCAACATGGCGGAAGCACCTGCCGAGCAGATACACCCTCTCCTGCGCCAGAGGATGTTGAATCGCGCAGCAACCTTCTCAGAAGGTGCACAAGCTCCACCCGCGCCTCGCCGACGTAGCTCCATCCTCTCACAGTACTCAGACACGCGACACTCTTTCCGCTCCTCCACCGACGACCTCCTACAGTCTCTGAGCAAGAATGATATGGAAAAGCTGACTACCACGGATGAGGTCTCGCTGTGGCATTCTGCACCGCTTGCTTTCGCCATTGTCCCCGCCTTTGCTGGTCTCATCTTCCAGAACGGTGGTGCCATTGTTACAGACGTACTGTTGCTGGGATTTGGGACGCTGTTCCTCAATTTGTGTGTGAGGACGCCATGGTATGTGCACGGTGCGCTATACAGGGCAATCGCTGATCGTTATCGTTGCAGGGAATGGTACCATGCCGCACAGCACACGCAGTACTTTGACTCCGACGAGCCCGAACGCGACGAGATAATCCTGGAGGAAGATGAAATTAACGGAGAGCCTATAAAAGACGAAGTGCAAGCATCCAGCCCCGCCGCTGCGGCACCACTAGACCACAAGGATCAAGCGGACCATGGCAATGCACCACCGTCAAAAGCGCAGGAGGAAGCACACATGGAACTCAGGAACAACGAGATGCTCGCCCTATTCACTTGCTTCATCGGCCCCTTACTCGGCGCCTACTTGTTGCACGCAATCCGCTCACAGCTCACTCGCCCAGCCGAGGGCCTTGTATCCAACTACAACCTCACCATCTTTGTGATGGGCGCGGAGCTTCGTCCTATCCACCATGTCATCAAGATGGTGAAAGCACGAATGCTACACCTACAGCGTGTCGTCCGCTCAGACAACAATTTCGAATACAGCAGGGCAGATATTCAAGACATCTCCACTCGTCTTGCCAATCTGGAAGCGAGAGCGACCGACTCCCCACAAAATACCGATATCGAGAGCCTGAAAATCGGAGCTACAGTGAGACAAGGAATGCAACCCCAACTCGACGCTCTAAACCGTGCGGTACGAAGATATGAAAAACGTCAGGCCGCACAGTCCATGCAGATCGAGGCACGCTTCCAGGAGCTGGATGCCCGGAATAGGGATGCGTTAGCTTTAGCTGCAGCGGCTGCTCGTACGGGACAGAGACCGGGTATGGGGACTATGTTATTCACGTGGGTTGCCAACCTCTTCTCCCTATATATTCAGACAATCTGGTCGGTGGCTACCTACCCTTATAGAACTGCAGTAGGGGTCGCTGCCCAGATCAGTAACCTCGTTACGGGTTCAGATCGTCAGCCGAGAAAGCAGATGAAAGGACAGAGTAATGTGAGTCAATATGCCCCGGTGTCGACGTCCAGGGTGCAGTCGAGAAGCGGCAGATAACGTTCTTGTACATCTAGATACCGAATACACCTAGTTCTAACATGCATTTGTGTTGCTGTATTCGTTTTGAAGTGTTTCTCAGTCTCAAATATGATTGTGTACCGATGTCGAACTAATTGACGAGGCCCACTCCATGCGAACTACACACAGCCATCCAACTATTGCAAACATTCCCCAGAACGTGACAACACTGTTCACATTGAGCCACGGACATCTACGTTGAAGCTCTAGACATGATCGCGCGTGTTTGAGGTACAACGTTGGAACAAAGGACTCTCACGCACTAAGCTCAGTCACGCGACAGCTCCTCAGCAATGCGCGCATGGTGACGACAAGCGTCGTGCGGGGTAAGCTCAGCTCGAGGAACGATGAGCAGTCACTGAAACACATCACAGGCAGCATAAGGCAAAAGGGTTGTCGTGAAGCATGTCTGATTCATTTTCGTATCGTGACGGATGTCCACATGGCAGATGCACCATTCAAAGGCAAGCTCGAAAGCGAGCCGGTGTTAGAGCGTACACCTGAGGCAGTTCAAATAAACTCCCAAAGTCCTCAACAGGCGATTGACCAGCTTCCCATGTAATCCCTCAATCCAGCACAAACGCAATCTGCCCGATTGACCAAGAAGTTGCTCGCGAGTCGACCGCATGACGTAGCCGGGATGGCGGGTGTTCCGGGTGCGGCTGGGAGATTGCTGGCTGAGAGTCGTTCATTGTTTGATGTTTGGCGATTGAAGTGACGGGAGCTGAGATCGAGGGGCGAGTAGTTTATTTGCTGCACATATTGTTAGTGACTGCTGCCGGGGGATTGTACGAAAGGTAACCTACGAGCGAGCCCTAGTCTTCCTCCTCTTACGCTTGAGACGTCGCACGCGCTTCTTCCTCCATTTGGCTCTCATCTTGTCGGCTAAGTGAACTTGAAGTGTCGTTAGTAGTTATCCTCGAGCGGGGTAACGGCAGCTCCAACAGCGACAATGAAGCTGCGTCGGTGCAATGTGCAACAAGCGAGCTCAATTGAGCTTCATGAAGCTGCAGCAGAGTAGTGATTGAAAGCTTACCTTAGTTTTGAGATGAGTGTCGTGGGTTGAGGAGAGAGGGGAGCTTGAAGCGAGCACAAAGACTATGTGCGCGAGCGGCATTCGCTTAATATGCGCTAAACCAATATAAGCCTACGCGCTTGGCGCCTTCCGGTACGTCACGCGCCGGCAGCGACATCCGACTATGCTTCAGCCCTATCACCACATTGAGCATGGTGACGTGGGAATGACAATGGCAGACGCTGTGGTGGGATTCTTTGAGATACGGATCGCTGGCGAGGATACCCCTGGTGAGTGCATCGTTCTCCAGACTCGTCCTTCTGCCATTCGACGCGTTCCTGACGCGTTCAGCAACCCAAGATCTTATCGACATACATGGAAATGAGCAGTTCTACCTCGGGAGAAATCCAGCTCTCTGGTGAGAGCAGTGATGACTCGGGGTGAATTGCTCAAATTCTAATATCTGATCAGCGAGCGACACTGGCCTGACCGCACCATTTCCAATAAGCACCTCCGCATCCATTGCATCTTATACGATGAGTTCGGCAATGGCGGAGTCCCACCACTAGTTTATGCGACCGACGTGTCAAGTAATGGGACCTTTCTTACGAAGTATAATGCAGCATACGCGAACTCGCGAGCCAGTCAATCCGTTCTGATGACTCGCAAGCACGGCGCATTCTTGCTCGACGACAGAGACGAGCTTCGCATTTCCGAATCAGTCATACTGGTCTATCATGATATGGAGCCCAACTCCAGTTTCTCACTGACTCCCACTCAGAAGGATGAGGTGCCAAGATTCGCGTTACGTTACTCGATTACCCGCCGCCTTCTTGGTAAAGGTGGGTTCGGGAAGGTCGTAGTTGCGATCCACCAGAAGTCACAGCGACAACTGGCTTGCAAAGTGATAAACTTGAAAGAGTTCTATCCAGAAGAAGTCATGCATGATCTGCGACTACCTACCTGCGAGGAGACCCAACCAAGTATTGCGTGTGGGTCCAGGAAGCGCTGGCCAAGCAAGGTCACTCGATGTTTTCGCGAATTTCGAATTCTCGAAGACCTATCCCACCCGAACATTATCAGCGTCGAAAAAGTCTTTTGGAGTCCGAACACCATCTACCTGTTCCAAGAATTGATCAGTGGAGGGGATCTGTTCTCGTATATGGAGCGGAAAGGGGGCGCATTGAACTCCATCGACGCGGCTGTAATTGTTCTCCAGATCCTCAAGGCGGTCAATTATCTGCATGATCGCGACATCGTTCATCGGGATCTCAAACCAGACAACATACTCCTGACGTATCCCGAAGACGGAGCACGTATCGTCATTACTGACTTCGGGAATGCCAGAGTTCTGCCAAAGTCGACTGGAAATGACCGCCGACGCATGTTTACCAAGACTGGAACCATCGAATATATTGCACCTGAAATCTATGAAATGAACAAGACATGCCCAAAGGGCTCGGGATACTCTAAAGCAGTAGATATGTGGTCGATCGGCGTGATCACAGCAAATCTACTGTCCAACGAAGCTCTCTTCGGTGCTCCTTGTTATGAGCCGGAACCTCACAATTACACTCTAAAGCTTGCGGCCAAATGCGATCTCAGCGTTATCGATAATGATGACCACCCTGCCTGGAGTAAAGTGAGCGACAAACCGAAAGAATTTGTCAAGAAACTGCTCATGCTACGGGAGACAGATCGAATGACGGTGAAGCAGGCGCTTGCGCATCGCTGGTTCACGAATCCTTATCTGGCCGAAGAGTTCGAAGCTTTGTACGCGCGCTCCATAAGGGATTGGCAGCCTAGACGTAAGGTTTCCAAGCTCGTCGAGCCTATTGCCGCGCCAACTCCGAACCTAGGACTAGGTTCCCAGATACATTCTCATTACTTTCAACAGCCCTCCCTTCCGGTTTCTCTCCGGGAGGTTCGAGAGCGCTTTACGGGATCGCAAGACTGGAACTTGAGCGTTGTATACCCTCCTTCTGAGGGAGAGTCTGTCAAAGCAGAGCACGAAGAGGCTCAGTACGAGGGACCCAGCCGTTACGAACAGTACTCCTTCGAGCTCGGCACACGATCTGGCCACGAGCACGCAAGTAAATCATTCAACAACTCGATGAATCAGCTTTCGCTCGATCCCGGTGAGTTGTCCGTGCATGTGCGCTACACGTGTGCTGCCTGCATATGCTTACTGAATGATGATGTCTAGACCCCTCAGCGTCAGGTATGTATTCCAATGATGTGTCAGCGTCCAACGGCCGCAAGCAACAAATCGACCCGGCTGAGCGTCGCGAGGATAACACAATGGATTCTCTCATCACTTTCGGAATAACGCTGCAGAACCACGATAGTCCTTTTGATTCGTCGGTGCCATACCCGCCCCTCACTCAACAACATTCGCCGAATACTGATGGGCAGAAGCAAAGCTTGTCTCCAAGTCCAAGCAGCTCTATCGTCTACGAGACTCCCATTCGCGACTCACACTTGCAAGGCCTAGCATGTTACCAGGAAATTTTCAGCAATGTAAATATGGTCGATCACCAAGACGAAGACGCTAATGTGCACAAACGGCGGAAGCTGACTCAAGCTCGCCTCTAGCTGGATTGATCTATCAGCTTTTGATCTCAGACTAATGTACAGTGCCACTGATTTGATATGCTAACGGACGGGGACTCATTACAGATCTGTACAGACGTGTATACTTATACCATGTCGTTGGTGTGAACTACCTGCGCTATCGGACTAACACTCTTGCTACGGGATGTCGTCGCCGTGATAATACTGGTGCTGGGAACGCAATCATCTATGCATGGAGATCATGCAGTCGGCACCGGGATACAAATTCATCAATGTTTCTTGTCCGCCCTTTCCCGACCGCCCTTGCAAGCATACTTCGGCATCTATACTACTGTGCGCGGGATAAAGAAGAATATGGAAGTCACGTTGTAACGTCGAGTGCCAATACAAGAATGGCTGGAAACCATGTTTCTTTGTAATATTGATTGATTGTCCTGTATGTGATATCATAAAGTAGCTGACAGGTCTTCTTCTAGACCTGTGAGCGTGACACGATTCCCCAGCCTAACGCCGTAAATGTAGTAAGACATCTTATGAGAATGCCTAAAAAGCCTGTATTCGGCCAGGCCTGACGATAGGAAATTGGGGGATAATCGCTGCAACAAACCTTTGAGCAGAAACACACTTCGCTTATGAATGGATAACCTGCCACTGACAGAGCAGGCTCGTTGATACTGGTGACTGGCTGGCTTTTGGCATCATCGATGCCTTACGCTTCTCCGAACAGGCGCGCAGTGATATCGCCCATGTACGCCTCTTCGAGCTCGTAGTCCTCGCCACCGTTACGGTCGATACCGACGTATTCGAACGCGGAGACGACGGCCTCAACGTCGAAACCCATGGCGACGAAGCGGTCTACAAGATCTTTGTTATAGCCGTGGTACCTGTTTCCTGTCAGTATTCACTAGAGAGTTCAGTGTATAAGACGACATACGCAGCAAGCGCGACTTTGGCTTCATTTGCCTTGGCGTCCTGCGACTTCTTCCGAAGAGACTCTGCCGTGGCACCGCCGCTACCCTCGGCGACCTCCCTCTTCGGAGCGCCAGCGTACTTGACGGCCCACTCGCGGGCGACGTGTTCGAACTCGGAAGGGTTACGTATGAGCATGCTGGCTACCTCATGATCTTGCGGGTCCTTGGGTTCTGGTGTGCTGAGGAGGGACTGGAGGGAGATGAGGGCGGACTTAATGGTAAGGACCGGCGACCACTGTGTGCTGAGAGTGTCGAGGCAAATGGCGCCCTTCTGCAGGTTAGCGACGACCACACATGCGATAGTCTCGCCAACAGCTTACCGTTACCGAGCTGACGTTGGGATGCCAGATCTTGGTCTCGAAGCGCATGTTCGGTGGCCGGAACGGATAGTCGCTGGCAATCTTGATGTCTACATGGTATGTGCCGCCCTCGTACGGTGTGTCCGGTGGCCCAGGGAATGAGCCACGAAGATGTGTGAGGTCATCGCCGGCACCTGCGGGCTCAGCAGTGATTTGTGAGAGCTTATCGTTCTGGATCTCTGCGAGCTCCTTTGCAATGCGCCGCGCTCGATTGGACGACATGGCGTGTGTTGGACGAGGCAGGTATATTGTTGCAGTGGGCTTTGAGCAATGGGAGTGAGCGATAAAGTACGGTGGATTCGGCCGGAAAAGTAGGCAGCAGGGTGGAAGTCGGCTCGGTGTAGCACCTTGGTAGTCAGCCTAAGGCTGTGATCGCCGTGGCTGTGAGTGAGTCAGGCACCAAGTCGGAGGTGAATCTACGGCAGTCTTTGAATAGGTTAGGGAGTAGTATTACTTACGAGAGTAGCTGCGATCGTTATATCACGGCCAGCTCGAGGTAAAGTGCACCGGACGGGAGCTCTGATTCACGGCGGGGTTGCGGGCGGGCACAAGCTGCAAAGTAATAGTCGCGTGGGGAGGGCGAGCGAGCACTCGAGAGAAGAAGTAGTGTCTATACCACGTCTGAAGAATTCAGAGAGTTGGCAACGGTCTCTGACGTGTCTGGCGTCCAGTGGAGAAGGTACCGTTGGGGAAGTGGCGTACATGGGCACGTGACACCGCTTGGACGCCGTCTGCAGCTCTCGGAATCAGCGCGCAACGCCGCCAGCATCAACATTACAAACACACACCCACGACCATCGCCCGCACACCGACGACCTGCGCCGTCGCTCTTTTTCGCAGGACACATTTCGTTTATACCATAGGATACACGCCGAATCGCACACTCTCGCTGAGCCAGTGTCATGGTAAGCTCGTCTCCCGCGAAATGCCCCGGGGGGCGATACTGATAGCGTGCAGGGTAACCAGCAGTCCAGCGGCGCTGGAGGAGGCCCCGGCGGCGACGACAAGAATAAGAAGGACAAGGTTCGTTGATATCAGCAGCCCATTAAAAATCCCCGCATCTCGAATGCATGACGTTGCCTCGCTGCCTCGGACGTGACTGACACTCGCATTACAGAAGGACAAGCCCAAGTACGAGCCCCCACCGCAACCCACCACCCGCATCGGCAGGAAGAAGAAGAAGGCTGCCGGACCGAGCGCCGCCGCGAAGCTCCCTGCCGTCTACCCCACCGCGCGATGCAAGCTGAGATATCTACGGATGCAGCGCATCCACGATCACCTATTGCTCGAGGAAGAGTACGTCGAGAACCAGGAGCGTCTGCGGAAGGCCAAGGCAGCGGCAAGCTCCAACCAGCCCGTCAACGTCAACGCAGAGGGCGATGACCGCAACGCAGATGAGAGGTCACGGGTAGACGACATGCGAGGCAGCCCGATGGGTGTCGGCAACCTGGAGGAGCTCATCGACGACGACCACGCTATCGTTTCCAGCGCAACCGGCCCCGAATACTACGTTTCCATCATGTCGTTCGTCGATAAGGATCTTCTGGAGCCTGGAGCAAGCATCTTATTGCACCACAAGTCCGTGTCCGTGGTTGGTGTGTTGACTGATGATGCGGATCCGCTTGTCTCGGTCATGAAGCTGGACAAGGCACCCACAGAGTCGTATGCAGATATTGGGGGTCTGGAGCAACAAATCCAGGAAGTCCGCGAGGCGGTAGAGCTCCCCTTGCTCCATCCCGAGCTATACGAAGAGATGGGCATCAAGCCACCGAAGGGTGTCATCTTGTACGGAGCACCAGGAACCGGAAAAACGCTGCTCGCCAAAGCCGTTGCCAATCAGACCAGCGCGACGTTCCTGCGCATTGTTGGCAGCGAGTTGATCCAGAAGTACCTTGGAGACGGACCCCGGCTTGTACGACAGCTCTTCACGGTCGCAGCGGAGAATGCGCCCTCAATTGTCTTCATTGACGAAATCGATGCCATCGGTACGAAGCGATATGAGTCAACATCCGGAGGTGAACGTGAAATCCAGCGCACTATGTTGGAGTTGCTCAACCAACTCGACGGTTTTGATGACCGCGGCGATGTCAAGGTCATCATGGCGACCAACAAGATCGACACCCTGGACCCCGCGCTGATTCGTCCTGGTCGTATTGACAGGAAGATTCTGTTCGAGAACCCTGATCGTACGTCATACCCGTCGTACCCCAAAGTTCATTGCTAATGCCTTTTGTAGAATCGACCAAGAAGAAGATTTTTACTCTGCACACATCCAAGATGTCTCTCAACGAAGACGTTGATCTCGATGAATTTATCAACCAGAAGGATGACCTCTCCGGTGCCGACATCAAGGCCATCTGCTCCGAAGCTGGTCTGATGGCGCTGCGTGAGCGGAGAATGCGCGTCAACATGGAGGATTTCCGCACTGCGAGAGAGCGCGTGCTCAAGACAAAGACCGAGGGTGAGCCAGAAGGCTTGTATTTGTAGACCTGGGTTGGACTTCTGGACGTGTACAAGTACCCTAGACAATGCTTGGTCACCAGCGTCTACCTACTACACGGTAGGCTGATAATTCTCTCATAATATGATCATGCGTACCAACATACTCTCATCTGCTACACTATTGACTTCCTCTGCCCGTAATCATACACTAGCTACCGTGGGCTCATTTGTCGCGACCTCTCTGATCTACGCACACAAGTTCACGAGCTTTAAAGACATCCTTGTTCACCAAAGAGTTAGAGCAGAGCTAGTGTCTAATCGCACTACAACCAAGGGCCTCCGTTCCGGCTCGTTGCCCTTCACACAGGCCAGCAAGTCCTTCCCTAACCAGGACTGCAGCAAGCCGATGTGGACGCGAATTTCAATATTTAACATCTCGGCCGGATGCGTTTGCGGACTATTTCTTCGAGTCTGTTTGTCTTCTAGACTCACTCCGTCAGTTCTCTTACTTTCTCACCGCCAACATCAGCTAGCGTGCGCTCTGGCAGCCACTGGTTACATATAAACCCCTTTCCACTCAGCGCTCTGACGCTGACCGCCACAGTTCTACTCGATAAAAACTCGCAGCCGGCATAAGTACCTCCTGTAAATCACCCCGGGCACACTTTCTCGTGTCCAAGAAGTAACAAGTATACAGCCCGGCGGAGACGCTTCGTCATGATGAACTCGCCTCTCGATGAGGGCCAGCTCGTGAGCTTCGAGCACATGAATCGGGCTCAGAAACGCGCATTCATCTTACGAGACCAGCTCAAGTACGACGAAGAGCAACACCTAGATGTGTTCATTGATGGCATACGTAACCCTGAGCCTCCGCGTTATAAGCGCACCAGCAGCGGTATCCAGCCCTCGTTCGAGGAGGTAACGATCAAGCACAGCACAACGCGCTTCGACCTAGGCAACGTTGAGTTCTCGGACAAGTCGGTCCGTCGAGTCCACCTCGCCTGTGTCGGGGATAGCTACGAGATGCACGAGTCTGATGCCATATCTCCGGATGAAGACGACTTTAACTCGGTGCCGCTGAACTATTATATTGCACAGAAGATTATGCCGAGCTTCAAGAAGAAGTACGAGGCGATTCACGCCAGAGTGCAACGTGTTAATGATATGCGGAGGCACGTGTATGAGCAGGCGTCGAATAGACAGCCTAAGACATCTTCGCGTTTCAAGGAAGGAGAGGTACGGCATCTCGCGCTGCACTATATCACTTCATCCCCGCGTTGTACACTTTATGTCCTCTCAGCATCATGTTTGTGTGTGTACCATACCTAATTTTCCTAGTCTCTGGCGAAGCTCATGAGCTCGGATCCAGTCACCGAGTCCACCCAGCCAGGTACGTACCATATCTCCTTACTCCAAGCCCCACGCCCAAACTCACTCCAACAGAATCAGACTCGCGCAAACGCCCGAGTGACTCCATCATCCGGCACCCGCTCAACAAGAAGAAGCGCATCGGCGTCGAGAACGTATCCAGCGCCATCAAAACCGACGCCGTGAACCGCCTCCCTGACCATGCCAAAATCGACCTCTTCAACGCGTTCGTCAAGTCCGCGTTCCCGGATTTCGACAACCTGCTGATGGCGTCGTGGAACGTGGTGTCGATCTTTGTCAATGTGGGAAGTGAGGATTTGATGTTGCATAACTCGATTGGGGATTTGCATGAGGTATTGTTGCGTTTTGATGAGTTCTTTGGGAAGAAGACGAGGGGTAATGGGGGCGGTGGTCCTGGTAAGTCATTTCACTCACTGGATGATACAGTTTCCTGTCAGATGCCTGAGCACTACGCTGCTCATCATGGGGTGCCGCAGCGGATTGAGCTTGTTGGTTGCTATTCGGTTGACTGATTCTACTTCGATAGCACGGGCCCGGAACGATGCTCGCAACGTTTCCGTTCGCAACACTCCCCTGGCACAGGGACCCAGCACACTTGATGGTAGTGGTGACTTGACCTTACGCGACCGCTCTCGAGATCGACTAGTCAAGATACCTCCAGGTGCTAATGAAGGCGCGTACGTGTCCCGGATGGAGTCCCCCAACACCACTGGCCCACGACGCTCGAACGTCCACTACGACACCGAAGGTCGTCCTGTGTCCAACCTGCGCCACCACCAGCCCAGCGTGAACCAACAGCAGAAATCATCTCCCCGCCAGCCGTCTGACGAGCAGCCAGTTCCAAAACAGCCCTCGTCTCGCAATCGCCCGCAATCCCTTAACGACCTCCTCACGCACATGCCGCTGAAGGAGGTCCGCGGGAGCCCACATGATATCCTGAAGGCGATGGCCGCCGGCGTCGAAGAGGATACCATCCCCAGCATCGAAAAAAACTGCGCCAACATCCAGGCACAGACCCCGTCTGCGCTCGACAAGCCCTCTCCGCCGAATACGTCCATACCCACCCGCCGCCCCGAGCTCGCTGAGCAGCGCGCCCGCATGCCCCCTCCGTCTTCGTCGCAGCCGCAGACCCCCGCCCAGCGCGAAGCCAAGCGCTACGGCATGTTTACTTCCCATCACCGGCGCAGCAGCGCAGACGAGCGGCTTGACTCGCTATTTGTCGGCGACGAAGAGGATGAGGACGAGGCGGTGGAAGTGCCCGGTATGCAGGAGGTGAACGACATGGATGCGGCCGTCGATCTTCGAGAGCGGGCGGGTGTGATGAAGAAGAAGGGCGTGGGCGTGTCGCTCGGCAGGAGCATCCTAGGCGCGCCGAAGAGGCCGCCAAATGCGACGGGGGAGGCACCTGTGGCGCCGATGATGCATATCGATTCTGCGGGGAAGGGGACCGGCAAGAACGCGGGCGGTGGGGACGGACGGGCGCAGTGACTAGATGGCAGTGGAGGTGCGGCACCTGCATACCGGACGTATGAGCAGAGGCGGTATGTGCTTGAGCGTTCCTGAACGGCTGGACATGGGGAGTGAACGGCTGGAACGGCGGTTTGCCCGCCTCTTGCGTACGCCATCGCGTCCTGGTCGGAATCGTCACGTTCATCTTGAATAGGTTGCAAGAGAGGTGACCTACATACTGAGGTCTGCAGCACCACACTGGAGCGTTGCCTTGGAATTCTCTGCAGTTGGCGCATCCGTACCCGTTATCACAGGGGTAGGGTTCCATCAAGTGTCGGCGGAGTTGGATGCCTCTTTGCAATTCTTGACGTAGCCTCCACTTTCGTGGGCGGAATCAAGGCATTCAGGACTATACGTTGTGATAAAATACGATAATAGATTACGGTGTAAGACGCGAATGTAGGTGACACATATAGTACATTTCCTATCGTTACCGGGAGCAAGAAAAATGGTATACCCATAGCGGAAGCAGGCCTTTTGAACCTGGCGATGATGCTTCCCAAACGCCTCGCAATGCAAACAATCGTCCATCCCCCGCCCACAACACACCCACGCTACCCCTCTTTCTTCAGCTCCGGCCCCCAGAAAGCATCGCTCTCCTTCTCCGCGTTCTCGCGATTCAACTTCCGCCGCTTCGCCTTGCCCTCTTCCAACTCCCCATCCCGCACGACATCCCTCTTCTTGCCCGCATTCAGGGCGACCAGATCCTGCGTCGTGGGGTCCTTGCAACCCCTCAGCTTCTTCATGGCGCGCTTCGTCTCGGGCGGATCGGTATCGGCCCAGCCGTACTTGTTGGCTGTGGGGTTCTTGCTGAAGGAGCGGTGGCTGGAGAGGAGGTCTGCGCAGGATTGGATGGTGGAGAGGATTCTTGGTCGGGCCGGGGCGGAGGGGGGCACTTTGGTGCCGAGGTAGAAGGCCGTGAGGGCGGGTGCGGCGAGCGAGTGCGCGGCGAGCAGGATCTGCGCGGGCGTGTAGAGGAAGTAGGCGTCGGTGAGTTGGGCGGCCATGGCGAGCATGTCCTTTGCGTGCGCGTAGATGTTGCCCAGCTTTCCTTCTGCGACGGCCTCGTCCGTGGCTTGGAGCGCGGCGAGGGCTTCGGCGCGCAAGTCGGCGGGCGTGCGGCCGTCGTGCGCGAGGCCGGCGTAGCTGCCGTGGATCATGTCCTCGAGCTCGAGATGCACGCCTTTGAGCCCGCGGAAGGGGTGGCGCACCTCGAAGTTGAAGCGCAGCGCCTGCACGATGGTGTACTCGGGCGCGACAATGTCGTCGCGGGTCGTCTTGGGAAGGCGCGAGGCGAAGTCGGCGGCGGACCCGGCGCGGGTGCCGAGCTCGAGCTTGAGGGCGAGGAAGAAGGCCGTCTTGGAGATCTTGGTCCCGTCGTATGTCATGGGCGAGTTGTAGAGGTAGAAGCGGCGCATGAACTGGATCGCGGTGCACTGTGCGGCCTGTCAGCTTGTGTGCGGGCGTGCAAAGGGAGGCGCCCCGTACCGTGACGTCCGGCTGCAGCTTCAAGAAGTCGCCCAGCTTCATGGCCGTCTCGCAGAACTTGTCGACGACCATCTTCTCCTCGTCCATGGTCAGGCAGTCTACCTCGCCGCCTCTGTCGCCCGCGCCGCCCGGCACCGGCGTGTTCGCGCCTGTGCCTGCGCCATTTCCGTTTGGTGTGTTGGCCCCGCTGTCTGGCGCCGACGAGGCGTCGAGGGGAGCGAGCTTTGCGCGTTCGGCGCGGTCTTGGGCAATGTGGAGCTTGACTTGGGCGGCCGCATGCGCGTTCGTCTTCTGGCGAAGGCGCGTCAGGGCCGAGGGCGTGAATGACCAGTGTTTGTATTGCGTGGATTGCCGGTACAGGTCGTCTTCGTTGACGCGCATCGTTGCGGTGGTGGCAAGGCGCGCCGTTGAAGCTGTCGATGTCTCGGTACACGATGTTCAGGGAAGCTTTGGCCAAGGGTTCACGCAGTCCTCCCGAGGCCTGCAATGTGTGGCAGCCAGGGGGGGCAAACTTGAAGGGTTACAAGCATTTCCGCATGAGCAATGTGACACTGAATCCACTACCACAAGAGCAATTTCAGTTGCGGGCTACAATGCAAGTTGGAGCATGTGTCGCAGACCAAGCCTCTGGCCAATGACGCGAGACAGTCTTGGGCCTGAGATCATGTGGATCCACCGTAACACCAAACCCTAAATGGACTTCCTCTATGCTGCATGCTCCAAGTCGCAAAGTGCTGCGTTTGTTGGTGTTGTTCTCTCACCGTTCGAAGGAGTTGCCCTCATCTCTCACAGATACTTCGCGCTGTTCACCTTCCCAACGTCGCCACCGTCAATAGCGGCGTCCACCGGCGTTTCGCCCTCTCAACAACACCACTTTCTCGGCAAAGGTGTCGTGGATCACGCGTGGGGGCCTGAGACTGGAGCCCTTTTACACGGACCAGGGTGACATTGCCAGCAGCTCCTTGCCCAATTCCCGTCATCAACTAATGTCGTTCTGAGATGCCCCAAAGCCTCCTACACGCCCATGCATTCCCCCAAGACCGGTCCGCATGTACGGCATGCGAAGCTGGCTGGTTAGTCGCGATGGCAATGCAAAGATCCCCATGCGAGGCTTGCCGATGACTCGTTGGGATCGATGTTCTGACGGCTATGCATGCTGATCGTCGCTCTAGAGTTCCAATCACCCCTCATCCTGCCGTCTTTGTCAGGCGACGTCACTGTTGATGAAGAAGCACTCCCCACTTGCCAGGGACCGTAGGCGCTTTCCATGTCCCGATCGCCACGGAGCTGAGCGACCTGGAGGCCCGTATTGTTGACGCACGCCATGGCTCTTCTGAACTTGGGATCCGGGGCCGCGTGTGGGGTCAACGCCATTACCGCTACCAGTGTGCTGATGCATAAACCAACATCTCGTCTGTCATACGTTACACAGCATCATTGTGATTATCACTAAGCTCACCTACGATTGTACGCAACCTTCTTCAGCTGCGGCCCATTTACGGACTTACAACCCAAGTCTCTTCTACTCTTAAGTACTACCACTACTCCGCCATGTCTTCTCCTGAGAAGGTTGAGAAAGGCGGAGAGTCGCCTGAAAGAGTCCACATCCCGGACGTCGAGAAGACCGACTCAACATGGAACGATCCCGCTGATATCCCAGTTGAGCTGGACAAGCGCATTACCCGCAAGCTGGACAAACGGCTCATGCCATGGCTCTTCGGGCTCTGGCTCCTGGCTTTCATCGATCGAAGCAACATCGGAAACGCTAAGATCGATGGGATGGTGGAAGACCTGCGCCTCGATTCCAACAAATTCAACATCGCCCTCGCCGTTTTTTACGTGCCGTACATCCTCTGGGATGTTCCGAGCAACCTTGTCATCAAGCACTTGAAGGCTGGATATTATCTACCTGGTGGGTGAACTCATGCTGACATACCAAACTTCTGTTGACGTCGTGGGATGGTAGGCATATTGATTGCTTGGGGCCTCGTTTCGATGTGTACTGGGTTCGTCAAGAGCTATGCTGGGCTTTTGGTCGCGCGCTTCTTCCTCGGCTTGGCTGAGGGCGGCCTGCTCGGCGGTATGTTGGTGTACCTCGCAATGTTCTATCGGCGTCATCAGATGCTGTATCGCATCACGCTCTTCTACTGTGCAGCCCCTCTCAGTGGCGCTTTCGGCGGCCTCCTTGCAACTGGCCTCGCAAAGATTCAGACCGGCGGGTACAACGGCTGGGTAAGCCACTCATCCCACAAAAGCCTTCTTCCACTGACCGTGCAGCCCTTCATATTCTTCGTCGAGGGCGCGATTACCGCTGTCATCGGAATTGCCGTTCTCTTCTTTCTTCCACACACTCCTAGCGATATCAAGTTCTTCAACGCAGACGAGAAAAGGGCCTGTATCGCACGTATGCGCCTCGACGCCCATGGTGCAACTGCTGCTTCTACTGTCGATGAAGAGAGATTTGACTGGTACTGGGTCCGCCGCGCCCTCCTCAACGTCAACACGATTGTCTTGTCCATTGTCTTCTTCGCCATCATCACGCCCATCTACTCTTTCTCCCTCTTCCTGCCCACCATTATCCGGTCGATGGGGTACAGCAGGGTGACCGCGCAGCTGTTTACGGTGCCGCCTAACATGGGTGCTTTCTTCATCGTGTTGTTGACGGGGTGGGGGAGCGACAAGTGGCGTATGCGAGGGCCATTGATGTTGGTTGGATGTACGGTGGCAATCGTCGGGTACATCATGCTCATCGCGAGCGAGCGAAGTTCGGTGCAGTACGGCGGTACTTTTCTTGTTGCGGCGGGTATCTTCCCATGCAGCCCGCTGGTTATGGGTTGGCTGTCCAACAACCTGGCGCCGCACTACGTGCGGGCGACAGGAACAGGGTTCCAGATCATGAGTGAGTAGCTTCCTACGGAGCAGCGCGACCATGCTGACGGCTCAGTTGCGAATATGGCAGCTTTCATTGCAACGTTCACGTACCTTCCGGAAGATGCGTAAGTCTGAATAGCAATTTCGAAGGTGGTGCTACTAGCTGACTTTGATAGGCCGCGGTATACTACGGGACACGCGATCAATATCGGCATGCTCGGTCTAGCGCTCATATCGATTGCAGGAAACATCTGGTATTGCAGGTGGGAGAACAAAAAGCGTGCGACTGGGCAAAGAGACTACCGATTGAGAGATGAGAAAGAAGAACGGTTGGGATATCGCCATCCGCGTTTCGAGTACACGATCTGAAGATCTTGTCAAACTGGCCGTTGCTATACATCTTATCCTGGCTGACAGTTCCTCGGATAACCCCCAATGCCTACCAAAACTACCCGATGATCCAATAATGTCAATTCCTCGCGAAAGCGCAACGAAATCAGATTCTGGAGGCAGATACATCAAGCAGTACAGTATTCGTACAGCCTCTGGGTTTAAATGCAGTTACCTGGGAAGCTAAGGTTGCTCACCAGGCATCCACCTAGGTGAGCGAACTTTCCCCCAAACCCAATTCGTGTTGCTGACTACGAAGTACTCAAAAGCCCATTGAACTACCTCGCGACCTTTACGAGCGTGAGCTCGCCGCTGTCTTGGCTGTTTCGCGCGGATAGCGACGTTTGCCAAGCACTTTCTTTCGCAGTGAAGCAATCTCAATCAGTACGCACGATGGTGCCATTACTCGCTCCCAGCCTCATGATTGCGAGAGCCGGGGCTTCGTCGTGTTTCAAATCCATAATTTCTATTGTTCTTTATTATCTCTCTCGTCAAAAAAGGGGTGCACTACGACCAACTCGAGCTACCAGAGCTCCCATTGGCCGATGGCCCATTCACTTCCTTAAGTGAAGGACGTTGATTTTGCGAAACAGGCACCAGCAGAGCCAATAGCGGCGCTTTCCCACTCCAGCCTTTGCCTTTTGAGCTCTATCTACCTATCAATGCGCGCAAATTGACGACGTCGAGGAGGCTGTGGGGCGCAACGGTGAGTGCACGGATGTCGGGTGAGAGGGAGCATTTTGAGCTTCATCAGCACTCCAGGAGGCTGGGGGACCCTCAGGACGTCGTTAAGAAGAATTTACAAGCCGTCTGCTTCTGCGACTCGACCATCCACTTGGCAATTGTTCTCTTGAGCTTTCGCACCAATCTCCAACCTTTTGTCTCCTTTGACGCTCACGTCAGCTACTTCTGCTACTCCAAGCTTCTTTTGACTTCACGTCTATCTACGTCTATTGCGACGTTCGATTTGTCGGACTTCCAGCCTATTCACAGCTACTGCTACTTCTCCTTGTTGCATTTCGCTTCAACGTAGCAATCTGCCATGGCTAAGTTCAACACCAAGTCCAAGGCCAAGTCCACCAATCGTTGTACTTGTGACCCTAACGACCTCCTTTTCGAGGAGTGTTTGTGTGGCCAGAGCCAGGACCAACACCAGTCCAGCACCTCCGGCGTCCGCGAGGACTGGATCAACGACTACACTACCCTGCTCGACGACAACGCGGCTGAGACCAACAATAATAGCGTCGCGCCCGCTGGTGAGGATGCCGGCTCAAACAATTCGACAGAGAACGCCGACCGTGAGTCGTCCATCGGCTTCGGATCCCACGATGAACAGCACACCAGTCGTAGCAACGATGCTCAGATCCGGGAGGGCGTGCAGCACACCGTTTATGACCGCCACACTCCGGGCGAGGAGGAGTTCCAGCAATTCATGGACGAACATGAAGAGCAACAGCGTGGTTTGGCCTCTTCTCCCTTCTTTGAGGAGTATAGGCGCACTTACTCCTCAGACAACACGCTCAATGGAGTCGATGTCGGTTCCTTGGACTTCACCCAGGAGCGTGCCGACCTCAACAACGCCATGAACACATCCAGTGGCCTCGGCACCTTCGACAACTTCAACGACTTCGGCAATGAACTTTTCCCAAGCGTCACTACCTCCATGTGTGGTATTGCGGAGCCCATGAGCACCAATTACAGCAACACGATGAACCCTTCCAGTTTCTTTGGCGACTCGGGCAACTTCCCTTTGGGCATCACGGGTATATTCTCCACCACGGATAGCTCTATGCAGCCTATCAGCCCTGTCGCCCAGAACCCTGCTCCAATGGCTTTCGAGAACATGGATTTCGTCGACGTGAACTACTTCGACCCTAACGTTAACCCCTTTATTGGCGCAACCATCGGCAACCACTCTGATGTCAACACTTTTGGCAATCGACCTGAGATCGCCACCTTTGATAATGGACCTAACACCAAAAACTCTGCTATATCGTCTCAGATGCCTGTGTCCGCTCAGTCTGGCACAACTTCCTCGAACGCCAACCGCGCCCCTGTTGATCGGCCGCAGAACCAACCCAACGTCTCAGGACATGGGATCCGCAAGGCTAGGCCCAATGCACCTCGGCGTGCTATGCCACCTTCGCGTTTGTCGGCCTTTGTTCCCATCGACCAGCCCCAGATGCTTGCTGCTCTGGACAAGCAGAACCAGCAACAGACCCAGGATGATGCCTTTGAGCGCGACCGAGCCATGGCTCGTGCCAATGTTCGCACCGCTCGAGAAGCCGGACAAGACCTTTTTGGCATCCACCAGCAAACCCAGCAATCCGCCCAGCGCTTCTCTACTCCGACTACTCCTGTCGCGACGGCCGATCCCACTACCCAGAGGGTATCCATCAACAAGATCGGCGGGAACACCACCATCGAGTACTTCGATTTCAGCTATCCCGGTAATCGATTCGGGAATCAGTCTGGTCTGCAGCAGCCCGTAAGCTCTCCCGTCGAGCGTGCTCAGCTTTCCACCCACCATCTCGGCAACCAAACCGCTCAGCAGCGCCAGTCCAGTACTCCTTTCAACCAATTCGGAGACCAACCTGTCCAGCAGCGCCCACCCACCCCTTCCACCGAGCGCACTCCGCTTTCCGCCAACCAGCTCGGAAAGCAACCGGTCCGTCAACCCTCATCCAGCTCTCCCGCGGAGCCCACGCCTTCCAAGAAGCGCGCTCGCCCTGCCGACATCCAGATCCCCGACTCGGCTCCCAAACGCGTGCGCCCCTCAGCTCCTCCTCGCCTCACCGCTACTCCCGCTCCAGTCCGTCCACCCTTCGCCGATGAGGTCGAGGCAGCCGTCGAACTCCGCGGTCGCATGGTCAGCGAGCTCCTCAAGACCAAATGGCTCGACATGACGGTCACCGAGAAGGCACGCATCCTCCTGCCCATCTGCCAAGGCAAGCACCCCCTCCAGTTCGAAAAGGAGGAACTCGAGCGCGGACTTACCTACGGTGCGACGCGCCAGCGCGAGGCCCTCCACAAGGCTGCGAAGTTGAACGATGTCGCTGTCAAGGAAGCCCAGGCTATCATCAATACTCGGGCTGCCACTGCCGCCGAGCAGCCTCCGGTTCAAACTGAGGATATGGACGAGGATGATGAGCTTGCTGCTCTCAAGGCTCGCATGGCGGAGATCGAGGCGAAGAAGAAGGCCAAGCTCGCTGAGGAGAAGGCCCAGGCCGTGCGGGACAAGCGCGCAGCGGCTCAGCGGAGGAAGCGCGAGGCGGAGCGGGAGGCCAGGAAGAAGGCAGCGCAGGATGTTGCTCAGCTGAAGCAGAGGGAGGAGGTTGAGGAGCAGCAGAGGCTCCCGGAGGAGCAGTTCCACTTCCAGCAGCCGTACGCCCACATGGGCTTCTACGCTGCTCAGTCGTTCCAGGGTTAGATTATTTGGCGTCTGGCGTCAGGTGTCCGTGTCTAGGGTTTGAGATTTGGTGTCTCGTGTTTGGTGGCGATGTGGATGACGATGGCGGGTGACTGCGGTGGGTGCTGGTTCGCTGGCGGATTGGTACTGATCATGAATACTTGCTTGCTTGGTCATGATTGCTAACCTGATCATGATTCCATACTTGATAAGGACCACTATAGGGACAATTCAAAATCACAACAACGTAGTGTGCCGAAGTGACTACAAGTGATGAACGTGATTGCAATTGCCCCAACTCTTCGCATCCATAACTCCAAAGTATAAATACAACACCCCCGTAGTCGTGAATTCGAACATCCATCGCGTTCTCCCTATCGAACATAGATACATCTGCTTGAGTTCCTGTGCTCTGTTTTACTCCAAGCTGCTCTACGCCACCTTCTCACTGCGCATATACAATCCCCACAACCTTCCTCCTGATTTTCCTCGGTGGCGGCAACACCACGTGCTTACACCCGTTCTTCACCTCCTCAGCAACCCCGCTCGTTGCGGACACCGTAACCTTCTCCTGCGGAGGCGACGGCGGCGGGGATGGCGGCAGTCGGCTTGTCAGCTCCAACTTCTGCGGCTTCTTCTGCGCTTTCTCCGCCTGCTTAGCTTCCTTCTTGCGCGCCTTGTCCTCGAGCTTCGCGGCCTTCTTGTGCGTCTTTAATTCCTGCTTGGCAGCGTCGTCGTGCGCGCGCTGTGCATCGGCCGCCTTCTGGTCATCGACATTCTTCTTCAGAGCAGCTTTGTGCTCCTCGAGCTCGCGATCCCGACGCGCGAGCTTATCCTGCAGCTCCTTGATCGTGTCGGCCGAGCCCGTCTTCCCCTCTTCCAGCTCCGCCAGCTTCGCGTCGTATTCTTTTTTGCTGTCCTGCAGCTCCTTGAGCTTAGCATCGCTCGCCGTCTTATTGTCTTGCAGCTCCTTGAGCTTCTTCTCAGCCTCCTTCTTGCCCGTCTCCAACTCCTCGATCTTCGCAGTGGACGCTTCGCTGGCGGCGCTGGAAGTGCCGCTGCTGGGCCCAAAGCTGCCGTCGGCGGGGAAAAAGTACCACGTCAGGCAAAATTGATTCGGCTGCTCCCACTGCCACATGTGCACCTTCATGCTCTGGCCCTTGGCGACCCTGATCCCCTGGAAATGGTTCAAGAACACTTTCGGATACTCGACGGGCGAGAGGCGACACGCACCTGGCACGGTAACGTTGTCGGTGTCGAGTTTCCACCACTGCTTCGCCCCGGTGCCGACAGTGGACCAATTGCCACCGCCGTTTGCATGCAGGTAGTCATTGGTGGAGGCGCAGCGGAGGGCGATGATGTTGGGGGAGTCGCCGGATTCGACGAGCCACTTTTGGGGGGCGTCCTGGTCGCCGCGGTTTTGGGCGACGACGCCGGAAGGTTGCCCGTTGGGGGACCGGGCGAGGACCATGCCCTGGGATGTTAGTGGTAGATTCTTGTAGATGTGTGAAGCAGGGAAGGAGCGGGCGAGGTTTTGCAAGGTTGTCTGTGCAAGCAGAGTCCCGAACGCCCATGAGGTGCTTGCGCCTCGCGATTGCGGCAATTTGTAGCGTGCCGATATCATGTCGAACATGTGCTTGGAAGTTACTCACATGGGCGACGCTGGTGATGTAGAATGCAGATTGCTCAGCCATGACTGCGTCGTATTCTGGTTCGGACAGGGGTGAAATGTAGCTGAGCAAGTGACAAGAAGACGTCCACCAAGAATAAATGCGTCTCTCAAATCCCCCAGATCTCCTACCCCGTCACGACTTTGTCTTTCCCCTAAACGTCATGCGACATGAGAGACGCCCCAGCGCACCGGGCCGCCCCACATCAACAGAGCCCCCAACTGTCCTAACCACTACGAACCATGGCTGATGGGCCTCATCCACGCGTAGATCGTGGCGCTAGATGTTGTGCCAGGGAGACGGCGTCTATGTCCCCGCTTTGTTCGGCGCATGTGAGATGATCGACCATGCGCGTCGTTTGTTGTGCAAGAACTTGGTGTAAACGGTCGGTTGGAGTTCGGAAATATGATCTAGCCACGCGTCATCGATGGGGAGGGGATTGTAATGGAGGGAATGCGACTCCGTGACGATACTATTGGGCAAATGGCTGGACTCTGTGAGCACACTGTGAAAGCTCCAGGGTAGCTGCGGCATGCGGAGCCTCTGCCGCCACTAAATGCTTCGATGTTGGCTAGCGGATGGGTAATGGATTGTAGCAAAGCCGACCTCGAAACGCAATTGGATCAGAAATCTCGTCCATGGCGGGCGAGTGTCCGTACAGGTCGCGCGCATCGCTGTGCGACTCGATGCTAACCAATAGGTAGGATGACATTCCGCGCTCCATGACGCGCTAGAAGGCGACCACCCCACGCATCCCACGGCCTTGCTCTACAACCTCAATTTCAATCCTGTCGAGCATGCATCGGGCTTTCTCAACCAACAGACGTTGGTACTGGACAGAACAGGTGCTGAGCGATCGTTTGACACACATGCACGAAGAAGCGGGAAGACCGGCTCGCTTGTGCAGCTCTTGTGCATGTGCGGCCGAAAGAAGCCGCTGCTTCGTAGGAACTCGCTATGTGCATTATGCTGCAGAAGACACATCTCTCAGAGTCTCCCGTGAGTGAGCGTTTGCGATTTCGTTTGCGAAGAGGTTGCTCCCACCGAAAACCCCGTGAAGTAAGACGTATCATTGTGCGATTTCACCCCCAAGTTTACCACAAAGAATCCAACCATGCTGTCGCACCTGCCGCCCGGAAGAACTCAAATGAGGACCACCATTTGCAACGGTCAGTCAGTGCAGCAAACGAAGGTTACCATCATTAGACTCTCACTTTGACAACATGCTGTGTACGGGTTCCGTGGTTGAAAGCTCAACAACTACAGATGCGATGAATATCAGGCTTCCACTCCGCACTTCATTTTGACCTTTCCGCTCCACCACTGCGCTTTCTCATCTGTGAGCGGTGACTTCGCCTTGGAAATCGTCCGCATGCCCATCCACATGAGATAAAAGAAGGTGTACTCGACCAGATTCGCGGACTACACGCTTGCAGACAACAACTATGGCGCAGCAAGAATGGAGCCATAGATCCATATACAATGGACACGTGAGTAATGCCACGAAGATGCAATGGCTGCGGAGTTGCTATTACTTTCCTTGCACATGGCTACAGCCTAGACATAGACGGCGATTTGGTGCTAACAACGATTGTGTTGAAGGAATCACATCCAGACGGCGAGTTTCGTAACTTCGTGAAAGACGTTCATGATCACGCGAAGCAGCACGGCCACTGGCGATTCGGATTCCAGGCAAATATCCTCCACCACGAGACTCGAGCATTCAGGGTCGGTCTGCGGAACCCTGAGCAATTACTCATTGCGTACAACCACGGCGCACGATGGCCCTGGCACGAGGAAATCATATTGACATGGATACCTGGAAGCACCGACCCCTATCAGGTGGCTCGCATGGGTACTGTTAGGCAACACATGGCTACCATTGCCGAAGAGCGGGCAGTGTTGGGCCTTCCGCCACTACTAGCGCATGATATACCAGTGAGTAAAGTGGACCGAAGACCACCATCTGGTTTGACATGAGGAAATACCGATTCACGTAATGAATGAGTGTGATGGGACCCTGCTAACATTTCCTAGAAATATCTCATCTCCCTTCACCCAGCACTTCAGTTATACCGAGAAGGTAGAATTTCTGGTCAATCGCATGTAGCGCCACGCCGGCCAGTGTCAAATACAAAACCTGGCCTCGATGCTCCCGGAAATATCCACGCAACCCTCAAGTTTGACAGCCAGAAGGGCCCACAAGGGTCACGGCGAGACAGTGTCCCTCAAGCAAGCGCAAACCACAATATGTCACCTTGTCAAGTTCATCCAGGCCCCCTTGATATGGCACCTATCGTCCCCGCTCGGGCCGGTGCCGCATCATCATTGCAAACGCACATTAATCCCAGAGCTGGAGGAAATGTTGGCTTCGCAGATCCGCAGGCGCCCAACCCTTTGCTGTTTGTGCAGAATCAAGCTCACGCACCTGCCGTGATTGGAAACGCACAGACTGCCGCTGCACATGCAGCAACGCAGCAGAACAGATCGACCCATATGCTGGAGGCAGTACCAGGGCACGCCCGGCAATCACAATTACTTCAACAACATGGAGAACTGCCTGGAAGCAGTGCCCCCGGAGCCACTTCATCCGCCTCGAACTTCATCCCAGATGTGCGACGAAATCCATCTGCATCTCTATTTTTCAACCTAAACGCATCACGCACTCCGGCATCGCCCCCACTCGCCTTCCCAAATACACAGCATACCCAGCCAGCTGAGGCTCGTGTACCGGTGGTATTCCCGCATACCCAAGATACGTGTTCTAATGAGACAGCCAACCCGTCACGGACTCAACAACATCCTTCACCAAGCCTCCAAGTTGCTATTGCAACCCATATTGCGCGCTCACCCCATCTCACTCAACACCTTAGTGGAGCACCGAGTCGACTCGCACCGCCTCAGGCAAGCGCTGCACCCAGTCAATCATCACATGCGTCGCGACTTGGTTCCACTTTAGGTGCTCAGCACCATCCCACCAACCCTTCCTTACACGGCCCGCCTCGAGGCAAGCATTCTACAGTCAACACGGTCACTCCGATCGCGACGCAACCATTCCCGTGTCCGCCCCGATCACAGGATCATCATTGTTTCTCGGGTGTTCTTAAAATCAGTGGGTCTGGTGCAGTACACTCTGAGACAGAGAAACGTCAAGATATTGCTCTTCCGCAAGTAGACAAAACCCACGAGGCTCCTCCCAGTCATGAACAAGGCCCCTTACTGAAGTCCATCAACGCCAACGAAATCTCCTTAGTATCTCCCACTGACGCGAAAGCACAGAGAGACTTTCGAATGGCGCTGAGCTCTTATGACAGCACAGATGCACAAGCAGATCCAACATTGTCAGTTTCTGGTCAGAAAAAGGCGCCAGTGCGGCTTCCTAACGAGACCTCGAATCGCTTTGCAGAACCACAAATGGATCCGGAACCGCAAAAAACAATGATCAAAAGCGATCATAGCCTCCAGGACCAGCAAAAAGATGTTGAGAGTGGGCCATTGGCAAGGATCTCGTCGACTGTGCCTCACGATCTTGCATCAGTTCGGCAAGGGCTGGCAATGCTACCAAGCCGCTCGGCTATGTTGACAGGTCACCAGGGCCGCGTAGCCCTAGAACCCCAGAAAGATAGCTCAACTAGCGTTACAAAGGGAATTTCACCAAATCTACATCTTCAATCTCGGATTCCCGTCCAAGTCCTAGCGTGGAAAGCCAACAACACCACAATCAGCCACAAGAGAATTTCACAGAGTTCTTTTCGGCTCTTGATCCGCGATATGTGTGCGCCAAGTGCAAACGTACTCTCCTGGAACCTGAGCGCTGGACTATACATTGCAGTGGCTGCAAGGACGACTGGTACTGCAGCTCTTCCTGCCAGCGTGGAGCTTGGAAGTCACATTATATGATCTGCAAGAAGACGGAACAACCCCAATCGACATTACCGGGAATTCCGACCGAGGTGCCGGATATTGGAGCCCGCTACGATCCGAATGACGAATTCAACGCGGCTTTGATGCCGTTGAGCGAGAATGTGCCATGTATGATATGTGGAGGAAAGCAGGAACATCAGTCTGATTGTATGGCTGCAGGTGAGTGTTGCACTGTCCTTGCTTCTATTGTTCGCAATGTATGCGAGACAAATTTGGATACCTTGAGAGAGCCCGAGTTGTTCTTCGATGGCTGCTACTCTCATTATCGCTTATCGCATCGCAAACACGGATTACAGCTGTCATCATTCACTAACATCGCCATGCAGACTTCCAATTCGGACCAGCTCCAGAATACAATGAAGCCATGCTGGAAGAGCTGCGAAGGCGTGTCGAGTATTTCGACCCAGAACAGTGGCGAGAGCACGGCCATCGCGATCTCCTTGACCGCCTGAACACTACCGACCCGCAGCCCATGAGCGAGGTCTGGCCGGGATTGATCGACGTCGTTAAGAACGAATCAAGCTACGAGAATGATGCATTCCTGCAAGCGGTTCCCGATCAGGTCCTTCCGCTCATGTGGGCCTTGCGAACTTCGGAAAATGTTGGTATGCAATTGGTCAACGAGTACGTGAGCTACAGTGCTTGGGTGGGAGTCCTTCAGCTAATTGGATATAGGAACGGCGAAATATATGACCCAAGTGATCTTTTCTGCTCTGAGGGCGGGGATGAGGGCAGCGCCGAGGCGATGGAGGGTGTCGAGTTGCCTCCATAAGTCTGGAGTGATTAGATCACTAGATAAGCTATTGGGTAGACTGGACGTGATGCGTTTCGACAAGATGTCAAGCTTGCATTTGATCGCGCAATCGTTCGCAAAAGGTTAGGCACACAAAGGAGCTTATGTGTTACCACGGTAGCCCTAGAGTGGACAAGGGTACTTCATTCAATACGATCTTCCTCGTGCGCTTTCCTGAATTGAACCTGATAACATCGTGAACGTAAGCTATATGATCCAGCGCATGCTCGGATTCTGGCGCAAATTTATCATGAGATGTCATCTGGCTGCAGTTCAGAGACGCCCGTTCTCCTTTCGGCCCTCGGAAACAAGCGCATAAACCCCATCCACGAACACACCCGACAATTCCGCAGCCTTCTGATCCCCCGTAGGCAAAATCTGCGTCATAAAAAACCCACACAGGCCTGTCTTCCGATCGACGAACCACTGCTGCATCGGCATCCCAGCCCAGACCATCGTGCCCGCCGTCCTGCCCTTGGCGTGGTCATCCGCATCCAGCATCAAGCCCGCCAGCCCCCAGTTCTTGCGCACGTTCTTCCTCGTGTAGCCCATGACGTTGTTCGCCTGGTCGATCTGCAGGAGTTCGTTCATGGCATCGGCCTGCGCCTGGTTGAGCTGCGGCGAGAAGAAGTCCTCGGCGAGGGAGGATGGGATGAGGGATCCGTCCAGCACGCCGCGAAGCACCTTGATGTATTCCTCGGCGGTGGCGAATAGGCCCTGCCCACCGAAGCAGCCCGAGACTTCGTTGCCCTCGTGGTCGAGGTACGGTGTTGTCACGTGCTCGGGTTTTTCGGGCGTGGCGGCGACTTTGCCGCCAGCGGTGCGGTAAGCAAAAGGTGCGAGTCGCTCTTTCAAGTCCCGCCGCTTGGACAGGTGGAACGTCATGTCCTTGACGCCAACCGGCCCCAGAATATGCGTCTTCAAGTACTCCTCCAGCGTTTTGCCGGACACGCGCTCAACGAGCAAACCCGCGTAGTCGATGCCCGGGCCGTACATCCAGCTGGCGCCGGGCTCGAAGGCGAGTGGGCTGTCGAAGCGCTCGAGGACCGTGCCGCCACGTTGGGTGTCCTTGTTGTTTGCTTTTGCCCACGCAATCATGGGCGGGGTCATCGAGTCGTAGACGAGGCCGGAAGTGTGCGTGAGCAGGTGGCGCAGGGTGATGGGCTTGGTGCGGGGGCCTTCGCGGGGCGTGCCGTCTTCGCCTGGGCGGAGGAGGATGGATTTGGAGGCGAGTTCGGGGATGTGCTTGGGGAGGAGGTCGGGGTCGTCGAGGGAGAGGTTGTTGGTGGAGACCAGGTGAAGGGCTGCGAGGGAGGTGAGGAGTTTGGTGCATGATGCTGGGATGGGTTAGTATGTTATGCTATGGTCAGTGCAATATAAATGACTTCGTGGGATAATGTACTGTGAACTGTTAGTTGAGGGATTTGGTGTATTCAAGGACGACAGTTGGACTCGTGGACGTACCCTATCCATGCGACAGTATCGACCTGGAAAAGCTCATCCCCGCCGATGGCAGCTTTTCCGAAAGACTTTGCATAAGTGAATGAGCCTAGAAACAAGCTTAGCATTCATGATTTCGATGTTCGCTTCACGAAGGTAGAAAGTCGTGTCACGGCTTTTGTGTCATATAGAGAGTTTTTGAAGATGCTTACCATCGCGATTGGTAGCCAGCAACGCACAACCAACAATATCTAGGTCTGTGCAAGCCATCTCAATGACTTTTTCGAAATCGTGGGATGCCATCGTGATACTGAGGATGCTGCCTTGCTAGCGCTGCGCGATCACAGATTGTTAGATTCGGTATTCAGCGTGTACAAAATGAGAAATAGTAGAGAAGATTGGTCGTTAAAATATCGTTGAATCTCACTCTCTAGGGCCAACTACTCGATATTTAGTCGGGCGGTACGAGGCGCTCTCCCGTCGTAGTGGCCCCCGGGGCCGATGTGGGGTAGTTTGCATCTGATTGGCTCTTACTATGGGTCTCGTACAGTGTACCTAGGCACAGTAGCCTTCGAGTCATTAGCACGATGTCACCAGTCCAGATGATCTCTTAGTTCGTACACAGAAGGGTGTGAGTGGGCGTCCGCTTCCAAAGGATGGACTGATGCGCGAGAAGGCGTACGGACGAAGTGTCGTGCGGATTACAAATGCCTAGGTCCGTGTCCATCAGCGGTTAGGATGCATCTTGCACATCACCCACACTAGGCACTTTTCGAGATGCTGAGGAATTCATAACGGTCATTATCGCTAGGGAACATTTATCTACAGACAAGACTCTTCTAGACATGGCGCCTCTTCGGCCAGAGTACTGTCGTTGGCTTCTACCCCGCCATCCAACTGCCGGAATATTTACACTGGGTATGTTAGAGCAGCTTTAACTTAAAAGCAGCTCATGAAGATATTTGGTCAAGATGTTCAAGTTCTCGGAACCGTAGGTAGAGGGAGATCGGATGTGTTGTCGTCACCCCCTCCTTTGCAAGGCCGGTTGAAGTAGGTGTAAGCAATGTCCGTCGCGGGCAGATTTCGCACGAAATCGATGCGCTTCGTGTCATTGCTCTGTCACAGGGTCAGCAGTTGCACAGTCTTCAAAGTCTCGGGTACTACTGACCATCCTTGCGAAAAACATATTCGCACCGCGATCCACGCCATCCATCCACATTCCTTGCTGTTCGACCCAGGTGAACGAGCTGTCTCCAGTACCAAAGGCTTGAAGAGCCTTGTTCTGTCCTTGGTTGGTGAAAACAGATACCTTGCCAGTGAATTTGTCGACAGCCAGGAAGTCGGCTTTTCCGTCGTTATTGACATCAGCGAATCGGTGTTCTGCTCGGTCTTTGCCAATGGTGTACTTGATCTGACCAACGTTCGAGAAGCCCTTCTCTGTGTTGAGAACGGCGCTTGTTGTTCCTTGTGGGTCAAGGCAGAGGTAGTCGACGCGGCCGTCGCCGTCGACATCAGCGAATCGGACGCCTAGATCGTAGCGAGAGACGCCCCATCCTTGGCTACAACTGCCGGCAATAGCTTGGCCCTTGTAGGAAAACGTGGGGGATGTTTTGTTGACATTCCAAGTATTTTGCCACCAGTCGACTGCACCAGACTTCTTATCGACGGCCAGAATGTCACAGAGACCATCGCCGTTCCAATCACCGAAGTGGATGCCTTTTCGGTCGCGGCCCACGTTGAAGATCTCGCCGTGCCCTTTCCAGTTTGGAAGGTTGCCGGTATTCTCGTAGAGATTGACGTTGCCAGCCTCGTAGACCCAAAGGTAATCGTCGTGGCCTCTACCGAACATGTCACAATAATAAACGCCATCCTGTGTTCTGTCAGCAGAAATAACTGTCAGGCAGCAACGGGGATCACTTACACCCTTGACCTTCCTGCCACCCGACCCAGTATTCTTGTAGATCTCGAAGTCGTATGTGTGCTTCCAACCCAAGGTGTCTTTCACATTGGTTTCCTTCATGGCAATATAGTCAGCTCTACCAGATCCATAGACCCTGCCAAACTTGAAATAGTCCACAGTTCTGTCAGCAAAACCTCCACCATGGGCGGCTGAAGCTTCGATCCAGTGAGGCTTCAAGCCCGCACCGTCGTCCTTCGTTCCACGTTGGTTGATGAAAATTCTAGTTTTGCCAGTAGAAGAGATCGAGATAATGTCAGACCTGAAGTCGCCGTTGATATCGACCAGACGAATGCTGGCTACGGCTCCGATACTTGATGAATCAAATACAACGTCCCCCCCAGCCATTGGCTCCCAGACAGGGTTGTCGCCTGTACCACCGTTGCGCCAGCAGTACAAGGAACCCGTGCCTTTGATGACACAGTAGTCGAGGCGGCCATCACCATCGATGTCGCCAACTCGTACGAATTCTTGTGTTCCCTCCGCGCTCTTGACGTTGTCAAGGTATACAAAGTTGGGAGGGTTGCCGCCTTTATTGATGGACACATACATGTTGCCTTCCTGTAACAGTGGTTAATCAGTGTATTGAAGTCAAAATTACAAGCCAGAATCTTACCGGACCTATGCAAATGAGATCATCCAGGCCATCGTTGTTGACATCTCCCCAGCGCGCGCCACGATTGTTGCAATGCATCTTCGGGTCGAAGGTCGTCCAGGTAGAGGCAAAAGTTCCTCCGTTGTTATTTTTAAACGAGAAAAGTGGAATACCATTGTCGGCAACGGGTTGTATGGAGTCAGTAATGCGGATGAGCTCGTCAGTCTCCTGACCACGATCACCACCATCGTTGACAAGATGCGCGAAATGATAGTTCTTAACCCATTGTCCCTGAGTCGCGGCAGTGCTGTTCTCGTGCAATGAATCCGACGTCACAACACCCATGCCCTGCGATGCATGAGCGTAGGTGCCATCGTCTGCTCCACTGCCTTGTTGTGTCAAGGTAGCCTCGCTGAAACTGGCGGGTGAGGTATCGCAGTCATAGACGTCATCTGGTTTCCCCGTACTGATCGGATCCTTGATCCAGCCTTTGTTGGTTGCCGCTACGAAAGCCTGGTCCCAAACCGCCGCCATCTTCTTATAGCCCGTATCAGTTGGGTGTGTACCGTCGGGAAGCTCCGATGGAACAATGAAACCCGTGTTCATGTCAGCAAGCTGCACCTTTTTACCTGCAGACTGATACGAAGAGACAAGGCTACGGTACCCCGCATTGATAGTCTCTACATAATTGTTCGCAGCGGCATTGCCATTCGGGAGTAATGTCGATAGAACAACGGTAACATCGTTGACTTGTTTGAGGATGTCATCGATCATTAGTTTCATGCGATCCTGAGCTCCTTGGGCAAAAGAAGCCCCGCCGTTCTGATCCGCCCGTATCGCATCGTTCGTCCCAGCATTGATCAACACAAGATTAGGCTTCTGATTTATGGCGCAGGAGACCTTGGTCGCGACTTCGGATATCAGGAAGCCAGGATGGCCTTCGTGCTGCTTGTCTCTCATCTGTCCGGAGGACACACATCCGATCATATTGACATTGTAGCCGCGCGACCTGAGCTGGTCCCTGAGGGCCTTTCGGTACCCATTGTGCGACACATCATTGGTTGTTAGGCCGTCGCCTCGCTGACCATAGGTGATAGACGCGCCAAGGGGCATTATTCGCAGCCATTGTCCGGCGCGGGGCAGTAGTTGCCTGTGGTTCCATTGAGTGAAGTCCTCGGCGATATCGATGCTGTGACGGGCAACCTGCTGGTACGAATACGGACTCGCAGCGACGTCTCCGAAGATGAAGAGCTGTATTAAAAGATAGAACAAATTACGAATGGATGTATAGTAGGCCATCGTAATTGGGGACGGCTGATGCAGTACTAATGAATCGCTCCAAGAAAAGATTAAGATTAGTGAGTGCAAGGGCGCACCCTAAAGATACACCCACTCAACGAAAGGACGAAGGAGGGCAGACAAAGCACCCTACACATATGTCGTGGCCCTGATCGGAGGTCCGGTCGTTTGCACCTCAGACGGACGCCTCCGGAAATTATAGCACTAATCTCAATAATGGCCATGCCGCAAAAAACTGGGGTCTATTGCATGCGACGGCCCACGTGCTGGCTCGATTGCTGACAAGAACGAGTAAGGATAGAAAACCAGCGGGCCCGAGTAATACAAGCCAGCTCGGTGAGCATCAGCAAGGTGGGAAAGGCTGCGCACCGTTTTTATCTGGGCCGATTCATGCCTGGAACAATCAGGGTCTAGCCTGCGACATTCGTATTATTAGCCGAAAATGGACAAAGTTCAGGAACTCACGATCCTCTTGCCCGATTTGGTGGACCCTCCGCGGCAACTGAGGGCCACAAGGCTGATGTGCGCAGGGGTTAAAGCGGCACTGATTGATGGAATCAGGCCACGATAGGGGGATGGTGTGCTGTATAAGCCGGTGGATCGGTTAGGGATTGGGGCTGGAGGGCTCGAACGCTCGGTCATCCCCATTACAGTCGGATTGCGAGTGAAGTTATTATTGTCACGAGCATGTCTTTGAGGAGATACTCCGTGGTGTTTGGATCGGCATCTCTACTGGCTCGTGATGGTGGATCGTCCATTTGGGGGGCGCTTCGTGGCTCCAATGATATTAAGTCGCAGTCGCTTGTGGAAGATCCAGTGGCAAGCGCTCTCCCCATGTGCATGGCAGTTCTTGAAGTTCAGGGTCGACAGAAAGGTGCAGCATGGAGACCAGCCTTGGACGCGTCGCAAAATTGCGATAAAGTGTCTATCTCCGACTTGCAAAGAGACCAACCAAATTACCCTTCTTCATCCTTTTCCAATTCCACAGTCGATATATGAAACCGGCTCCTTCCCCTCAACCAACCTCCCCACTTCCAGAGAACCAAAGGTACGGGCGCAAGCCCCACTGCAATGAACGCTAGCGTGCTACTAGCCCACGGCGTGCCCATACGCACATACATCTGCCTTGCGAATAGTGGGAATCCAGCACTGAACAAAGATCGCAGAACTGCATTAGCAGCCCATGCGCTCGCAGAGAATCTACCGTAGCAATCGCTCAAGTACGCATTTGTGCCTAGGAATATCGTAACGAAACCAATGCCAAAGGGCACGCCCGCAGCTATTGGAACGATAGGATGGGTAGGTGGAGGCGCAGTCCAGCCAAACCAGAACAACGCAGTGGGTATGAGCCACGCCAGGAAAATGAGGTGTGGGAGTCGTGCTTCGGGTTTGAGACCAATTTTGCGCACGACTGCGCCGTGCAAATCATTTATCCAAGGTGAGCTTGCCGTCGCAAGAGCCATACCAACACCAATGCCAATGAAAGATAACCCAGATTTACCTTGGCTCCAATCCCGGCCCTGTTGGAAAACGACCGGGTATGCGGTGAAGTCTAGATACAGAATGCCCCAGATGAACGCAGAGTAAAGGCCGAGCGTAAATAGGATAGGTTCTGTGAAGAGCATAACCCAGGGACGTGTCAGATCCGTTGCGTACCGTTCCTTGAACGTCATCCGAGGAGGCTTGATGCCTGTCTTCTCTCTCTTCCAACGAAGGAGTACCGTAGTGTACGTTTCTGGGAGGAGGAAAACCATCGCAATGTACACGGCGCCGGACACACTCGTGACGATCCAGTAGTGCCATCTCCAGTTGAGGTGCTCTGCCACATAACCTCCTACAATCGGCGCTACAACGGGCCCTAGCGAACTTCCTGTCGTGAACAGCGCAAAGGGGACTGATCTTTGACTCTGTGGCCAGATGTCTGCCAGACTACCGCCACTGTTCGTAACGGAAGGCGCACCGAAGAAGCCGCACAGGAAACGTAATATGAGTAAAGCGTATATGTTTGGCGAGAGGGCACACGCCAGGTTGAAACAGATGAATAGTCCCAATACCACACGGAAGATGAGTGTTCGTCCCAGTACCTCCGAGAGTGGTGCAAAAAGTAATGGCCCCGTTGCAAATCCGAGGAGAAATGTGGTGACGGGGAGCGTTGCTACCGTTTCAGAGACGTGAAAAGCTTCAGATACGCCCATGATGGCTGCAGTGTGGATGCTGGAGGCGAATGTGATGTTCGCGGTCATGAGTACAATAATGAGAGTCGCCGACCATTTTTTGCTTGCGCGCCAGTTCGTTGGCATTTCGTCTGGTTCGAGCTGTATGGTAGTGTGCATGGACAATTGCTCATTTGCCTTGGTAATAGTCGCATTATTCTCCAGATCCAATTCTCGGCCCTGTCCGGGTATTTGCGTCGCTCGCAGCATTTTGATTGGATCTTTGAAGGAGAGGACAAAGCATATACGGCAACAGTGAAGGACTATACATCAGTTCCTAGCTCTCCTGATATAAATGCGCATCATGAGAGTTAGCCCTAGCCTATTCCAGCACACAAACTCTTCGGACCGCCCTTTCGCATAGTTTTGCTGCTTCAAAGATCGGAAAATTAAACACATGATCTCACGACCACTACCCAGATATTATCGTAAGGATCCTTGGGGTTGTTCAGTGTGCAAGCGAAAGACGACCGCGGCTAGCAGCGAGGGAGTTAGTCCGATTCGCTCTGCGATCAACTCCGAACCCCGACGCAGCAATCTCACAGAGGGCGCGTTGCAGACGGGGTTGGAGGAATTCTTGCAAACGATGACTCAAGTCCTCTAGAAGCCGGCGCGTTATTGATCAGCTTCCTTGGAGGGTTGATCTGGCGCCTCGATGTTCCGGCTCCGAACAGTCAGGGCCCGGAGTTGACGTAGGAATCGCTGGCGACTACAAAGAGTGCGTTTACCGGCCCTGCAGATGTGGATGGTATTCAACTGGTCCATGTTGCTGCATAACCTCCATCTATCGGGAAGTCTATCGGTTCACTGCCAAAATTGATCGGGTCACCCCAGAAGCCCTGGACGGCGTTAGCTACACTTTCGTGTGGTACAAGTAGACTCACGAAGTCGAACTCGGGCAGTCCCCCATTCGTCTGCGTATTGCCGATGATGTTGTCAAAGTTAAAATCGTTGAAATGTATTTCCGACTGTTCAACCGTCTGCATTGGCTGCAACATTTGAGGCGGCTGAGGCTCAATAGCTGGTGCCATAATCGGCTGAGGCGGCTCTTGTTTAGGGAATGAGGTCATCGTCTGAGGATACATAGTCATTCCGTTGAGAGGCAGGGATGCTGTCGTCTGTGAGGTATTGCTGTAAGGGAGCGGCGAGGCTTCGGATTGATTTGACTGTGTGCTTCCCTGCTCAGCAACGAGTCTATCGATCATACTCTTGACTGCTTGCCATGGTCGGGTGTGGTTTTGCTCTTTGAGCAATCGGGACAGCTGAAGCGCTCGAATGGCCCGATATCGATCTGGAGCGTCAAAAAGCGGGTTACGTAGCTCGGAAAGGACGTGCCTAATTGCAGACGAAGGTTAGCGGAGTTGTGTGTGTGCCTCGTATCAAAACTTACATGATAGCCTGGAACGCAGCATGGCCTCCTGTTTGCGTTAGCTGCAGCAAGACAACTCTGAAAGGGCATGGTACCTATGTGCCATTGAAAGCGCGCTGCGTCCACGTCTGCTGATGCGCCATTCAAGGTCTCAATCATGTTCACAGATTTCTCGAAAATGCTGCAGAAGAGTGTTAGTCGTTCAACTGGACCTTGACAATATTCTTATTAACTTACGATTTTCGCACGTCGATTGAGAAGACCACGTCTCGGAAAGCGCGTGGCATTCGAAGCCAGAATAGCACGTAGCACCTCCACTCTAACAATGTTGCTAGGCCAAGAGACAATCTCTGTATGGGGACATCTCTACTGGCAAACCGCAGGAACTTCCGGTAGTTATCTTCATGCATCTCCTCGACCATGTTCTGGATCTGTTGATATATAGTCTGCAGTTCCAGAGCAGGATCAGGCCCAGATGTACCATGCAGTCCAGACTCGAGCATACGTCGCTCTAAACGATAAGTACTCTTGATAATCCTCCTCGATGCGCGCGAACCAACGAAGCGGATCAATTGATAGGTCATGGATGTCCATCTTTCTTCGTTATAAGGAGTCGCTCCTGGACTCTGACCCTCGATCAATTCTTCGTCTTCAATGTTGCGAGGTAGCAGCGTCGTGTAGTCATCTTCGGCTATGCTTGGTTCCTGTCCTTTGGCTTCAGCAGCTCTAAACTCAAGAGAGCAGATCTGATGCCAGGCCCTTCGTCGGAGTTCGACAGTAACCACATCAAATGTGCCAGCTGGAAACAAGGATGGATCTCGATGGAGCCCTTGATTCAAGGCTATCCGGATGGCAATCCCGAGGAGCGCCCACGCTTTGCCTATGCCACTTTAGCAATGTGCACGCGTTTAGTCATAAGCCTTGACGAACCTATATCTTCTTCTCTTGTAATACATGTCAGCCAGATAAGAAAGGCTTGGAGGATCTCCAGGCTTGGACTGGTGAGGTAGTTTCCACGCGCTAGTCCGATCTCAATTCCCAGCTCAAACTTCGCCATGAGCTCTTCTCGTGATTCCCCGAACCTATTTTCAACCAGTGCAGGTGGTAACGAGTTTATTGCTGAATAAAATATAGCGAATACAAGCGGATGCACGTTTTGTACATATGAGGGTAATTTGCTTATCAAGCTTGGCCTATGTGTGATCCTGATCACCGGGTCAACATTTGAAAAGTATGTCTCGAGAAGTGCGTCGCGCTGCTCCTGGGTTTCCGGCATCAGCGTTTCGAGTGAAACTCCGAGTTTCGCTCGGCCAAGTCCGATGGCATGTATGAGGTTGTTCTGTGTCGGACCGTCTGAATTTTCATCCGTTTTATCGCCCAAGAGCGCCTTGATGTCTTGGATCTAGTAACAATATTAGAACCGTTCAGAATATGAGCCAAAGTGTCGTATACCTCATCAGCGAGAAGGGCATAGTGCAACGACGACACGAATTTGCTCTGCCCGCCATCAAGGAGAAGTGTCCCGTCGTGGTTGTCCGAAGATATGCCAGCTCCCTGTGAGGTCTGGCTAGTTGCTGAGGGTGAGAGTTCTGAGTCATGCCCGTGCTCTTCATGACGGACATAACGCGGAAGCGCCTGCGGCGGCGCATGTCCAGCCACTGCCTTCTCTAAAAGAGACTCAAGCCGATCCAAACGTGCCTGTACATCGCCGTTTCTCGACAGCTTGCCATTACCGGTAGAGGCCGGTTTTGAAATTCGAGTACCACCTGAACCCACAGTCGAGCCAAGCATCTGGTCAGTAGAATAGGTGCATACGTGATTGCCACGCGTGCACGCTCCGCAGATTGGGTGAACATGGTCACATTTGACTTTCCTTCTCCTGCACGTGAGACAAGATGAGATAACGCGCTGTCGACCTCCCGGGTGTTTTGGTGCGCTGCCCGGAGAATGTGGTGTAGAACCCGGTCGTGATGAATCTATCATATTCGTACGATTCCTTGAGCTTATCCAGCCGATGTAGGTGAGACTGATGGTCTGAACAACTGGGAGGCGACGGCTTGCGAGGAGGAGGTTTCGCGATACTCTCGGTACCCTACGGATTCTGACCTTACCCTTTCTGGGTTAGGGCGGATGATAAAACACTTTCTGTCGGTGACGCGCTCACCTCGATCGTATGCGGCTCTGCTGCGACGAGGAAACTCAGACACTCTCAGCTTCGATGATAGAGATTTTCGTCATAGATGGTCCTCATCAATTGAAATGCGATCCTCCGATTGGTAGGAATACGAGCCACGAACCTCGGCACGCTATGACAAAGCAACCGAGCTGCTTCAGGCCATCGTGTAAGCGGCGATCGGAGCGGACTGATGCCGTCACACGTGACAGCGCGGGATCCCTAGCACCAAAACCACACCGAAGTCTGGATGTTAATTCTTTGTCTCGATTAGTTTGCGCCTCTTACTACATATAATGGCACTCGTAGCTTTCAACGGTTTTCCAAACAAGCTCATGATAGATATTCTTTATTTGCCCGGCTTTGTGTCAATCGAGCAACCCCCGTAGACCCATGGAAATCATGACGCTTCGTCTCCAGCGGCTTTCGGGGTTATCAAAACCGCGAACGACATTCTGCGATACGAATGTTGAGCCATGCAGTACTGCAGCGCCTAGTCTAGGCGCCAATACATTGATTTTCAACACTAGAGCATTTCAGTATGTATACGAAGTAGTGCAGGATAAGGGTACGATTTACCTCGCAACATCAGCCTATGCCCTACACTGTTACCTGTTCGCTCCTGATGAGATGGCCATCTCAAGTTAGCGATCCTATCCGAGTGCAGACCCTGTGTCACATGGTCTAAGATATCGTGTGGTCAAAATTGAGTACATCCGACAGCGTGCCTAAGTGTAAGCACTGCGCTCACTTCGACCACCAAATCAACACGGAAACACGCGCGGTACAGCGAGCTAAGAGCACCCACACAATAAGAACTTATGCGCGCCCACAAGGATCTCCACCTGTTCGAAGCGACTTCATCGGCCCAATGACAGCAACAATAACCTCCAAGTACCACCCCCAGCGCTTCATCAATAATGAGGCAAGTTCTTTCGCAATCTCTGCATTCTATCACTGAGGTTACCCCTTTCTTCTACCGCACGTGCTCCTGCCTCATACCTTTGCTTTCTCAGCTGTTCCCACCTTTCCTTCTCACTTCTTCATCTGCATGTGAAGGATCACATACTTCTACGCACCAAAGTCGCCGCTCCATTGACTCAAATTACATAGTACGTTGACGGTCATTTCCTCGAACGCCATACGATATACTCTTCTCATGATGAGAGTGTAGTCGCATCGGATATCCACTGCGCCTCCCCAGCCGATATAGACATTGCTGCTGCTGCTGCTGCTGGAACAGCTGAGGGCGAGTGGGCAACATGGTCTGCGCTGTAGAGAACAAACGTCAGTACAGACTCTCTCACTTCTATGAGAAAACACGACGAACGGCTTGCGGACAGTTCTGAGTATTTTGTTTTGCACCCTCTCCGCTTTGTTACTCTGTTTACTGAATTCTCTCCGCCATACAGGTTACGCTTCGCTTTACTGACACCTGGTCGATGAACACATAGACGAACTCACAACATGGGAGGGTCGTTGCAGGGGACAGCTGCTTGCGGTGACGAAGATGATATATGGCATACTTGGTGAGGTATTTAGGTATTTGTATGGCTCCCGCCCCCGCTTTTTATCCCGTTGTAAAATTTGGATGCTGAAGGCTCTTCCTGCCATAGTACGGGCTGGACGGATAAACTCATCGGTGGTTCATTCACTGGAGCCCATGGAGTCGACAAGGTACTTCATAACTGGCTCAGCCACCAGAGCGTGCTCTCTACTGACCACCAGCCAGATCGTCCAATATGAGCCTATAATATAAGCCTATCAGTGTTTGCGCTGGGATATGTGCTTGGAACGCTAATCCTCTCTTCTTCGGGATCAAAGTTGCCACTGCAATGGCAGTTGGGTGCGCAGTTACCACAAAGGGGTCCAGTTGGAATCTTGGCACTTTGTAACTTCCTCAAAGGAGCCAATTTTCCGCCCGGTAAGCCGTTATGCATCACAGATTCTAGCAATGTATGCTCATTGCAGCCTAGGCGTGATCCAAATCGTCTCTGGCGATAGCAAGGTGGGATTAATGCTTGCCAGCCATATGGATATCAACAAGATCTCGTTTACAGGGAGTGCCTTCGATGGCAATGAAGTGCAGGAACTGGCTGCGAAGAGGTGAACCTTGCGCGCTCAGACGTAACCAAAGGCATGCCAGTGGCTCACTTTCGTCTAGCAACTTGAAGTGTGTCGTTCTTGAACTAGGTGGCAGATCAACCTCGCTCATTTTCTCGGATGCCAACCTTAAAAATGCGATCCAGCACCACAGTCGAGGTTTTTTATTCAATACTGCCCAAGCGTGCATCGTTGCTTCCCGAACCTTCATTGAAGAGTCCATCGCTCCCAAATCTATCGAAAAGCTGAAAATGCGGTACGAAGAGCTGGCCCACGCAACGGGCGACCCAGCAGATAGCAAAACGTACTGAAGACCAATTGCAGATGCTAAGCAGTTCGAGCACTTGGTGAGATTCCTCGATGTTGGAAAGAGCGAGGCTGAGTTGGTGACAGGAGGGACACGGCGTGGCGAAAAAGGCTTCTAGGTGGAACCCACTGTCTTTCTGAGTCCTAAGGACGACGCACGCATCTATCGCGAAGAAATATTCGGGCCTGTGATACCTATTCGCACGTTCAAGACAGAAAAAGAGGCAATAAAACTAGCCAACGATACCAACTACGGTTTATCATGTATGCAGCATATTCAGGTTCTTAATGGGACTTTTGCTGACTCTTCACAGCATGCATCTTCACGACTTCTGTGAGCCGCGTACTCTGACTCCCCAAACAGATCGACGTGGTTACGGTGAGCGTCAACTCCTCGCAGCAATTCGCATTTGATGCACCCTGCGGGGGCGACAAACAGTCTGGAGTAGGACACGAAGGCGGAAAGGGCGGCTTAATGCATCATGTTGAGGCGAAGTTGGCGTTGATCAAGTGTGTCGTTCTTTCCAAAAAGTACGCTCTGATAACGGTGAACAGTATGGCGGTGTAGGAGTTCTATCAGAACTAGTCGTGCCTATGGGCGGGAGTACAACACAATATGAGTTTAATCAAAAATAGATCATCTGAAAGAACTTCTTTCTTACGAAGTTGAATTATAATTTACCGTTTCTTAACTCGCGTCAATTTTGTGCCTGCACCCTAGGCTGTGGAACTTTACGAGAACAGGAGGCTGCAAATTACGGCGTATTACAGACATTGTAAACGAATCTAATTGTCACACCTTATTAATTGTGAGACTATTCTATACTTGGATGGTGACCTCTTCAATCAAAGGGACTATCAAGCCTGTAATCTATCATCCAACCTACGGCGATGAGCTGTGCGACATGTTCGAGCGATTGAGAACGCGACCTTTCGACTCGAGCTTCTGGGTTGAATTTCCTTTCTTCAGCAACGAATTGCATCCGTTGGAGGTCCCGTCTCAGTCTTGTTGCTTATTTTTCTATCAACTCTGTTGTGCCCACCTGCGCACATTCATACCCTAAGGCTGTAGCCATAGACATCGCGAGCGTAGGCAAGGATCTCAAGGACCCCGCTTGTGACCGCGATAGCCACAACCTATAAGCGAAAAGGGTTCGCATACGATATATCTTACACGAACAAAGTTCCACAATGCCTGTGACAAGGATGCTGAAGTAGATTTTCGACAGCTTATAGTGCTTCTCTTGCCATAAGAGAACGTCTATTCTCTTATGCCGTCCAACAGCATTTCCACAACACTCTCATGTCCCTGCTCCACTGCGTAGTGCAGGGCATCCAGCCCCTGCTTGTCCAGAAGCTTGGTATTTGCTCCGTGCTTCATGAGAATTTCTACTATTTCTTCATCGCCAGACTCCGCGGCGATGTGAAGGGCCGCGCGGCCATTATGGTCCTGCTCATTGATGCTAGATACTCCACGACGGAGCAACAAACGCACCATTGACTTTTTCCGTGTACCTATCGCCACATGAAGCAGGGGGGATCGCATTTGCGAAGATTTGTAGCAGCCGCTTGATGGCAGTGCTGCGAACAGTTGTCCCATGCTAGAAGTGGAACTGGCGGTTGAGCTTCCATTTGGATGATAGGAGCTGATAGAGGAACGGTAAACTGGAGATGCAGATGCTGAAGAAGGCGTCGTTATAGCAGGAGGAGTGGGGATCTCACTCGGTACCACTTGTTGGGTTCTCGATAAGGCGTTGTCGTTCGATTCTGCCAGAAACGCCAGTTGCTGTTGGAAGTATTGTCCGCTCGACTCGATGTCTGTTGGGCCGAATAGACTTTCATATGAAACATCTAGATACGAAGGGTTTGGTGTCATACCACCGTCCAGCATCGTATCAAAGTTATGTGGTATTTGAGGCGATGGAGCTACCGAAAAGGTAGACGGTAATTGCCATTGGACTGGCGCTTGATTTAAACCCAGCGACGGAGAGACCGGTTGGTCTGTATTGTGGGAGAATGCAGTGTCTCGTTGGCAGTATAAGTCCTCGGCGTTTCGCACGGTATCAAGATCGTTGGAAGCTGCGGATGCAGGCTGGTCTGCGTTTGTAGCGGTGTTGGCTTTCTGCCGCTCTACAAAACATGTCAGATCCTTTTCCTTTGACCACAATTAGCAGGTTGAGGGCCAGGAAGTAATTTTACCTCGAAACCTTTGCTGAGCAACACGATTTTGAAGTCTTCTTTGCGCAGAAACTGTACGTTTATGTTCCACACCAACAATGTTGCTATTTTCTCGATCCAGCATGTTTTTTTCTGTTGACTGGTTACTAGTGTAGAATACAATTTGTTGGTGGCTGCAATGCATGCTATTGCCGTAAGACATACCGCGCGGGGGCTGGTCGCTTAAGTCGGCAAGTATGCTGGGCTCTTCGTAAAGCACGTCAGTTCCCGGACGATGCTATGGGTTTCAGCTACAGCCAAGGTGGTACAGCGGACTTTCCTATTTGTCCACGAGTAAGCTTACACCTACATTGCATCTCGGGCTTCAACGTCTGTCATGTCCGTCGCATGATGTATTTTACGATCTCGGTTTCGATACGAACAGATCGAGGAGAAAAACCCGCCGTATATGTAGCAAGACACATCTGAGTGATATAGAATGGCGGCTGAGATACTACAATTTCTGCCTCGATTATTTATTTAAGGTGTTCCAAAATGTAAAAATCTCCCATTATTGTTTCCTTATCATTAAGCTATTAAGTCGTTACGCAGCACACTATCTTCCCGAAATTTTGGGTAGGACATCGCATGACACGAATCAGCATTTAAATCCGGAAGGTCGTGACTAGAGCCGTGGCAAAGATAGCGCCGTACATCCTTACGCTTCCTGCCTAGAAAAAATAATCTCAAGGCGAGCCGAGCCGCATACTGCGAGTTTAATATGCTAGCTCACGCACGAAGTTTTTTCTGTTTGTGGTCGTAGCGGCTAGGCATGAATGGCTCTGAGCTCGCTACATTGGAGCCTAACATTCAGCTTTACATGCGTCCGGCGTCCACTTTTCTTTTCGTAAGTAATCACAAGTTCTTCCAATTTAAGTCGAAAACATGATCTTACTGGGAGGCTATACACCGCTTCGTCTGTCGGTGGTCTGCCATAGCAATAAGACCTCAGCTTGCTTGTGTCGAGTTTATTACCCGATGGATTGCAACGTTGAGTCCGGATAGCGAATGGCGTGGGGGAATCTCACCATTCCGTGCGCCTCAGCCGCTGACGATCCCCGTCCAATTAAGATAGCGTCAGCACCATTTACTTGATTTCAAAACCTTCGCGTCGTACATGTAGTGTAGAGCCGATTCGTCCATAGCGTTATCCGTTGCCATGCATGATACCGGCATCCTTCCCTGAGGGTGCGGCAATTAGCCAAGTCTCACAAATGCAGTATCATGCGTTCGAGCTACCAATCGAATCCCAGATGTCCATTCTTTGCTGTGAGGGATGCAAGACCCGATTTTCAGAGTCGAAACAGTACAAAATTCCTTAATAAAAGCATGTCTCTATTGCGCAACATACATACGTAAAATCATCACCACGACTTCCACACCTAGTCGATCTTCAAGAACGAGCTCACCTGTCAAGCTTGAAGTAGCCCTTCCATAGCCGTGCCAACTTGCCTTGTGGATCGTATTTTCGTGCAATCTTCTGGAGTCTCTCATAGTTCTCCTTCCCGTAGCCCTTCTGCACCTCCTGCTTGGCGTCCGCGTAATTCAAATACACGAACGGCGTGTATACCTTGTACTTCTTAGCCTTTTCTTCGACGTCGGCGATCAATTTACGCGTGGCGCCATAGGCGAGATCATCATTCTGCGGATTTGCCCAGGACATGGGAAAAGATATCAAGACCAACGGTCCGTTCGAAGGCTTCAGTCCCATTGCGTTTCCGCCATTCTTTTGCATTGCTTCCAGAACGTTCAATGGAATAGGCTGGAAAAGTGCAGTAGGGGTAATGTCATCTTCTCCCTGCGTTTTGAACAGGCCAACATTGCGAGTTTCATAGAGAGACAAGATTTCGGCAAGAAACTTGTTTGAGAAAGAAGCAGAGACGACGACATTGCCCCATGTCCATCGACGGCCATATGGCGTAGCGAAATTTTTGAGAAAGGTTGAGACATCAGCTGTGACGGTGGAGTTGGCAGTTGCCGATGGGATTCTTTGGAATGGTCTGAAAACTGCAGGTAAACCCTCTCCAGTGGAAGGTACTGTGGCGTGTAGAAGGCCTACGTCGGTTGAGTATCCACCGGTGGAGCCATGATAGTTTATGCCAACGAAGCCAGACGCGGCTTTATCCGCAGGGAACCCACGAGCTGTAAGGTTTTGGAAAGCATTGATGACCGTCGCATTTGAACTGCCAGGGAAGCTCAAGGCGTTCTCCCAGATTTTCCCTTGCTTGAAGGCGACAATTTCGAACCTCGTCACAATACCGAAGTTCAAGCCACCCCCTCCCCGCAAGGCCCAGTACAGGTCTTTGTTTTCGCTTGGGGACGCATAGACAACACGGCCTGACGCGAGTACGACTTCGTAACGACGTACGTTATCGCAAGCCCATCCGTACTGTCCCGAAAAGTACGAGATTCCCCCACCAAGGAGCAATCCACTGACGCCAACATTCATGTCGCGCCCTCCCACGACGGAAAGGCCAAGGGGATCGAGAGTCTCAGTAACATTAATCCAGCGGTTTCCTGGACCGATGGATACAGTCTGTTGATCAGAAGAAACCTTGATGTCGTTGAGGTGCACCATGTCGATCGTCACACCATTTTCGATACTGGAACCACCGGCGAATGGAATATGGCCGCCACCCTTCACCGTGAACGGAAAATTTCCTTTTGTCAAGACTTCCATTATGGTCGACACGTCTTTGGTACTCTTGGGGGTCACAAAGCACTGCGGTTGGGTCTCGAGCTGCTGTTGAGACCAGTAAGAGCTCGATTGAGTGAAAGCTGTGGTGCTTGGCAGGGCAACATCTTGTGGCAATACAGTAGCTAGAGCTGCACACTGAAGGTTAAGTCAGCAGCATGTATGTGACTGGGATGTAAGTGGACCTACTGCGTCGTCTCGTGCATGTAGAGGACTCTTAGTTGCCAGTGTTATCCCGCTAAGTACTAGACTGAGAGTTCCAAAAGTTGCAACAACCATGTTGATCGCTCCGTTTCAAAGATATGGAGACTGTACACTTTACTTTTGTGAGAGAAGCCGCGCCTATGGTACAGACGAGATATATTGACTACACGGTACCGCTTTATAAGTGGTGTGGTCCTCCTGTAATATTAGTGGCGTCTCCAGCTGAGCACGGCCATGTTCCTTCGGTATAGCATAAAGCCACTCAGAAAATCTAGAGGTGTGCTTCTCAGGACTCAATTACGATAGCACAGACACTCCGAAGCCCCCTTGCTTACCGAAAAGTGGCGCCTGGGTGTGCTTATGGGCCCCCTGCCTGGAGAACGGAGACATGATCCGTACTGAGGTCGTATTAGACAAAAGTAAGCACTCAAGTTCGGCTGAGGCTTTCGCGTTGTTTCAACTGATCCTTCCCTAAGCCCGTCATCCTTCAGCCCTTCCAGATCATTCCATCTTACCTGTTCGGACACAGTGTCCATGCCCGATGGCGAGGGCCACGTGGAGCTATCTTGGGTCCCATGTCTAGTGTGTTGTAGGTATAAGCGAGCCGAGGAATATCGTTCTTGTAAGAATGGGATAAACACGTGACTCATTTATTCACCAAAAGTCCTCGAAAGAAAGCCTGATTCCCGATGAGTGAATCTCCCATTCTGACACCATACGAAGCAAGATCATGTCAAATCATCCACGCCACGGTCGCCTGGGAAAAAGCCGACAGGGGACCCACATATTCCTGACCCAAGTACGGGTTGGCTGAAGAAAGCGTCGCGTACAATGATAGGGCTTCAAATAGTGAGCTAATGTCAGGGCCGATGACGGATTTGCCACAAGAGCGGCCCAATACGAAACACGAAGCCGAGGAGGCACACAGAGAGAATTAAGATTAGTGGACATTTCTGCTAAAGAGGAAGGTAAGAGTTGCAGGACCGCATTTTTTTTATTTTGGCTAAGCTAATCGCTGGCGTCTAGACATCAGACTCAAATTCTGGCGTACGTGACTTTATGCATGGTCAACCGTCGAAAGGCTCACCGATCATCACCAGGGGATCTCTTCACGGGTGTCGACGTCGAGGAATTTGCCCGAAGTATTCTCCCGCGTTGCCGATTTGATCACCTCGATGATCTTGCCGGCACTCTCATCGCCCGAAGTCTCGGGCAATGCGATGCCAGCGCCAGTAGCAGCCGCAATTCCCATATCTGTCAGAACGAATCTGTGAGTTCATTTTAGCGCTGATCTTGATTTTTCGCCAAATACTTCCACCCTATTGAACGACTTACCCCGGGTGGATTGCAAAAGCAGTAAGAGATGCGTTTGCAACATGGAGGGTTCTTCGAACCATATTAGCTCATACTTTGACGCTGAAATGAGGTCTGTTGGTTTCATCTTACTGTGTGAACCAGTTTTGTGCAGCCTTCGACATACAGTACGCAGCCGCGTACGGGTACCAAGGCAGTGGAGCAGAGGTGGAACCGCCGCGACTTGAGACGGAGATCCACTTTGGGGCGCTTGAATTTGTGAGCAGTTTGCTCACTGCCTGGTACAGCACAACGCCTGACAAGACATTGACGTTGAAGCTCTCGGTGAAGGCTTTGGGGTCGGCCAATTCGAGAGGAGCGGCGCCAATGGAGATGCCAGAATTGGCGATGACAACATCGATATGATCGACTCCAGCAGCCTCAATGGTCTCGACGGCCTGCTTCGGGTCCTCAGGGTTTGTGTTCTCGATGCCGACGACCAGTAAGCGCGAGCCGCTTCCCACGGATAAGCCCTTGAGTTCCTGAGCTTTCGGAGCCTTAGGGTCGCGAACGGTCGCTATGACAACATGATCCGGATACGAGAGATAGGCGGCTGTTAGTGCCTTCCCAATGCCTGCATTTCAGAGGTTATTAGGACAGTGAGAACAGCGCACTGGGTTCATTCCCGAAGCAAGCCAGAACATACCTCTGCCGGCGCCAGTGATGAGAACTACGGTCGAAGGAGCCATGATTTGGTTTCAGTTGATTAATCTTCTTTGGATTTTGGATAGCTGGACTTATAAGGACCAAGAAGCGAGCATTGTGCACTTTATGTGCAATTTCATTAGAGGCGAGAAGTGCAAAAATATGCCAAGGCTTCGGAATCGCTCGGTGTAAGGCAGTCGCGAGATTGCTAATCCAATTATTTGTTGTTCTTGGCAGTCCCGGACGTTTGGAAAGAGGCGCCTTTGTCTTTCTGAGCAGGTGCCACAAGAGAAGTCCTTTGGGACAAATCGGAATTAGCTTAACGCAGGTGTTGATGCGCCTAAGCGATGCACGTGGGGGCGTCCAGAGCCGCATCATACAACACAAAGTTTGCTTGCGAAACTCGGTCGCTTTCCCGCGAGGGGAAACATGGGTATGACCGTATCAAATGATGACGAGCCCATTCACAGATGAACCAGGATCAAGGTTCTAAGGTCCTGTCCAGGCAACAATGTCTCGCATGCAAGTGCCAAACATGACTGCATAATCCGTCGGATTGACCCTTCTCTTCGGGAATAACACGCCACCATGCACTTGCACCAGGGATCAGCATCAACAGTCGATAATGTCAAGATGTTACGTATCTAGGTACTACCTGTCATTTTACAGTTACATGTAGATCTGTAGACCAGCCGATACCATTACTGCGCCTAAGCCATAGAAACCGTGAGCTCGGGCATGTAAGCAAGGTATGCGACATTGATTATCTGCATTTTAGATTCTCAGCGTTGTTCGCGAGATGCGCTTGCTATAGCTCCGGTGAGACAGTTCAGCCCAGTACCGAAATGGTCTGCCATTGACCTCAGTAACCGTTTCTGGTGATCCAGAAAAGCTCATGCGATGTATGTGATCACCCAGAATCGCGCCTCACTGTACTGCTGAGTTTGCAAATAACACTCAGTGTCTTCCTTCTATCGCTCCTTGCAATCTAGACTACTGTCTGCCTCCGTTCCGTCAAAGATGGCCCTCCCAACATCAGGGGCTGCCACCCTCTCAGAAGCTGTGCTTGCGTTGGTTGCGCTATACACTCTCTGTGTTGTCGTGTATCGGCTGTACTTTAGCCCTCTTTCAAAATTCCCCGGACCAAAACTTGCAGCCGCCACAAGTTGGTATTCAAAGTACTTCGACCTTGTCGCTAAGCGCCATGGGGGCCAGTTTCCGATGGAGATCAAGCGAATGCACGAGGAGTATGGGCCAATCGTGCGGATCGCCCCAGACGAGCTTCACATCGACGACCCAGAATACTGGCAGGAAGTTTACTGCAACAATAGCGCAACCAGGCCTATAGACAAGCAAGAAAAGCTACAGCACCGTTTCGGCCTTCCTGATGCCATCTTCAGTACTCCCCAGGCGGAACTGCACCGCTCAAGAAGGCAAGCAATGGCTGGTTTCTTCTCTCGCCAGCGGTTACGCGAAACTCAGGGCAGAGTCAATCAACTCCTGGAGCGAGTCTCGCAACGTGTCTCCAAAGAATATGCTGGGTCCAATCGTGTTCTCGACGTCGGCGAAATGTTTTCGGCCCTGGCGGTTGACATAGTCACGGAAGTGTGCTTTCGTCGCTGCACCAACTGTACTGAGGCACCTGAATTCAAGGCACCACTTGTGGTCACCATCATAAACAACATTTGGCTGAGCCACTGGAATGCGCATTTCAGGTTTCTACTAGCTTGGATTGAGCTGCTCCCAAACAGCTTCATCGGTATTCTTGTACCTGCCATCAAGCCGATCCTGGATCTTCGAGTCAGCATCAACCGGCAGGTCGCAGAGATACTTTCGGGAATGAACAAGGCTTCCGTCGGTACGAAGGACTTTAGAGACTCAGACCATGATACCATCTTTGACGAAATGCTCGCATCCAAGCTTCCAACCAATGAGCTCTCGTTTGACCGCCTGTCGCAAGAGGCGATGGCCTTGACCACTGCGGGTGTGGAGACAGTGAAGGCGACCATTACCTTCGCTATTTTCCATTGTCTAGAGAAGCCTGCTATTGAGGCCCGTCTCAAGGCAGAGCTGACAGAGGCCATACCCGATGCTTCCATCATTCCAACATGGGTCGAGCTTGAGAAGCTTCCCTATTTGACTGCTGTCATCAATGAGAGTGAGTCATCAGACGACTGCATGGAAGCATAGATACTAATAGTGACAGGTCTACGCTTGAGCTATGGTACGACCCAACGTAGCCCAAGGATCAACAGACTGCACGCCATGCAATACAGACAATGGGTTATCCCACCTGGCACAGCAGTCGGTATGGACTCTTTCCATATGCACACCAATGCGGAAGTGTTCCCAGAGCCCCTTGTTTTTCGTCCAGAGCGATGGCTAGGTAATCCGAAAGGGCCCAACGGGCGTCAACCTCTGACCAACTACCTCACCACTTTTGGTGCTGGCTCTAGGATATGTGTTGCGATGCATCTGGCTTACATGGAGGTCTATGTGGGGCTCGCTGTCATGATGCGTCGTCATGACTTCCATCTGTTTGAGACCGATCGATCTGATGTGGAGTTCGCTCTGGACATGGTGGCGCCGATGCCACACCGGGAAAGCAGAGGTGTCAGAGTCACGGTCAGCAAGTAAAGTCTGTTGAGTGCTTGAGCTCACTGTAGAACTCGAAAAATAGCTTGAGCATACGCTAATGCGTCCAAAAAAAACACCCTTGCTACTGCTTGAATTGCCTTGTTCCCTTCGCGATGTGTAGTAATCTTGAATGTCTCGTTCTGAAAACGCATTTCGAGTACCGCAACTTATTGCGGAGAATGTCTGCCAAAGACAAGTTTGAGAGTGGTTGTGTTCAATTTCGCTTACAATTTCCTTAACGCGTATGCCTATATGCAAGTACATAACGAGTCCTTCAAATTTTCCACTGCATGAGTCCATGACAGAATCACCCTTAACTATCCCCATCTCACATCATCTTGAACAGTAGTGGTAAGGCCGGACTAAAGCAAATTTTGCTACATATGACCCACTCCGCTATTGTTGAGGTGAGGGACCCGCGCTGGGGTCCCGCGTACCTGATGTCCCAAAAGAGGATTGCTTACATGCATACCCGATGCATGGGGCGCTGCTTATGAGCCCATCGCCTACCATTGGTACCAAACATTTTCTCCATGGGGAAATTTCAGCCCCAAAGCATGGACCTCTGCAGGTAAGACAATTGCCTTCACGCCACGCGGGCACACTCCATGGATCATGGGTTCGGCCCGATGCAACATCACTGCTGGTATGCAGGTGGAGTCCCGCAAAGGCACAGCACCCCAAGTGCGGTTAGTGCGTGACTGGGAGGGCATGTCAGGGGTTACCATTGGCCTGCAGCTCCTAGGTGGCCAGTGTGAGCCAGACCATGAGGATTCAGGACGAACTCTGAGGCAAATGTCCCACAGCGCCCTAAACCCCACGTTCAGAGAAGCCTGAAAGTCATCTCAGGTATACCAGGGTACATTCGTCCGTTGCGTCTGCCTCGCCTTCGCGGTGAGGTGAGCAGTAAGTCTTTGGGAGGTGGGCATAGACCTAGAAATTTAGACTACCTATGGTATGCGGCCATTGCGAGAGGGTAACGTGCGGAGACACCGCAGAAAAAGGTCTCGTAAAGGTTATTGACTACGTGCTCAACTATATGATGAGGTCAAAAGCTTGTAGAACAAATATTGAATTCGAATGACTAGTTCCGTGGACTTCTATGCATCGCACCTACAAGAAGAGAAAGTACCAAACGAACGGCCCATGCCACACTCAGCTCCTTTTCTTGACACCGTTGGCGCCCTTCGTCGGAACCATGACACGATTCAAGAACTCGGCCTGCTTCTCAAAAACCTCCAAAGACCCGTTGCCCGTCAAAATATCCATATGTTTCCTATCCTTGATCGTCACAAACTCCTTAGGTCCCGTGATGGCATCGTAGATCAACTTTCTCTGCAGCTCCGGTGGCGAAATCTCATCATTTTCTCCTGTCATGAGCAAAGCGGGGGTAGGATCCACAAATTGCATGAGCGCCATGGGCCGGAACGCCGCAATGTTGTAGTACGTCTGCAGAGTCGTTCTTGGGATGAAGCTCGGCTCGATAGACGCATGCCGCTGAATGATGCCGAGGACATCCTCGCCTTGGTAGCCCTGGCCCAGCCCGGCGGGTTGGTCGCCAGTCTCGGTGAGCAGCGGGAGATACATGCCCTGGTTTCCAGCGAGTTGCGACTCGCGGTCTTTCATCGCCTTGGCCAGGACTTGCTTCCACTTCGAGAACTCCCAAGTCGTGGTGGCTGCGCAGGCTATTACGGCTTTGGCACGTTTGTCAAGGGCAGCGGCACAGAGGGCGATCGCACCGCTGAAGGAGTAGCCCCAGAATGCGATTCGCTCAGGGTCGACCAGGTCTCGCCTATGCACCTTGAGGTAGGTGAGGGCATCGTGGTAGTCCTCCATGTTCTTCATAGGTTGGGTGTCGTTGCGTGGCATGCCGTCGCTCGTTCCAATACACCTAGGATCATAGCCCAAGACGGTGAAACCCGCCTGGTTCAGATACTGCCCAGCTTCGAAAATAATCATATCCTTGGTAAGGTTGAATCCCGGGGTCATGATGATGGCAGGGCCTTTCGGAGGGCCCGCGAAGAGCCATCCGCGAAGAGTGAGCCCGTCAAGCGTTTTGAATTCGACATCCTCCTTGACGGGCATGTTCTGCATGGAACCCATTGCGCTGAGATGTGTTTGTTGAGGCGTTGTGTTGACAAATGAACTGCTCTCTAGCGATGTGGAGCACAAATGATACCGAAGTAGAGAAACAAGCCCTCAACTTGAGAGAATAGAGGCGTCGGATAGTGATACCCAAGTTATGGATCGCTACTACGAGCGAGCCGAGTTTGTAAGCATTCCCATTGTATGCTGTTGCCAAGCCTATTTCTATGCACATGCATGTAAGCCGATATGGTGCTGAGTCCTGCTGCAAATGTAACGGCGAAGTTGTGTTACGGACACAGATAAGCATTCCCCACATGTATGCCGGTAATGTATGGGCTCTCGGATAAGCTCCTTGGCTTGAGGCTGATGTATGGAACTAGCATCTTGTCAGTGAATAATAAACGTCTAGGATGGCAGTGAAGGGAACGGCAGCGTCGACGGTTCTCATCTACTCTTCCGATCCTCGCAAATCATAAAGGGAAACCAACGTCTCTATCCAAATCTCTTCCACACTTCAAAATGACTTCTAGATCAAGCCTTTCCTCAGAAAGCTATGACAATGTAGCTACATCGAGTATTTCCGAGAAATGCTCTAGTGACGAAGGTGTTGCGGATGTGACGTCCAGACAGCGGACACAGGTACCCGTTGCGATTGTGGGGATGGGATGTCGTCTCCCAGGGCACAGCACCTCCCCAACAGCATTATGGGATCTCCTCGAACGCGGCGGCGTAGCCAAAAACGAACCGCCACCATCAAGATTTAGTTTGGCCGGCCATTACGACAAAGCCAACCCAGGACGGCCCCGGACTATGAAGTCTCCCGGTGGCATGTTCATCGAAGACGTCGATCCCGCTTTGTTCGATGGCCAATTCTTCAACATCAGCCGCACAGAATGCATTGCTATGGACCCGCAGCAACGGCAGATGCTGGAGGTGGCGTACGAATGTCTCGAAAACAGCGGTACGCCCATTGAGACGCTGAGCGGTACTAACACTGGTGTGATTGTGGGCACCAACTTCATAGGTACGTATAAGCGCGACTTTGCTTAGAGATGGAGTTTGCTAACGGCCTGCTCAAGATTATGGTGCCATCCAGGCACGCGATCCAGAAAACCGAGCAGAATCAGTCATGATCGGTCTCGCACCCGCCCTCCTCAGCAACCGCATCTCTCACTTCCTCAACGTAAACGGGCCCAGCATGACCGTCGACACCGCCTGCTCCGCCGGCCTCGTCTCGCTCGACGTAGCTTGTCGCTATCTGGACAGCTTCCAGACCGACGCCGTCCTCGTCGGCGGCGCAAACTTGTGGCTCTCCCCTGAGCACAACGAGGAGATCGGCATGATGCACGTGACGCAGTCCGGCTCGGGGCTCTCGAAGAGCTTCGACGCGTCTGCGGATGGGTATGTCAAGGCGGAGGCGGTGAATTGCTTCTTTTTAAAGAGGCTGGATGACGCGGTAAGGAATGGGGATCCAATTCGAGGGATTCTTAGAGGTACGGCGGTGAATGCATCGGGGAGGACGAACGGGATTGCGAATCCTAGCTCAGACATGCAAGCAGCAGTTACTAGGCAGGCACTGAAGAATGCGGGTATCAAGGAGGAGGAGTTTTACAAGACAAGATTTCTTGAAGCCCATGGCACGGGTACGCTCGCGGGTGACCCGATCGAGGCCAGGGGCGCGGCGGCTGTGTTCAGCAAGAGCCGCGAAGCTAACGAGGAGCTCATCATCGGGTCGATCAAGAGTAACATTGGTCACTCGGAGCCTGCAGCCGGACTGTCGGGTCTCTTGAAAGCCACTATGGCGGTGGAGAAGGGCATCATCCCAGGTACACCGACCTTCTTCAAACCAAACCCCAACATCGACTGGAAAGGCCTGCGTATAAAAGCCAGCCGGATGTCCATGCCCTGGCCAAAGGTAGACGCAGACAATATCCGCCGTGCAGGCGTGAATTCCTTTGGATACGGAGGTGCCAACGCACACGCCGTGGTCGAGAACGATGCTCAAGGACTTTCCCGGCACGTATCCTCATACAAGCAAGTGACGACTGACTTCTTTGACGATGATGACGACGAGTTTGACGAGGATCAGGAAGATGGCACCCAAGCCACTCCAACTCTGCTCTTCTTCTCGGCAAACGACCAGTCTTCACTGGACGAGTACATCAAGAGGTTCAGCTCGCACTTGCAGAACCCACTGGTGTCGCTTGATCTCGGAGACCTAGCGTATACCCTCTCTGAGCGACGAAGTAGACACTACCAGGGCGCGGTGGCTATCACGCGTGCTAACCCGCAGCACATCAACACGGACACCCTGATCCGCGGCAAGCGGACGTCGACCGCGCCTCGCGTTGCCTTTGTGTTCACTGGGCAGGGCGCCCAGTGGCCGACCATGGGAGCTGATCTTATCAGGGACTTTCCCCTAGCTAGGAGCACGGTGGAGTACCTTGACAGCGTGCTCCAGAGTTTACCCAGTCCACCGTCCTGGTCGCTCGTGGACGAGCTGACCGCCAAACGCAGCGTCGAGGCCCTGCGGCAGCCTGAGTTCTCGCAGCCCTTAGTCACAGCGCTGCAGATTGCGCTTCTCCGCGTGCTGGAAGACTGGGGTATCTCACCCGAGGCCGTTGTTGGCCACTCCTCTGGAGAAATCGCGGCGGCATACGCTGCGGGTCTCCTGAGCGACTCCGACGCTATTAAGGTGGCCTACTACCGTGGTCAGTCGTCTAAAAAGACGGAATCAGGTGAGGCCGTGGGTATGCTCGCTGTTGGCATTGATGAGGCGGCGCTCGCGGGGTATCTTGAGGCAAAGGCGAACAAGATCCAGATTGCGTGTTACAACAGCCCGAGCAGTCTGACGCTATCCGGCCTCGTATCCGAGCTCGAGGAGCTGCGCGACCGAATCCAGGCCGACGGGCACTTCGCCAGGCTACTTCTCGTCGACCTCGCATACCACTCTGACTACATGTCCGAGCTTGCTGAGGTGTATGAAGGCATGCTGCACGAGGACGGGTTGTTCCAGAAGACAGCCACGCCCCGCCCTAAGACACGCAAGCCCGTTGCCATGTTCAGCTCCGTGACCAGCGCGGTTGTCGACCCAGATATCAAGCTCGACGCCGCGTACTGGAAGAAGAACATGGTGTCGCCCGTGCGCTTCTCGTCTGCGACGGCGCAGCTGCTCAAGCAGACCAGCGCTGACTTCCTCATCGAATTAGGCCCCAGCAATGCCCTCGCGGGCCCGATCGCTCAGATCAAGAAGGGCTTGGACAAAGACGGACAGTATACCTCTGCGCTCAAGCGAGGTGCCGATTCCACAATGCCCATGTACGAGGCGGCCGCGAAACTGTTCCTGGCAGGAGACCAGCAGGTCAGTCTTGCAAAGGTGAATCGGGTAAGCCCACAGACGTCGAAGGTCATTGTCGATCTGCCAAACTATGTGTGGAACCACTCGACGCGGTATTGGCACGAGACGCGTGCGAGTAAGGAGTGGCGGTTTAAGAAATTCATTAACCATGACTTGCTCGGCTCGAAGATCAGCTCGGTTGGATGGAACGCGCCTATCTTCAAAGCCAACATCAAGCTGGCGCATTTGCCGTGGTTGAGGGATCACAGGTTGGGCACTGACGTTGTGTTCCCGGCCACCGCTTATATCGCAATGGCTGTGGAAGCCATGTACCAAACAGCCATGGTTACCAAATGGAACCAGAAGGAGCCTGAACGCTACCGCTTCAAACTTCGCGACGTGAAGCTTCTCCGCGCTCTAGTCCTCACCGAGGACAGGGAAACCACCATCTCACTGTCGCTCACGCCCGTCAGAGGTTCGACCGGATCATGGTACGAGTACCAAATGTGCTCCGAGCAAGATGGTCTCGACGTAGACGTCGTTCACAGCAGCGGTATGGTTAGCGTGGAAACCGACTACAAAGACTTTACCAAAACTGTGGAGCCGCTCGAGCTCGCTACAAGCGCGAAGCAGTGGTACAAGACCATGGCCGAAATGGGATACAATTTTGGACCATCCTTTCAGAAACATGTGTCGGTTGAGTCGACGATGGGACAGCGTCAGAGCAGGTCGCTTATTAGTCTCGAGGCTCCTCCGTCGCAGCCCGAGGGTCAGTCGTGGTACCCGCTTCATCCGGGTGTGTTGGATGGGTGCTTCCAAGCTACAACGCCGTCGCTCTGGAAGGGCCAGCTGCCTCAGGCGGGTGACCCAGCGCTCGTGCCTAAGGCTATTGAGAGCATGATCATTGAATCCGGAAGTGCGCGTAAGTTGCGCGCTGCGAGCGAGGGCATTGCCTACGCGTCTGCACACTACCTGGGTGCCGGAGACGCCGGGAATGCGCGCAACTACAGCACCAGCGTCGATCTGTACGACCCCAAGGATGGCGCACTGTTGTTCCAACTAAAGGGCCTGGCTTGGGCGGAGATGGAAACGAGCGACGAGGAGAAAGTGCCCCACCAGTTCATGCATGTGAACTGGGACGCTGACATCGACATGCTCATAGAAGGGGAGCCGACTCTGAGCACGACCTGGTTAGACTCCAGGACTGTGCAGCAAGTCATTGATCTGGTGGCGCACAAGAGCCCGGAACTCCGCGTCCTGGAGGTCAATCTGAGCACCCTGGATGGCTCCAATCTCTGGCTGGAGCAGGGCGAGGATGGGACTGACAACCCGGTCCGCGCGGGCTGCTCGCAGTACCACTTTGCCGTCCGGGATCCTAAGACGTTAATCCAGGCCCAGGAACGGTTCAGCTCGCGGGCTATCACGCCGCAGTTTCATCTACTCATGGATGTCACCAAGCCTGCAACGATTACTGGAGCGGACAGTATTGATCTCGCGATCATTAACCCGAGCCAAGACGAATTGGTTGACGTGGATGGGTTTATTCAGGGTCTGGCTCCACTTGTCCGTGAGGGAGGATTCATCGTATCGAACGGGTTCAGAGGCATCGACTCGCTGGGAAAGACGATCCATCTGAGCAACGGTGTGAGCATCTGTCGTGTGACTAGGGGTGCCGTCTTAATCGACGGGGAAACAGAAATTCGCCAAAGGAGCGTGACTCGCGTCAGCCTTCTGGACAATGCTGCTCAAGGCTCCATCTCGGAGGAGGTGGCGAAAGTATGCGAGGACCTAGCCACACAAAAATGGCACCTCGAGAACGCTTCTAACCCCTTTGAAGACATCACCTCTAACACCGGCATTGTAGTCGTATTAGACGAACTCTTCTCCTCCGTCATGCAGACCATCGACGCAAAGCAGTGGGAGCTTCTCCAGCACCTTGCGAAAGTACAACGCCCCTTACTCTGGGTAACGAGCCGCAGCGCCGACCCCACGCGTGCTGCTGCTGTCGGATTTCTGGCTACCATCCGCGCTGAGGAGCAAGTGCCGTTCTTCACGCTCGATGTCGAAGCCAGTACTAGCCGCACGTCTATCGATGCGCTCTCGGCATGTCTTGGGCGGGTCTGGGACATGACGTCCTCAAAGACGTTCGACCCGCGGGCAAGCACTGATTACGATTTCGTGGAGCGTGGAGGCATTGTGCTCGTCAGTCGCGTGTATAGAGACAGTGCGCTCACTTTCGGTCAGAGCACCAGCCCCGCTGACAGAAAGACTGAGGTCATGAACCTGCGCAAAAGTGATAGTTTGATCAGATCGCGAGCTGAGAAAATGGGCAATCTTGATTCCGTGCACTTTGGCGAGGTGGATGCAGAGTCTTCTGCTTTGCCCGAGGGTATGGTGGAAGTTGAAATCCATGCGGCTGGTATCAGCTACAAGGATGTAGTCGTCACTTGTAAGCGACCCCCTCGTCTCAAGATATAGTCGTGTGTTAATACTAACGCTGTGATAGTGGGTTCCGCTCCTGGCGATGATACCGCTCTTGGCCACGAAGCCGCAGGCGTAGTCACCAAGGTGGCCCAGGGTGTATCCAGGCTGTCAGTTGGAGATCGGGTGGTTGTTTTTGACAAAGGCTGCTTCGCAAATCGCATTCACACCAGTCCCGCTCGCGTCCATCGCATTCCCGATTCCATGGACTTCGAAAAGGCAGCGACGATCCCGACCGCCTTTATCACTGCTATACACTCCCTCCTAGACCATGCCAGCTTGTCAGCTGGTAAGAGCGTCCTCATCCATTCTGCCGCTGGTGGCGTAGGTATTGCCGCTATCCAGATAGCTCAGTACGTCGGTGCAGAAGTGTACACCACTGTTGGCACGAACGAGAAGAGAGAGTTCCTCAAGTCCACGTTCGGCCTGGCCGATAACCGCATCTTCAATTCGCGCAGCACCGAGTTTGGCGACCAGATCCTGTCCGCGACCGATGGCAGAGGCGTGGACGTCATTCTCAATTCCCTGACTGGAGACACGCTGGACGAGTCATTCCGAGTCCTTGCTGACGGAGGTATGATGGTGGAGCTTGGCAGGCGAGATGTTTTGGACAGGAACAGCCTGCCTCTCGCTCCATTCGACCGCAACAGTTCGTTCAGAGCCATTGATCTATCCACGGGGAAGGCGAACGATTCGCTGGTGGCCCAGTTGATGTCGAAGCTGTTTGAACTCGTCGAAGGAGGGGCCATCAAGCCCATCACACCAGTCCATAAGTTTGCGTGGACAGATATTCCAACTGCCTTGCAGTTCCTGCGACCTGGAACCCACATCGGAAAGGTGGTGCTGACACAAGACAATGAGGTCCACGTTCCGGTAAATTTTCCCTGCTTCAGTAGCTGTTCTCACTGGGAACGTATCGAACATCGAATTGCTAACTGGAGTCAATACATAGGTTCGGCGAGCGCCAAAGAGTCTCGGTCTCCGCGCGGATGGCTGCTATCTCATTGTCAGCAGTCTCCGTGGTCTCTGCGGAGGTCTTGGCATCTATCTCGCTCAGCAAGGCGCAAAGCATCTCGCTGTCATGTCGCGTAGCGGGTACGCGGACGAGAAATCCAGGCTGGTTATCAAGCAGCTCGAAGCGCTCGGCTGCCACATCGATCTCTTGATTGCAGATGTGACGGATGCAGAGGCTGTTACGAAGGCTATGCAGCAGACAACCGTCCCCATCGTCGGCATCATCCAGGGTGCCATGGTTCTAAGGGTAAGTCCACATGCCTAATGCAGTCAAAAACATCGCAGACAACTCTGTACCCCACAAAATGAAAAGTAGTTGACCAACGTTCTTCAGGATCGCCCCTTTGAGTCCATGACACTCACCGAGTACCACGAAGCCCTGCAATGCAAGATCCGCGGAACCTGGAACCTGCACAACGCAGCCGAGTCCCTCGGCCTGAAGCTCGACTCCTTCACCATGCTCTCGTCTCTTTCCGGTATCATCGGTCACGTCGCCCAAGCCAACTACGCTGCCGGCAACGTCTTCCTCGACGCGTTCGCGGCCTGGCGTCAAGCCCGTGGGCTGCCCGCCTGCTCAATCGACCTGGGTATCAGCGAAGATGCCGGCGTCATCGCGGAGAGCGCCAAGCTCCAGAGCTCAACAGAGAAAGGCATGTTCCGGAGCCTGAACGAAGGTCAACTGCGCAAGATCCTCTACTTTGCTATGCTGCAGCAGCAAGAGACGCCATTGGCAAGCGATGTTGGCGCTGTCCGCGAGCTCGCATTTGGCCCCATGGTGACGGGCCTGACGTTCCCGCAGCCCGACGACTCAGCTCTCAAGGGCGATGCGCGGTTCTCCCCGCTCTTCACCAGCAATGAGCGGTCCAAGGATCTCAAGTCTAGCGGCGAGAACGCCAACGCGGACATCCAGGCGCTCTTTCTCTTGCTGCGCACCGAGTCTGCGGATCCCGCGTCGAGACTGAAGGCCCTGATCGATGTGATCAACGGATGCTTCATGCGCATCCTGCGGCTTGATGAGCCGATGGATCCAGAGCGACCGATCAGTGTCTATGGGACAGACTCGCTGGCGGCTGTCGAGGTGCGGAACTGGGTGAGGACGGAGTTGGGCTGTCTGGTGACGACGTTGGATATCATGACTGCCACGTCTTTGACGTCCTTCTGCGAGAAGATTCTCACGAAGCTCTTGGCTGCGGAGACGGCCGGCTGAGCGTGACTTTCGGAGCGGGTCTCGATGCAAGTTTGCATTCCACCAAACGAGCGCTGGGGTGGACAACTAGGCGTATGTATCTATCATGTGGTGTGCTCATCATGCTACGGTTGTGATTATGGGAGAGCCTGCACATGCCATGGCCATATCGTGGTCTTTACAGTGTTTAACAGTAGATCGGGTTTCACCATAGAACTCATAAGCTGGTCTTATAAACTGGTCTCAAGTCATTGGTGTTCTTCTCGGGAAGGTGTGCGAAAGATCCATGATAGTTGCTTCTGGTGTAGCCTTCGTCCTGTACCTCATCCTGGAGCTCTTCGCGAGTAGAGTGGGCCGGCCCGGGCCTGGCTGGTCGGCACGCTACCGAACAGCACCTCCAGCCCCGCTGCCACTCCCATCACACTGCCGAGTTCCCATCCACCCATGCAGACGAACATGAAGCTGTCGAGTGTGTGGCCGGAATCTTCTCACGCCTGCACACAGGCATGTTCCAGGCGCGGGGCCGGGTCCACTGAAACGCACGCATAGCTCTCTCCAGACGGTCCCGCTGCAAGGCCGTCACAGCGCGGGCGCTTGACTGGCCCACCGTGTTCGCGCCCAGCCGCCACCACTCGTCTGGAGGCCAGAGCTCCCATGCCACTTCGTGCCGTGCCCTGCTTGGACAGGCCAATATGTGCGCGTCCCCGCGTCCCCAATTGAAAATGCAGCGTCCCTGTTGTCCCAGTGCTTGCTTGCTTGCTTGCTCGCCGCGTCCGACGGGGCTGGCCGCCCCAGACCCGATTTCGCACCCAAGCTGGGTAGATCTGGCAAAAGAGGAGCGAACAGCCGAGAGGAGGAATTGAGCCCGGATCTGATCTGACGTGACTTCTCCTCGCTGGCTCTGCGCTCATCCACCGCCTGCCCGCTGCGTGGTGTAGTGCTTGTTCGGCACTGTCGTTGTTACTGAGGATAGCTCGCAGCATGTACGCCTGGCCATGACTGAGCCTGATCCCGGTGCGCCGCGTCTGTACAACTATGACAGCATTAGAGCTGACTGAGCCGCAGCCGTTCGCGACAGCACACTGGGCGCTCTCAAGATCGCCTGCCCCTCCGCCGAGATGCTCTCCCAGAACCCCAGCCCGCTGGACAACCCCTTTGTCGCCGTCGAAGCCGATGTCGAGTGGTCTGACGAGGAGGTCCTGCTGCCCAAGCGGAGAAAGACGCCTTACAAGCCGCCAGAGATCAGGGTCGCGCCCCGGGTTGCCTCCATGCACGCCGCCGAGACGTCGTCGGACGATTCAGACGACCGCGACCTCAGCCCCAACCACCTCTCCGTCAATGGCTCGCCGCTCATACCGCCCAAGTCGCCGTCGCGGCCGGACGTCCGCCCGGGAAGCAGCCAGGACGATCTCGTCAAGCGCTTCTACGATGTGACCCGCGAGCGGGACGCCCTTAGAAAGGAGCTCCAGCGACAATCCATGGGCCCCCACGGCCTCCCCGCGCACGCCTCCGTGGTCTACAAATCCGACGAGAAAGCCCTCATCGGCGAGCTCCTCGGCCTGCGCGAAGAAATCCGCCTCTGGACCGAAGACTACTTCACGGGCACGCCCTCGACCTCCCGTCGGCGCCCGCACCTGCACACTTCCAAAGAGCTCTTCAGCCCCCTCACAGACAACTACACCGCGTACCTGCGCCACACGACCGACCGCCCGCTCCTCATTCAGTCCTTCCTCTGGTCGCAGCTGCAACACCGCATCTTCAGCACACTGCACAAAGGGTGCGGGTACGTGTGGGCGGGCAAGCTGGGCGACCGCAAGCTGCGCCCGCTCAACGACACGCTGCGCAAAGGTATATTCTTCCCGCGCTCGAATCTGCCCCGGTCGTACGCTAAGGGGCTGTCAGCCGTCAGGAACGAAGACCAGGCCGAGGCGTACCACCGCTGGCGTGCGCTCACCGTCAACCTGCTCGTCCCCCAGGTCGACGGCAAGTGGAGCCCGACCTTCGACGCGGCGCCTGTGCTGAAGTGGATCAAGCGCTTCTGCGCGAGGTTGAGGAGACGGCTGCGCCCGTGGGCGTGCAGGAGTCTGCGCGAGGGGAAGGAGATGCTGTACACGATTGTGAGCGCGGCGGTGGCGCTGGATCTCAAAATGAAGCGGCAGCGCGCCGACTATCGGTTTATTACATGGACGGGCGGCCGTCCGAATCAGTTCTGGGGGTATGGGTTTTACGACTCGGAGATGGACGATGTAGAGAGCGAGGACGAGGGCGGGTATCGAGGCGGCAGCGTGGTCAGCAGTGCGAGCCGGGTGCGGCGACGGGTGGAGCTTAGCTTGGCGCCTGCGCTGGAGAGGTGCGGGAATGCGAACGGGCATGTTTTTGATCAGAACTTCATACTGGTGAAGGCGGATGTTATGTGTAGACGGGTGGAACGGGCGAGGGAGCCGGCGAGGAGGAAACCGGGCATCTTCAGTAGAGGGAGAGGGTGACGAGTGTAGAGGGCGCCAGGTCGAGAGGATATAGTGTTGTATGATGGCAGACGTTGGCACATTGGTATGTAAACGTGCCATATAGCTCACGCGTGAGTAGGCAAATGAATCTTGCGTAGATGTCATACAAGGAGCAACCTCTGTCTACTTCGAAGTAGTGAGCATGTACCGCCGCGAGCTCTATCGAGCCTGTTTCCACGACTCGTGAAATGAAATCCTCCGACCCAAACGCCACCCAATGCATTGCTGGAAATCAAGATGCACCAAAGAGCCCCCTCCACCTGTCCGGATCCTCAACTTCTCCTTGCCTACGCGCAAGGGCTCCACCATCCCATCCTGTGCTACCAGCAAAAGTATGTTAAGCCTTCGCTCCCACCGTCCGTATCTGGAATACTGCGCCGGGTAACCCGCTAGTCTCTGCGCTCACGCTCGCTTCGACGCCTAGTCCTGCGAGACAACCCCTCACCACGCCGGCGGGGAAGTACAGGAAAGGTTGTGCTCTGCTGATTGAGTTCGCATCACCCCCAAACGCCGCCATATCCCCATACTCCACGCCCTTTTCCCCCGCGGCGTTTATGCGATCAGAGAGCGTGGTCGTAGCGGTTGCGTGCGCGGTGGGCGCGTGCTTGATAGTGTCGAAGGACATGCGTGTGAGGGGCTTGAAGGTGTTGTCCGTTAGGACGTATATGCCGCGGTGGTTGGTCTTGAGGTTATCAATTTGTTTGCGGAAGAGGAGGGTCCACAGGTCTTTGCAGAGAAACTTGATAGTCGCGAGGGGCGACGTGGGCCGAGGATGTGTTCTTGAAACTCTGTAGTGTGTGTGTCAGTATGCCGCGAGTAGGGCAATGGGTCAATGCAAGAACTGCGAGGGGGAAGGAAGGTTGATCGGAGCAGCACCGTACCGTTCAACAACACCCAGGCCGACTCTGTATCCTAACGCCTCCAGCCTGTGGAATACCGCCTCCCTTGCCTCCTCCTCGTCTACAACAGTGGCTGTACCACCGCCTCGCAACCCTCCGCCCCCTGCTATTGTACTACTCGTATCGTTGTCAACATCCTTCTTCTCGTGCTGCGATGCTTTCGATGCGCCCGGTCCAGACAGATAGTCCTGCTCCTTGGCGGCCAGATCAGCTGTTATCCGGTAAGCCATTGGTACCAGTTCTATGAGAAGGAAATCCAAGCACGAGGTTGCGACTTCGGTTGCGGTGGGGTCCCCGTCTATAGCCTCCGAGACCATAGGAGCGGGATTTGACGTTGCCATGGCGGGAGGCTTTTGTAGGATCGTGCGCGCTTGCTCGTGTTCCTAGGTGCGCAAAAGAGAAACCAGTGTTGGGTGAGGTGTTTCGTGGATTCGGGAGTGCGAGCGGTGGTGGGCGAAATCGATGCGCAAGGTCGAGCTTTGTGCGGAGTGTCGACGTTGGGCGGATATTATGATGGAATGTGCCGTTTTCTTCGCGATCCTGGGGGCGGTGTCGGACTGAAGGTGCGATTATGTCTGGGTGGTTTTGGCGAAACTCGGAGGACTCTGCGGGAGCTTAGGTCGAGGTTGAGGGTAATGATTCAGGGTCCGTGACGTCTGGCTTGGCATTGTCTACAGTATATCAGGCATGTGTCGGACTATGTCGGACTACACTGCACCACATAGCATAAACAATTCTGAATCATCACCATGGCAAAGGCTCAGAAAACCGTTCTGTTTACAGACAGCAATTCACATTGATCTACATTGCAGGACGCTCAAATGTCCTTCGACACTGCATATCCATGCATCAATGATGTATATGTTCCCGCGTCTAGTCATTATTCATTTTGCATTTTCATAACAAGACTCTCCTAGAGTCTACCTGCCGCAACCTGCATGAATATTCTTCCGTGTACACAAGGGAGAGCCAAACATGCAAGGCCACTCACTTCTGGGGAGGAGGGGAGTTGGCGAAGTCAACGCCCTTCGCGATGTTGTCCTTGAGTCCCTTGTAGGCTGCCTCAAGGAGCTTCTTCTCGTGGTCGTTCGCCTTGCTGACGACATCGACGGCCTTCTCGACACCGCTGGGCTAAGGGGATATTAGCATATGCTTCACCATGCAACAGTATACACTTACGCCGAGCTCAATGGGTACAGAGAAGTACTCAACACCGACAGTCTTCGCGATAACGTCACCGCCCGGGACACCAGGGAGGTAGACGTAGCTGGGCTCGGTGATGCCCTTCTCGCCCGCAGCGGCCTTGAGAACCTTCTCAGCGAATCGGAAGCCAGCGTAGGCCATAGACAGAGTGGCAGAGCCGGCACCGTCCTTCGCCTTGACAACTTCATCACCACCAAATTGGACGCCTATATCAGGTCAGCTCTGGATTCAGTTTCCGAAGTATTCTACGCACGGTTTACAAGAGCATCGAGCTTCTCGCTGGGAATTTCCACCGAGGGCGTTGCCTGGCTGAAGAGGGGAACAATGGTCTCGCCAGAGTGGCCGCCAATGACGGGGATGGTGAGCTTCTGGGGGTCCTTCTCGCCGGTGATAGAGGCGACAAAGGTCTCAGCGCGAACGACATCGAGGGTGGTGACACCGAAGAGCTTCTTGGGGTCGAAAACGCCGGCCTTCTTGAGGACCTCGGCGGCGATGGGGACGGTCGAGTTGACGGGGTTGGAGATGACCAGAACGTAGGCCTTGGGGGAGTACTGTGCGACGCCCTCGATGAGGCCCTTGACGATGCCAGCGTTAATCTTGAAGAGGTCGTCACGGGTCATGCCGGGCTTGCCTAGTCGCTGTCAGCTGCTGTTTGGACATGGTCCAATAGTGTACTCACGAGGAATACCGGCGGGGATGACTACAATGTCAGCACCGGTGAAGGCCTTCTTGAGGCCATCGTCGCTGGGCAGGTAGCCGGTGACAACCTGTCCATGTTTAGCTTCGTCTTGTCTCGAATTGATCGCTCATACATACCGCCTTGGAGGAAATGTGCGACAGGTCGGCAGCGACACCGGGGGTGTTGACGACATCGTACAGCGCGAGCTCGTCAACGAGGGGGCTGTTCTTGAGAAGCAAGGAGAGCGGCTGAGTGCGATTAGTAGAAGTGACGGGCAGTGTGATGTGATTGTTGGCTTGCCTGGCCAATGCCACCGGAGGCGCCTGCGACAACTGCCTTGACCATTTTGTTGAGTGGAGTTGGGTGGTGATGAGGAGAGTAGCTGGCGCGGAATGTGGGGGGTAATGGAGAGAGCTGGCGTGAGGAATTGAGCAGCGGTCTTGTTAGGTGGGTGAAGGAGGACGCACCGAGATTAAAGCACAGGATTTTGTTTGTGCGTGGGATACACAGGAGTTATGTAGGAAGCAGCGGCCAGCCAGTCGAAGGAGGGGAAGGGGCTCACGCGGTGTTGGGGCGTGGCGCGTGGGTTGTTGCTCTAGTGGGGTTGGCGGGGTAGAACACAGGAGCTGTTTCGAGCCTGTTGCACTAAAACTAAAAGATATGACTGTAGCACTGGGCGGACAGTCTTTATATCTCGGCGCCCCTCACGAAACATGCCCAGAGGACATGCAAAGCCGCTTCTGACGGCGACGTGAATCGGGACGCTCCGGTGATCCCGCCCGCGTCTCGGAGGGGTGGGTGTCAAAACATCGGGGGCGCACGGAAAGCGGGTACCTGCTGCATGAACGCCCGAGGTGACAAGGGCACTCTTGCATGTGCTGCAATGGGTCCACCTCGCACGAATTGACATCACGGCCGAGGGAGACGCCTTGAGAAAACCTATGTCGGGATTGTATGTACGCCACCCATTCCCCCAGAGGCCACGATCCGCGGCCGAACCATGCCTCCAGAACATATCCCAACGCCGTCTTCCAGAAGTAATGTCCACCCGACGGACCAAAACGCTCATGACAACGCCAATACCCCGGTCGAATAGTAATAAGCTTCTCTTCTCCAATGCCGTGCTCACCACCCTTGCTCCACAACAGATTTCTTGTCAAGCATCACTTGAAAATTGTAACTAAATCAGTCATCCAACTGAGCGACCAAGTCCTGAATAAGCTCCAAACTTCTCGGATCAGTTTCTGATCGAGACAAGTCTGTTCAGGAAAGTCAACAAAATTGCTTATGGTCCATACTCGTCTCTTTCGCCCTCAGCATCAGCATCGCCTTCTGGATCGTGAGGTCGGAATCCCTGGTTAGGATCCCCCGCGCCGGTTGGGTCTGCGCCGCGTTGGGGCACCGGATACATTTGCTGTCAAAGTCAGCTTGACGCAACTCCATAGCTGATCGGTCGGCCTACCGGCTGCTGTGCCATAGGGTTGTATACGCCGTAAGACGGATCGAACATCTGCTGCTGCCCATACGCATTTGGGTCACCCTGAACCGGTCCTGCGTACATGCCGGGTTGGCGAAAGTCTTCCTGCTGAGGCATGTGTTGCCCAATACCATAATCTGGAGGCGCCATCTGGTGCTGAGGATGTACGCCCTGTTGAGCAAGAGCGCCAGCAGGTACCGCGCCTGCAGCTTGGACTGCAGTGCTGCTCTGTCCGCCGCTCCGCTTGTGTGGGAGCGCTTCTTCGCGGGGAACAATATCGATCAGAAAATCGAACATGTCCGACTTGCTCAATGCGCTCGCGATGTCCGACCGCTGAAGCGTACGACGCTTGTTCTCCTCGGCATGTATCCACGCACGCATCGTAAGCTCGGTGATGAATATGTCGCAGCCTTTGGCGAAGAGGATCGGCGCTTCGGCGGAAATCATCTTGACCTCAGGATCAGCCTTCATGACCTTCTTGATACGCGCCAACGGCAGCTGGTGGAGCTTGTAGTCGTGCTCATCGGTCTCCAGTTTCGTGACTTGCTGTTGCCAGTAAGTGTTGAGGATGTCGCGATAGGACCCATTGAGTCCTTGGTTCACCTGTGGGAGCTTCAGTAATCGTTGTTGAGACTATGCGTGCCGCGAATGCTTACGTTCTGCCACGCGCCGGTGAACAGCTGTGGGTCTGGCGCGTGTCCTTGCGCGGCAATCTACTACTGTCAGCAATGGCACGCCAGAGTCGCGCGTGGTGCGCAAACGTACAGCTGCGGATGCTCCTGGAGACATGTTAGCTTAGTGATTTCGCGCAGTCCCAAGAGCAGTCAAATGGCAGCGTCGCGCCGCGGTCGTGCAGGGCATGTGGGACAAACGCACCATAGTGGCCGCCGTTGCCGGGGTCGTAGAGCGGATTGCCGTTCTGGCCATCGTAGCGACGGGGCGCGGCCGTGGCCTGCTGGCGCAGCTTCTGCTGGCCGTGAGCCTGGAGGCTCGTCGGATCCATGGTGGCTGGCGGCGCTGCGGGTGCTGAGGTGACGCGGAGCAGGGGTGTCGCGTTGGAGCTTCAGGTGCTGCTTCAAGACGGCAGATCGGTACAGGTGCGAGGCAAGCTTGGCCCAATGGGCGCGGGTGATGGTGACGGGGTGGAGATCGGTGATTGTTGCTTGGATGTCGTGGTTGCGTCAGGCCGGCGGGTGAGTGGACGAGAGGGCCGCCCAATAGCTAAGCGTGGGCTGCCGCGTGAGACGGGCTCGCACAGGATGCTGTGGGCTGCCATCAGTATCTAAGTGTGCGACCGGCATATTGCAAATCGCTGTGTTTACCTGGGCGACGAGAGCAGGCGGACGCGACACAGGCGTGCGACTCGTGGTGCGATTGCTATCGTGGGCTTGCCAATCGGATGAGAGGCTGCAACAGTCGGGCAGCGAACCACACGCGCGAATGCTCCGCTGAGACAGGGACACGCCAGCGCTATGCGCAGGATCTCCTGGAGACGAGATTGGTGCCCGCGGGGCGTGTGGACAGGCTGCTGGTTGGTGAGAGGACGGTACGGCGGTCGCCAGAAGTGTTGGGGAGGGTAGGAATATAAGATCTGCGTGCGGCGGGGATCAAGGTGCCTCTGCCATGTTTACTTTATATGTATCTACAGCACGTCGCACGCCCGCAGCTGGAGAGCAGTGACAGCAACACGCGCTGCTGCCGGTCCCGTCACATCTCGTCTTCTCGCCCGCACGGAAGCGGACTCGACCATCTCAGCGCGATTGATCCGGCTGCGCGGATGCGTCAAGGCAACACATTCACGTTGAGCCACACGCCGGACAGGCTCTTTGCAATGCCAGGCTCTCCGCGCGCTGGACGAGAAGGCCAGCACAGCACACCGATTGGTCAATTAGCTGCTTTCTGCGCCGCCCGGATTGGCTGGATGTGTACTTCAGCCTTGAGACGATGCGTTGTCAAGCCAGGCGTGGGATTTGGTCGCCAGCACACCAGCGTCATCTGAGCAGCTTCCAGAAGCATAGCGTCTGCAGTCAACGAACACGCAGGCCACAATGACCTATGCTGTGTGCTTGCATCGTGGAATTGAAGTGCTTGAGGGAGGCGCTCCAAATCCGGTCAAGCGGCGAGTCAGCCGAGGTGAACCGTGCACGTTCTTCTCCAAAACCGCGTTCCCAAATTTTCTCCGACGTTGTGCACCTGCCAGCTTTCTAATATGGCAGACATGGCTTCGTTGCCAGCGCATCCGCCCCAGATGGAGGACGACACCGATGAAGAGCTCACCGACGAGCAGGTTCGGGAGCTCCTTGCTGAGGCTGCTGAACGCATGCGCGTGAAAGCTTCCCAGCCCTCCAACGATGCTCCGTTCACGCTACCCAAGCTGAACCCCGGCCACATTGCCGATACCTATTCGACAACACACGGCGCCATTACGAAGCTAGATGCTTCTAAGCTGCTTCCAAAGAAGGATCAGGTGCTGGCGAACGGCATCAAGAAGATCGAGGACCCGGTGCAGCTCAAGAAGCAAAAGGCAGAGGTAAGCCATGATGCGTATTCCCCCCTTGCCGTTGATGATAATTATCCCATTTTATACTGAAGCAGATCATGGCACCGTTTTGGCGTCACCTGCACAAACTGAAGGTTTTCATATCATAGTTACACTGAGGCACCTTGATTTCACCGTTCATTTGTTCGACATTGCTTGGCCTTGTGCTAACAATCGTTCAGGAGAAGAAGGCTACTGCTGGCTCTGACTGGTTTAATTTGCCGCGCACCGAGATGACACCCGAGCTGCGTCGCGACCTGCAACTTCTGAAGATGCGCAATGTCCTAGACCCTAAGCGCCACTACAAGAAGTCAGACTCAAAGTCCGATGTCCCTGCGTTCAGCCAGATCGGGACCATCATCGAAGGGCCGACTGAGTTTTACAGCGGCCGCATTGCCAAGAAAGACCGCCACCAAACCTTGGTTGAAGAAGTGCTTGCGCAGGAAGACCAGTCAGGCAAATTCAAGAGCAAGTACCAGAATATCATCAAGTCAAAGACGAGTGGCAAGAAAGCCTTCTACAAGGCACTACAAGACAAGCGGCGGAAGGGAAAGGTCTTCAAGCCTTGAACACTGGCGAGAAGAAGACTTTGAGTCTCACTCGCACCTTTTCTGTTGTTTTCTGTTGGTGATCCAAGTCTACACATGGATGCTATATACAGCATGCTGAACCACGAGCCATTACGCGCGAGTTGGTTTCTAATTGGGTGACAGATCAGTCCTAGTAAAGGTCTGATAGTATCTGCTTCACCAAAGCCTGCATATCTTTCGCCGCTTCCCGCCCGGCGTCAAGAACCTCCTGATGGTTCGCCTTCCCCTTGTTCAGATGCTCTTCAAGCTCTGACTTGCTCATCGCATGGATTGCTTGGTCGTTACCGCGCGATCCTGCATCGAGGACCGCCTTATTGGTCACTAAACTGAAGGCTAGTACGCGAACACCCGCATGCCGGGCGACGATGATCTCTGGTACCGTTGACATACCCACAACGTCAGCGCCCAGAATCCGCAACATTCTGCACTCTGCTCTGGTCTCGTAGCTGGGTCCGCCCACGAAAGCGTAAACGCCTTCGTGGAGCTTCCTCTTCTGCTGGTCTAGTCCAAGCTTCTTCCACGCTTGGTGCGTCCTCCGTCGAAGGTCCAGGTCATATGCATCACTTAGCGGAGGGAACCTCACACCGAACTCGTCGATATTGGGTCCTCGTAGGGGATGAACACCGACTAGACCAGCAAGGTTCAAATGCTGGACAGTGTTAGTATATGTCTCACATAGAGTCCTCCACACAATGAACATACATCGTTTAAGCAGACGATGTCGCCGACCTCGTAGTTCTCGTTCAGGCCTCCCGCTGCATTTGTGACTGTGAAACGTCAGATACGTTCGTACAGCTTCTATCTCGTGCGTAACAGGTAAACACGCGTACCTATCATCGTGTCGACTTCGAGCAGCTTGCACACACGTGTAGCGAACGTAACCAGATCCATCGTGTGACCTTCGTAGAAGCTGCCGTCTCGGTTAATTGACATGCCAAACCGCCAACCCGGTAGGAACAGTGACTGACTGTGCTCGTCCAACCAACAGCGCGACTGGGGTCTTCTGCGGACCTATCGTGCCAAACACAAAGTTTCCGGCATGGCCTTGGACTTGAACCATGGACATCAGCACAATCTGAGCCAGAATGCTAGTACTAGTGGCGCCTCACCTGTGCTCCGTGGAAAATTGGGGATGGTCGAATATGCGAGCTCGACTTTATGCTCCGCGTCGATAGTGTCGACAAGACCACCAAGCCCAGAACCGCACACGATAGCGACCTTTGGCTTCTGAAGTGCTTCCGGGAGTTTTGAGCGTACATAGTCAGCTGTTTCCGAAGCGCGGGCATAGGCGTTGGGCGCAGCAAGGTTGTCCATCGTTTCTGCCATATTGATATCTCTTTCCCAACACGAAGAGAGATCGAAGGAGGAAGAAAGGATTTAATTATGCGATCTAAAATTTACCAGGCCATGTGCGGCAGGAGGGGTGATGTTGACTTTGTCTTGGCACGGTGCTCTCCGAGGCAGCGCGTTCTGCCGGGCGGTGGGCCTTTGCGGCCTAGCGCCAATGTTTTGCTTCACTCAGCGATGCTACACGCGACGAGCACCAATCCATCAGCAATGGCGGCTCCGCGTTCTCTGCGGCCATTTCTGGCCCCGGCGAAGAGGATAAAGGCATGTATCTGTCACTTGCACCTCCATCGGGGTCTAGCTAACGAGTAAATAGATCACACCCCCTAGATCGTCCGCCCAGACTTTTCTACGATGCAAGAGCAAGCGCGCAGAAGACCGAGACGATGACCGCGAGTGGCGGACAAAGCCTGACGAAAATGACGGTGCCGATGTTGATATTTTCGCCGAGATGGAGAAGGGTGAGATGCCCTTCGAGCAGCGGTTAGAGCATATGGGCATCGACGCGGCAGAGTACAAGGCGCTCAAGACCAGCTCGAAGGCGGCTGAGGAAAAGCTCAACAGGTGGACGCCCAAATCCAAGGAAGACGCACAGAGAAAATGGAAGCGGATGGTCAACGCGCCAGAGGACAACACGCTCTTGGAGATGTTCAAGAGAGAGGGCGTCGATGTGCTTGCGGAGGGAAAGTAAGTGGATTCTTCCTTTGGTGATGTTGTGTACTATGATTATTTGCTATACATGCATGGCTTTCAGAAGTCGGGTGACACCGATGGGGCTGTTGACACTTGCGCACAAGTATGAGATTGGAAAGATTACCCTGTTTTTGGTCGAGCTTCACTCAAGCTGCACTATACTGACAAACATCACAGAGCTCGTGAACTGAGGCTTCCCACCGACAAGGATCCGCTCGACCCGAAGACACAGGAGGCTCTCGATGCGCTGAGGACCCCCGTCAACGTCCAAGCCGTCCACCTTCGCCCTCTCCGCCGTGCCCCCACCCACGGTGTTCCCGTATGCGACCTCCAGCTCCGCACCTACTCCATCCGAAACCTTCTCCTCTTCGCCGACTTCGCCGTCCGCGCAGCCTACTACATGGGTCTGTGTGCACGAGGCCCCATCCCCCTCCCTCGCATCACAGAACGCTGGACCGTACCACGTGCCAACTTCATCTTCAAGAAGTCGCAAGAGAACTTCGAGCGTATCACCATGCGACGACTCATCCAGATCCAGGATGGTCATCCCGACGTAGTGAAGGCGTGGCTTGCATTTCTGCAGAAACACCAGTACTATGGCGTCGGTATGAAAGCGAACATCTGGGAGTTTGAGAGCCTGGAGGCTGCGACACGGGCAGGATACAACCTCGATGCCGATGACCACAGCAGGAGGAGAGAGGGCCCGATGATCGAGAAGGTCAAGGAGATCTTGAGCACGCCAGCGTACAAGGAGGCGTTGGCGGACTACACGATGCCAAATTCTATAGAATTGAGGCCCGGAGGATACAAAGTGCCGAAGGAGATTATGGGGAGAAAAGCGAGAAAAGCAGCAAACAAAGCCAACCGGGCGGAAAAACAACTGAACGCCTAAAGAGGCGGTGTTGATAGAGCGAAGAGCGATGATCTGTAAGATTATGTGTCTGAGGCTGTCTGAAGATGCATGTATTTCCATAACGACGCATTGTAGAGTGGTGTACATATACCTTGGTCCAATAGGGAACGTTCAAAAACGTGTTCAAAAACTTGGGACATCTTGCATCTGAGTGCGGAAAGTGTGGACTGGTACGTGAGACTATGTCTCTCGTCCACCACTCTTCCTCGAACAGGTACACCGTCTCGCCGTCCTCGCAGCTGATTCCATTATCAGCTCGAAAGTACAGCTGAGTGATGCACCCGCTTCGGAGGCTAGGCTAACTGTCTACAGCAGGTGCGATCATTGCGAGGAGTGGGAGCTTCCGCGAAGTGGGCGACTTCATCACGTTCTTTCCGCCGCACATAGGCAGTCTCACATGTTTGTTTTACAGCATTATTGATATCGGTGCGTGTTTTTTTTTTAGTTGCGATGCGTACGTTGTCGTGACGGGTCACAATTCGAACTCAGCGTTTCAAGCTATCGTTACGCATTTCCCAGCCTCACACGCACTGATCGATATATTGCGTAGCTACTTCAATTGATCATGGTGTTGGGGTTCGTCCGGGTCTTTGGGGGTTTTTTTTTGGAGACCTGGCCGTTACGCATCCTTTATGGAACACCCGTCGGCTCATGACGGGTACTACGGGGCCATCACCGTGGCGCAACATCCTCGAAGGCTTGGATACAGGCTCGTCGTTGAAAACTCAAGTTCCATCAATTCGCTTATAGTGCTAGTTTCATGGCACAGGTGCATTTCAGATACCACAAGTATATACTGCTCAGCATATCCTGGAGTCTTCTTCCAGTCTTAAGCCATATTTGCTCAGAGTGCATAGCCATCATGAAGGTCAAGATGCACACGATCCTCCCTGGATGCATCACCCTTGCATTTCGTTATGCCGCTGCAGGCATCGTTCCTCCTGATCTAGATCTCGATCCTGAATACGATCCATTCCTCGACCAAAGTGTGCTCGGAGCACTTGCAGCAAACGGCGCAAAGGCCCACGTTGGAACTTGCAGATGTAGCAACTGCGGATAGGATTGTGCCCCCGGCTTCAACGAAGTTTCATGGAACCGAGGGAAAGCGGGTGAGGTGATCTTTGGAACATACACGGTGCGGCGTTGGGCACGGCCGATCAAAATTTTGTTGCCCACGTTCCTCGGACACGAACCACAGGGATCAGGACGAAGTGCACTTGGAATGGATTCTTTTATTTAGGCAAGTTCGAGCCAGGCTGTGGCAACTTTGTGCGCAGCGTCGAAGTAGGCACCACGAAGGCTGATTGTACGAAGGGTGGGTACCAGAGTGTATGCCGCACGACGCCGCGAGAGAAAGAAGTCACGCCCAGTGTCTTAGCCTACTACCAATGCGGATGGTATTCGGCTAAGAGGTTTCCAAAGAATGAAATGCGAGAGCAAAAACTTTGAACGCCCAGCGGATGGTCCCAATTTGGTCACCTCTTTGAACCTTGGGTTTGGTGGAGAGGTAGAGTGTCTGGAAGGTGAGTGTGCCAGTGTGGCTTTCCGGTGCGATGCGCATGCTCTGCGGGACTCAGAAGCTATTGCTGTACCAAAAATATGCTACCTATTTTCAAAACCTGTTCATGGAAGCCATCATGCGCGAAGGATCAAATCTGGGTGGCCCTGCGCAGTGATGGTGGTGACAATCGGGCTTTCTGCTGTCCTGGGGAGACTTTGCAACCCAATGAGCCACCACCAGCACCTAAGCCTAAACCGAATCCAGCCCCGAGGTCATGACTAACTAGAATTAAATTATTCAAAGGATATGTAGATTAGTAAGTAGTATCATGTTTTGACTGTGTTGCTCTAGAATTGACAATGTCAAGCTGGATGAAACGAAGGGTTCCAGGCGAGCATTCTTGTCCGTGGCAGGAGCGACCTCCGATTCTTGAGTAAGTTGTTTCAGTGTCTGCTTGATAATATAATGACATCGATGTAGCTTGGAGAAACATCAAAGTAGTATGGTTCCTCGCTCTGATCTGGATTCAATCACAGGCCCTGAGGCACTGTCTCCGGTAGAGGGCGCGGCAGACTACATGCCTAATGGTATGTGCTTCCAATCTTGGACTGCCATATCAGACTTCCTCCATGTTTTGACTGATGTTACGAATGACACACGTGTTGTAGGTGGGCGAAACTAGATGTTCCGGGCAATCGATCAAAAGCTTAGAAATCTTCTAGATTGCCCAGGCTGTCGCATGGGGATAAGTGACTTCTTGAGGTTTTTGATTGGACAGTAACTTTATGTGTGATACTTAATTACCCATTTGAATAGAGATGTGCGTCTGATACTACCAACGACTCGGAATTCTACATTCAGAGAAGACTTTCGACCCAGGGAGCTGTGGCGATCCTGAATCTCTTGCCCCAGATCCAGTATGGCACAGTTAACAACCCGAAAATTCCTAGCAACATGCCAAAAATACCAAAGGGTTGTGCGTAACCTGCATCGTGTGTCCAAGTACCCACAAAGAACGTCCACGCGAAAGCAATGATGGCCCTTGAGCAAGTAATGGCGACGAAGCAGTCTCCTGCAATCGTAGGGTAGGATTCGATGATGTAGTTGAATCCGACACTAGGTGCTTGCATCAATCCAAAAGCGACCATGCCAAAGGCGATCTGTAATCCTACCCATCCTTTGGGTGAAGGGTTCTGAGCAACAAGCCCGAGGATGATGGTACCGGCCGTCGAGATGAATAGGGCAGGAATAGCAGTAACGATACGAGACTCAGGTTCGCTGTATCCATGGATGTCTTTCTTCGCAAGTCGCTTGGTGGTGAAGTCGGCAACGAAGTAAGTGTAGATGGCACCGAGGACAGAGCCGACGAGCGCACCGGCGTTGATAAGGCCTGCGTTTGCTCCCCACAAGTATGGCGGAGATGAAACTATTTGTGCGCCCACTGCACTGATCGTCACGATGGCACCAACGAGGCCAGCATACCACAACGACACTAGCCAGACGCCTGGGAGACGAAGTGTAAGGTATGGAGCGAGAAACTTCTTACCAACGCCGCCGTGCCAAGTGAAGAGCTTGAGAGACCGGACAAAGGTATACGGAGCATACGAAGACTGGTCATTGGCAGTCGATGTGGTCGTAGCGCCCACGTTTTCTTTGGTCACTGTGACGGACTTGTCGGGACTATCAGCGCTCTCCAGCACGGCAGGAATTGGGCGCTGGTATAGAGTCTCGGGTTGTAGGAAGAAGCAGACGACAAAAGCGATGGCCGAGAGTATTACGTTCGTCCAGTGAATCCAAGCCAGGCCGTTATGTGAGGCGATGTAACCACCAGCCATAGGCCCAACAAAGGAACCCGCAGCCAAGAACACGGTGTAAAATGCCTTGTGACAGTCAGTAACATGAACCTTTATTGGAAGTATGGACCGCAGAGTGCCGGCTTACCATTACTCTACCACGTTGATGCACAAAGAAGATCTCTCCGACAACGTCGGGTGAAACTGCATCTGCGGGACCTCCACCAACGCCCATGAAAATTCTCGCTGCTAGCAAGCTGTCAAAACTAGTCGTGAGCCCAGCCCACATTGAGGATAATGTCAACAACAGCAAGCTGAGCAACATGACCGGCCGCCGTCCGATAATGTACGAAAGCGGTACCCAAAGCAGGTTCGACGCTCCGAGCATAAGAATGTTGACCTGAGTAATTTATTAGATCCTTTCTATCAAAAAGTGAAGCTTAGAAGAACTCACAGCAAGCAAATGCGTCAATTCGGAAAACGGCTTGGGTGGGAGCCCGAAGATGGGAGTGGCAGCATAGACCGGAAGCGCACTTGAAATCGAGGCACTAGTGAAATTGACCACGAATGGAACGAGGCACATGCTGAACAGAATCCCAGACTTGCGCAATCGTGAAAAATTCAATGGGTCGGCCGGGTCGGCCGTAGGCTGGGGCACGAGGCGAACTTCATCGTGAATCTGATTTGATGCAGTCCATTCGAGATGCTCTGCAGTAAGGAGTGAGTATGAGGTGGATTTGATTGCACGAGGGTACATATACCAATAAGAGTTGTGGTACCCGGGGGTGTCGCATTGCGAACTTCGGCCTTTGAGAGACTAAACGCGTGTTTGAAGCCTGACATGATGGTCGACTGACGTGGAACGATCGTCTGTTGATGGGTAGAATGGAGAAATGTATAGGAGAGTTTCCCGTGCCACGGGACTTCCGCACTGACACGCCCCCATGGGGTTCGCGTGTGGGGAAACCGGAATGTGGAGGAGCGGGAGTCTGGATCCTTCGCACCTAACCTTGGTTCCGTTGCTGAGGAAGCCACCAATACACGGCGTACGCTTTCTTGGGCTCATGTGCCGGGACGCATCATAGACAATATGCTGGGCAGTAAGAAGCATTCGGTAGAACTGAAGATATGGTAGTCCAGTGGCGGTGGTCAATTTAATGAACACGAATCAAACATTGCGCATCTCTCGGCTACGCACGTCGAGACCCAGGTATTAATTCACGGCTTTTTTTGGCAGATGCTGAACGGTGAGGGCAAATTTTGATTGTTTACACTGCTCTACAAAAGCCTAGCCGGTTTGACCGTGCCTACGCACTCACCAAAGCCAACGCCAGCACTCGAGTCACCAGCAACGGCAGTGAACCGCACAGTATCGCCGTCCTCTAGATACTTCAGTTCTGACCCGTCACTTAGCTTTTTGGGCTCTTTCCCATTCATTGTGAGCTCCATCAAGCAGGCCAGCTCCGATTCGGACGGTCCAGATACAGTTCCAGAGGCCAATAGATCCCCAGTGTTCAATGGGCATCCACCAATTGCATTATGTGCAAGCATTTGTCTGAATGTCCAGTACATGGTTTGTGCAAATGCAACTTTACAGACTGTCGTCGTTGATCCCTTCCTAACAATCTCTGCTTCGATAGTAAGGTTGTATGAGGTGCTGTTCGGGTCGTCCAGAAAGTGAACTACAGGCTCCTCATGAGTAGGCGCAGGAGATTCAAATGCCCTGAGTGCTTCCAGAGTAACCACCCATGGAGACATTGACGTTCCAAAGTTCTTTCCTTTAAAAGGTCCAAGAGGGTCTCTCATTTCACAACCCTGAATATCGCGCGAGCTCCAATCATTAACGAGAACCAGACCAAAGATATGTTCATCCATATCCTTTGCATGGACATCGGTATCGCCTGCCAACGGTCGACCTACAATAGCGCCGACCTCAAGCTCATAGTCCAGTGCTCTCGATGCACCGAACACAGCCTTGCCATTTTCTAGGAATTGGCCTATCGGCCGGGTAACGGGAGTCGGGGAGACGTAGATTGACGAGCAACGGCCTGCGTATCCTAAGGGAAAATTGTGGAAAGTATGTGGCAGTTGAGGTTTCCCGAAGAGTGCCTTTGGCGCATTCGTAACATGATCGCGTGACACGGAGAAGTCGGTGAAGTCTCCCACTTGGACTGGTAGCAGCAATTCTACGTCTTTGATATCTTCTGAGCAACCCTTGTGCAAACTGTTCTTGTATGCTTCTTGTATTGCCGCTCGGGTTTCAACGTGAACATCCTTGGGCTGAGCGGCGAAGGCGTTGAGTGTCTTCTCGGCGAAAATAGAAGACAGATCTGCTGATACATCTGCAAGAGGTGCCTGTTTCGAAAGTTCTGCTAGGAATATAACCTCGTCACCAATTCGCGTGACGGCTTGAGGTGCTGATCTTCTGGAAGAACGTCCAATTCCATAGGGAATGTTGTTGATTCCAAAATGAGAGGTATATGTTCCAGCCATGTTTGCGTTTTGGAAAAGAATTAGCATTCGCTGATGTTCCTTGAGATCGTGGTTTCGTGAGAGTAGATTACCGAGAACTATTTTCCTGCGGTTCTAGTGCATGCATCTGGTGTGGTTCGGGGGTCGCTCTCCACCTCGGGACCCTGTGGACCCTGGAACAATCGCGCAACATCTCAGTCGGCATGTCGAACGTAGACTTCGGTCTTTCGGCATTTAACCAAAGGGAAGTACGAATTTGCACACTGCCAGTTGACTGTCATCTTTGCCAAAATTTCAGATTCGTCCTTCCACATACCACCAATCACATTATGTCCACAAAGAAGATTGCACAGGATAGTCCTCTCCCAAATCTCAACCGCTATATCACGGCTCACGACGAATCGACCGGAAAAGCCATCTTCTCGAACGCGGTGCCCGAGCAAAATCCTACACAGGTCGTACCCGGCGCCGTCTTCCGCCAAGGATATGTCACAAAGAAGTTCCCTGTTCAAATCAACGGAGACGAAGACTTGAACGGGTACAAATCGTTCCTCGAGTCCCCACCGGGTCTTGTGAACAGCACTGGTACCGTGCTTCGCATTGTCGACTGCCCTCCACAGTCCACATCGCCGATGCACCGAACGGTATCACTGGACTACGGCATCGTATTGATCGGCGAGGTAGACCTGTTACTAGATTCTGGAGAGGTCAGGACGATGAAACCAGGAGATATGGCGATCCAGAGGGGCACAATGCACGCGTGGGTGAACAACAATCCGACCGAATGGGCAAGGCTGGCTTTTGTGCTGCAACCTTGTGAGCCGGTTGTGGTGGGTGGCAAGGCGCTCGAGGAAGAACTCGCCGATATGGAAGGCGTCAAAAAGTCTGAATAGATAGAATTTACTCGATTCACGTATCAGTGTCCAATGTCTTCGTCATGTCCGAAACTGCTGTTGCGTCCTACGCGCAGCCGCGTGAAGTCGAGTCCCTGCATTGTCCCTGCCTCGGCCGGACCAAAACGGTTAGCGCGGAGACTCTCCCTCTTCTCTCCACATCCCGAGCTCATCACCCATCCCACCAAATTTCATTCGGCGCCGATGAAACTGCGATGTCGCGGTTGCTCCACAACGGAGTCTAGTTCATGGTATTGTCACTGTATATACTCCAGACCCTGCATCTGTAAGCTAGACCTTACAGCCAAAAGTGCAACCACACTCATCATGCCTCCTCAGATCAAAGACGCACACAAGGTAGACGACTCGTCGTTTCCTTACCTCTTCGAGGAAAATGCTGTTGTACCCTTGAAAACAAGTTCGGACGGCATCATTCGTTGCAATATCTACCGTCCGAAGGCAGGCGGCAAGAAATTTCCTGTTCTTGTTACCTACGGGCCGTATGGCAAAGACATCCACTACAAAGACTTCCACGGGAAGTCATTCTCCGAAGTGAACCCTGAGCACCACTCAGATCATTCTGCCTGGGAAACGCCCGACCCTGGATTTTGGACCAAACATGGTTACGCGATTGTGCGAGCCGATGAGCGCGGCCTCGGTCAATCGCCTGGCTTCCTCGATACGATGTCGCGTGGCACGAGCGAAGCCTTCTTCGATGTCGTTGAATGGGCTTCTGAGCAGCCATGGTCTTCTGGAAAGGTCGGTCTTCTTGGAATCAGCTACTACGCCGGATCGCAATGGCGTGTTGCTGCACGTCAACCCAAGGGGTTGGCAGCGATAATACCTTGGGAAGGTATGAGCGACTACTATCGGGACCGATGCCGTCATGGTGGCATCTTCTCAAACAAGTTTATCAACTTCTGGTGGAACCGCCAGGTTGTGTCCAACCAGTACGGACTGCCTGGCAGGGCAGCACGGAACTGGGGCCCTGACTGCGTGGACGGCGACGTATCGGACGAAGAGCGCCAGAAGAATAGGCAGGACCAGAACATCGACAACTTGAACAACAAATTCCGCGATGATGAGTACTACGCTAGCAAAGAATACGACATGGGTGATATCCAGGTACCGCTTCTTTCCGTGGCCAACTGGGGCGGCATCCTTCTGCATCTCCGCGGTAACATTGAGGGTTATCTTCAGGCAGGTTCCGAATTCAAATACCTACGCGTCATCACCGGTCGCCACGACCTCCCCTTCTACTATACTGATGAAGTCGAGGTTCAAAGGAGCTTCCTTGATGCGTTTCTCAAGGGCGATGACCGTGTCGGATGGAGCGTCAAAGGCAAGGTCCCGGCAGTAGACCTAGTCCTCAGGAAGGGTGACGTTGGCTTCGATGATGCCAAAGCGGAGAAGGTTTATGAGCGTAGGAGTGAAACCGAATGGCCCATTGCCCGTACTCGGTACACGAAGTTCTACCTCACCCCAGAGCAGTCTCTGACCCCGGTCCAGCCCATTGTCACTCGCCCCAAAAAGCTGTCGTATGAGGCTCTTGGCTCCCTGGAAAACCCAAATCTGATACAATTCACTACACCAGCGTTCGAACAAGAGACCGAAATCACTGGACACATCGTGGCACACCTCAACGTATCCATGTCACCCTATGCCAGCGGCTCAACGCCTTCAGATATCGACCTCTTCCTCACAATGCGCTATATCTCTCCATCCGGCAAGGAAGTACACTACACCGGTACAGCGGGTGATCCCATTCCTCTGGCCAAGGGCTGGCTGCGCGTCAGCCTGCGTAAGACCAACCCATCGCACCCTCGACACCGGGAATGGCTGCCTCATCGCGACTACTTCAGCACTGATGTGCAGCCTGTCATACCGGGTGATATCTACCCAGTGGACGTTGAGATCTGGCCAACCAATGTTATTGTAGAAAAGGGTGGTAAGATTGTGTTTGAGGTGAGCAGTGGCGATACACAGGGAAGTGGTATTTTCCAACACAACCACCCTGAAGATCGCAGTGAGAAGAAGTTTGCGGGCATGAACCATGTCAGTTTCAGCGAGAGGTACAGCAACTGGGTCAGCCTGCCGATCATACCTCAGAGGTGAAGGCTTGCTTCCACGGTCGTTTAGATCTAAAATTTATTCTTCCAATTAAATCTTTGTTCCGTCCCGCGTGCTTGTTGTCGTCTAATTGGTCATATTTTGACTCCGTATATGTTGGCCACACTCCCTTAACGTTGCTTGTTAGGAGTCGGTGTCGCGATGTGTCAACCCTGCATGCTGTATTACATATGCGATTGTTCGAGTAGAGTATGTCAATATCGAAAGAATATATTTTCGCTAATAGTTATTGCAAATTCAGGTATACAGTCTAAAACCACCACACTTATATCACCGCAAATCTCCTCAGCCCAGCCCTAACACCAAAAAACAACGAAGCACCCAAACAAGTCAGTATTGGCACACCGAATACACCCAGTCCAATCAGAATACCTTGCTCAAAGAAACCAATCGCTATCGACTCAGCGCGCTTCGGCTCCTTGATCTCCTTCGCGGCGTCCTCCAACAGCTTCGCGGCGTCCTTGCTGGTACTGGTAGTCGTGTTCGCAGGTCTCACCAGTACAGGTGATGCCCTTTGGAATTGCTCTTTCTTATATCGGTTCTCCAGGTCGAACTCGTGGAAAAGAGGTGCTCCTGGTCCCAAGAGGAGTGAGGTAGGGATATGGTTTACGAATGTAACCTCCGAGCGGATGAACTGGGAGAGGTACTTTGCATGCGCGGGAGCAGCAAAGTGGTACGCAGCGCTAAGACGGTCGTCTAGATCGTTGTTTATGATATCGATGGCATGATCTAGCGATGACACTGCTGAGATTGCAAGTACCGGTGCGTCGGACCTAGGCGGTAGAGGCACGTGCGTCGTGCTCTTGCTTGTGAGCTCGACGATGGCGCCTGTGGATCCTTGCGTAATGATGTTTGTATGCCAGTGCTTACTTTCTGAGAAAGTTTCCAAAGCGTCGCTTGTAGTCCGTTTCTTAGATTGCGAACTCGCATTCGGCACGGCGTTCGAAGAGGTCGCCGCGAGGTGTTGGATCCCATGTTTCAATACTTGCTCTACGAAGTCCCGTTTTACGAACTCGTTGACGAAGACTAGATCGGGCGCGTAAGGCGAGGTGCCGCCAAAGCTGAAGCGTGCGGCTACCAAAGCCTCTGCCGCTGAAGAGAGGTTCGCCGTTCGATCGACAACGGCTAGAACTCTGCCCGAGGCAGAGACAAGTCGAGTGTAATTCGATTGCTCAGTGTTTGTTTCCTGCAGAACCGACAGAACGTTCGATGTTGTCCCCTCTTGTGGTGATGTTGAGATGATCTGAAACGCGTCTGGCTGTAGTGCTTTAGGGAGGAGGGATCGGAGTAGCGAGGGCAAGGCTCGAGGAGTGTTCTCTAGCTAAAATATTGTCAGATAAGGGTTTTCCAATTGCTTTGTATTTTACCTTCAATGCAATGCAGCTGCCTGCTGCAATCGCCGTGCCTAGCGGTTCGATCACGCTGAAGAATGGGGTATGACCCAAATTTGGTTCAATATACACCACTCCCCATGGTTCTCTCCTATCTGCAGCATCTTTCGCCTTCGTTGGCCTGTATTCACTTTCGAGCTCTGCCTTCTGGTCGATCCCAGCATAATGCGTTTTCAGATGTCTCAGCGTAATGGCGATTTCCATGGTGGCCTCAGCATCTGTAACATGCTGATCTTGTCGAAGAGCATCCCGAATAGCATTTATCTCTCCACGTAGCGTGTCGTGTAAGAATTTAAGTTGTTCGCGTCGAAAGAATGGGTTGGAACTGCGCCCGGTAAGGGCAGTCGCGTTGAGATTTGCAAGAGTTGTAGCTGCCATTGCGCCTGAAAAGATTGCCTCAAGGTCCAAATCGTCTGTCGTGGACCTACTCCTTCAATGAGCAAGACTATCACTACTAGATCTGCACTGACCTGTTCATTCATGCCCACTGCGCGCACCGCGCCTCGCCTCGGCAGTGTGGTGCGGACGAGAGCGGAGGTCCTCCACATCCCGAGTCCCCCTTCTCACGCGACAACGCGGGACCCCCGCAACGCCTCGGGGTCTAGACGTGCCGAAGCACCGAAGAAATTCAATTCACCTCGCAGTTTCGCAATATACGCGTAGGTCGTACGTCAAAATCGCACTCTAGCCGTCCCAAATCGTCAGTACACGCCCTTGTACACCATGTCCGTAACAACGACCGCCAACGCGCAGACATACAACCTTCGCGCTGTCCTCGCAGACTATGATCTCCATCACACCCCTGAGACTGACCCCCTCGATACTACGTTGAATGTGCACCCTTCACCAAATTCGCCATTGTCTCACAGCAACCCAGCAGACTGGCCCACAAATGAGCGACGCGTGCCGCCATACCGACCCATAAACACCGAGTTGGATCAAACGCAAAGAAGAGTGTATCAGAACGGGGTGGAGAGGGCGTTTGTAGCAGTCATGTTCTCTGGTGTGTTTCTTGAGTCGGTAAGTGAATGCACGCGGAAATGGCTCAGATTGGCACTAATGAAAGGGCAGACCGCAAGTAAACTGTGGAGAAATACATTCGGACGATTTTGGAATGTTGGGTATAACATCGGCGGAGAGTGGTGATGAATACATTCATTAGCGAGCGTCTGGGAAAAACTAGAAATTTGAACATTTGCACTGGACGGGACTGCCTTTTTTGTTCATGGCGATTTTACTATATCGATACTTCAGGTATATTGGAAATGACGATGTCACTTGGAAATTGTAAATACGACGTAATCGTATATATCATTCCAGCGTATCAATTACACATACATCAATTTCTACGGAAAGACTTCCAGGATAAAGCGTAGCTCTTAGACAAGCCTCCTTGCACCCTTGACGTCGCTACCACCCAGGCCTTCCACTACCTTGGCCTCTACAACCTCGTAGATGGGTATCTCCGCCAATCGATCAACGATATGATGCAGAGTCGGTAGCCTCTTCCAGTCCAACGAGTCGAACTTGATCTCCGCTTTATCTGCGACAAGTGTACTCTGGACTTGCCTAGGTGCCTTTACTTCCTCGTCGTTAGGAAGAAATCCCACGTATTCAACGTCAGCCTGTCCTCGTTCTTTGCTGCCCTCGGAAGCAGTCGTGGGGATGAACTTGTGGAAGAATAATCCCTCTTCCTTTGGCGGAGGTGGAGGGCCGTGGCCGGGAGGAGGACCAGCGCCCGGAGGGGGACCAGAAGCATGCACTCCGTTCGGTTCTGGTTTCGTAACAAGACCGGTAATGGAAAGATCCAAGAAAGTGTTTCCCATCCAGCCAGCTTTCAGCTTGAAGGCGCTTTCTTCTCCGGCAACGTCAAGCGAGGCGAACACTTTCGGCATGCCGAGCTCTTCCCGTCCGCTGATGATAGGATCTGCGAGATTCTCGAACAGCACCGGAAGGTAGGTTCCCACAACTTTGTCACCATTTTCCTTCGTATATTCTACGCCGTGGATGTATAGACCGAAGTGGTTGTAGCCGTTGCCACCCAGCCACTCGAGGTTACCAAGAACGGATAAGGAAAATGTGGCGAAGCAATTTGAGTTGGGAGAGGCGAACTTGAACCCGGCAGGAAGTAGGTTCTCCAAAAGCGTACGTGAAGTCTTGAACTTGATGCTAGCAGTAGTAAAAGTCGAGTTGGTCCAGTCTCTGCTGTTGCCGAAATGATCCTGTCGTGGGCCGGGGAAAGGACCAAACACTGTAGGCATTCTTCGGTATGCGGTGGGCTTACGGCTCCATTCCCACTCGCGCAGTTTCTGGCTTGTGAAATGCCACTCGTCGTGACCAAAGTTCTCGTCTGTGAAGCGGCCCGGGTCGAGAGGAGGCCCAGAGCCTAAATCCGCACCCGATTGACGAGAATACTCCTGGATGTTGGTGGCGCGTTTCATGCGGCACTGTTCGTAGAGCTTAAGCCTTTCTGGTATTTCAGCCAGTGCTACACCCAGGGGAAGGACACATGCTAAGGAGGCGGCATCCTCGATAGCCTGTGCTGCACCTTGGCCTTGGTCTAAAGATGATTAGCATTGCATCATTAACGAGAATGTCGAGATTCTTACGGGGCGTGAAGGGATGCGCTGCGTCTCCAATGAGTGCAAGCTGTCCTTCCGTCCAAGTCGGTAATTGGCCCATATCGAGTAGTTCCCACACCTTCAACGTATCCTCATCAGCCATGCTCAGAATCTTCAAGACAGCTGGATCCCAGCCTCTGTACACGTCCAACATCTTTTGCAAGTTTGCATCGGTCTGCCATCCGTCTGCTTTTTCGTCCTTCTGCTCGGACTCAGATGTCGGATGTATACAGACAAAGTTCAAAAGTTCGTGGTGTCTTGTCGGGTAGATGACAACACGTCGGTCCTTTCCCATGTACATGTTCAGGTGTCCTTCTTTCTCGGCAAGCGGCTTCGTGAGCGGGTCTTCGAGTGCGCGCGAGCGAGGCATTGTGAATCGGAACGCGCTCTTCCCATCTCCGGCGGGCTTGAAACCTTGTGAGCCCGGTAACGCATAACGAGCTTTAGAGTGTACGCCATCAGCGCCGATGACAAGGTCGGCTTTCAGCTGTTCACCAGATTCCAAATTAACGCTGCCGTCTGTGCCAACACTTGCCACTCGACTGGAGGTTCGAAGGACAGCGGGTTTTCCAGGTCCATCTTCTGCGATTGCTAGTTTCTTCAACTCCTTGTGTAGATCCACTCGGTGCGCCAACATCCATTGATGCTGCCACCTACCCGCCGACCTCCACAACGGAGCTTCGAACAATTGTTTCCCGTTCGGCAGAGACTGAGAAAGGATCCTGCAAGGAACAGCGCCCAGATCTTCGAGATTGATACCCATTCTCAAAAGCAGTCCAGTTGCGTTTGGTGCCATATGTACCGCGGCTCCTAGCTCGTTGGCGAATCTTGATTGTTCTAGGAGAGTGACATGATGGCCCTGTTGTCTGAGAAAGATTGCTGCGCTCAATCCTCCAATCCCCGCTCCAACGACCAGAACGTCGAGCGGTTGCGCCGCTTGGTTTGCATGGCCGGTGCCATTCGTGGGAGAAGCCATACTGTCTGCCGCGCGACTCGTTATGCCCAAGTTGAAGGTCAAATGGTCCTAATTAATGGCCACGGCGACGACCTAGCAGCTGGAGGATATATCTGGATGCAGTATTGCAAGACAGAAATTCGCGACACAATTAGCGTGTGGTGCATGCTCGTACAGCCGCGGCAGCCTATGCAAACAGTAGTTCATCGCCGTGATGCCGGCAATGATCTCCACATTCCGGGATAGCCAAATGATCCTCGGCTAAAATGCACGGATGACGTGGGCAGGCCGATTGATTGGCCTGCCGCCTGGGCCATATTGCATAGTCTAGTCGTGCACATGAATCGACAACAGTTCACCTGAGTAACTGGGTTTCCGTCGGCCAAAACGAACACGCACGTACATCGGAGCGTCCGCTCATGGGCAAAGTGCAATTTGACGAGGCTCAATTTGAGAGAGTCAAGCGGGAGTCCTCTTCATGGGGAACAGTGCCATGCGAACGTTTGACCAGGATTAGAATTGGGGTATCATATCAAGAAGTAACTTTCCCAGAAAGTCACTTCGACGCAGAACGAAGAACTTCCATCAATTGCACCAGCCCTTCCACGAGTGGCGGGCAAGACCCGCTCACAGATCCATGATTGTGCAGCAGTAATTGCGACACCGTACCGAGAACCTGGGCAGCATCGCGAAGGTGTATGACTGTCTGTGTGCTATTGTCTCGAATAGCAGGCTCTCCCCGATTGAACTTGACAAATTTCTTTACATCTCTTTCTTCGGTGGCCCCGAGAATGAAAACCTGTGGCTCAGGGTTGGGCTCGTTGCTCGCATCGTCAGCTATGCGCTTCAGCAAGCCGTAGGCCCATAGTACAAGTGCAGCATGGTACACTGCCATGGCGTAGAAGTCTTGCAAGACTCCTTGCGATGCTGTCTCGGAGATCTTGACGACCTGTGATGCATGCCAAACTGCCTGCCTTGCTGCTTCCGTCGAAGTCCAGTTGCGGATTGAAGTATACGCATGTCGCGCTTCGTCCAGGCCCGCAATGCCAGCAAATGTCTGCACTTCTTCTACGGGTGCATTTAAATGCATGAGCATGATCTCTACTGTGAGAAGCTCTTGAACAGAGCTGGACACGTGGTTGAGACGGAATTCCTCGCACATCTTTGTCAGCTCTGCCTGGCGTGAGTTGAGAAGTAAGTCGTTCGTAATTCGCTTCTTGGAACTCAGAGCACAGAGCTGTCTATACTCCCATATCATGCCCCATATCATGTATAAGTGGGCCGAACTGGCTGTGGGAAACAGGCTGAGATATTCTAGATCCTCCAAACAATCGAATAGGGTTGGTCTCCTTGCTGTTGCCCCCAAGGTCGTCAAATAAGTGGTTTTCCACGCCGAAGCAGATGGTGCTTGCCATAATGCATCCGAGTGAGGCAAAGGCAGATTCATCTCGGCGTAGGATATCAGCGGTGGTTTGAGGAGGGCCATTGAAGACTGTCGATCAAACTCGAAATATCTGTATACAAGTCGGAGCCAGGACTCTTGGAGAACCCACTCCTTCCACTTCTTCCGTAACGTCAGGCCTTCGTCGTCTGGGCTCGGGTATATTTTCTTCCATACGGAACGGCTGAACCAGCCTCCGCGGCGAAGCATCGTGACCGGGGGCTGCAGGAAGCTTTCCGAGATCTCCATCTTGCGACTTACTCCGCTCCACATGCCGATTTCACATAGCAGGAGCTGCATCTAGGACATCATGCTATGTCAGCTAGGGTCTCCAAATGCGACAGATGCGATCATACCTGCAAGTATTGAATATCGCGGATGTTGCTGTTATCTTCCTCGATAGATTTAGACATAGAGACACGTGCTACTTCGTGTAAAGCTTGGCCTAGCTTCCGCAATATATCATCTGGGGCTGAGAAAGCGCCCGCAGCGACAACACAGACGAGCAACAATGGCTTTATCTTGGCGGGTGAGAATGTTGGAAGGTGGAAGCAAGACCCGGCGTTGACGGAGGGCGAAGTGAAGAATATCTGAATCATGCCGTCAAGTAATTCAAGCGACGGGAACCCAGCGGCGATGCGTTTAGAATTTTCTTTGCTAGAGCTCTCAATCACCAGAGCAAGAAACCTATCCCGGGCAGTATAGGATAGTCGCTCGCTTGTGACATTTCGAGGGGGAATGAGTGCTGGCGATTGGCCTTCACTCTCTCTGTCAGCAAAAGCTAGATTCGACTCCCCGGCCATCACCGGGTTAGTCTTGCTCCTTGGCATATATCGCCATAAGCTTCGATCAAATGCTTTCGCCCTATCTGCGGCTGCAGAATCCGCTGATCCACTCTGGGGATGTTGATCAGTTGTTGTTGTTGTTGTTGCTGCTGCCACTGTTGCTGCTGCTGCTGCAGCAGCAGGGGGAGGGTCGTGGTGGAAGGCGTCTTGATGCATATTTTCGTGCATGAGACTTGGATCGTAAAGGGCAAGATCAACACTACTGAAATCTATATCCCAGTTGAAGTTATACTCCGCAAGCCCTCGTGGTGTAGCGTAGCCTGGAAGGGAGGTTTCCACAGATGGCATGTAGCGAAGAAAGTCTGGGATAAAGGCATCGCCGGGAGATCCCTCACTGTACGATATGGCGGGGTTTTGCATGTACATAGGGAGTGCTTCTGGTTCTTGGGTCGCGCCCGATACCACATCCGTATACCTCGGTTCCATGCCCTGAATGTTATCCCAGGCCTGTGGGACTTCTTGTTGGACAACCATGATCGCTTCATCCACTGTCGACTCGGAGTGATGATGCGATTGTTGCGCAGCATGATGATGGAGTGAGCGTGAGTCGAGGTTATTAGAAAGATCCAACAAGTCTTGCGCGGCGCCCAGTTCCTGTGCAGCAGCATCGAGCTCTTCCTGTGCCGCCGTTGACAAGCGGCATGTGAGGTTCTTCTGTCGACATCTACGGCACGGCTTCTCGTCCTCGCACTTCAGGTGGCTTTTTGAACACTCCTCACAAGCTTGACCAACGCGGCTCATGCGGGAGATATCAGTCCGCGAGCGCTTCTTCCCACTATCCGAAGCATGATTGGCTACATGTCTTTTGAGTAGATCGACCCTCGCAAAGCACTTGGAACAAGTGGGGCACACATAAGGTCTTTGCTTGGTATCTGGAGTTGTGAGCTTCCATTTGGATCTCAATGCTGACTTGATGCTTACGCGACCGGACATGTCGCATCAGGTGGTCGACACGTGTGAATGAGCGCTTGCACGTGCTGCACTGGAACAAGCGCTCTTTCGCTTCCGTATCGGGTATAGTCGGAGGGTTTAGCGCTGCTTCCATCTTCTCTGTTGCTTGCAAACTCTCCGGCTCGGGTTGGTCAAGATGTCGGGGCACGATGTGGAGGAGAATCTGGGGAAGATAGGGAAAGATGGGGTGATGTGGAGAGGCAAGACAGTTGGCTTCGCGCAGCCCGTGACCTTCGGCTAGCGACTCGTGGCCTTCCCCAAGCTCTGTCCAAGCTCCCCCCACATCCCGATGAGGACGCCTCGCCACCGAGCAACACCCGACAGTCAACATGAGCTTAGTGTTGCTTCTTCGAAGCGCTGAGCATATCCACAGTTGAATTCTCCCAAAAAAACAAAAAAGGGTGATATATTCTTGACGTCTGGTCCCGAACACGTGACAGACCTGTTCACGCATTGGAGTTACGTGACGGATTCTTCTACCCACCGGTGTTGCAGCACAATGGTTTTACCACCCGTTCACTTCTTCTCCCATGGGTCCACCATGATGCTGGGCGAGGAGTCCAACTCCGCAACCTACTGGAAACAATGCGGAGACGAAGCTCTCGCCCACAACATCAAAGGCGTCGTGATGATGGGCGCGCACTGGGACGCCCGCGGCACAAACCGCATCGACGTTGCGACAAACCCCAACCCTCAAAAATCGCCTGTCGCCTACGTCCACCCGTCGAAGTACGTCGACTACAAGCTGGTGCCCGACGTCAGAACCGGGAACCGCATTGTCGGCATGCTGAATGACGCGGGTCTCAATGCCCGTCCCAACGAAACTTTTGACTGGATCCACGACACATACTTGATTCTTATCAGGATGTTCCCTTGTGGATGCCCGCCGACCACGATTGTCAGCATGAACGCGAGATTCGATCCACATCTGCATGCGCGTGTGGGCAGTGTTGTCGCAAAGCTGAGAGAAGAGAACTACCTGATCATTGGAACGGGAGGCGCAGTGCACAACTTGTACCGCAACCACTGGTGGCAGATGCTGCGGCATACGGACAACTTTGCTATGCCGGTGCCGCCGGAAGCAGCGATGATGGAGTTCAGACAGAGCTTTGAAGATGTGTTTCTGAGAAACTGCAAACCGGGCATGAGAAAGGGTACTTTGACCAACGGAGTCACGCGATTGATGAAGCATCCCCAGTTCAGAGATGCTCACGGCACCGATGATCATTTCATGGCTGCTTGTTTCGTTGCTGGCGTGATAGATGCATGCGAAGGCATCGCTGATGACGGTGCTGTCTTGGGTGCTGAAGACTGGGAGCTGGTCAACATGTGCAACAGCCAGTTCACGGTAGGAAAGTGGGTGTCACAGGCTGCTTGAGTTAGCGAATCATTTGTATTGTATCTAAAGTTGTTGAATATTAAGATCACATTCCCGTCAAAATACGCCTCCTGAGGTTCGTTAACATGAGATGGTCAGTCAACTTGAAGAAGGGAAAAAGCTGCGGTGCTGCGATTCTGCACTGGCCACCGCCAACAGCAGCAAAGTATAACACTCTTTCAGCCTGCTCTTCTACCGCTATTACGCGTGTTCTATCTTCTATCAGGCTATGGATATCTTCAGCGCAGCTCAGAAACTTGGATTCTGCAAGCAAACGCAGCCACTTAATCACTAACCGTACCTTATCACCCTGCAGACAAATTGACAAAAGGGAATCAATCATCAGCACCTGCTATGTAAAGCGCACCCTCCTCGAACCATTCCGGCATATATTTGATAATTCTTTTCCATCAGAATACTCCTATAGGAATTGCTTGACACGGACAGTGTTGTGGTGCTGTGGGCAACCCGAATAAAAGTGATGTGGTGCTGCAATACTGTGTTGGCCACCGCCCACAGCAGCACAGTATTGCTTCGGTCAACAGTCAATTTTTTCCGTTCATGTCTACGGATTTCAACTTCCTACCAAACACTCTTCTAACAATGTGGAGACATTTGATGCACTGATAGTATACAAGCAAACACAGCCGCTTCTTCATTGCGCATCCCCCGATCCTCTCACCCCGAAGGCTACCAATACACTGATAGCCAGCAGCGTCGACTGCACACGCTCTTCAATCCTGTCCATCGTGCGCACATCTCCTGCATGAAGACGTCCTCTACGCAAACTTCCATCTTCTCAACCAACTGGACGTGCCTCCCTCTCTGCAGGTCTCTCGACTAGCAGACCCAAGGAGTTGAAGCCCAGGTGCTCGGGCGCGTGTTCAGACATGTGCTCGGTATCTTGCTCTATTTACCTCTTGAGCGCGTGTCCCGTGTTTGATGCTGGTGTTGAGTTTTGCATCGCGTGTGAGTGATTGCGTGATGAGCGTGGGGTGTTATACCTTGCGCTGTGGACATCACACGTGAGCGACGTCGTAAAAAGACGGTAACGCGGGGGCGCACTTCACAGGGTCCATTCATTCACAGCACAGCAGCGCACGTACGGTTTCAGAAAGAGATGACGCGAAGCAAAGAGAAAAACAAGGATAGCCAACCGCAACACCGCGCAATGCTACCCAAACTATGCAAAAACGATCCAGTCAAACCCCCAGAAAGATAGAGAAAGGAGAAAAGAAACAGCAACGATGCTGCGCTCTAGGGTATTAGTACTGTACTGTCAGCTCAGAACCTTCATCCCAGCCTCCATCATTCGTCCATATACAAACACCATCATTCCTTATCATCATCTCTACTCAGGCCCCTGCGGGCCCGTCTCAACATCGCCCTCACCCACCCCCCTCCAACCCCTCCAAAGCTCATTCAATGTCCCACTAAGACTTCTCCCCCTGCCGCCCTCCCGCTCCCCTCTATCCGTCGTCCTCGTGTCCTCGTCCGTCGCCGTGCGCCGCCGATCGAGCGGCTCGCCCATATGACTATCCATGACCTCGTCGGCACCAATGCCAAGAACGCTCTGTCTCCTTACCGCATCGCTGGTGCTATCTCTACTAGGCAGTGGCGGCATGCGCACACTGCCGCCACGCTTGAGGTCCGCGACCATGGCGCTGAGACTGTTGGACAGCGGGCTCGCAAGGAGCGGGCCGGAGAGTGAGTTGCGGGTGCCGACGCGCTCGGAGGTGGCGATGCGGCGGAGGCGATGCTGGGCGAGGGTGGAGGGGGGCGTGGGCGCTATGGCGGCGGAGTCGGAGATTTGGCGGGTGGGTGTTTCGGGGCGGGGTGGGCCGGTGAGTTCGGGGGAGGAGGTAGATGCGGGTGGGAGATCAGAAGTCTGCGAGGGGAGAACTGGAGTGGAGAGCGTGCTGTTGCGGCTAAGTTCTGTGGGGCGAGGATGTAGGGAGGATGGGTGGGTAGCGTCTTCCTCCCATGGGTTTGTTGTGAGGGGCGATGGAACGTCTGTTGGTGTGGTAGGACCCTGGGATAGCGCGTCAGGGGCGAAAGTAATATCCGGCGTAGCTGGTTTCGAGAGCTCTCTCGTTGGTGGTCTCCTGCCGATGTTCAGTGGTGGTGATGCTGCTCGAACGGTAGATGAGCGCCGGCTGCGTGCGTCTGCTTCATTTGTGCCGTCCAGGTCGTCCCGATATCTTTCTCCGTCCATGAGACTGATCGCATCTTCCGGCTCGGGATCCCTATCCTCGTCCTCATCGGATCGTTTGGGCCTTCCGTTCGTAATCAACCATACACCCGCAAAAGTCAACGCGCATCCGCCCACGAATTTGCCCGCATCGTCTGCTGATGTGCGCTCGAAGTCCCTATACAAGATGGCCGAACCCAAGATGACGGACAAAGTGAAGAGGACGAACTGCACAGGGATGACCTGGGTCGCATCGAAGCGCTGGAGAGCCCTGTTGATGTACTTGATCTGCATGATCGCAGTGCCGACCAAAATAGCAACAAGAAGGTACGTGACGGGAAAGGTAATGGCGCGCCAGAGCGTGTACGAGAGCATGGACGCCACGCCTTTGGTGGAGAGCGCCGTGTAGCCACCTGTCGCACATTAACATTGAGACACAAGGCGCCTCCCGCATGGCAAGACTCACCAAATAGGCCGACCAGCCCCAAGTCAATCAAGATGTTCTTGTCTCCATAGCGGTTGCTCGCAAACACCAAAGCGATGATGATACCGACGGTTATCCCAAAGTACGTCTCGAATTCCCAAGTACTGATCAAGCTCCAGATCTCATCCGGGCCCAGCTTGGGGTTGTTATCGCTCGCGCTCAGAACCACCGTGACGGCTCCTCCGACAGCGACCAGCACTCCGAGAGCATCTCGCGCCCGGAAGGGCTCCTTCAGCATGAAGGGCGCGATGATGCAGTTGGAGATCAGCGCGACCACACCGAGCGGCGAGACGATGGATGCGGGCGCGAAACCGTACGCCAGGAAGTTGCCCGCTTCGCCGCAGGTCATCATGATGATGCCTGCCCACCAGTACGGCGACTTGAGATAGCTCTTCTGCTTGTATGCCGGCTCCGCCAGAACGCCCTCCTCCTCGACCGGCGACAGCGACCCCGAGCCTCCAGTGCTGTTCCTCGGCGACGCAGGCAGCAGCGGATCCTCCTCGTTCGCTGCATCGTCGCCCTGGGGCTCGTCCCTATACTGCTTCGCCCCGCTCAAGCTGCGATAGCTAGCACTCCGCCTCTTCCGCTGCCTCTCCTTTTGCTGCCACTCGCGCTCCAGCCGTATATGCGCATATCTCTGCGTGTTCAACGCGAAGGATATGAGGACATTGCCGACGATGGCCGTGATGATGCCAATAAGAGAATTCCACTGTGCGCTCCCGTACGGCGGGATGATGCTCGTCGATGTCGGAGTGGGCGCATCGCTCGTCGCTGTCGCCGAACCCGCGGCGACGCTCGTCGGAGGGAGCATCATGGCTGCGAGGGGACAATGCAGGGTTGCGCGTTCCCTGTCCGCCGTCTCCGAATCCGAGGAACTGCTCGGATGGCGGTATTGTTGCCTCGGATCAAGGCTATTTGCGGAGGCGAAGGGGCCGGGAAAACTTCATATGGGATTAGGTATGCACACTGGTGGGATAGACATGCTCGCGGCGTTTACTGAGGGGGTACAGAGCAGAGGGTTGCATTGCCGCGATGCCGTGCGGGTGCACGTTTTCTTGGCTCTAGCAAGGGTTCTCGACGATCTTCGCATGACGGCACCCGGCCCAAGCGAACCAAGCCCCGCCCCCATCTCGACCTACATCACCTTGCAGCTGTCACCATCATCGCAGCCTCGCCAGCCTGATTCTTATCGTGGGCCGCGTTGCCGCCACCTGGAAATAATTGTCTGGCTTGGCCTCACGGCTTCATGGTTTGCCTCGCTAGTCACCGATGCCTGACGCCATGCACCATGCACGGAAATGCATGGACAGTTCGTGAGTAATTCGCCAGACGTTTTTACTATCAACACACAAAATACTCATATCTTATACCCTGATATGTCGTATCCAAAGTCTAGATAATGCATATTCAATGTTCTTTCAAGCATTGCAACCCTCCTCAGGAGTCATCTTCAGCCGCCAAACATGATCAAATCGCATCGACATTGCCGTTTTACTTTTTTCGTGGTGCCCAGTTCAATCATATCGGTTGGAGTACCGCTCGGATCATAGTCCCAATTCATGTCTCATCCTTTGCGTGCTGTCCTCTGTGGTGCGACATGATACTCTCGGTAATCCCCCGTCACTCCAGCGATGTAGTCAGCTTTACGAATACGCCCTAGCAGCAGAGAAGCATCGCCTGCTGGGAGTTCGTGAAGCAGATCCATGAGAAGGCCAGCATCGTCTATGTGAAATTGGCCGCTACCTCCAGGACGTTGCATTCGGTTTGCCGACGCAGTAGCCTCGCGAAGGTATGAAGCTACATCCTCGTAGAATTCTGTATGCCTAGTATTCCGCATAGCCACCTGCAGCGCGTTGAGACCTCCCAAATCCAGGCCTACTTCTCTCCCGTGCTCGACCAGAAACTTGACTCCAGCAATTTGGGCTTCACAAACGTAAGCAATTGCTTTCGTCCCTATATCTTCCGGACTGATGTACCCCGCAGTTGCGAGCTCGTCCGTCATTTGTTTCGCCAGCCTGGTAACGACATTCGCGGCAGTACCGGTCCTATTAGCATGCATTGCGCCTCTATGGCGAATAAGGAGGCGTACTTTCTGAACTTCGTTCAATCCTCCAAACGTATCGATGACTGACTGATCTTGTAATAAATCTTTCTTGATTGCAACGGCGAAGTTCTCTGCAACAAGTTAGCGTTACAGTCCTCGCAATGTTTAGACTTGGATACAGACTGCCGACGAGGCGATACTGGACCGCGGCCGGACTACCAATGTCGTTGACCAGACAATGCATGCATAGACCGAGCAAATCCGGTGTAAGGTCGGAAAGCTGAGTTGCCCCACCAAGATCATGGGTTAGAGTCTTGTTCGTTTGTGGCCCTTTGTATCTTCCGTGAGGGGCTCGTCCCTTGGTGGCCACTCATATTGTGCGGATGGAGCGAGCGGCGTTGTGGTAGTTGTTCACGACTCTCTGGTAACTGGGGAAAAGAAGACAAGGAGCATTCTTCGGGGCGCGAGTGTGAACGCCTGCATCTGGATTCGTGAGGCAGCGACGTGGGTGCTATCCGCGCGTTCCTCCGGAAGCAATAACCATCGCGAACTAAGAATAGCCGCCTTCACAAAGGATAGTACACAACCCGTCCGTCACTCTGCTCATTTTTGGTTCGATGTTTCAATCTTGAATGCCTATTCTCTGTCAATTACGTTGCCATTTTATATGACTACCTATGCTATACCGGAATATCTGACCGTGAATTCCTAACGGATCCCAGATAGCATCTCAGAGCTCCCACCCGACATCTTCCATCCGGATAGCAGACCCCACTCATACAAGCACGGCGACTGGGATACACCAATCCGTACGGAATGGCTTGAGATTCTCCACCATCGGCGATAGCCTTGGTATATCTCCGACTTAACACCAGGACTTAGGCAGTAAGCATCGGCTCGACAATTGGCGTATCATATCCAACAAAGACTTGCTAAGCCACCATAGGATGTACTACCGGATAGTTCAAGGTATAAAAGGGTCTTGTCTTCGCTCTAATCAATATTCCATGTAATGGACTTCAATCTGGACTAAGTTCCTCTACTTGGACAAGCAAGACGACGCAATTATCTCACCTCCACCGCTCCCTCAATCTGTCTTCCGTCAAGCCCAACACACACTTCCCGCGAAGCAACCACACGCCATGGCACCCCTCAGCCACCCCATCATAACCCTAGAGGAAGCCTTCCTCTCCCCCCACGTTCCCTCCTTCTACGCCGCCCAGAACCACCCCGATCCCCACGCCGAATCCGGCCTCACAGGCTTTGCAACCCCCTCCCTCTTCGAATTCGGCGCCCAACGCCTCTCCTCCATGAACGACAACGGCATCTCCCTGCAAATAGTCTCGCACGTGCCGAGCCCGTTGCCCTTGGACGTCCGCACCGCCGCTGCCGTAAACGACGACGTCGCCGCGAAAATCGCCGCGAATCCCGCAGGCCGCTTTGCCGCGTTTGCCACACTACCGATGAGGTACCCCGAAGACGCCGCGAAGGAGCTGCGTAGATGCGTGAGAGAATTAGGTTTTGTCGGCGCACTGATCGACTCCAACTGCGGCGGGCGATTCTACGACGACTCCACCTTCTTCCCCGTGTTCGCGGCCGCCGCAGATTTGGACGTGCCAATCTACATCCACCCCTGCCCCAACGAAGCCGTCAAGCAACTCCTCTACGCGGGAAACTACTCCGCCGACATCGCGACCTCACTGAGCGAGTACGCATGGGGCTGGCACAACGACGCCGCCGTCTCCTTCCTGCGCCTGTTCGCCTGCGGCATCTTCGACCGGCTGCCCGCCCTGAAAATCGTGCTCGGCCACTGCGGCGAAATGATTCCGTTCCAGATGGAGCGGACCGCAAATGTGATTGAGCGGCAGTGGCCGCACATCGGGGGAGACCACAGCCGCACGTTTCGGGCTGTGTGGAATGAGAATGTGTGGGTTACGACGAGTGGGTTTTTCGACACGGGGAACATGGCGTGTGTGCTGCGGCAGTGTAGGCCGGATAGAGTTATGTTCAGCGTGGACTATCCGTTTGGGAAGAACGAGGCGGGCGTTGCGTTTTTGAACAAGTTGCTGGAGGAGGGGTTGGTGGATGAGGAGGGACTGGAGAGGATTGCATGGAAGAATGCGGAGGGCTTATTGAGGGTTAAGGTGGAGACGTGGTGATGTACAATAAAGATACAATTAATGTCTTGAGGTATGGAATGCACGGCTGTACAGACAGCGATTTGCCTGATAATAGCAGTTTTTAAAGAAAGACGCCATTCACCAATGGATGCTTTCAGCCTCCGTGAATACAATTCAGTAGCCTCGGCCTTCGCATCTCGCGGTTTTGCCCCTGAGCGTCCTCGCTTAGACACATTTTCAATGCGACAAGCTCGTCGGGGTGGACGGGCATGACGCATAATCTCGCTCCTTTACGAAGATAGCGAGACAACCTCAAATCAATCGCCGTTTGTCGCAACATCTTCCGTCGCATCACCGTTGGCAACCTCAGTTTCCATAGCTTCCGGCTCCGGGTCAGGCTCAGCAGCAAGAAGCTTGATGCGGGCCTCAACAGCCTGCTCTCCAACAACCGACTCCTCGACCGCAGATTTGCGCACGAACACGGTGTGCCAACGCTTACCCCACGCCTTGATAAGCTCACTATCCTCCTTCGATATCTCCCCGTTCATTTCCTTCTCCATCAAGCGATCCGTGGAGCCCTGTGCGAAAGCACGCAGAACATCCTCCAGGTACTTGAACAGCTCCCGCGCAGCGTCGCGGTCCTTGCTCAAGGTAGCTTCGACCATATCGATCATATCCTGAGGAAGACCCTTAACTACCCTAGAATTGACGATCTGGCGGTTGCGGCTGGAGACCTTGGCGATGGTGATGGACACTATCTCATACACCCAGCTCTCTGCGAGGCCTTCTCCAGCACCAAGGTTCTCACCTAGCACCCACTGAATGACAGTCATCGGAGCAAGGATGGTGTAGTTGAGGAGGATGTCAATGATGCGCACAGCAACGCCAGGCTGGTCCTTCCAATACCCGAAGACGCTGGCCACTATTTGACGGCGAGCGGCCTCGGAAGTTTGAGCGACTTCGATGAGGCGGTCCTTGCCGCGCTCGATGCAAGAGAGAACGTGAGCCAGAGACTTGGCACCCAGTCTGCAGATCGCAGTTACGAATGCGTCCGTCGAAGGAATGAGAACATCAGCAACACCTTGCTCGGTTGCAAGGTCGTGAATTTGGTCAATCGTTTTCTGGACCTCCTCAGCAGGGGCCTTCTTCTTCAGTTGCTGGATCAGCTCCTTAGCTTGGGCGCTGTACGGAACGTCTACGATTATTAGAATGGTTGTGAACAAACAGAATGTAAATACATACCTGGATTGTCATATTTGAACTCCGGACTGTTGTCTTCATCTAGGCGTGCCGGAATGAGCTCGTTCATCTCCTGGGGCAAAGTCGAGCGAATGCGCTTGGCAAACGAAAGACGGATCTCTTTATCCAAGGCAGCAATGATGAAGGCTTTCTTGGGCTGCAAGTTTGATAGCTCAAGATCCCCGATCCATTCGGCCCATCGCCAGCGGAACTCAAAGTTGCTCAAGTGATGTGTAAACCAGTCCAGGAATCGGTATGTTAATTCCAGATCCAGTACATGCAGGCTCTGGTAGACGGTTCTGATAGCGCGGCCAAGTGATGGAGCAATCGCTTGGGGTGCTAACTTGCAGCAAGAGGTGATCAGGGAATGGTAGTAGACGAGCTTGTGGTCAGCCGTCGGGAGCTTGAATAGCTGCGAGAAGATGGCGTCGATAATCATGTCCTCGGACTTGTACATGACCTTGTCACCAACTACCTCCCGGAACTTATCGAAGGGAGTACCACGCTTGGCAAAGGTGTCCAACGACCAGTATGAGTCGAGCTCGATGAGGAACTTCGCCGCTGCTTCTCGGTTGAAGTCGAGTTGATCGATGGTGTCGACGATGGCATCGCGAATCAAAGACGCAGCAATGTCCTCAGTCTTGGGCACGGTGCCGTTCTCGTGGTTTGCGAAGAGGGAAAAGTACGCCTCAGGGAAGAGAGGTTTAGGACCAGGGTTGACCGGCGAGGGGATGATGAATGTTGGGAAAGCGTGTGTCGGCGGGGCGGTAGGCAGAGTGTCCTCGGACTGCTTCTTCTGGAGCGCCTCGGCATCAAACTTGGGGATGCACGCGATTTCCCATCCGTTTTCCGACTCCTTGGTCAACTGTTGCTGAAGAATGCCGATGATGCTGTGGTACCCAATGACTTTATCCTCGTTTTCATTGTCGTATGTGTGAATTAGAGACTCCATAGGGACCATGTTTCCGGCCACAATCCCGGTGTTTGACAGCAATTCTCCAGCCTTTTCATGGTAGCGACTGCCCCCCGAAACCAGAGCATACGGTATTGTGAGAAGAATGATCTTCACAAGCTCAATACCAACGACCTGTCCCAATTAGCAAGAGTTGCAGAACGCGGGTGGCTAACCTACGTCGTTCTCGTTTGCACTCTGAAGATCCACGACCGTGTCGAACAACTGGCCAAGGAGCGCAAAGATGCCGTCCTCTTCGAAGAGAGGCTGCAGACATGCGAAGAAACGAAGGAACAGCTTGAACTCTTTCCACTGTCCGGCATTGAAAGTCTCCTGTAACCGATCGCCAACGAGCTTTATGGCTTCCGAGGCAATCTCGATCTTGGCCTGATTGCCATAGAAAATGACGGCGGCAACGAAGGGAATCTTGAAGGGCTGCTCCACGATGCTAAATTCGGTCAGCGCTGCCTAACGCGGAAGTGTTGCGCAGACGTACAGCTGCAGAAGCGTGTCATAGAATTCGCCGCGGGCATCTTCCTCGTCAAAGTGGTCCCGCAGGTATTCTGCGATCTCAATGGCTTCATCCTGCGGCAGCTTGGTCGAGCTCGCGATGTTCAAAATCGTTCGGCGCAGTTTCGCATGCGCAGGCTCCTCGTATCGGCGGCGCGGTGGGGCATCATCGTAACGTCGCCGCTGGGGCCCGCGGCGGTCGCCACGGCCTCCTGGAGAATAATGATAGTCGTCCTCGTCTGCAAGATCACCTTAGCTATGCTCATGGCGACAGTCAGCCAGCTTGCAGCTTACCATCGCGGCGACGCTTGTTCCCTCCTCCGCGGTACCCGCTTCCACGATAGCGATCTCCACTTCCAACGTCCATGTCGGCCATTGACGACACAAGCGCAGACAAGTTCCTCTCCTCAACAGTGATGCCCTCGAATAGCTCGGCGACGCGTGAGTCGTGGGGTTGATCGCGCGGTCGGTCGCGGCGGGAATGGTACGGCGTGTAGTAGTCAGGATACAGTGATGGTTCGTAAGAGCGAGAGCAATAACGTCGACGACGGGGTCGAGGAGATGACCGTTCCGCAACGTCGCTGGCTTCGAAGTCGCGTTGCGAAGCTTCCTGGCGCGAGTGCTCGAACGAGTTAGTGCGGGAATGGCTTCTGGTGTCTTGGCGGGCACGTGCATCCTGTGATGCAGGAGCTCCCTTCATCAACACCATCCTATCAGGATGGATGTTTGCTAGTGCATCTGGGATTGTTGGCACAATCACTGTGAAACTGAAGCTGCTTTCGCTGTCCAGGATGTTGTTGTTCATATGGTTCGCAGAACTGCCATCATTAGGCTCACTTGCTCCATGGTCGAAGCCATCATGCATGGGAATATCGATGTCCATGACGTTGGTTGAGTTGGACGTGAACGGTTCAATAAAAGTGTGATGGGGAGCTGCGCTGAGTGAAGTACTTTCTTCTTCCGCAAACCGCTCCTCACAATCCTCGTCCGCTACCGTACGTAGATAGCTGGCCTCAGTGACGAAACACTAGACGAGCGATTCAAACCACCGTAGTGTCGCCAGGTAGATGGCAAGTTTGAGAGACGATGACGAGAGCAAAGAAGTACAGGAGGCTAAATGCATCTTATAGATACCGCAGCCCTCGTTACGAACAGTGAGAGGCAGCGAGTCCAGCAGCAGTGAGAGACTCCTCCATGTCCACAAGCTGAATTCACCTAGGTAAATGATACGGGACAGTCCCCGCAGACCCGTCTGAGTATCTGACCAAGTCCTTAGGTAATCGCAGAACCCGCAAAACAGCACTGATACTGCGGTAGAATGTAGACCCTCATAGCAACTGCTAAGTAAATCAAGAAGCTGCTGGAGGACCATGTCACCAATATGGCGCCGCATCATGATGTTTCTTACGCTCAAAGACCCACCACCTCGATCGTACCAAACACAAAGCGACAAACTGTCTGAGTATGAAGCATCGGCTTTGTTATCAACATGGTGCTGGATGTCAGTGCCATGGCATTCGACGGGTGCGCATGTCGTACTCTTCGGTTTTCAAGCACAGGGTTGAGTGCGGCACGAACAGGATGAGGGCCTATGACCCATTGACAGCGCAACCGTAGCTATGCATGCATTATCCATCGCAATCAATCGTCATCACTCATCAATCGCGAAGCCATCCTCGAACTCAAACGTACAAGAGCGTATCGTATCGCTCAAATAGCACCCGTCTCTTCACCAAACCGCAACGTCAAAAGCGCATGATGGAAGAAGAAAAAGAGAATAAAGGAATCTACTTCCAGGTCGCCGAAGAAATAGCATATTGTTGACCCAGCAATAGCGCCGGAGCTTGCGGAAGCTCGAATCACATCAACTCTATGTCTTGCTTTGACACGATAGGACGTGACCAGATCGGTACTGCCCACACCACTGTCCGCACCATGCCATGCCTTAGACATCCCCGCGCGCATCTGGCCAGGTCTCCGCCCATCGTTCTGCTTGCGGTCCACACTGAGGTACCCGCACACCACACCACCGCCTCCAGAACATTTCAGACCATACACGAAGTAAGCCTCCTGTTTGAACCGATCCCCGTGACCACACCCTCATGCGCAGAAAGAACCAAAAATGAAGAGAAGGAGCACCCGCATGCAGAAAATAAGGGAGGAAGACTGTCGCACCTGATGGGCGAAGCCTAAGAAACCAAAGCGTTCCCGATTCCCATCCTAAGATGTTCGTGCCAGTCCCTGACTTTTGTGTCCGTCCCCTTCCCGCAAAAAGCACTTGCATTTCGTCCGCTCGTTGACCGTCGTGTCGAAAAATAACATAAAGGCTGAAAGATATTGCGCATCTAGGGAACCTGCCCGCGAGTTGCATTGACAGGACGGGAAGGACCATGTTGCAGAAGAAAAGCAAATCGTGCCATTCGCAGTCATGTGAATAGCGTTCGTAACATTTTCAGACGAGCTCAGATATTGCAGGGAAAGGGCGTACAGTCGGCGTACCCACTCAAGACACCGACGCCGAAATGAGACTTCTGTTTGTTTACATCTTCCTAGGTGGACGTCGGCGTCCTCGTGAGCGGAGCACACTGGAGGCCACGCCGCAGAATAAACATGATGTCGTAAAGCATGCAGGCGAGACTGGTTTAATCCAGCCGCGCCATCATCTGGTCCTTCGTCAAAGGCTTGAAGTTCGGCGATTCGAAATCCAGGCCTTGCTGTTGGAGACGGGGCTTGATGTGCGCGGGTACAAGCTGCTGGTTCAGGTGGGGTGCAATGGACAGTTCTGGGAACGTTAGGAATGGAACATGAAACGTAGCGCGAGGTAACACTCACCGTGAAGAGTAAAGTTGAACAGCTCAGGCAGATCCCTTGTGGCGCCGTTGGGGTGACGAGAATCTGGGAGCCGAGTCTGCGGGTCCCTCAGCTCATCGAAGAAGGGCTGCACCATTGCATCGACTGCTGACAGGCGCTGGGTGGGCGTATACTCGAGCAATTTGGAGATGAGGTCGATTGCACTGGGGTCAGCTTTCCGGAACACCTGCACGGGTCAGCCTCAGCTCAACAGCAAATCGCACGAGAGTCCGCTCCTACCTTGTTGAATGGATGAGGCTTAATCTGGGGAAACTTGTGCTCCATGTAGTTCGGGTTCATGGTGCGGATCTGGTCGCGCGTGGGTGTGCCAAGAACTTTGATGATTTCAACCAATTGGTCAATGCCCGATTCGCCGGGGAACAGCGGTTGCCCAAGCATGAGCTCAGCCATCACGCAACCGGTTGACCACACATCTATAGCCGCTGTCAGTCATGTCACCTGCGAGTGACGTGGAGGACGTACCGATCTTGGTGGTGTAATTGGTGGCTCCGAAGATGAGCTCGGGTGCACGGTAGTACCTCGAGCAGATGTACGACACGTTGGGCTCATTCTCCACGAGAATTTTGGCACTGCCGAAATCGCAGAGCTTCAACACGCCTGTTGAGGGATCCAGCAACAGATTCTGCGGCTTGATATCCCTGTGGCAAATGCCCTGCGAGTGGATGTAGGCAAGCGAGCGGAACAGCTGGTACGTGTACAGCTTGGTCTCGAGAATCGGCATAACCGTCTTCATCTTGTTGAAGTAGCGTGATGCGCGGTACACGGTCTCTGGCACATACTCGAGCACAAGGTTGAGGTAGACCTCGTCCTTCTGTGGCTATCGCGGTCAGCAGAGCAACGACACGGGGACGGCCGGGGTGAGCATCACGTACGCGGTCGCCATTGTTGTAGAAGAAGGCCTTGAGCTCGACTATGTTGGGGTGGCGCACGATGCGCATGATCTGAAGTTCACGATTCTGGCACGAGTCAGCCCTGGGTTGCTGGCGGAAGCGGATACGTCACATGGGCGACCCACCTTGAAGCGCTTGTCCTGCAGCACACGCTTGATGGCAGCATCCTCTCCGCTGGGAGACAGCTTGGTTTGGAAAACGACACCGAAGGAGCCATTGCCGACGATTTTGCACTGCGTGTATGCGAGGTCTTTGTAGTCGCCCGTCACGCCGTCCTGCACCTTCTCGCGGATGATTTCTGGCGGGGGTTAGCATTGGTGACACGGAACGCGCGCGGGTTGGCGATGGCAGGTACGCACCTCCCATTCTCAGTGACGAAAAGGCCGATGGCCGGTTCTGGCTCATTGTACGTCTAGCAGCAAAAGAGGGGTCGGTTCCGCCAAGCGCGCGGGTCGAGTGCTATGGAGCGGAGGGTTCGCTGCGGCTGTCGGGGTCGTTGTGGTGGGCGCGGCGGCGGGGTGTGCGAAGAGAAGCCGTTGTGGGCAGGGCGAGGGTGGAGCTGGGGTGGTCTTGTCGTGTGGCGGGCAGGAAATTGGGTGCAGTAGTTGACTGGCGGGCGTGTGGCTTAGGCGCTCGCGAACAACACAGTCGTGGCGGCGTGAGGAGCACGGCAGTGAAGCGGGGGCAGGTAGGAATTGAACTGCAGCGCGAGTGAAGGGATTTGCAGGAGCGTGTAGGCAGGATGGAGGTGAGTAGTAGTGACGAGAGGGTGGGCCGTCGGCGAGAGGGGTCGCAGTCGCTTGCTCGCACTACGACTGGAGCGGGCGACGGCACCCTCGTGACCTGCCGTCTGAGTGGTACGCTGACGATGCAAATGGTCCCAGCGACGGCGACGCAGTCTGGTGCAGAGGCGGGCGGGCGAGACTGGAGCAGCGGCTGGACGGGCGGCGCAGGCAATGGGCAATGGGGCGCTGCGCGGTGCTGTTGGGGCGGTGGGCAGCTTCGTCGGGAGGAGATTGCAGCGCGGGCTCACGACAGTTCTTTGAAGAGCTCCAAGCCGCCGCCTACGGGCCTCCAGGGCTGGCACATGGGCACATGATGACTTTCGTTTTCAGAGCGACCCACTACGCAGCGCGCGTGGCTGCAAACCGCCTCGCCCATGCCCCAGGGCTCGTCGCCGCAGCGCGTCCGTGCCTGCTGTCGCTGCTGTCGCTGCTGCTTAAGCTGCAGCGGTGCACCCGCGGGCCTTGCACAACAAACACTGAGCGCCAGGCCCGCGGCCTCGCCGCCGCCAGCGTCTGCAGACCCGCCGAGCAAGGAGCATCACCGCACCGCGCACCACGAGCCTCGTCCCTGGCCTTGCCCGTGTCGTCGCGCCGGCTGCTGCCCGGCCATGCGCAGCACCGCAGGGCGCGTTGCTGCACCACCCCAGGCCGCCGCCCGCGTCGCCTTCACCTGGTGATGATTTGGGCGTCTCGTCATGGCTCTGGCTACGTACGCGCCTCGTCCCGCGCGCGCTGCACTGGCCCACCGCAGGTCAGCTGGCTGCGCTGCACCCCTCCTCCATAGCTCTCCGAAACGGCCTGGGAGCCCGGCCGCCAGGCACTCCCTGGGAGCCGCAACTCTAGCTTCTGCCGCCAGGCTGCTCGTCGTGCTCCACCACAATTTCTCAACCTCGTGTGTACGCGACAAGCCATTGTCCAACGGCGCCGCCATTGCCGAGAGGCCCGTCCGCTCAGTGAACCACGGCGGCCCAGCGTTACGCACCATGAGGGAGATGCTGCAGCTCGTCGACTGATCGAGCCAAACGTGCAGCAGCCGACCCAGGGTCCCAGCGCCATGACACCGTTCCCCGACTCCCCGACCTCACCAAGCGCGCTCTCGTACAGTCGTCTCGTCTCGCCATGGCGTCGCACAGCACGTGAAAGCGAGCTGCCGCACGTGAGCTCCGGCGAGGGCTCCACCGCTCCAGCTGTCGCGCTCGCTGAGACCATATTGCGGTGGCCGCAACGGCCAAGCGCCATCACTCAACACGCCGTACGTCAGCCCGCAGGACGCTTGCGCCATTGGGGCCTGGCCGCCAGCGCTAACGAATTGCGTGTAGCTGTGGTGCAGCACAGTCGGGCGAACCTCGAGTGAACGGGAGCCGAACAAGCAATCTGCCAGGGGTAAACGCAGATTAGCCGCGTTGTCACCGATGCCAACTCCAGCAAACTATTGGAAGATCGCTGTTGCCAGCGTTGACAATCCTCCGATTTGCATCGTGATGAGAGACACCAGGCGAATTGGCCCAGCGCATACTGCACGCCATCGAATGGCATGGTCCTGCATTACTCCCCAGCATGCACTCCAACAACTCGCCCTAGCCAATCGCCAAATCAACATTGCTCAGCCCTGTTCTTACCTATCACAGCTCGCCGGTTACACCAAAACTCTCAGGCGCATGAGGCTGGCCAAGCATGCATGATGAACACTGCATCATGTACCACAGGACTTGTCCATCGAGACGTCCGTGAAAATCGCAGAACATCTCCGACAACCATTGGATCCTCAAGAAGTTCCTACTGACCATTCAGCACGCTCCGTCATCTAATATCGGGCCTACGTATCCTGTCACCATGAAGCCTCCACATGCGGATAGAGAGAGACGAGGAACGGATGCAACACGCCTCAGCCACCCGCATTCGACTACCGACATCGGCCGGGACATGGTTACGCCTATCCACAGAATCGTCAGACGGGTCACTACATCGCAGGACCCTATCTTACTCAATCTTAGCCAGGCCTCGCGGAGATCGGCGGATTGGTGCTCCCAAGCTCAATTTCCACAAAGGGACATTATTGCGTCTCTGTCGCTGCGATTGAGGAGTTTTTTTTTTTTTTTCACGAGTCTCTCTAATGCGTATGCCAATAGTTCCAGCATTGTTTTCCCAATCGAGGCGAGCGCCTTCCGCCTACACTTTACTGGTACGACCCTAGGCGTGCAGCTGTGCATTAGTACTTATACGATCCTTCAACTGATGGTGAAGCACACCTTGTACGACGAAAATTTTATCCTCAAACCACATTACGCTCACCACTATCGATTCGATATAAGGAGCAAGAACAAATCGACATCGTCTACTCTCCCTCGGCAATTTCGAAATAATTTCGGCACGACTTGCTTCGATTCGGTGTTTCTTCTTTGTCATACCCAGGACTGACGTTGAAGAACCCTATCAATGAAACGTGACCTCGCGCTACGCCTCCTGCATCCATCGGCAGTATCGTCCTTCCCTCAGCTACTCAGCCTCACCAATCATCAACCTAAAAAGCACCGAGCCTTGTACTCAACAGTCTCACTTCCCGCATTAACACATTCCACGAGCAAAGCCTCAGACATATTTGGAAGCAATAGCAGAACCCTGCATCACTCCGTGCATCTCAGGCTTTTTTCCTTGCTTGATTTGCTTGCCTAGGCTTATGATCCCCGGCGGACCTATCCACATTGCAGGTTGATATTTACATCGAAAAGCTCGAAGGCGCGCATGAGGCTTCCCATCACACTGCATAGCCAGCATTAACGAAGAATGCGGGCCATCACGAGGTGGATGTAAAATACCGCGACTGGTGGCTGCAAACCAACGTGGTGGCGGGCTATTGGGCCGGGCCGCGCCGAGTCGGCGTGGTAAAGTGTGGGCTGAGAAGGATGTTGGGGTCGGAACTCGCGTCCATCATAAATGTCTTACTAGCCGTATCTTCGAAATACTGTGACTAAGAGGGAAGTTTGAGCGACGCAGGCCACTGTTATCCGCTCTTGATAGTATTCACCTTGGTTGAATGCGCTCGGCTTCATTCAAGTTTACACTCCCAGGCTTACACAGGGCAGGCTACCGATTTTAGAACGTTCACATGGTTCTTCAATGCGCTGCTTCTGATAGAAAGATATGTGGCAAGCAGACTGCGGTATACACAAGGTGTCTTGCGGTCACCATCACCTGCCTCATCTTTCCTGGGGAGACGGTACCGTTTATTTGCGGGTACTGATCACCGTATAGCTTCTCTCTGGGATACCGCATTTCCACTTCAACTTCAAAGTACTGACGTCAGCTCGACTTGACTTCGATAGTGCGGTATCGGGTCACTAATACGGCTCATCAAACAGTGTGCAGCCTGCGAGTATTCTCGAGTCCATCATTCAATCTATTCCTGATAACGCATACTATACTGTTTCACCTTGATTGCCCACCTTTCATGCAACCACAGCGACAAGGCAGACAACAAGCAAGGCCACCCACAATCAGTGGCGTTCCGTCCATTTCAGAGTGTCGGTCGCAATGTCAGTGTTGCGAGACTACCATCCTCCCCTTTGAGGTTGGCTGCAGTAATAGGTAAGGCCGGCCGTGTTCGTGGTAGCAGAACGCAATTTCTGCAGTGGAGACGACGCGTGTGGGAGACGCGCACGCGGTACAAACGCCTTGATTTAAGGCTAATAAATATCTTATGGGGAATCATTGCCTGTGTGTTCAACATGCAAAGCTCTCTGGGCTCGATTTTGCAGCAATTCGCATGTGTGAGAGGAAGACGACGTGGGATGATGTTGAGGTCCGACATGAACACGTTTGTAAGTGCTAGCGTGATAGAAGAGCAAGAGATGCGGCAAATTGAACGCAGAGTAGGGTGCGAGATTATGTGAAGAGATGTTATCTTTCTTGACATTTCTTCTTCCTTTTTGGATGATACAGGTGTCGTGTGCATGTCCACCACCTTTGAATAGCAGTTCTACTCGCTGACATTGTCGATAGTCTCGTGTAACGATAGGAAATAAACTGTGTTTTCAGAATACTTAATCTATTATCGGTGCTACAAATGCTCCTCTTGCCCCTACCGTCACGACGCACGGTCTTGGCGCTCCGTCCCAGACCTCGGCTCATCCCACGCTTACTTACTATACGGTCCTAGGCATACAACAAATCCGCTATGTCATCGCGCCCACAAAGCTTTGTACTCCCCTCATGCGCACTGCTCCAATGGCCAAGCTACGCATACTCTGCCTCCATGGCTTCACCTCAAATGGCGCCGTGCACGCCCACCAGCTCCGCCGCCTCACCTCGCAGCTGCCAGACTACGACTTTCTGTTCCCGGAGGGCCCGCACCGGGTCGATATCGCCGAGCAAATGGACATGAGCAAGCCCGCCAACCAGGCCTGGTCTGACATCGTCATGTCGGCGTCAGATTCGGGGCACCGGGCGTGGTGGTTTGCGCGGGACGGCGAGTGGAAGTCTAAGACGGGCGGGGGGTTCATCGGGCTGGAGGAGTCGCTTGAGTATTTGGGTGCGTACGTTGAGGAGAGGGGGCCGGTGCATGCGGTTTGGGGATTCAGTCAGGGTGCTTGTTTGGCGGGGATGCTATGTGCGCTGTTGCAGAGTAAGCACGCAGGACATCCGCTGAGGAAGCATCTGGAGGCGACCGGCACGGGTATTGCGACTCCGCTGGCTAGTGTTATCTTCTCGGGCTTTCGCGCGCGGTATTCGCAGTATGATGGCTTGTATGAGCCAGGTATCGATGTGCCCATGCTGCACGTGCTGGGGGAACAGGACCCGCTTGTGCGCAGCGAACGCAGCGAGGCTTTACTAAGGGTGTGTAAGAGGAGTGAGCGTATTGTACATGCTGGGGGACACGATATTCCCAAAGGAGCAGAGGACGTGGCAAAGATTATCGAGTTTACGAGAAGACACTTGAGGAGTGGTGGGGAGAGCGCTGGGCAAGGTTTTGTGCAGGCGTTGATCTGATATAGAGGGGTAAGCTATGCATCATTATCTCTACATGAAGATCTCTCTGCTAGGAAAAACTGACTTTGAAGCTATGATAGCTAGACTATAGATGTTTAGATGGGATAAAATAGACATACGCAGTCCCGTCGCTCAAGAGTAGCTCAATGCCCTAGGATTCGCAACCGAAAGCGGAATAGACCTTGGAAATGAAGGGAAATATTCACCGTCAGTTGTAGTGGAGCTTGTCTGCAACACGAACCACTGAGCGTTGTGGACAGCCACGAAGAGATGCGCGTTAGCGAAGGTTCTTCACTAATTCATGATAGGCGTGACTTCTTCGGCTAGTCATGATATATATCCCATCGTCCCCGGAGGATTCAAGGTCACAAGAAGGGAAAGACTTTGGACATCCTCGTCTCCAGCGAAGATGGAAGGGGAGTCACGTGATCCAATGTCTTGCACCACCAGTTAACCCGGAGCTTGAACACCCCTAACACAGCTTACCTTCGAGTCAAATCGAAGTTAGCTTCAACAAACAAACCCCGCATTGACAAAGAACTTATGAACTCGCTGACAGAAGCCCCGATGACGATCATAGTGTTGCTGGCTGCGCTAACTTATTAAGGCTCTGAATAGACATGTCTGGAACTGCTCGGTTCTTGTACTACATATCCTCGGGCCAGTTCTGATTATTGATTCAGATGATCCCAACCATGGAGTCCATCCACAAACTCCTGCCAATGCGAGCACAGCGCACATATGAAGTCGATCCCAAGTACGAGCCTTTACACGCAGCCCAAACCGACCACCCGGAAACATCTCTCTGCAATCGTTGCGGGATTTCAGCTCATGTACCCCTCTCTGCACAGCCAGCACGCTTGAGACTTGCACTGCAGGTCACGATCAGTCTCGTTGTGCTGGCTCTGTGGACCGCGCTGGTGGGATTCTATCTCGCGAGAAATCCGTATCTTTTGCAGCAGCACTATGGCCCCAAGAACCTGGCTGATCTCTGTGACTCCAACCCTTGATCACATTCGTAAAACAAGAGGCTAATCATCGAGGAACAGTTCCCATGGTGGAAGTCGAATTCCAGCCAGACAATCGCTTCGTCGACTCCGACCCGTACGATAACCCATTCTGGCAGCCCGACTCAGGACTCACTGATGATATGAAATCGAACGCGTGGAACTACTACGGAAGCATGTCATCTCTCACTTACCCAGAGTCATGACATTAGCCTGCACTAACATCACGATATAGATGACTGGATATCTCTCGAGAAAGGATCTCCGTATGCGATCCCCGGAGGACGGCCGTTGGTACCGCTGCACGAGAAGGACGCTTGGATGAAAGACTACTTGGCGTATCTACCCGCATATCTGCACGAGATACACTGCCTGGTAGGCTGACGAAAAGTGCTGCGCGCTTTGAGCAAGTGCTGACCATCCTTCAGGGCGTCATCAAGCACACGCTCATCTTGTATCGCGATGGAAAGAACGTTACCGCGGCTGATAACGAGCATGCCAACAAACACTGCGTTGAAGTCATTCGCCATGTAAGTCAGTCAATTCTCGGATCGATATCATTATATACTTTACCCACGCATACTCATTTGGAACGTTATAGGCGCTGATGTGCAATCCCGACTTCACCCTCGCAGTTCCGACCTGGAACGCTGAGGGAGAAGAGAAGGAGCCTTATTGGGGAGGAGAGAAGCACATGTGCCGTGACCAGACGAAGGTGCATAAGTTCACTGCTTCGCGTAATATGGGGTTCAAATTTATCGAGGAGAATGGGCAGAGGATTGCTAAGGCTTGGTCTTGGCCATTGCCTACGGATACCGTGGGCTGGTAGTACGAGTGACATTGAGTATTGGTGTGGATAGTTCGTCTCGAATTTGCAGTTTCATTATCCTGGCACAGCAGTACAAAGAGGACCTTTAGACCCGTCTCTGTGCGCGATAGGTATTGCGAAATATCATCGCAATGCACGACAGCAGCCGTTATCCAGATCGCAATAGCCTTCCACTTTGTCGCTCGAAACACCTTACAATAAGTCGACACACTACACAGTTCAACATTAATATTCGCACGATCCTACTAATTATTGAACACCCCTTCGACTCGATGAAGCGTGCCTTTCCAACCCTCCCCATCGTGTATTCTTGCCGTGCACTAACCCATATCCGATCTGCGACAAACCCCTTCTGACCCGCACCGTCTCAGCCCTGAGCGACACAACCGCATCGGGCAGAACCACCAAACACTTGCTCAATCGCAGATCTGCATCGCCCAAACCTAATGACGCGGGCTAAGCATCAAGGAAAATGCGTTTGATCGCCAGTTCGCGGTGTTTCTGCCATCGGAGAAGCTATTCTCAGAGATCGTTCATATAGCGAGTGCGACCTAAGGTTGCGCGAGGTGTCTACGGCCTTTTTTGTTGTACCATTACGTTCCGACATTCGTTGATCGAAAAGCTGGTTAACTACATTTCTCTATACATATTCAATTTATTTCCAGTACATTCACTACACCGCGATCCCACAGGCACCATGCACTTCACCACCCTCCTCATCGCAGGTCTGACATCCAGTTTCGCTGCCGCTCTCCCCCAGCAAATCGTCTCAGGCAGCGAAGTAACAGGCACAACGTGCCTCGACCCCTCGATGTGAGCAATCTCCCCCCTCCCCATTCCCAACCAAGAATGCTGATTGATTTTCCCCTTTTAGCAAATTCGACACGCACTCCACAAACGTCGCCATCCTGTCCATCTGCGGCGGCATCGCGGGCGCCATAACAAAATGCGGCGGCGCGCCAACCTCCACGACCGGTATCTCCGGGACCTCCAAGTTCACGCTGGATGCCACGCAGGCGGGCGCTACGATCAATATCAGCAAGGGGCGGTGGGAGCGGTGCGTCAAGGCGGCGCAGTTGACGTGTCCGGGGGGCAGCTTTGCGTCGACGTGTTTGGGGGGTGCGGCACCGAGGGGTGATGTGAAATTCAGTTTGACGGAGGCGTAGGGGGATCAAAGGGTTATGGCCAATGGATATACCACTTTCAGGCAAAGACGAGATTCCGTGGGCGCAACACGCGGACGCGGTCAGGTTGACGGTCGCGCTCGGTTGGATTGACCGTGCTGTTAAATTCCGTCGCTTCTCCTGAGACGCATGTACCAGCTTTGTGTGGAGAGCACCTTTCATCCCGGCCATGATAAGGTTCTCAATCAATTGGCAAACGCTCACTGAGTCAATCTACGTGATGTGAGCTTGACGGACCTCGTCGACGCGGCTCCATTGCGTTTTGCGAAATATACCACTTCCACGACTTGATGCAGGTGCCTCGGTCTCGATATGACCGGTGTATGTGTACTTGGTATCGAAAACATGCGTGGTATCCATGTACTTGCCTTGCCCCTCCTTATTTCCCTTCTTCTGCCAGATTAACGTGCATGCCGATTCAGATACCTGCACAATTCTCCCAACTCATCACAGCCTCGACTATGTGTCTGAGTTTCACCTCAAACAATAGTTCCGGTCGAATGTACTTTTCAATGTGTAATTTGAGACTCGGCAAAGTAGAGCAATTTCTCCTTGATTTGCTCAAAATCAGGTCGCAAGTAGGACGCACGATTTGAGTAAATGAGGCTGGTTTTTGTTCATTCACTGATGGCGTGCTGGTTACCTACCATGCAATTGGCTCGCTGTCTCATTGCTGTACCTATAGGTAGATCATGTATTGAGGGTGTGGAAGTGCAAAAGGCTAGCTTCTAGAACAACCCTGCAGCGTGTTCATTCACTTTTTTTCTTTTTGAATCGAAGAGTGCATCTGCATCTGCCCACATGTACAATAAGAGTATCTCTCTTCTGATCTTAGGTATGATACACGGCATTGATAGGATCTATGGACTGCATTATCATATCTTATCTGGAATTCTTCGCGTGCTTTTGCGAGGCGACGAAAAATGCAGTACGGGGACTTGGTTGACTCTCCTATTTACATTCGGTTCTACAATCTCAGGCATCAATGCTCTGACCCAGTCTCCTTCTTCTGAGTCCCTCAGCACCCTAGAGCGTGGGGTCTTCGAACCTAATCCTCTTCTTCCACCAACACTCGCCACCGTGTCGAAATAACCTACTCGTGCCGATCTATCTACCTAACGGAGACTAATCCCTTCACACATCCCTAGAAAATCCCACAAATCTAGCCGCCGGCCCTCACCCTCATACCTGTTTCCCACCTAAGCAATCCATTGCCACCTTCACTCCACTCCTAAGCATTTTACACGCTCGGCTGCACAGAAAAAAACCAACTGTCTCAGCATCCACTCTCGCAGCACCACCGGTTCTACTCCTTGACCTTTGTGTCTGTCTTCTACGGTGCGTGCCATATGAAGCGTGACCTTTAGCTACTTGGTAAAAAAAGCCTGTCACCGGTTCGAAAGGATGTCGCTCTCTCGGCGCGACCTTGTAGCCTCGAAGTAAGCAGCAGAGCATGGCTCGCAAGAGCCTTGTATACCACGTCCTCTGAACATACGTGGCAAGCCGTCGGCCGTGGTAGCCGACTTACATCGAGGCTCAGAGGCACTCGATGCTGGTTTGGGAGATGCGGGCGGTATACGGATGATTCCGGTGGGAGTGGGGGACCGCTTGGCGAAGGTTTCGAGAGGCGGTAAGGTGTCCGGTCTGGGTTGATGAGCATAGTCGGGCATGTCGGCGGGTTTGGAGTCAGGAAGTATTGAAAATGTGAGATGAGGTCATGTGTACCGGCGGATGCTGGGTTTGTGTGGGAATCTTGGGGATTAGGGAGTGCGGTGGATGGTTGGAAGAGCGGCAGAAGACTAAGACACCCTGGAGCACATGTTAGTGAGGACCGAAACCATGAGAGAACGCAACACAAGAAGGCATGTATTCCACCTATACACAGCCTGTGTAAGGGTAGGGGAGTGAAATTGGTTGCTTACGGAATGGAGACTTGGTGTCGTGTAGCTTGAGGAAATGCATTTTCTCAGGCTACACGACACCGACGAAATTCTATATGCCCCCTCACTATTCAGCGAAATTTCTCGCAAGGTGGTTGCAGTAGAGCTGCCGTAATTTGCTGCGCGTTTAATAACAAAGGTGGGTGTTGTTCACCGTGCTGCTATGTTATACGACTACGCAAAGCGCAGTGGTGAGACTTGTTTAACACCTGCCACTATCTTAGGCCATCCGCTTAAGGCCGAAGAGGAGTCAGAGGTTGCACTGCAATAGGAGAGCCAGCAGCAAAACCTCGATTCACAAGAGTCTTGTTCTCCCTGTCAGGCTCTCAACATCGAGCTGGAGCCTTAGCCTGTTGGACGACCATCTGGACCACCGCCACGCGTACAGGCCTGTTTCGCATTTTGCGCTCTAGATCATCTCGCCACTCTGGTTCAATCTAGGTTGGCCGATACGAGGCCCGGGCAAGGCATCGGGCTATGGTGGCAGGGGCGACCGAGGTCACTCGAATCATGAGTGCATCCGAAATATCCGTTCCAGTACCCGTTGTGGTGAGGTCTGATCATGACGAGCTATGAAAGTACTGCGTACACCAGAATGGAGAACATTGGCCTAGTCTGCGGCAAAGCCACGTTGATCGCCAAGTGAAGTTGCGCCACTAGCTGTGAGGGAGGATCGAGGGTTGAGGGAAGGAGCAAAACAAGGAAATGCGACCCATTTTGCAAGTATGATCGATATCCCTGCCAAAATCGGGCTGAGCTGAGCATACCGGAGGCAAGTGCCCGTGTGGAGTACGTCTGTGGGGTGACTTTGCTCTAGTGTGTGAACTGTTGCTGGATGAGGGAACTATGAACGATCACGCGCCCTTGCGATGCGCACGCTCTTCTCTCCGGACGTTTGATGTCCGTGAGCTAGCTCATCGATAGTGCTGTGCAGTGTGCAGATCTGCGCAACTCCAACGTTGATCCTATATCCGACGTCGTCGTTTTGCTAGATCGTCAAACAAAGTCATTTTGGACTAGAGGCCGTGTTCTCCCGGAACTGGGACCCTGAGCTTCCCTGGCATCAACTGACGTGGAGAAAATAGTACGACAAAAAGATGATAGTAGACCGAAGGTGCGGACAAAAACGTGACAGACTCAGACCCTGAGTTCCGCGAGCGAGGGATGGGCCGCGGGCACAGACGGTCCTCGTGGCAAGCCGCGAGCTGATACAGCGGGCAGAACCTTATGGCGATGCTCCACAGCGTCTCCGCTAGGACGACAAGCAAGTTCTTTCCTTGTGCTGTGTGTCCGGCGGTGGCAACGCTGTGAGCCTGTTTCTTGCAGCTGTCAGTGTAGCGAAGACATCAATCCCCAGGATGGATAGCTTCTGGTGAATGTGATAATCAGTTGATGTCGAGCGTACACAGTAATTTGCACCACCGATTACCGGAAGTCGGCATGTGCCGCAACCACGCACGTATTGGGAACCAACACTGCCCTTGGCGGCGACGAATGCCTTAGCATGAATGTGGTGCGTTCGCTGAAGCGAAGCATGTGCGGGTTGTCTTGAGTCGTGCGTGAGACGTACCCGACGAAGAACCCACCATTGGGGCGAGTTCTGTGTCGTGTTCACAGCTGTGCAATATGAAACGCCATAGGTAAACGTGCCGTGGACTGCATTGTCTCAGTACGAAAATAGTAAGGTATCGGTTCGAACGCTGGTGCTTATCGTTGGCGTTTGCACTGTCAGGCAAACTGTTGAGCCATGAGGTGCACCTGCATGAGTGCGCAGGCGCAGTGGGGCAGCCTGACAGTATTGACTGCAGTAACGTGCATAATCCTAGTCTGGTGACCAGACAGCCGAAAGATTTACGACGAATGCCAGAAGAGCTTTCGCGCTAATCCCTACGTGATCGACAGGTCGCTCGAAGATCATGCAGTTGCGCGCTAAAGGGATCTACGCATATTGTCGACATTGGAGCTCGACTAACCTCTAGCGTAGAATCCTCGCTCCATCACTAACAGCGTTTAGTTCCTGCTGGCTGCCAGGCGGTGCAGCACCATGACTGGAACGGGTATTCCCCCGTTTACTCGCATGCTGAGCTTCATGAAAAGCGTTGCCTGAGTAGACTTAGCAGGCGTGAGCTTTGGAGACGACCAAATCCTTCCATTGCGATGCGATGGCGTCATGTGTACCAGAAGATCGAAGTGAGGTCAAGATCTCCAGATCATCTGGGATGGAGGGACCGTAAAAGCTCGGTCGATTCTGAAATATTGGAATGTGAGGTAGTCGTGGTGGCTGTTATCGTGGCGTCGGCCGTAGAGCTTGTCACTTATGGTGGCATGACATCGGCTAATCCGCATAACTGGCAATAATTCCTCCGTCGTGGTGGGCCTCACGACATGTTGTACCTGAAAAGAAGGCTGAGGTCGTCGGGCAATGACGGCAGTGTTGTGCGGGTAGTTCGACTGCCAAGACCGCCACGTGCTGTGATGGATTTCCGCTCCGTGGGGCCAGGAAGGTCTCGTCAAGCGAGCTCGTAGAGACTGTCCTCTACCAGCCTACGGACAACTGGCATATGTAGAGACTGACCATGACGAAATCGTTCAAGGTCGATCAAGATAGCCATCAGCATTTCTTTCTTTAGTAAAGGTAGGTCGACTTCGCGCTATTAGATCGATTGTTCCGACATGGCCGGGTTGCCTAACAACGTCGCAACGTCGTCAGTACCGACCATTGTGAACCCACACGAGTCACTGAACTCAATCGTCTTTCATAGTCTGTGGAAACTACGGGGGAGAGTTGGGCAGTTACGCCAATTCGTATACCCGCCTTCTGCGAGCTTGATGAGTAGTGTCAATCTGAAACTGACGCAGCCGAGATTACTGAGCTCGTATTCTTCATTTCTGCCACGTTGTTCTCCGTCTAGGAGACGGAGGGAAGCGAACGGAAGTGTACTTGTTGCTTGCCAGCTTCAAGCGTTGAGTCATTGCATGATAAGGCGCGTCGCAAAGACCGGCCCATAACACGGCCCGTAGTTCTCACCAACCATTTTTTGGGCATCCAAAGCGAGCCGTTGACGGCTTGAAGCTGAATCAGAGGACTCGGGGGTTGTGTGCAGGCAGCGGTAAAGTCCTCACGAGTCGTGCACGGGCATCCGGAAATGAGTCCTTATTGAGCATGGGATAGCTAACGGTCTTGCAGCGCAGCATGCCGGTATTTGTTCTACAAGGGCGATCACGGCACCTGAAGGTGCTGATCTGATTCTAGACGTCTTCTGGTCGCAATGGAGCCCAAAAGCGCTCGCATCAATCAACGTCCTCAGAAAATGACATGCATAGAGTTCGACTGGCTGTGCGGGTCACGGGGACTACCGGGGACGGCATCTGGATCGACTATTTGCCTTTGTACAGGAAACATGAGCATGATTTCCCGCAGGATGAAGACGGTTGCTTCTCTGGAAGTCAGTAGGCATGTGCGTCACTGATGGCCTCTGCAATGGCGGGCCAAGGTATCCGCGTACATGGTTCCGTCAGCCTCATCAAGAAGTAGGGTAGTTTATTTCAACGGCCGACTGCTCACCGCAAATAGACGGTGGCTGACGACGCATAACAGTGATAGGTTCCTGACACTTGCACTTCTTCTGTGGCTCGACTGGGAGTGTTGCAGACGCAGCGGGGGTTCAATCATCTATGCAGTGCCGAACGGACGACTGCCATGTTTGGAGAGAAGACCGTGGGGGTCTAACCACAATGGCTCGGTGCCGAGCTCTGGGTGCAACGTGATGAGCATGAGAAGAGCGCATGGCGATGGCGAAACTGGCCACGGAGCGCGCCGGTAGATCCTGCCCATCAGAGCAGATGGTCAACGAGGTCGCGACCTTAGGGACCCCTTGACTATTAAACGAGCTGGTTAGTGAAGGGCATCGCGCAGTGCTCGAGCCGTGGCTTCAACATTGAGGCGGGCGCCGGTCGGTTGACGGTCGGGCCGAATGCCCACGCCAGGCCGTTTGCTGCCAAACTGGACACAGGCCAGCAGCGAGCGTGAAGACTGGAGCATGGGAGAACCGTGACCGTGACCAGCAGGGATTGGGTGAGCACGAGCGGAACCATGCATGCAAACTGGATGCTGCGGTGCGGGTACTGCAATCTGCACCTGCCCACGTTGGTCACCAGGATCAGCTGCTGTGATTCGCAGCTAGGCGTCGCTCAGTCTGCGACACACGCTGGTCGCTGGCAAGAGTAGGCAGACGGCAAAGGGGGCCCGCCGACGACTACCGCGCGGCCGTCAGCTGAAGCGCAGGCCGCGGTGGCGGGGCGCCCAGCATCGCAAGCCGCACGAGGAGGCCGGAGGGTCAGGCTCGGTGCCGGGGCGCGCTTCCGCTGAGGGGTGATGAGGATGTGACGGGCGTGCAGTTGTTTCTTGCCGGTGCGTGCGCGCCCAGGAGCCCTGGTGCAGCCTGTCTGCGAGTGCCCGCGAGGAGCTGTGCTGCCCTGACGCTGGCTGCTCCGCATGCAGGCCAGCATGTCTGGCACCAGCAGGCGGATTCGCGCTGATGACGGCAGCGCAAGAGGCAGGATGGGGTCGCCGGGCGGAGAGGAGGTTCCGCGCTGGCTAGGCGGGCCAGGGTCGGCGAAAAGGCGTGAAACGCAACTCGCGAAGTAGCGCGTCGTCCCGGCTCCGCGCCCTGCTACAGTACGCTCTAGGGCGGCCGGGCCAGCAGGCGGCGCGGGCGCAGCGTGAAGCGCGCAGCCGGCTGGTGCCCTCGCCCGGCGTGCCCTGGTGGACAGACAGTGGGCACGACACAGCACAGGACGTGCCGTCGCTCGCGCGGTGCACCCTCGCGCGGTGCGGGCGGCGGGCCCCTGTGTGCTGGCGAGCGCCCGCGTCTGCAGCGCGGGCACGCTCTGGCTCGCTGGCTCTGGCGTTGCAGGCTCGCCGCCGAGCTGCGGCCGCCGTCCAGGAACGTGAGTCTCGCAGCAGGGATGGCTAGTCAGCGCGAGGTGCAGAGGCCGGCGCCAGTGTCGATCTGCTTCAGGGCCAGAACGTGCGGACGGGGCTGGCGGCGAGTTCGCTGGGCAGCGCGCAGCAGGGCGTGCGACGCTCGACTGAGCGTCCCCAGCCGGGCATAGCAGCAAAGCGCAGCGGACAGGGGGCGCGGGCGGTGGGCAGCGCAGCCATGGGCACTACTCGCTCCCCAGGCTCCTCCGAGCAGGGACTGGCCTCGTCCAACGCCAGACGGCGCGCTGTGTCATGGCCCAAGAGAAAGCTGCACATTTTCCCCAGCACTCACCACCACCGCGTGCCCTTCCCGACCTGCACCTCTCTAACACGCACCGCGCCTGACCTGCCCTGCCCCGCGCCCCAGCAGAAGCCCCGTATATTCTCCGACTGCGTTCCCATTCCGCTCGGCCTGCAGACAGAGGCAGACCCATGCCCAGAGTCACGACGTACTGATGCCGCCGTCGACTCTGCTATTCCCCGCCCTCCCTGTTATCCGCCAGGGCATCCCAGACCGCGCTGTGGCTGCTCCCCTTCCCTACTCCTCACTCGCTGCGCAATTCGCCTTGCGACCATAGCACCGCACATATCACCCTGCCCGCCCCGGCCCCGGTACCTCGACACCCACTGCTCCGTTGATATCGGGTCTCTGCACCGCCAACAGTGGTACGTGTGTCCTCACCACCACTCCTCGCACTCCCAGACGCACCGAGACTGACATGCCCAGCGCCGTTGCGCCTCTGCATCGACATCTGCACCACGGAACCTCTGCGCGTCGACCTGCACACCTCTGCTGCATCCTCAACCACGCTCTTTCCTGACTAAGCACCGCTACTGTGACCTGTGGGGGAAGAAACCACCATCCTCTCTGCCCATCCGCAGCCCCGCGCCTGTCCCGCCTCGCATCCCTCCCAGCAGTCCAACGGCGTCACCGTGCTACACGGCCTGCATCTCGCCGCTCCCATCGGAACAAGAAATATTGACCGAACCTTAATTCTTCTCTTCGCTGCCTTGTAAGTTCCCCCGTTTATCGCGCACTTGACTTGGATGTAAACTGACTGCACAGAACTTTCGACCCCGACTGCTGATTTGAGCCTTTCTCCCTGGTTGGCTTCTGATTCGCTTTCGACCCGAGTCAAAACTGCACTCACGACCTGCAACCTTGGCTTGCTTCCAACGCTGATTGAACGCGACTTCAGCCTCAATCGTCATTGTGCTCCAGACTCACAGTGCAGATTGTGCCTTTGAGCTGGATCTCACTCCTTTCGAAGCCTCTTCCCACTACTTCAGCCCGTTTCTCCGTCTTTCCCCATGTTGCAGAGTATACGAGCGCCTACGCTGGCAATGCCCTCCTTCGGGCACGACTTGCCTATCGGCGGAGCCCAAAAGATGGAAGGATACGGCGATACTGATGCTTGGCAATGGCCACAATCTGCGACGCAACCAAGCTCATATACGCCGATTTTCGACCACTCTGTGTACGCCCACATCAACTCCCAACAACCGAATCCGGTAGCCGCTCCTCGTCACCACTCCATCGCCACCTCCCACGTTGTCGCCACGGGAAGAGCGCCGCCGCCCCAGAGGCATCAACTGACAGGAGCCATTGTCAAGGCTCAGCCTGCTTTCAAGCCTACTTGGCACGGTTTCCTCGACACGACCAAAGATGCTATGACCATTGTGGAGGCTGCGCTACAGGGGCGCCTTGGGCACATTAGTCGACGGCCTCACGACAAGGAACGCGCCGAGATGCTCACTTCGGGTACTGTTTTGGTCTACGAGGAAAACGCATCAGGCATCAGACGCTGGACTGACGCCGTTCACTGGTCTCCGAGCAGAGTTATGAACAACTGCCTCATCTACCGTCAGCTAACCCGAGCCCTGAAGCCAGAAGAGAAGCGTTCTGCTCTCAACCCGTCGTGTAACGGCAAGCGGAAACGCAAGGGAAGTGCGGGTCCCACCATCACCAAAGCTGGCGAAAACATTGCCAACTCAGACGATGAGTACGACAATCCGGCCTTCCAAGGTGCTGTTCCAGGAGATGTCACGCCAGTAGAGCCCTCGGAGAAAGTGTACGCGAATTTTGCTCAGGGCCTGACACCCGATCAGCAGCGACGCTTCTGCGGCTCTCTGATCGACAGCTACGAGTTCAAGGAAGGTGGTCTGATGAAGAAGACCATTTCGGTGAAGTACCAGGGAACGAACCACCACATCATCTCATACTATACGCTCGAAGATGTTGTGCACGGCAAGCTGAAGCGCCCGTGTGAGGACCCAGATCTGCGTGATATCCAGCCGCGACCGGAACTACTTACTGGCTGGAAGGTCAGCCTGGAAGACGAGGAGAGCAAGGAACAGCCGCAATTCCCGACCCACATGCCCGTTGCCCACCCTCAAACCGGACTTCCGCCACAGATTTACGTTCAGATTCCCGGAAGCTGGCATGGGAGTCAAGTCTCCCAGTACTCATCACCGCAGAGCGCCCATCCTTATCCCACGCCTCAGGTCAATCCTGCTCAGTACGTCGCTCAGCCGAGCCAGTCGCAATATCCGGTGCAGCAGCATTCTTCTCCGCAGCAGTACTCGCCTCAGGTCCCCCACGCGGCTCAGCCATACCCCCAGACTTCGTCACCGCACCACCTGCCCGCACAGCAAGGATCTGCTCAACGCTACCCTTCTCCGGCATCTTTGGCGCATCAGTACTCGCCACACGCGCAGCAACCTGTTCAGTATCCTCGGGCGCAACAAATTCCAGTTCATCAACAATACGGGCCACCGGCAGCCGCGCACTACCCTACGGCACCCCAAGAGGTGGCTCAACAGGCTACTCAATACTCTATGCCCCAGGCGCCAGGAGTCGATTACAGTGGCCAAGCTTCACTCCAGCAACACGGCGTGTATCGACGTACATCGGCTCCGATGGTCATGCAGCAGCAACCGTATGGCCATCCCGGCTACCCTTCTGCACCTCAGACGCAGCCCTCATCATACTACGTCACCGATGCCAAGTACACTGCCAATCAGACCTTTGAGTACTGAGGACGGGTACTGCTAGATGCATCACATTTTTCCATATTCACAAATCATCACTACAGGAATACACGAGCAATGATCACACACGGAAAGACGATCAGGGCATGATACCCGGGGCGATCGTGGCGGCAACAATGGTATTTCACTACACTAATGCGGTCTCATTATTTCATGTCTTGTCACAATTTGCATTTGCACTCGCACGGCGCTGGGGAAGCGAGTCCTCATAATTACCATCTACACGTCTCTTTTGGCATCGATTGTATGGGTCGGCATTTTGGCATTGCACTGCCATTTCTGTTTGCGCATCTGGGTGGCATCTTACTCTTGTACATTGCGCGATGCCCCAAAACACTTTTTAAGGATGCAAATATCTGGATTCAACGCTTCGATTTTTTGTTTTCTGCGCGGCTGCTTCGGCACTCTGTACCTATACGCTGCTGTACCGCATCGCGACCAGCGACACCCGTTGAACGGGGTCTATCCCTTCGTTCTGTTTATGCTTGCTTCACGATAGCTGCCTCGCGGCATAATTACTCAATCCACTGCTACTAGTACCTCGTGCAGCCGTGTTCCCCTCGCAGTGACCTACCTCCTCTCCTCTACGTCCAAAGACGCAACGATTCGTGCCCACCATGCCGCGCCCCCTTCCCGTCCCCGTCCCTCCCCTCGCCTGCTCGCGTTCCACTGTATCGGCAACCCTGCCAATCGCCTCGCTTCGCCCGCGCCACCCGATCCGGCCTCCAGCCGGCCTCTGCGTAACCGAACACCTTCGGCATCCCGAGCGCACGTGGCGCGTCTGGCCCCCTCTCCCTTTGCTCTGCCTCCACCACGCGGCACGTCCCCATGCGACGCGGCACGGTGCGATGCGCGCGGTGCGCTGTCATCGGCTGCCGACTGCCTCATGAGATGGAATCGCAGATCCGTCGCGCGTGTCCGAGATGGCCGCTATCAGCGCACTGCCGTTGCGGAGCGATGACCAAGACACTGGCAGGACCAACCGCGCCATTGCGTCTAGAGGCGCGGTGCGGCGCCGCGAGGTTGCTTCCGGGGCGAGCACGTCGACACGGCGCGGGGAAGCGGAGCAGGAGCGTGCTGAGGTTGTCAGCGCAAAGGCGGTGTGGTGAGTCGAGTCGAGTCGAGTCGGCTGTGGGCGCCGGTTCTCGGTCCAGTGCCGGAACGGAAGGAGCAAGCGACTATGGTGCGGGAGTTGGGCTATAGGCAGGGGTGCGTGTGAGGGGCTTGCGCATGCAGGAGGGCAGGGTCACGTGGGGTGTGGTAGGGCATAGCCTGTCAGTGTGCTGTGAGGTCCGCTGCGAAGCCTTAACAGCTCCCGGGAAACCCCCACCTGAGCGTCGTCGAGGCCCTCATGAGGCCGTTGATGATGATGGCTTACTTGCCTGAACAGGTGCGGAGAGGAGCCGCGCGAGTGGTGACGAGGGGGTCCGGGATGTGGACCGTCTGGCCTGCTAGATTGGGCGTGGACGTGGAAATGGTATCTCCGAGGACTTCGCGTGCCGTGAGGTCTTTCTTTGCCAGTATGCGGTGCGCGGTGCTAGTGCCTCGTATGCTTAGACTGACGTGTTTCGTGTCGCTAGGCTCCGCTGCCAAAGAGTTCGGTAGATGTCAAACATGTGTCACTTGTCCCTGGCATGACATAAGGGGAACCCTCGAGCCGTCCGAGACATGGAATGGCCTCGTAGGGTCATACGTTGCCCTCGAGCACGCAGATGCCGCACTGACACTGTCTGGTCCGTATCCTGAAATAGCTTCTGTGGAAGGTTGATTAATGGGAAGGGAGTTTGCTTGCTTGGGGAGTGTGTCATGTTGGTGGATTTTTGGTGGAGTGGTGCAAGTAAGACTATACTTGGACGCCTGTTTGACTTCTGGAATGGGCAAATGGTAAGTATGGTAGGTTAGAGAACTGCTTGATGTCCCTGTGTGTTGGGCAAGAAGGGCCGAGTGCTTCGTTCGGGGTAGATTTGACTGATGCCCGAGCGGAGATGAATACGAGTGTTGTAGACATGTGAAGGAGGAGCTGGGATCGTAGGGTTACAGGGTTACTAAGAAAACATAAGGCAAGGGGGAGAGGAAAACGATGTGATCAGGCAATGCGAAGTTAACATTGTGTGAAGCACACGCGTCTACGAACTGCGGGAAGTGATGTGGAAAGTTGCAGAGGGGAGGCCGCCTTGATCTGCTTGAGCCGTCATCAAGAAGTTAGGTACCCATCGTGCCTTTGGTAAACGATGTTGGCTTCAACATCTACAATTTACTAAATTATATATTGAAGCCCGAGTAGGGCCGTGTGTATATTGAGAATTCACTGTTTTCTTAAGAACAATCGCTCAATTGCGAAATAAGTCAGCAATCGAGATGAGGGAGTAGGACTACTCATACATCAACCTCGAAGGTGTCGTACTGTGTCCCATCGTAAACATTTGCCGCGAATTGTCTACAATACATTGCGAGAGCCTCAGTCTTGTGTTGTTATTGGAACCAACAAGGATGGAGCGAGATTCCGTAGCCAGTGGTGTTCGGAAATGATTATTTTGCCTCTAGATCGAGATGAGAGAGCGGTCCTAGGAAACTTGCAGTATCTACACTAGCATTGCAGCCGCAGTTGCGACTCTGTTGTTGTGAAGGGAGTGTTGCTGATGCGATGATATTGAAGTTGAGGTGGCTGGGGGAATGGGCCAAGCTTCGACAAAACCACCACCACTGGGCACGTCATTCCCCATATTCTCAATACTTCAACTTCGTTAACAGTACACCACGAAGTTTTCAACTATCCCTCCACCATCGGACGAGCGACCCTCACGCGCCTGTTAATGGTTTAAACCGCATTCCGGGTGCATTACGTACTTGAGCAACCCAAATTGACGCGCATACCTTGATTGGGTCGGCGACATGCCTCCCAGAAAACGCAAGGCGGCTGACGCAGATGACGCGCCAGAGCTGAAAAGACGCGTAACTAGGTCTGCATCAAAAGGAACAGCGCCACCGAAGGAGACAACAATACCGAAGGACGAAACATCCGCTGCGAAACCGTCGAAAACTAGCAAGCCAGCAACCAAGCCAGTCGTTCATAATGCGGAAGCTACTGAAGTGAAAGGCGAAGTACGAGCCGCAAGACCATCGAAGAAAGCCAAGCGAACAGCGAAGGCAGCATCGCCAATAGCAGATGAGACATCCGAGAACAACAAACGCTCCAATAACGACTCTCAAACTGGTGAAGACATCTCGAGAACCATCCTCACTATTCAACACGACTCGTTGAAGAAGCCCATGATCTGCCATCAGTACCCAAATTCTCCGCATGCTACTCTTGCTACGCCTGGGCTTATATTCACCCATGGCGCAGGTGGCACGCTCGACGCACCGGCTGTAGTCAACTTCTGCACTGGCTACTCCGTGGTCCACCCCGTTCTATCATTCCAAGGCTCTATGAACTTCAATGCGCGAGTCAAGGGTTTCCACGTGTCCATATCATACCTGAGACTTGAGAAGCAGAGTCTCACCCTCGGCGGCCGAAGTATGGGCGCCCGAGCGGCTGTAATTGCGGGCACCGAGATTCTATCTAGCGAGGACGGGCAGAGCGAGCTTTCCCTCGTCCTGGTTTCATACCCACTGAAAGGCCCAAAGGATGTCAGGGACCAGATTCTGCTGGACCTGCCGGCTTCGGTGCGCGTGCTGTTCGTCATTGGTGAAAAGGACGCTATGTGTCCTCTGGACCTATTGGAGGAGACACGAAAAAAGATGGCCGCGAAGACGAGACTTGTGGTGGTTCGGGGTGCGGATCATGGTATGCACGTACGGCCTGTGGCGGAAGAGAAGCGGCTGGGAGAGGAGGCGGGGCGGTTGGCAGCTGCTTGGGTAGGTGGTGAAGCGGACGACAATGATATCCACATTGGACGCGATGAGGAAGGATAGGGGATCCGGGAAGAACTCTTGGCGTCCAAGGCTTGTAGCATCAGATAAGCAACCAATGGGTAAGCAACCGTGTACGACTCAGCAGTCGATCAACGTAACTCACATCTTTCACGGCCTCGGGCAACCGAGCTTGGCGGAAGTATGCTACAAGTTTACATGCTACAAGATTACATTGAATGAAGAAGCCACAAACGCCCCCAATGCCCATGTTTTCCTTGAACAGACTATTAGTACATGATCAAGACGAAATGCCACACCCTAATCCTCCCTCTTCACTGGCTCCCCCTCATCCCACTCCGGCTCATCTACGTCCATCATGCCCCCGTACTCCTCGGCGAGCAAGCCCTCATCCACCGCCGTCAGCACCCCCTTCACATCCTCCGAGGCCATCTCCTCGTATACGGCCGTGATGCCGGTGATCCGACATACACGCGCCACAGACGCCATGAGCACCAGGCCCAGCACCGCAAACGGGCCCACGGCGACGAGCTGCGTGAAGTGCCTTCGAAAAGTCAGCCCCCATCAACCATCGCAATTGAAAAGGAAATCACTCACATATACCACTGGTGAATGCACTTTTCGTCCCAGTACTGCAGACGGTGCGCAATCTGTTCCGCGGCCCACTTCTTCTTCTTGTGCTCCATCTCCTCCACCAGCAGGCGCATCTCTTTGCGGAACTGCCACAGCGACCTGAACCAGTGGTTGCGGCGGTGCTGGTTTCGGTTGCGGACGAAGAGCTTGTCGAGGAGCGCGTGGATGTCTTTGAGCTGCGCTTTGTCCTTGTCGGAGGCGTTCATGACCTCGTCGGCGGTGAAGGGGAGGGAGGGAATCGTGGCGGCGGGCATGTTTTCGGTTGTTTCGTAGATAGCCGTTGGGATATGGGATGGCTGGAGGTCACTTGGAGGCGCGGCACGTGCAGTAGATATGTTGCAGTTGCGCGGATGCGGTGGCGGCTGAATATGTGTTTCCGATTATGAGGTGGGAAACCGCGTGTTTAGAAGATGTCGGAGCACGTGAGTGAGTCCGTAGGCAGCGTGCCGTCAAAGCGCGGGAGTGTGTGGCGGGTAGGAAAGCAGCAGGGTAGACGTTATGGTCATGCTATAAGCGGGACGTGTTTGTTGTGTACGCGACGAGCTAGAGTCCGAGAGAAAGCCGGCAGCTGAGAAGGCGCCGGTGTCTACAATGTTGCTGGGGAAGACGTCCGCGGTGAAGTAGGAGCCACACATGCAGCGGGCGAGTATGCTAAAAACCTCGAATACAGAACACGCCTAAACGCAGAGGAAACGCTCCCTTGCGTATGCAGTCTTACGCTGCTGATCCACAGTCAATATTTCCTCAGCCCAAGGTTCCGCTGCTATCTCCTTTCCAGAAGCCCAAAGTCAGCCTCCTTCGTGAGGTTCGAATCTATTGGAGAAGCGGTGAGCCAGTCTCCGGCACGGGACCGGTCCTATTTTCCCCAGAGATTCCACACAATCCTGCTATCCCGTCAATCGTAGGTCCGAATCGCCAGAGTAAGATGCTGCCTGCGTCGTGTAACGGGACTACGGGGACAGCCACACATGGGGCGGATCGCCAAGCAGATTGAACTGGGGAGATTGGCACAGATTAACGTACAGGCGTAGGGACTGTGGTACAGCGAGGTCAGCTGTCATATGGCGCTGAGAACGCAGGTCTCCGTAGAGAGATACTGATGCTGTACGAGAGCGTCGCGTGGTGTGGGCTCGGGAGCTTAGCGCGGGCGGAATTTACGGGAGCTGTACAAGGCGCTGAACTCATCTCAGCCTCCACTGCTGTATCGAATTTCTGGATCGTGATTCTCGTGCTGATCTTATCCGTGTCAAGGTCATGAGATCTGTTTTGCCATGTTCAGGCGGATGCTGGCAGAAGTTTGCTTCCCTAGTGGCCGAGTCCAAGTTGGGTCCGTGCGGACCCGTTGAACTTCAAGTTTTGCAGGGATCGATATGTGGGGCGCGCAATGTTTCTTCAATACCATGTCTACTACGAATTCCCAAAATGGTCTGCCTGCAGCTGCGTTCAGAGCGTACAGCGGATCAGATTCCCCGCCCGATCGCCTCCTAGTACCCGGATGCGTCTGTACGACGGTCGTATATGGGAGGGGATGCGGGGAGCTCATTCCGAAGCCCCTGCAACCGTCCCCAGCATCCCCTCAGATCAACGGGCGACTGCAGGAGTATTGACAGCGCATATTTGCAACCGATAACTGCAGCTCGACTTCTCGTCGTCGGAATTTCTCGAGGTAAGTCTTCCGATGGCATTAAGCCGACAGCTCCAGTTCCTTGTAGCTGCGACAGGTACAACCTGGATAGTAGGTGTAGGCATCCACCCCGGAATATCGTCCGCTTGATGCTGCATCATGTATGTAGAGCTCAATAAGACGCTGCCAAGCTCGGTCGTAGACTCCGGCCAGTGAGAAAGACTACATGTCGCATTGAGTTGATCGTACGCGCTGGAACGTGGTGGTGGAGCCCAACTCAACGGAGGGAGGTCCGCAGTACTTGACGCCGCGCTAGTGGATTTGGGTCGCGGATCCGCATGGAAGTTGGTCATATACCTAAAACTTTCCCTGGCTTTCAGGTGACCGAGGTATTGTCCTCGGTCGAGCTGTGCCCCAGAAGGTTGTGCCCGAGCGCCAACGCTAGAAAGCGCAAGAGAAGCTGTGACACATTGTCGATGGAGTAGATTTGACAACGACGGGCAGAGTGCAACGTCGTATACTTGCATCTTTACTGATCTCACAAATGTCGCATGACAATACCCCAGGCTTGTCAAGATAGGCAGGCTTGTGACGTTACGTGTGGTTTGAAGGGAGCAATGATTAAATTTTTGTCGGCGCTGTGTGATGACGTTCAATTCAGAGTAAATACCTATGCTTCGCCGTTATTCGGGCGTAGGACATGATGTCAATTATATAGTATCAATCTCGAGGATCCCAAGTATGAGCCGATCCGCCTCATGGTGAGCGCAGTTGCCTTGTTGTTGGTTTGGCCGTGTTGTTGCGGTCGTAGCTACCACAGTCGTAGCAATCTCCATTGTTTCAGAGCGAATGTTGTGTGGTCCGCAGGATCCGGGGAATAGTGGCTTGTCTGATGTGCAAGGGAATACAGACAGTGAAAATGCTGTAGGATGCTCGATGTAGGTAGTCATGTGTGACGGATTCGCTGAAAAGTTGATCTTACATTCGGTCATGGCTTCATCATTCTGATGATTCGCAATGTTCGTCTGTACGCTATGCCTGGTGCAGGGCAGGGCGGTCTAGGCGTAACAACGGCCATAGGAGGTTCAGGAGGCTCTCTATGACATCGTTGATGTATCTGAAGTCGTTGTTAAGCTGAATCTCTGACCACGTGGTGAGCTTTGTCGGTGTTGTATTTAACAGCAGGGGACATGGGATAGATCGCGCTTGCCTGTACGCGTCTCGAAAATGAACAGATAAAGACCGATCGAAAAACGGCTGGCCGATTTCAAAGCTTGTTTCCAGTGGGGTTCGATGTGTCTGACAGCTTGGCTTTTGCTTTCTTCGTGGGAGGTTGATGTTCATCGTCGCTGAGGAGGTTGGAAGGCTAGTGCATACAGTGGGTTTAATGTCGGCCGTGTCTCGGAGAACAATAAATCGATGTAGTGGATCACGCGTAGTAGCAATGACAATTCAACGCATCTTACGAGGCGGCACAGAAGAGTTAAGGGAGACATGGAAATATTATGGGTGCAAGAGTATAGCCTCAGCTATCAATTACAGAGTCGAGACTGTGCATGCCCAGTCTGAACATCTACTTCGTTGATCCTCATCAGGCGCATTTTTGGCCAGCTCAGTAGCCGTCAAGACTTGTTGTGACCCAGATGGCGCTTTCGTGAAGACAGAATTCGGCGATCCAGGCGTGGTTGTTTTTTCCCCATGATTCCATGGCGCAAGAATTGTGATCACGTTGCGTTGATTGAATTTTGGCATACGCATGCCAGGAGAGCGAGATATAATAGGGTTATACCAAGAAATTTAGTGTGTGCTCTCAGCCCATAAAATCCATAGGAGAGCAAGATAAAGATATCTACTGAAACCTTAGCGTGTGCTATAGACTAATACGTTAGCATGATATAATAGACATCTACTTGAACTTTGGCTTGGAGTTACGTTATTGCCACAGCCCGTAGCCATCAGAAGATTGCCTCCGGAATGTGAGGATCATGCGGTCTTGGACATCTAATAGATCTGTACTTGAACCTCGCCGTTGGCGGTTTCATCGATCATGGCGACAGATCTCTTCAGGCCTCATATGCCCGCATCTTCAGATCGTCATTGCACAATACCTATATGCGCTGAATCGCGCGGCCCAGGAGAGACTTCACAAGGGTCTGCTTGCTCCATAGACATTGTTCTGGGCTCATAATTCTTGGGGGAAGCAGCGGAGGTGTAGATCTCGTCAAGGGCGCTAAGGTTGAGCGAGGGGCTGTAGTTGTGTTCGTGATGCGGCGTAGGCGGTGGTTTTACCCGCCCTACCATCTAGAGCTCATATCTCCTCCAAATCACAAGGTAAGCTAGCGCATGGGGTTCCGAGACACCCGGGGATATGAGACACCGCGCAGAAATCCTCCACCCTTCAAACAATCGCGATATCTCCACATCCACCCTGCCAAAATGGCCAACCGTGAGGCTGCATTTCAAGCAGCTATTAG